ATACAAGCCCAGCAGTGGCGGCGGCTTGTGGCCCCCATACGACGGGTGGCGCCTCTAGCGACAGATTTTGTCCCTATATCAACCTTCGGGCGGAGTTTCGTGACCAGAAAAGCATTGAAGGACTCTGGCCGTACTTATGGCCGTGATACGGAAAGTCAGACTACACAGCAAGGCACATGACATAATGATAGCGCCGAACAGGCCGTTGATAATCTGACCCGCGGCGAGGCACGGCGGCATTTATACACGTGGCGTCGAACATTCGAGCGTTATCGCTGGTGGCTGAGTTTGTAAGCTCAGCTGTTCACGTTGGCTTGCTCAGCAGAACATATTATCCAAAAGCTATCTAGAATGCTCTTAGACATTCTGACGTAGAGTGCGCTAGGCACTATCTACACGTGCAATGCGCCGGCAACATAAACAAAGAAAGGAGGATGTGTGGCAGTATTGTGACGAAGAACAGCTTGGTTCGTCTCTTTGCTTTGTTTTGTGATTCGCGCTGTTTCCTTGAGTATATAGCCTACCGAAGAAAAAAAAAAATCTTTGGCATCGGCTTGGGCAATTTGGCTATGCCGTTATATTTGTACTGCTGAACGTTTCCTACTTGGCTTTGTTTGGCGAGTAAGCAACGCCGTCACGACCAACGCTACAGCTGCGACTCTGACCGAACGGGAACAAATCTCTAAAGGCGCTTTCACTTTCGGCCTTGAAGTGACCGAAAGCGGGAAAATTCACCGGAAACGCGCACGCTCCCTTCCCAAGCAGGCTGAAAACCGGGCTACGAGCGCCATCGGCCTTGGACCGTTTTTTTTTTTTTCTTTTTCACGGCGTAGCTGAGTGCCTTTCCGCCTCTCCGGAAGCCGTACTTTGGCTGTACCAGCGTTGGCACCACTGAACGTCGGGCCGATATTTCAGACTGCAGGCCAAGAAGTTGGGCGCGTATCTGCGCATATAGGTAGAAAGCGGGCATTCGCACATCGGAACCTTTTGAAGTTTAGCCGATTCTTTAGCGGTTAATATTGTTTGTAATCAGATTGCACGGGCTGCAGTGGTGTGTATATACTGTGCATCCTACACGAACAAGAGCCAATACGCTGCAAGGAATTATGAGTCGTTCACCCTGCCGTGGTCATGAATGAAGAGCTCACTAGTTTTATCCAATATCAGACTTCGACGCTTATGCTCACCGCTCGTGTTCTGGTTTGTCCAGATCAAGTTTGTCCAACACGCTAACTCTTTTATCTGCCTCTTTACCCACTGTGGTACGTACTGGTTTAGGTACTCAACCGCCGACCACAAGCTTGCGGTTACACACCCGGGCCGCATTTCAACGAAGTCAAATTGCTATAAAGGCCAATGTGTTCAGTTTAGGTGCCTGTTAATGTACCTCAAGTGGTCGTGATTTCCAGAGACCTCTAGTTTGATGTTTCTAATACTCATGTCGTCGTTTTGGAACGTAAAACCTCGACAATGATTGTTATCTACCGCTTCCCCTGTTCTGTCCTTCACTACCGCAGCGTACATTATTCAGCTTCAAGTGGGCCTTTTGTTTATTTGGTGGCGCTAAACTAAATGGAAATGTTCACAGCGCAGGCAGCAAAGGCTGATGGCTCTGGATATAGAATTGTTGAAGGAAAGCACAAACTAGATCAAACCTCGATTCTGTTTCGTTTCATGCGCAAAAATGCGGCAATGTGCAAAACTGAACCTGAAGAATCTCGCAGTGCAAGATCGCTTTCCAAGAGCAACGGTGTGATGAGACGGATATTGCAGAATTTTGTTATCCTTTTTTTAAATAAATGTTTGGCAGCACCTGAGTATCCAAACTCTCTTGAACACAAGCCATTTCGACAGTCATGGCGGGTTATAAAAAAATGTAGTAGTGTAATCTGAATCGCATGTCCACATACAAATGCAAAGAACAGCTACATTTGGATAAATTATTCTGCCTCTTTTTTGCCTTGGGCTACATTTGGGCTATAGCTTCTCGGGGTTTTGGTGCTGCCTCATCTCACCTGGTAACGCTGGAGGTGTTCCTTTCATTGTGCGTGTTTTTACTTAGCTGCTGAACTACGTCCTTACCAAAAGAACCTTGTTAAATCGTATTTTAGACCGTTCATGTCTTGGTGTCAGCTCCGTTGCTCTCACTATTGCTTACCTTTTCTTCTCATGACGACACCTAACTACTTTTTTTAAATACTAACTACTGTGAACCAGTAAAACTTCAGCCATTCATTCTTCTCTATTTTTTTTAGATTCTCGTTGACTAGATCGCAACGCGGGTCAGCGCACGGACTACTCCGGGCTACAGACGAGCCGTCCAGGGGTGTTGCGTGCTGTGTCATTTGAACAGACCGCGCTGTCGTGTTCGGGTGAAACTGCCAACGCTTCTCTGAAATGTGTTTTTTTTCCCCTCTTTTTCTCGCTCGATGGATAAACATCGGCGCGCCCAACAACCTCTTTCCGCCATAGACGCAATTGCTTGGCATGTCGGAAAGTATTTTGGGCACCAAAGGCGTTGCCTCATCGCCTTCGACAGCAAGCGGTTGTGACGTCATACAGCTTAGCAGGGGCCATCGATGAAAGGGCCACACCTATTCGCTCGTCCGTCTTCATGCATTAAATATGCCTTTGCACGTATGTGCTAAGTCTGCGTCGCCAGCCTTGTGCAGGTTGATATTTTGACTCTGCATAAATTAGGAGGCATTGTGTCGATTCAGGAGTGCGTGCAGATCAATTGCGCGCAGCGCTGCCTCCTGCACCTCTTCTTCAGTGGCGACGGTTCCGTCGGTATGCAAGTTATTTATCCCAAGGAATAGATAGGATGTCCATTCCATACGACTATAGAGCCAACAATGTAGCCTGTCTTGCGCGAGCTCATTCCATTTCGTTTCTGCACATTTCTTAATCACTCCACTCCGTCTTCGGCCGTCTTCCCCATCTCTTCGTATCTATTGTATTCCGTCATTGTGACCAACCACTGCGGTTTACTTGTTCAGTGCATTAAGGGACCTTCCCAATTTCATTTGCTCTATCAATGTAAATTAAAATTTCGGGTGCACCAAGCGATGGCGAGTGTGGCTGTACCTTTTAGACCAGAAGCAGCAGAATGTGTTGAATACTTTTTTGGCTACTTCCTTAATTATCGTAATGATTTGAGCCTACATTGTCAACATCTTGTGACGTCGCAGCGGCTAGCGTTCGAGTTTGCAATATTGAAACAGGATGGCCCAGAGCGTGCATCCAGCTCTCAAATTCGGCACTTGCATTACACGTAGAATGACTTTCAGTAGAAAGGACGTCTCAGTGACTCGGGCTAAGATCAATGTTGGGGATCATAAAATAGCTATAAAAATCTACTTGTTTATAGCCGGCTGCCAGTGAAATGGGCATCGAGCAGAGGACATGACAAGGGCTTAATTTCAGTCTTTGAGATACTCCCGAAGTGCAGGTGGATGGCTTCGCCCATAGAGATTCGGACAGTCGCCTAGAGAGAACCTTGACGCTGCGATCGTTCAGACACCGCGGAAATGATGGGTAGCGCACCAACTTGCCTAATATTCGTGGTGTTTAGGACTTCGAACGAACCTGTGACTTCGCTTATTGGGTGTGTTCCAATACTCACTGTATACGGCTGAACCGACAGCTAAGTGGACAGCGGCCATCTTAAGTCCCATTGCAATTCTCCCATAGCCGGCAAAATAGGCAGCTTTTAGAAGACAGCGTCGTAGACAAAAACTATGCAGGCTACTTTGCTGTACAAACAAGATGGTGGCTCAGCGAATTGCTCGGATGGCTCAAGTATCGCCGGAATGGTCGTCTGCCCACGTTGAGGGCGTGGTGGCAACAGCCCGCTTGACGAGTTTTGAGCACCCTGGATTTTTACTGCTTGGCCTGGCATACAAATCGCTCTCAGAGGTTCATGGGGTGAACGGCAACAATGAATTCTCTGAAAATTGTTCCAGGAAGAATGTGGTACCATACACACACGGTATCTCACACAGCATCAAGAAAAATCGTTCAGAAATCGAATGTGCAAGTACTTTTTAGCACCCCCAATAAGCTAAGTAGACTTTGTTGACGCGTCAATCGAGAAGGACCCCAGAAGCTTTCGTGCACGACGAGACACAATAGACCGTTTTTGGAAATGGTGTAGGCCCGTGTGCTCAGATTTGGGTGCACGTTAAAGAACCCCAGGTGGTCGAAATTTCCGGAGCCCTCCACTACGGCGTCTCTCGTAATCATATGGTGGTTTTGGGACGTTAAACCCCACATATCAATCAAACAATAGACCGTTTGTCGGATGCACGGCCAACGTCGTCAATTCGGTACCGCTCTCCTTCAAGATGACGTACATTGGACAAATGGTGTGCTGTCTCAATCAGAGACTAAGCAAACATCTCGACTATCTTCGTCAAAAAAAAAAAAAACAAGGCAGCATCATGGTGATCTATTGCAGCACGTGCAGATGCACGCCGGAGTTTAGAGGCTGCATGCAGAGTCATAGGAAGATACCCAAGCGGGCATAGTCGTCTGATTGCCGATGCTTTTGCTATTAACTTAAGGGGTGACACATGTGCTAGCGAATTTCCGTCCATAACACTAAGCAAAGAAGAGATTAACTATCTCTCATGTGCTTATGTGCACTCTTAAAACTGTAATTGTCTCGACTAACAGGTTTTACGCATCGTTTATTGTAACGAATGCCTTAAAATTTCACGTGACTTGTTACCCCGCACCATTTCCCTCTATGTTGAAGTGACGAAATAAAACAATCAGTTGCTAGTCAGAGCTCGTCTCTTCTAGTATTGCGCTGATTTCATCTTTTACGACGTGATGGATAGAATAAAAGAACAGCATACCCAACCGGTGATGTATACCTGTCGCCCTGGTCGATGCCATCGCTATATAGATCATGAAAAGCGAGTTCAATTTTGTGTCCTTATACGGCTGAATCCTTTAACTATATGGCTGGTCCGACTACGTTTGTATTTGCGCAGACAAAGCGTGTGACAGTGATGGCGACTGCGCGGACGTGCCTAACACCTTCTGCAAGGGAAACGAATGCATTTGCCTACCAAAGTTCAGCCGCAACTACCCGCCCTGCAACGAAGGTAAGTCGGCAAGCTTCTTCTGCACCTCGTTAGCTGGGACGAGCAGCCATGACCCAGAGCTGTCGACGTTCTACCCAACGTTAATGAACGTTGGTTTTACTAAGCTATCCACACGCGGCTAAGTGGAAAAGCCTGGTCTCTCTTTTTCTCTCTCTATCTCTCTTTGGTAGGGGCAGAACGGGGGCCAAGGCATCAGCTGCCTGTCGCTGAAGTACCTTGCAGGCACACTCCTTGAGATAGCAAAACTGTTGATTTGATTGATATGTGGGGTTTAACGTCCCAAAACCACCATATGATTATGAGTGACGCCGTAGTGAAGGCCTCCAGAAATTTTGACCACCTGGGGTTCTTTAACGTGCACCCAAGTCTGAGTGCACGGGCCTACAGCATTTTCGCCTCCATAGAAAATGCAGCCGTCGCAGCAGGGATTCGAGCCCGCGACCTGTGTTAGCCGAGTATACCTTATAACCAGTAGACCACCGCGGCGGGACAGATAGGAAAACTTTCTCGTGCTGGCAGTGGTACCGATTGCCTCGTTGTAGCGATTGAGAAAAAAAAAAACCTAGTCATTATAGTTCTCTTTAAAATTATTATGCATGTGCTTCAATTTTCGGCCCTGGCGCGACGTAAGTTCTTTTGCCTTTTACCATCCCGTCCTGCTTAGCTTCCAGCGCACACGTCGAGACGAGAGAAAGCGTTCACAGCACGCTGCGAATCGCTAATCACGCTTGACGTACTTGACGGATTTAAAAAATTTTTTGCGCCAGGTGATTAGTGTAACAATAAACGCGTTTAATGAAGCTGTTCAAAAATTACTTAGAAAATTGCTGCAGGGCCCCTTTAACACTGATCCCTACTTAACTGAGCGACTGTCTTTTTTTCTCGTTTATTTATATTTAATGTCACACGTTTACGATTGGTTAAACATTGACCTTCCAATTAGTCACTCGATAACGCCACCCCCAGTCGTTCTCTGTAAAAACACCTGTGCCAATAGAAACCTGCATGGAGCTTCAATCACAACTAAATTATTCCGAGCTACGTCTACTGATTTACTTACTAATATTATTGCTGCCATTGCGTGCTTTTGAGTTTATACACTCATTTGTTTTATTTCACCGGTAGTACGCTTTTATATTGATTGATTGATATGTGGGGTCTAACGTCCCAAGGTAGGTAGGTAATCAACTTTATTGATTCACGAAGGAATCATTTGAGGGGGGGTGTGGTTGGGGAAGTGGAATCAGGATGACGACAAGCCCTCGGGCCGCTCTAGGTGGCCGGACACTGCTGTGCTTCGGCGACCCTTCTGGCCCAGCTCACTGTCCGGAGCTGTAAATCCGGCTGCGAGCTGCGCAGAGCAGCCTCCCATCGCTCCTGGTGTTCTGACCCTTGCCGCGGAGGCTTGGGTTTGTTTGGACAATTCAGAAATATGTGGTGGAGGTCGGCTCTGGTGCTAGGACATAAGTTGCAATGAGGCGATGTTTCGCCATGTGTAAAAAGGGAGAGAAGAAAAGGAGTCGTTACTGCGGCCGTTTGAAGTCTGCGCCACAAAGCCTGGTCACTTCTGGAGAGAGATTTATGTGGCGGGGGATACGTGAGGCGGGAATTTCGGTAAAATAGCGTGATATCGTTATAGCTGAGGAGTCGATCCATGGCACTTCGAAGCGAAGGCAGGTCGCTGTGAGCCCGGTTGGCGAGTGCTCGGGCTTGGGTGTGAGCGGCCGTGTTGCCTGGGTGTCCACAGTGCGCAGGGACCCAGAGGAGGGTGATGAGGCGATCAGGCGGAAGAGATGATTCAAGAATTTTAGCAGCCGGAGAATGAGTTCGGAAAGTGGCGAAATTACGAATTGCAGTTTTTGAATCAGAAAAAATATACTCTGCGGAGGAGTGAACAATGGCTAAAGCAATTGCCGCCTCCTCTGCTTCCAGGGATTCTGTCGAATTTGGAAGGGACACACTAGCGACCAGTTTTTGAAATCCATCTACGACGGCTACCGCGAAAGCTCGATGATCTACATATTCGGCCGCGTCTACATAGACTGCGGGAGAATTAGGAGGGAAGCGCTTCTGAAGGGACTTCACTCGAGCTTCCCGTCGTGCCCGATTATGTTCTGGGTGAGTATTTTTGGGGAGTGGCGGGATTAATAGGTTGCATGCTAACAGTGACGGGAACTGCGTGCGTGGCCGTGGTGTGACCAGGAACGTTGATTCCAAGTCGGCGCAGGAGTACCTGTCCTGTTTCTGTGAGTGATAGTCTTTGGTATTGGCTGAAAAGATTCGCCTCTACAAGCTCTCCCAGAGTGTTGTGCACCCCAAGTTGAAGTAGTTTATCCATGGCTGTTGATTTAGGGAGATAAAGCGCAGTTTTATAGGCATTACGAATGAGTCTGTTAAGTTGCCCGATCTCGGTAAGTGACAGATAGAGGTAGAGAATAGAATAGCTAATTCTGCATAGGCAAAAGGCCTGTATGAGGCGGCGTGTGTCTGCTTCCCTCATGCCGCGATGACGATTGGATATGCGCTTAATGAGGGAAGCTGTATTTTGAACTGAGGTGCGGATTAACTTTATGGTGTCAGCGTTCGAGCCATTGTCGGAAATATTAAGGCCTAAAATATTGATTTTATTGACCCTGCGAATAGGGGTGTCCTCAAGCATGACTTGAATGTGACATGTATCTTGCTTTTTAAAGTCAATTACTAGGGGTTTCGATTTAGCCGCCGAGCAGGTGAGCCCAATATTGTTGGCGTGTTTAACAACAATGTCAGCGGCCAACTGAAGCTTCGATTCGATTTCGCCATGGTTGCCAGTATTGACCCAGATGGTGATGTCATCCGCGTACAAGGAGTGATTAATGGAAGAAAGTTTGGCAAGTTCCCGCGCTAGCGGTATGAGAGTAACGTTGAAAAGGAACGGGGACAAAACCGATCCCTGGGGCGTTCCCTTGCTACCTAGCATGAAGGGATCGGTTTTGAAAGTGCCCAACTGTAGGCAGACGGACCTATTGCTGAGAAAGGCAGAGACATACCTGTGCGTGCGAGAGCGTATACGTTTAGTTCACGAAGAGATTTTAAAATCGAGGAGTGAGAAACATTATCAAAAGCCTTAGTCAAGTCCAATGCAAGGATGGCTCTGGTGATGTGTGGAAAAGTAGGATTTAGCACGTCCTCCTTAAGCTGCAGCATGACATCCTGAGTGGAGAGTCCCGCTGGGAAGCCGTACATAGTGGAGGGAAACAGTTTTTCTTGTTCCATGTAGCATGTTCCTTGCATGTAGCGATTAAGACGATTGAGAATTACATGCTCCATCAGTTTTCCTGTACATGAGGTAAGAGAGATCGGTCTCAAATTATTAAGGTCTAACGGCTTATTATGTTTGGGTATGAAAGTCACCTTAACTGACTTCCATTCCTGGGGCAGCGTACCCTGCTCCCATTGTTGATTCATGTAATCGGTAAGAGCTGCCACTGACTTGGAGTCTAAACTTCGGAGTGTTTTGTTAGTAATTCCATCTAGTCCTGGAGCAGATGTGGTGCGAAGTTTGCTTAGGGCAGCCCAAACTTCCGCCTCAGCAATTGGTGCATCCAAGTCTGCATTGGGAGCTCCATTGTAGGTAGGTAACGATTCTCGCCTTGGGCCAGCGAAATAAGTAGTTTTAAGAGCAGTTTCAACGTCTTGCCCTTGTTTTTCTACTTCAAACAAGAGTTTCGTAATTCGCTTATTACTTTCACATAGCGAGGAGCATGGATCTAACACATGGCGAAGCAGGGACCAAGAGTTCTTCATACGTAGAGTACCGTCGAGCCGGTTACATATCTGGTTCCATTGCTGCGATTTCGGCCGCGTGTTCAGTTACAAGCTGGAGTGTTTGTGACATTTTGCGTTTTAGTTTACGATCATATTTTTGCTTGAGCCATCGTTTCTCCAAGCTCTGATAGGCCTCCCATAGGTGGAGTAGCCTGCTGTCTACTGGATCACGGATATGTGCTGCCGGGGCTACTTTTTCGTTAAGAGCTACATCCTGTTTAAGCTGAGACGCCCAGTCTTTGTAGTCTTGAATTTCTTTTTTCGGGTTTCGGTCTCGGATTTCGCGAAATTTATCCCAGACAACAATACGTTTTAAATGAAACTGTGGACGAAAATTGGCATGGGGCAGCGTAATTGTTAGGATGTAATGATCACTGCCGAGGTTGACCCCACTGTGTGTCCAGTTAGCTTGTCGCACATTTTTAGTGAAAGTAAGGTCAGGGGTGGTATGTCTGCTCACACTGTTGCCAATTCGTGTTGGTAGCATGCAGTCAGTGACTAGAGTGCACCTGTTTCGCTGAATGTATTGAAGAAGGCTGGTGCCCTTCCGAGTGTTTCTCCTGTAACCCCAATCTACGTGCGGGGCATTAAAGTCACCCGTTACAACTATGGGAGCAGAGTTTGCTATTTGGATGGCCCTATCGATTGCTTCAAAAACAGCAGTGAGGCCATCTCTAGGATGAGAATAAATATTCAAAATAAAATATGTGCCTTGTCCTGTACGACGTGGGAGAAGTTCAAGAAGAAGGCAGTCACTGTAAAGATCGGAAAGGTCATGCGCTATAAACGAGATATTCCTCTGTATATATGTGGTAGCCCATGGGGAGCTAGGATGCGAATGTACAGCCTGATAGCCGAGGAGTTTGCAAGCTTTTAAAGGCTCCTGTACGGAGATGACATCAGGGGCCCGTGTAGACTGCTGTATATAAAGTGAGAGGTTGTCTCTCTTGTTTCTTAATCCACGGCAATTCCATTGCCATATGCAGAGTGAAGAGGGTGAAGATGAGGCAAGGGTGCAGGAGGGGGTTATGGCTGCGAAGGCGCTGGAGAGGGTTGAGATTGTGGGAGAGATTCGAGTCGAGCAACTAACACGTCTAGAATACTCTCTATCTTATTGAAGCGTTCATCAATTTGCGTAAAGCCTAAATCAACCTTTTGTTTGAGTTCCCGGTGTTCTTTCCGAATTTTTTGACTGGTGCTTTTAAAATCGTCCTCCGATGACTCGAGTTGCTCTGTCCTTTTCTTTTTTGCTGGCTGTGGAGAGGAATCTATAATGTCGGTCCCTGACTCGGCTGCCATATCAGGCTCTATGACAGAGGGGGAGATGGATAGGGGTGGAGAAGACGCGGGTGGGGCAGTTGTAAGTGTACTTAAACGTTCCAGCACCAGAGCCAACTGTTGCTTTAACTCTTGATTCTCTCGCATTAGACGTTCGATAGTCTCCCGAGTTTTAGAATTTTCTTTAGCGTCAGAGAGCATACAACAGGAGCAGGAGGCTTGCTTTGCCCAGCTCACCTTTTCGGGTTTGCTGCTGAAGTCGCGGCTTTGTGATCCAGTTCGTCCAGGGCTTTTGCTTTTGCTGCTACGGTTTCGTCCAGGACTCTTGCTTCTGCTGCTACGGTTTCGACCAGGACTCTTGCTTCTGCTGCTACGACTTCTATCGTCGATGCTTGAAAAAAACTCCTCGAGCTGGAACTCGGGCTGCTCCTGCTGGTACTCTTGTTGCGGCCTTTGTCGTGGCCGAGAGAGACGGCTGACGCCACGCTGAAAGCGTTGCTTGCATGCCCTGTCACCCGTCTTGTGAGCGTCCCCACAGATGACGCACTGCGGGGTGCATGGATAGTCCTCCGGGTGTTTCTGTCCGCAGCTTGAGCAAGTGAGGCGATTTGGCAAAGGACATACACCTCGTCGGTGGCCGACTTGTCTGCAGTTTAGGCACGCTTCCACCTTCGGTCGAAAGTTGAAAACGGCGTAGAGGGTGCCAAACATTTTGACTGACGGAGGAAGCTCCTCAGCCATGAAGTGAGTGAGCACTGAGCGTGAGGTACGCCCCATGTCCCTTGCTTGTACTATTGGTAGAAGGAGATTCGCCCGACGTAATTCTTGAAGCAAGTCCTGAGGTGACTCATCATTCCAAGCGCGGTAGATGATCCCTGCCCGTGCCCCGTCTGGGGGAGCTATGTACGCGTGAAATCCCAGTTTTTTACCACGTAGCGTGAGTTCTCGTATTTTTGCATAGTTGGCAACTCGGTCGGCGCAAGATGTGGACACGGTGAAAATATTCTTGGCCAGATTGGTGCACACAAGATCTTCGTCGGCAACCACAGAGTGCAGTCCGCTTTTGGCGACTACAGCCACTCATAACTCTACGTCGTTGTATTGGGCCAGATCTACGCCCGCACTCGGACGAAAGACAATCTTGAAGTCGTCGACTGGCAACCGTGGCAGTCGTTTTAAGCGAGGACGCGCCACAGCTGTGTTGTCGAGCTTTGAGGAAACGCTGGGCGGTGATTCCGTTTTGTGTGCTGGCGTTTCGGCAGCTGACGCCACTTTACTTGACTGCGTTCCTTCAGTTTCTTTTGACTGTTGTCGAGGTGAGCGTTGTCGGGCATTCAGGACTACACTCCATTCTTCTGGGTTGAATTCTGTGGCAGGCAAATCCGTGCCACTCACCATGTATGCCATTGCGTTGCCGAATGAACTTGTGCACGCGCGTCGAAGCGCGAGCCCGACGCCGGTGCCGGTGGCGTTAGGGCTAACGAGGCGGCGTTCCCCCGCTCAGCAAGAGTTGATGTTTGCAAAGCTCCTCAAGAACAAAGAGGTTTGAGGCACTCACCAGCAGCGTCGGCAACTTGCTGAAGTTCAAGAGAGACCACTGTTGGCACCAAAAAAGCAGTCTTGGTTCGACAAAAACTTCGTAGAATACGGAACCCATGCGAGGCACACCAGCCTTGCCTGGCCCCCTAGCGGACTCTCCCCAAACCAGCATATGATTATGAGAGACGCCGTAGGGGAGGGCTCCGGAAATTTCGACCACCTGGGGTTCTTTAACGGGCGCCCGAATCTGAGCACGCAAGCCTACAGCATTTCCGCCTCCATCGTAAATGCAGCCGCCGCAGCCGGGATTCTATCCCGCGACCTGCGGGTCAGCAGCCGAGGACCTTAGTCACTAGACCACCGCGGCGGGGCGACGCTTTTATATGCAAAATACTTTAAAATTTTCCTGTGTAACAGAAAGCTTTTGTCCGTATACAAGTAAAATAGGGTAGATTCCATTCGTGATAGGCTACTTCAAGTACTTCCTATGAAAGGAGATTCAACAGTGTTTTTTATACTATTTTTTCAGTGATGTCTGCCAGCGTAAGTCATTTCAACATTTTTGAATTGTGTCAGGTAAGTATAACAGATGGTGGCAAGTGAAGGAAATTGAACAATACTATATGCCGAGGTGCCCGAGCAATTTTTATTTTTTAATTGCCAACTCCGTGTCCTTGTGTGCCGGTCGATAACAATCTTTCCTTTTTATCAAACTGCTTCATATTTGGTGGCTTATGCGTATCACGAGCAGGAGAAGCGTGTTGTTATGCAAATCCCTTTTGACACCGCAGGTATCGAGCTTGGGGAGAGCTGTTCTCGCCACGAGAACTGCGAGGCGAACGACATCAATTCTTACTGCAGCCACTCCATCTGCCGCTGCAAACCACTTTTTCGTCGAGTCCTGGTGGCAGCCGAGAATGTCACCCGCTGCCGAAGAGGTACGCTCTGAGACGTTTTCGGGGACAACTGCACAAATATTCCGAAAAAAAAAAAAAAGAGTTTGGCGTTCACACGGGACGAACTGAGAAGTTTGCACATGGCACTGCAACCGCTTTCTTCCCTCGTAGAAAGGAAAGCGCCCTTTTTCGGAGTAATTGTGGTCATGCAGAAGAAAATGTTCGCCATATTATTTTGGAGTGCGTTAAATACGCTAACGAAAGAGAAAAATTAAGGAACAAATTAGCAAGTTTGGACAGACGGCCCCTCACTATAAAGAAATTACTTGGATCACGGCCTGAGATGCATCTTAAGAAAAATGCAAACATCTTCCTGACAGACTTCTTAATGGAGACCGGACTGGATAAGCGCCTGTGATAGACAGCCAGGGATTGATATATATGAATTTTGTAAGTGCATGTACTGACAGTAGAAAATGGAGGTGTGCGTGTGAAAAGTTTGACAGTGTGAACTGCTGCAAGCAAACTGTGCATTGGCATGATATTTGAACTGTTTTCAGTGTGCTATTATGTTTTTTTTTGGATTGTTCGTTTTTGAGTACCATTCAATACTCTTTTTTTTTTGCTGCAGAACTTATTGATATGGAGTATCTGAGGCAATATGGACCTCCCCACGGTAAAACTGTTGAAACAGAACAGAACAGAAATATACGCGCCGTGTAAACATCCAATCGGTGCCTACATAACCCCCTTTCCTTCAAGGTGGTGCCGTCGCGGGGTGAGGTGTAGTGGTGCAGGCATGCTGACTCAGTGGTCGTGAGTTCCAATCCCGTGTATCTGCTGTAGTTTTTGTGAAATTTATTTCTCAATGTGATGCCTGTATATCTAATATACATATATTCACATACCTGAACTTGTCAGTGCCACAGGTGTTTGACAGTTTATACCCAGGAACGGCGAGAGCACACATGGGTGATTTTAAGAATCGATCGTTAAGAAAAGCGGGCATCGCCAGCGTTTACCCGACGAATGCAAAGAACAAATGTCATTGTCTCAGCAGCAATCGAAACCTAGCATTATACGTGGCAATGAAGTATTCTACCACAGAGCCGCGACAGGTCTCGGAACTACCTTTCAAATATTCCCCAATGTTTGTGAAACGCCAATTGTGGTTGCAGTGCTGGCTTTCCACTTTTATTAACATTACGTATGTACTCCTAAAATGTACCCGTAACGTTGGGTTAACATCAATTGTACCCAGGTGTCATCCGCTTAAATTTATTAGTGCAGCAGTGTCCGGGGCTACGGCCCTCGCGAGCAGCAGCGCTTTATGTCAGCATACTTCTTCTGGCGTCGCTAATATCAATGTTGCAGTTGGCATCGTTGCACAGGTGCAAAGAACTGGTTATATAAACATCTGCAATGCTTATACACATGTCTAAGCGTGTAGAATTTTTACATATATTTAGTGTGATTTTATAACGCGTCGCTCAATAAAAAAAATGACAACATGCATGGTCAGCTTGCATGCGCATCATTCGCGTAACATCAATTCCCAAGGTAAGTGGGATCTGTTTTCTTAGGTTCTGCAAAAAAAAAAGAAAGAAAATGAACGAATAAGTTTTACAAGAATCGCATAACTTGCGTGTTATGGCGGCAGAAGGCAGGCTCATTTTGTACATAAATTCAGTCTGTAGGTAATGCTGTGAGCGTTTCCCTGGTGCAGCACTGTGCACGGCGTGCCTTTACGTCATGTGTGACGTATTCGGAATGAATACTCTGGTGTGCGCAGGCATCGAACCCCGGGAGGCGTGCTACAACGTGGAAGACTGCAATGGCCCCAACGCCACCTGCTACGAGGGCCTGTGCAGGTGCCGCGAGGGATTTTACAAAGACGAGAACACCGACGACTGCAGGCCTAGTGAGACTTGTTCAACACATTCGAAGCCTGTGGTGTATACGTTCGCCGCGTCGTGTGGGCTTTCGTGCTTATACAACCCCGGCTCTTCAGGTTTTGCACATGAACCTCATAATAAAGAACAAAAAAAGAAACTATGCATAGTAATAGTCGAATAGCGCTGGGGTTGGGCAGACCTCCGCCCATTGTAACCATAAAATGACACTTTTTCACCCAAAGGATAAGACGAGGCAATGGCTCGTGCACTATGACCAAGCTAAGGAAACATTATTTTCAGTCGGCATTTTAACACGAAAGTGTTTTGTACCGGGATCCACCAAAACTACATTGTTGTCATTTCGTTCACGGATGTGACGTTAGTAAAATGCATGGGCAGATGACAGAGAAAACAGAAGAAATAGTTTCGTTGATTTGGGTGATCTGGTTTCAGTTTAAAACCACGGACTTCTCGGTCCGCGGTGACAGATGCCGAATGTTTTAATGGCGGTTACGCTTCGCAAACTCTTCTTAATATCTTCTGCAACCTTTATCTTTCACAGTGACGTTAGCAGACACAAATGCAGTTTTTTTCAGTAGCGTACACATTTTTCCTACTTGTTTACGGCAGCCTCTCTCATAATCTACGTTATATAGTCTAGTCACGGTGATATGGTGTTTTCGGTGTACGACTATACTGCTGACCTGCATGTCGCAGGAGCGAATCCAGACTGCGCCGGCCGCATTTTCGATGGAGTTGAAAATACTAATTAAAGGCCCCAGTAGTGCGCGATGTGAGCGCACGTTAAAAGCACACAAGACGGTAAAAATTTCCGGAGCCCTCCACTATGGCGTCTCTCATAGTCATATCGGAGTTTGCGAACGTAAAAAAAAATGGCATTGTTATCAACTTGTGCACCACTGAAAGCACGTGCCATAATTTGTAATCGAGATGCCGAAAGCACTGTGAAGGAGCCTGCTTCTTCGGGTAAACAAGCGCTCCTTTCAACGTGTTAACAAGGTTTCTGATCGGCCTTGCTGGTAAAGACCCACTAGAGCTTACAGCGCACTCTGACACAAGCACGAAAAAAAGACACACGAAGACAAGCGCCGACTTACAACTGAATTTTATTTCGATGGGACGCACATGTATAGAATGGCACATGCAAAGAGTACATGCTGTCGAATTCTTTTGGCAATGATAACAGGTAATCTTTCATTATGTCACTCGATGTCATGCGCACGTTTGTTATCATCGCGTGAGATAAATGATTACGTGTTATCGTTGTCAACCGAAGTGTATAGCGCGCCTGCTCGCGTTGACGCAGCTGTATACAACATCACTGCTCCCGTTGGTCATCAAACTGTAATCCACTACTAAAAATTGCGGGACCCTTAAGCTTCGCCTTTAAGGGTTAAGAATTAAGCGGTGATGACTGCATTATCCCGGCCTTTTTCGTCGTAGTTTGATGGCCTCCCAAATGCGCCTACAAATCACCGAATGGGCTCGTTTTCGTCGTGACACCTGTCGAACGAAATGCGTTAAAGGGACTCCCTCCACTACATGGAATTTATGTAGTGTTTTTTTCCCCAAAGCAGCTGCAAATAACATCGTGCCTTTGTGGCAGGACATCTGCTTGCCACGCGAACGGCCCGGTTTCGATCCTCAATTGGACTAAAAAATTTTCTCCTTCATTTTATTTGCTTCTTTCTTGATTTTTCGCTCACGGAAGATTTTTTGCTCACACCCAACGGTGTCGACGCCGACGGCAAAATTTTAGCGACACGAGCTGTTTAACGCTATCGCGTTAAAAATATTTCGGAAACTCTCTTCACCCTTTCCAGGGCCTGAGTGTTGCTATAACTGTTCCCCGTGGGGGCGAAGTATACTGGGATGGCTACGGGACACTGAGGTTGTTAGAAATCATTCTACGGATGCATGGAACGTCAAGGATGAGGCTTCTGTATAAACGCCTGTTCGTGTGTAAATAATGCCAGTGCTTTCTTCGAGGTATAGTGTTAACTTCACATCAAACATCGGCCAACTACCGATATTAATGAACGCTGTGCATTAATTTCTGTTGCGAATGGAATATTGGGAAGTACATATAACACCGTTGAGTTCGTGCAGATGATGGCTCACGTTTATAATTTTAAATAATGCCATCCGGGCAGATCGCGCTCGTGTACTACTGTTGGTACGTTTGGCAGGACAGTGAAGACGTCATATGCGAAGAAGTTTCCAAGATGCTTTGTTATTATGGGGACTTTAAATTGTCATGAGAGCATTATCTTCAACGTCCTTCAAAACTTTCAGCGAGAACGAATCACAGCAATACCTTTAGGAAACCAGTTAGTCCACAAATTTGCTCTATTTCCTGACGCGATTACTTGTGGAATAACTTGTCCGAGGAAGTTGTAAACTCTGAGTCGTTGGCTTCATTTACAGAATATATTGTAAATAATACTTTTTCTTGATGTATGTGGCCTGTATGTATGTGTATATATGTGTGTATATATAAGTATAAATGTGTAGGTGTGTGTATACTGCTGATCTGCTATGTTTTTCGACTTGTTAATTTGCTATGTATTACTTTTTCAGCTGTGCCAAGACTGCTGTGCATTCGTATTTATTTTCTGTTTATATTTTTTGTATTAACTCCTGCATGGACCCGTGAATGGCCTGCAGTATCTGTAAATAAATAAATAAAATACTAAAACCAGTAACAGAAGGATAAATCTTGAACATTTTCTGTACGGCAAGATCTGCTAAATGTTCTATCGTGTGTCTTGTAATGTGGCGGATGAATGCTTTCGGCTCGTTTACATCCACTATAGCGCTTTTTTCTCCATTTCCGTGCTGATAATAAGAGTCATAAATGCTTTCGTAAAGTTTACCGTAAAACGAACTTACGCTCCATGCTGTGCGCGACGCGGTGGAGTGATGAAATTTTTTCTACAGGGCGGTACCTGGATGAGTCGTGCGCCCAGGACTCTGACTGCGAGAGCCTGGTCAACAACTCCTATTGCAGCAGCGACCGATGCGACTGCAAGAGCGGCTACATCCGTGAGGGCACACTGCTCTATGAGCAGCACTGCGAGATAGGTGAATACCGAGGCATATTCCTATGTTGTTGTTTGCACTCATGTCGCACCGCTTCCATATAAGAGCATGAATTAGAAGTTAATGGGGGTTTTCGAAGTGTTTTTTTAGTGCCTACATAAGTGCCTATTTTGGGCTTTTCTGCCGAAATCCTTGTAAATGCTTACAATTGCCTATACTGAAATCCCCCCCTATATGAAGATTATTTAGCTCGTTTAGAGTGCAGATCGAGACTGTTATTGATGTTACTGGACATTCATGTTATCTGAAATGTATGAAATTCCACCTCCTCTTATTCACCCAATTTCCGGCAAACAATAGCCAAGGCGGTGTTCCTGACGGCAGCCGCTCGCGTGTGCACGTTCAAGCGGAAGTCGCCGCACATATCCATTGCGCCAGAGCCCATCGTCACACGTCGGCGAACATGGGTAGAAGCTGTTAAGTGTTTCAAACGCTACTTTTCGGACGTCATATATAGTCGGGATTAACGGCTTTTTAGGTGGTGATTGAGTGTGTTACAATCGGGGACGCGCAAGCTGTCTGAACAGTCCGCAAGGAGACCTCGCCCACTTGCGCGCCAACATCCTGTTCCTCGGAAACACTATCACGAAACTTCACAGTTCGGGAGATAATTCTGATTGCGAACATTGCGCTAATTATCCATGTACAGCAAATAATTGCCGCCGTTCCTGCTGGACTAGTATACGAAAAGGCTTGTGTGAAGTTACCATTGTTTTTGTACTAGAATGAAGGACTTTCTATCCTCTTGGAATTTTAAGGATTCCATGCAAATGAGCATTCAGGATCACAGTGTCAATCAAAATAATCGAATGCTTCCGATTACAAATGTGTTTCAACACCATCTGCCGACGACGAGCGTTCCTTCTCAGCGTACGAGCTTAATTATTATCAGTGGCGGGGTGTACAATTTTCAACCAGATGGGGGTATTTTGCTATTGTTTTCACATTTTTCATGGTGATTTATAGACCATACGTTCTGCGTGCTCTCCAGACTTCTTTAAACACGTGCACTGCAGATGGGCGGAAGTCTATATTTGGCAGTGTTGGGAGGCCTTGTCTGCCCAATTCGGATAATGTCATTGTATAAGAGAGAATTGCCAGAATAACACCTAACATTCCTTATGTAAGCACCCGGTAATTTATTTATAAACTGCTTTTTAGTTCATCATTAGTATGCATTGGTACAAAATTCAGTTTCGCTTCAGAACACATTCGCGGCTCTAAATGAGGTAACGGCGTTGACACAATGAATGATAATCTGACTAGAGTGCAGTGAAAGTTGGAGGTACAGTCTCTAGACGAGACATGGGCAAACTATCCCAGGAGACAAAATATCTCCTTCAGAGGTGACAAACCATAAAAACCTCAATGCAACAGACAGAATAGAGCTAGCAGAGCTCTCGAAGTTAATCAGTAGGTGTAAGGTATAGCCGACATAAGGAGGTATACCATGGATAGAATCGAACATGTGCTAGAAAGCGGAAAAAAGTCGCAGATTTGCCGCAAAGGTGAATCAATGAACGCAATATCAACAAGTTGGAAGGCCACGTGTAAAATGGCAAGCGGATCAAATCGTGCTCCGCGTTTCTTGCGCACAAATGACGCACGAAACGTACTCGCAGGTACAGATGAACGCGAATAAGCGTCTCAGTTGTTACTTCGCCGTGTCTAAAAAGCGCGCCCTTTTCGCGAAAGAAGGCGGTGCAACGATTGCAGTGACCTCTGTGCACCCGGTAACAACAACAGAATCGCTCCGGTGAAAGCCCAAGGCCAGCCAAGACGTACGATTGTCCGCATCGCGATATAAGCGCATGCGTGAGAATACACCCTGCCCCCTCTTCGCGGGGCAAAGTATACGCGTAAGAGATGAGAGCGCGCGCCTCCGGACGATGTGGCGGCACGCGCTCATTGCGCGTGCCGCTGGCAATGCTGAAAACACGATAGTTCCACCCGAGATGCCCGTCACCAGCGGTAAGTGGTAGATATAAATAGCATGCCGTTTGAAAACTGAAGGAGGTGCTCCTTCGTGGCTCAGTGGTTAATGCCTCGCATTCACAATTCAGAGGTCCTACGTTCAATTCCGCGCGCCGGGGTCTTTTTCTTTTCTGGATTATTTTTTTCCAGCGTTTCTATATATATATATATATATATATATATATATATATATATATATATATATATATATATATATATATGTGTGTGTGTGTCGAGTGACGGCGGCGGCAAAATCCGGTGGTGAGTGTCCATATCATCGCTATCGCAATAAAAGTCTGAAAGTTGCGAAGGCAAGCTTGTGCATAGGCAATGATCGAATGTATTCATTAAAGGACAAGGAAGGCAAAGTCGCAACCAATATGGATAGGATAGTTGATGAGGTGGTGGCGGAGGTCTACAGAGAGCTGTACAAAAGCCAGAACAACCAGGATGATTGGTTTTGGGACGTAAAACCCCACAAATCAATCAACAACCAGGATGATACCAAGGAGCAATTAATAGCCCAGAGGAATTGGACATCCTACCAGTAACGACAGGGTAAGTAATGAAAGCTGCAGAAGGAATGCAAAGAGGCAAAGCCGCTGGTGAGGATAACGTAACAACGGACGTCCTGAAAGATGGCGGAGAAATGGGGTTAGAAAAACTGTCCACCTTATGTGCGAAGTGTCTCTTGGTGATATGGGTACCAGAATCTTGGCAATACGCCAACATCATCTTAATCCATAAGAAAGGAGACGTAAAGTACTTGAAAAATAAAGGGCGATCAGCTTACTGTACGTTCTATACAAGCTATTTCCTGCATGCCTTTTAAAGAAGAACTCACCACTTCAATCCAACAAGTAACCTAGTTATACCTTAGGATTACGTACAGAGCTTCTGGAGGCTTTGCATGACGACCCGACTGTACACTGTGAATTTTCTCGCACACTCGCAAGGATGCATGGAAGGTGTACGTTGGCCTGACTGCCAACGCTGCCGAAAACAGAAGGTCTTACCGTGAATTTCTGTGACGGAAGACACCGCAGACAAGACCAGCCGGGCTTCTGCAGCTCATCGAACCAACTCGGTGACCGTTCCAGCATGTCGGGATCCCAATTACCGACAGAGGTACCCAGAGATTTCAATCACTGACAGAGGCACAGCATTTAGCCAACCTGACTCAGGCTATCTTGAGACACAGCCATGCGAGACAACCGCTGAACCACCGCCTACAAGCCACAGAGCGATGACCTCCCACAGCTATATAAGTAACACCATAGCCAACATGTTGGTCATGTACGTACGTCGACGTCGAAGACAAGACGTAGGATGCCATTCTGGCACACGTGACCTTCTCACAATGCAGCCGTCTAAAAAACGACGCAGTTGATGCCACACAAGTTGTTGTACGGAAGTGACCCGGCAACGACGTGATACGCTACCAAAAATTGTCAACGAAGAACATCTGGACGTTGCTGCCTATACTTGCAGCGTGCCGTAGAAGTTCGAAAGCGCACCCACCGCCGTATCAAGAACCAACAGAGGGTCCACAGTTGTCAATTCAACCTTCGGTGATGCAAAATGGATTACCGACTCCGCGGCCGTATCTAGATCTGTGCACCAATTTGACGACTTGTATACTTTGTGTTAGACGCGGGGCACCAAGAATTCAAAATCCAGTCCTTTAATTTTGTCAAAGGGGCCCCGCCGTGGTGGTCTAGTGGCTAAGGTACTCGGTTGCGGACCCGCAGGTCGCGGGCTCGAATCCCCGCTGCGGCGGCTCCATTTCCGATGGAAGCGGAAATGTTGTAGGCCCGTGTGCTCAGATTTGGGTACACGTTAAAGAACCCCAGGTGGTCCAAATTTCCGGAGCTCTCCACTACGGCGTCTCTCATGAACATATGGTGGTTTTGGGACTCCACATATCAATAAATCAATTTTGTCAAAGGGCTAAATGACAGCATTGCTCTGCTCCAGCACCAGCACTGTAGACATGCATGTGCGCGCCTTCGAAGGCGCAAGCCGTGTCAGCTAAGTGTGACACCTATCTTAATCATTTTGATGGAAGTGGGTGCTAAAGGTGCCCTCACATATATACTAAGACTATGAACTTACGCCGACACCTTCCAAATTGGTGTACGCTTTTAATTCAACAGTACATGGGAGGAAGCTCTAGAGTAGCCTATTAATAGAAAATATAAAACCAAGGGCGGGCAAGCAACATAACGAAGCCTTATCTTTCTCTCTCTTTCTCTCTCTCTCTTGTAATCACGTCAAATTCTGAGCGCAAAATATATTGTTGGAAATACTATTCGAATTTATGCATCACCTATCGTTCTGTATGCTTCCAGACTTTACTACTTTTCCCTGTCTTTTCGGGAAACAACATACCTTCGCATTTGCGTTGCAGATAGGGGAGGACGTGGGGCCTTGAAGATCCTCTTCGCCCTCATGCTTCCGGTAGTCGTGTGCGCATTTGTTTACCTGTACAGGTGAGTTTTTTTTTCTTCTAACTAATGGGTGGCTTTTGGTGTCATGAGTGAATTGAGACAGATCGTTTCTGCGGTGATTGTTGAACGTTTGTGAAATAGTAAAATTTTCTATGTGACAAAGATCTGTGCTTCTGGCTTGTGGATGTGAGGACCGTCCGATGTCTTGATGCCACGAACAGCAGCGCTATCAATAAACCTCTTATATAGACGGACTAATAGTTGAGAAACAACTCACCAGGTATCGGTAAATATCGCGCGTGACTCTCGAAGTCGACCGCAGACAAGAACACATGGCTAGCAATTGACAACGCAGTTAGATGACAAATTGACAAATCTATTAGCGTTTGTGTCTTTACTGAAATGCGTCTTCAACGCTGCAGGAAGCCTGGCATTGACAAGATTGTGTGGGAAGTGGGCCAAGCAAAGTGATAATTATCATTGCAGGATCAAGGCCCCTCCCTATGATATGCACGCATACATAGAAACACACACGCACGAACATACTTTAAGTATAACTACTTCTTCCCTGTCCCCACAAGGCAGTCATTCATCCGTGCTACAGGCATTTTACGTCATCCTTATAATTTTAAGTACTTATAGGTTGTACCCGCCTTAAGACGGGCACAGCCATGCATTAGCACCCTATACACCTTACAACCATACATCAGCACCCTATAGCTCACATATTTAACATATCATTATAATACACAGACCACTGCTATTTTAATGCCATCTTTCTTGACGCTTTTCATTCAAGTATGAACCTAGCGACAATATAATTTACATATCATCGTCAGCAGCAGCAGCTTAGAAATAGGGCGGTGGCAAGCCCGAAGGAAGCGCGGAGCTGGGCAGCCATTTTTAGGGGCGAAGCTCCTAAAGCCGTGGCTGTGTTCTTCCTAGTTCGTGGTACGTGACCGCCTAGTTTGATGAATCACTCAGCAGGTGCGGACGGACGGACAGACATACGGACGGATGAACCGACGTCCACGGTTGATCCGCGGTTTACCGATAAAACCCTCCGAAGCTTCGCCCCACTCATCATCACTCACTCCGTGGATATACCGCGATTTTTTGGTTTCTGTTTGTTCCTTTCTTTCCTTCCTTTTGTCCTTTTTCTGTTAAATGCCATTAAAATATATCCTTTATTATTTTCCCTTTATAAAGCAACCCTTCCATCCAAACTTTGGGGAGGGGCTAGGGCACCCCTCCCCTCCCTGGCTACGAACCTGGCAAGAGCAGAATTAATTTCATGAGGGAAATCTTTTTTTCCGGGATTTTTCAGTTTGGCACGCCGTCATTGTCCGTGTCAACAGTAAAACGCTGTTGCAGGGCCTAACCTGCAGCTTGTTTCTTAACGAAGCAAGCGGGAGGCAGATACATTTAAGGGGGAAAAATGTCACCGAACGTGGGTTTTTACCTTAAATATTTTGAGAGGCCTAGGCAAAGGAGGTTGCGAGACGAATATTTTGAATAGTTCACTAATGAACATTTTCGCGTTTATTTTAAATAAATGAGTTGTGTGGTCAACAGTTCGTTTTTTCCGAGTGATTCAAGCTGTGGCAAACCTGTGTTTTCACGGCGAGTCGTCTCAGGCATAGAATTTTAGAAAACTCTATGGTCGCAGGAACCGCAAGGTTAACCAAGCCAACAAGAACCAGTCCGAAGAGGAAGACCAGCAGTCAGCAGCCTCGCCTGCTCCGCTGGGAACGTACTCCACAGATACGGGAGTAAAGTGTAAGTTATTTTCACACCGCTCGCTAGAGCCTGAAAAAAAAAACAGAAAAAAAACGGCATTGCTCGTTGTTGGCTTAGATGCTGTTAGGATGCGGTCATGTGAGTGTCGTTGTCGAGTACCCCTGTCAGCCACGCGGGCGCGATGATCTGCTCGTTGTGTCACGTGGTCTCAAATTACGGAAGTAATTACAGAGCTTTCAAATGCGGAGGACATTAGGGGGCCGGGCTGTTGTAGCTTGGTGCCACGCAGGCAAAACCGCATCTAATGATGATGATGATCCTTGTTATTCTGGCGCACACCCTCAAAGGGGGATCGGCCAAGAAAGCGTTGCCAGCTGTAGCGCGTGCTAGCGCCAAATATTGTTCATCTTCTTCGAGCGCCCTGAGGATGATGATAAAGGGGTGTGCTGACACAAAATTTCGTGGCCAAGATAGCTTACAGTAGCACGCCCATATTATCTGCAAAACATGGTTACGGGAAAGACACGTAGCCGTATTTTTCATTGGTCAGGCGAGCACCACGCACGGTCGATACACTCAGCTCGGGCCAGTTTATCTTCTGTCGTCTTCCTCTTGGTCTATTTGGGCGCGATGCCACTGGCATTGCCGCGGTGGCAGAAGCACTGACCAGGAACTTCAAGGTCACAGGTGTTACTTGACACGGTAACGTCCCATGTAACGAGACAAAAGCTTTGCTGGTAGGCTCACCCGACAGTAAGAGGACCAGAGTAGCTCCAAGGTACAGGGGACGAAATGTGCATCTCGATGTGAATCATCGTACGGACGTCGTTGGCTGCACCGCAATGCCGTTAGCCGAGAGTGGGCGAGCTGGCGGGCATGATCAGCCCGCGCGATCACATCGTGGGCATACTCACTGGCGGACGAAGCCGTTAAACCCCACATATCAATCAAGTATGGACCGAAATGACTGTGTCCTGTGGTAAAGTCGGCTCTCTTCGGCACGATAGGTAGATAGGTGAATAGATAGATAGGTGATAGAGAAGGGCGAAAACGCATGCAGTCACGGTGGTCCGGCGAAACGTGCTATCTCCGTGAGAGTGCGGGTAAAGCGTTCCACGAGGCCGTTGGTTTGAGGGTGGTAAGCAGTAGTCAGTATGCGTTCCTTGCAACGGGTGTGCAGGATGTCGGTGATGACTAGGGGACAAAATATATTCCCCCTTCCCCAATAGCGTTATCCGTTTTTTTTTAATTTCAGTTTTTCAATTCACCTAAACGCCTTTCACAGATAATTGTCATAAGCTTGTCTGTGCATAGCGCACCTGCGCATTTATTCGATTTAATAAACATGCAGATCGGGTTAGTTGGTATATCGTGACAGAGATTTGCTAACCAGATTGGTAGCTAAGGCTGCAGAAATGAAACGTGGTGATTTTGATTGTGTTAGTGCACTGTTTATCTCGCTTATAAATAACTTCACTTTTTAGGTAATGATTGATGATTGATATGTGGGGTTTAACGTCCCAAAACCACCATATGATTATGAGAGACGCCGTAGTGGAGGGCTCCGGAAATTTCGAGCACCTGGGGTTCTTTAACGTGCACCCAAATCTGAGCACACGAGCCTACATTTCCACCTCCATCGGAAGTGCAGCCGCCGCAGTCGGGAATTGAACCCGCGACCTGCGGGTCAGCAGCCGATTTTTTAGGTAATGTGTTAGGAAGTAATGGATGAGTGATGACAGACGTGCTTTCTGTTTGTTTTTAAATGCGAAGCATTTCTTAGCGAACTTCGGCGACTTTGAGCGTATCTATCTATCTATCTATCTATCTATCTATCTATCTATCTATCTATCTATCTATCTATCTATCTATCTATCTATCTATCTATCTATCTATCTATCTATCTATCTATCTATCTATCTATCCGCTTACGTTTGGATGCTCTCGTGGTCACCCCCTTAACTTGGCGTGAACCAAAATTAGCATGGGAGGAAAATATGGTTTCACGAATATGACGTGCTGGTCAAGACATGAATAATCTCACAACCCCGTCACGTACGTCGTCAAACACTTCCCGCCAGACAGCTGCACATACCCATGGGCGGGTATGTGCCGCTCGTATGCGAGTATGTGCCACAGGTTTTTGACACAAAGTATCTACCCAGGAACGACGAGAACACACATGGGCAATTTTAACGCGTGAGCGTTAAGCAATACCCGACATCAGTCGCATCGACCCGACGAATGCAAAGAATAAATGTCAAGGTCCCAGCTGGAATTGAACCCAAGCATTCTGCGTGGCAATGAAGCATTTTACCACAGAGCTACGCCAGGTCTCGGAACTATTTTTCAAATAGACGCTAACCTTCGTTAAACGTCAATAGCGGTTGCAGTGCTGCCTACCCAATTTTATAAACATTACATATGTAACCCTTCGATACAACCGCCACGTCGGGTTAACGTCAATTGTGGTTAGTTATATGCGCTGAAGTTTATTTATGTAGCAGCGTCCAGGGCCAGCATTCTCGCGAGCATCAAAGCTTATCATTAGCTTCTGGTGTTGCTAATACGCATGTTCCAGTTCGCATCATCGCGCAAGTGCACACAACTGGTTATATAAGCATCTTCACTTCTTCAACATATGTCTGTGCGTGCAACATTTGCACAAATATTTAGCGCCATTCCATGACGTGTCGCTCAATAAAAAAATTGCATCATGGTCACCTTCCCTCCGCATGCTTCGCGTAACGCCGATACCCAGGTACGTGGGATCTGCCGAATTTTTTTTTTCGTTTTTTCGCCTATATGTGTTCGGTTTTCCAAATAGACGCTTAGTTGAAGTTAAGCGCTTGTGTTGTGCCTTCTTGCTGTCGGCGTGTAACTTAGTTTTGCGTTTCCCTACGAAGATGGTTCTTTGATGTGTTCCTTTGTATCTCGCTCCTGTATGTTGTGCAGCTCCCTCGGTCAACACCCCGCTGTCACCCATGCCTCCCGATATAATCACCGGCAGTCCCGTCCAAGTACGCACAACTCTGGCCTTGGACTCCAGGGGAAAGCCTCCGTGCACCTTCAGCATCATGTGAGATATTGTTTTACAGCAATGATTCGATCACGATGACATGAAGTCGAGCCGCCTTTATGATTAAGCTGAGCTGCGAAGCAAGCTCGTACAAGAGTGTTGTAACCGTTAATCTGAGAAGCTAACCAGTAGGCAAACAATGTGTGTCGTCTGTCAAGTACCAGTTTCGTGATACGTTAACTGCTGCTTTTAAACGTTTTGCAGGGTCTGATCAGCTGACTACGAGATTGACCAGCCACCGCCATCTCTGAGAAACCAGGAATTCGTGACGTCACCAAAAAATGCGTAGCAAGACTCCACGTATAGCTGGGCGGTGCTCTCATATATGGGAACTCCCGCGTAAAAAAAATTTACAACGTGCACTGCTTCCTTAGAACTAAGGTGGAGAGCCTCTGTTTGGTGATGTCGCTTTATTACATGCGAGAACGAATGGTTCACGACTTGCGCGCTCGCTTACGTAGACGCCAGAAGAGAACATCTCGCCGAGGCACGTCTTGGGCGCCGTGCCAATTTTCTGGCTAAGAAACTTTACAATGGACGATACGCGCGGGACGAATGTGAATGAGCTGTTGAGTAAAGAGCTGGATGAAGTGTCGAAACGATCGTGAAATAAAAACAGCGCCACAGGTTAGACACGGAGAAGAGGAACGCAACTGAACCTTTTTTTGAGAAGAAATCAATACCCTGAAAACCTGATGCACCTTTGCACATGCGGGACAAATATGGAAGACGATTCGTTATTATGTTATGGCGCACAGTTTAAAAGACGGACACTTAGGATGAAGAACTAGACGGACACAAGCTCAAACTTTCAAGTGAATTTATTGGACGCACACATAATGCTTTTATGAAATTGCGTTTCATGTTCTTTTTTTTTTTGTCTGTCCAGACGAGATACATGGCTGTAGCTGAGGGGGTGGTTGAGGGAGTTCACCACTCCAGGAATTGTTCAATTTTACGAACATACATAATGAATTTACCTAAAAGGGTTAAGCAGTTTCTCTTGTGTGCTCGTTCTCGTGTTGCTAAGGTATCTGCCGTGTTGCTACCTTGGAATAAGCCAGCTGCGCGCTCGTGTCATTCTCCTCTCCGAGTATTAAGCTATCGCGCTGTTTTTATTTCAAGGACATCAACCTAACTCGCCATTTTGCGTCTAAAAGATGGGAACTGTACATACGTCATTAACAACCCTACGAGCACGACCACATTATGCCTGCCGTTTACTCCTCGTATATACCCCTGTTAGATGAGACTATAGGTCGAAGCATGACTAACGCTTATAAGGAATGCCTATTTTTTTATCCTTGCGACATACGATGATGCTTAGAAAAACGTGGCAGATTGCACACATTGCTTTTCGCTGTTAGATGCTCGATGTTCCTGTTTACGCGCGGTTTCAGGGCAGCACTTTGAGTGGGGAACCCTGCATATCTGATAGAGTACAAAAATGGCCGGGGAAATTTCAGCGCTGGCTGTCACTAATTAAAGAGGAAAATTAGTCTCTCTCTGTCTTTACAGTGACGGATAAAAGGAAACTTGCCGACTTATTGAGCAGCCTAATCGACCAATAGTGCTGGCCTACAGTACCGACTGAACACTGGTATAGCTTAAGGTTTTTGCTTCATATACCGTAGAGGCCCTTTCCTGACATTGCACATTGGGGCACAGTCATTACGAACTGCTTTTGAAAGCACACATTCCAGCGAACTTGCCCTAAACAAACGCAAGCGTTGCAGGTGGTAAAGAAAAAGGTTAGAACACAGTTACTGATCCTTTTTAAGTGAACAGTACTTCTACAAACGTGTTATGGTTTGTTGCAGGTGCGTCATGCAAAGTGTGGCAGCTTGTCACAACTACGAGTGACATTATGAAGTGGCCAGATATCTGAAACGTGTGTGTAACATGTATTCGGAGCGGGTAATCTAGCTGCAGGAGGATGTAATGGGCAAGGATTGTAATAAATCTTATGAACAGGAACTGCTGGCAGTCCTTTTTTCTCGAGTGATCTTAGGTTTAGCTGTACTTTATTATTGGTCTTGTTCAATGATGTACTTTCGAGTTTGATGTATTCAAATATACGTAGGTATACAAAAATGTACCATGCCAACGGCAAAAGGTAAAACGCCAGTGTTGGCGAGGCCCTGTTTTTATGAGATGGGCTGTTTTATTTTGATAAGACGCACAATCTTGATCCGGGTTGCAAATGCGTGATGCATATTTTATGGAAGAGCAATCCATAAGCTTTGGGTAAGACAGTCCGAGTGCTTGAGAAAATGATTGCGCCAACCTGATTATTTTTTGTATTATAGGGTGGCAGAAATGTGTGTGCCTAAGTATTCAAAAGTGTTACATAAGAATTGTGTAGGTGCTTATTAGCAGTCGTATATTACCAACGTTTCATTAGGAGTGTTAAGAATAATTAATGCTGTTAAAATAGTTTTGCAACTGTCTCTGTGGCTAACATTATGTCCTAAATCACGCAATATTTATCAAATAGAGTAGAAGACTTGAGTTGGTTACCAACTTCAATAATGCAAACTTTAAAAAAAATATACTAACTCATGAACTGAGTAGTTAGATACCACAATTGGGCTTGTGTTAATCGCCTTAAAAATGTTATGACGAGAATTCAGTATTTAGATGCCCCCATGTGGCTCGGATTAGGTATAACATTTAGAGAAATGGGTTCTCTGGCCAGATGAAATTCGATTTAACGAAGCGATGCCACGCTCAAATTATTTCGTTAAACTAGGAAAAAGATTTTTAGGTCTTTCCAAATATAAAATTGCGACGTGGTAGCACCCTGAAAGCTACCGGATGCCTGTGCGAGTAAAAAGTCCGCAAGGGTGGCCCAGACATAGAACCGAGTCCCGATCATGTTCTCATGATGTAGACTATACATACGGTCACACCAAGCTTAGGCAGGCAGCCGATGTATGACGGCAAAAAAAAAAAAACGGCGATCGTTTGAGCCGGCTGATAAGCAGGAAAGTAGCGAGGCTTCAAACGATCGGCGCAACAGCAACGAAATAAACCATTGTTCTGTTCCTGTGGGAGAATTTACTAGGACAATAAAGCATCGTCGTTCCAAGCACCATTTGCTACGGAAAAGCGCTACCGATTGTTCATTTCCAGTGTTTGGTGCATGGGAGCGTCTTCGGCATCGTGAAGCTAGAACTGCGCTACTCCATGTTTGTGAACAGTGGTGGCTGCCGTCGGCATACTCCCCTTGTAGTTACGTCGCGGTGTGTAGGCTCCGCCCAGCCCAAAGCTCGCTTGAACCAGCAATATTGATGGATGCGCTGTCGACCGGACATGTCTCATGATGATGATGCTTCCAAGTAACGGAAGGTGAAAGCGAGTTTATGCGCGTGTCTGATATAGCAATTTGCTTTACGTTCGCTAATGACTACATGCTTTTGTATTGAAAAGCCAACTTTCTGTCAGCTTCACCACAGACACCGAGTAGCCTAGCTCTATAGTGACCAATATGAGGTAGTTATTGGATCTTGGTAACTTATTGGACTGTTAATTATTCAGTCCTTTTGTCCGTCCTTGTATATCGCGTCTTCTCATGCAGATACGATGGTAAAGGTATGATCAGCCACAAAATAAAAAGTATAGTTACGATTAAAGCTGTTAATATTAAGGTACACTGCAGACAAGTTGCGTCTCTACATAGTTGCCGCTCCGATAGAAAAGTTTGTCTGAGCGTGGCACACAGTTTTTAATCGCTCCTGGTAGGAGGCATGTCCTTTAAACCATCTTCTGTAAGCCGGTCTGCAGCTCATTGAGTCACACTCCTGTCTTGTATACTCCTGTTGTCGTCGTTTCTTACCTGACTTTCCGTCTCGTGGCACGTTCAGTCACTTTGCATAATCAAGGAAGCCTATACGGTCTTCCCGTTCCGGCATGGGCGCAGCCAGCAACTGCGGCGGACCCCGTTTGGTCGTGGTGTCTGATTGGAATTCTCCAAGCCCAACTGAAGTTTATTTCATCACATTGAAGAGATGACAATCGGTGCATCGACATATTCGCAGATTGCAAGATGAATAAATACAGAACACAACACAGGCGCTCTTTCATCTGTCCCTCCATTTTATAGGCTGTGAAAATAGATGCTGAATGACCTACTAGCCCAAGCTACCGTTCTATCGGGTTATTATTCTGAGGAAGCTAAGTTCGGGGCTGCGTGGTGGGGGACCGAACACTTCCCACCGAACAAGGTTGTTGCATCTGCACTGTCCTGAAGGAGGAGTGATAAAAAATAGCGCTGCTAAGTTCAGAAAATACGAAACAGGAACGACACAGACGGCTGTGTCTTTTGAACTTAGCGGCTTTTGTCATCCAGTATCTTCTAACTTGCCGCTACACAAGCTCATCTGAACTCATGACAACAGTATATCTTTTCGCTTGTCCGCGGTTGCCCTTCGCAGACGTTGAGTTACGAGGCTGTAGTGATGATCGCGTTCATGAATTCTACCATGAGAACAACATTGGTGTCCCTCAGCGCAGTCTCGCCGCAGAAGACTCGATTGAACGTATTTACTCTCGGGGAACCAGAGTGCTTGATCAGTCTGTAAAAAAAAAAAAATGGCCGCGTGTCTCCGTGTTCTGCTGTGAAGGTCGTCGAAAGACGATAGTCTTCTGTCTGGAGGCACTGCGTGACATACGGACGCCATCTGGCAGTGATGTGAAGAGTATTTCGGAACGCAGAACGTCTGGTAGGTGGCAGAACCGGCGTTTTAGCTAGAAATACTGTATATGCTATGTTACAGTAACTCTAGTTTTAGCTAAAGTTCCTATTTCATCTAGGGACCTTAGTTTTAGCGAAGCGTAAAAAAACACCTGCCTTTTGTTCATAGCGTTGTATTGTCTGCGCAGCGCAATAAATATTGCGGTCCTTAGAATTTAGTATCTATGCATTTTCTACTTCGAAAAAAAAAAACTCACTGCCTAACACTTAAGTACTGATGTTGCGCCTCAAGTATGCCCAATGTTCGCTTTTCGATTGACAGTGTTCGCAAGCATGGACGCAGCCACCAGAGGAAGATGGATGGGCGTTCCGCAAGGGGCTAAACTTTCGCTGGGTGGCTGAATGGCTGAAGCGTTGGACAGGAAGACAAAGGTTTTGCATTGAAGTATACTAAGAAAAAGGAAGACTATAGTCTTTAAAAATAATTTCCTTCGCCGCGAAGAAACGTTAAGGTGGTGTCTGCTCACAGCGTTTTGGGATGACATCTTGCGAGAGCCTGTTGAGTATATCGCTCACGGTGGCCCGGAGAGCTGACCAACTAATTTCGGGAAATTAATCGTGAGATGGTTCTTTTGATTCGACATTTGCTGATCGTCGTCCTGGTTTACCATTGCTCGACCTAGTCGTGAAAGTATCGCCGTACACCTTACCTATTCGTCGATGAATCTCGGTTGCACTCAGCTTGCAGAAACAAAATTACAGCGCGCACTTCTCACTTGGCGGCATGCTATGCTATTCTGCTTACTAGCCCGTTGCACGATAAGAACTGAGAGCTCTGACCCCGTGGGAGGGCGTACACCCTTGTACGTAGATGGCGCAACATACGTGCACGTCGTGTCGGCGGAATTTCATTGTTTTTTATTCGGTGACCAATGGACCTTGGAAGTAAAAAAAAAAGCCTCGTAGAATTATGTTCTTGCAACAAGAACTTTTCTTTCTTCTATAATTAGAGACACGCATCGCTGAAGTGCCCGATACATTTAACGCCTCCCGACCTGCGCAGCGTTTATGTTCTGTGCCTTGACTAAAGCACGCGCCGCAATACTCGAGCTTCCGCAGCGGTCATGTGAGTTATCTCAGTATGTATACGTTATGTAAGAGCATATGCTATTCGCTTACTAAGCAGCTTTAAAATCAGTGAAGCAAACGCCTCGTTTAATGCTTGTAGGGTGTCTCGTACCGAGCACCGGACACGTCCTATTCTGATAAGTAAAACACGTTACTTCTATACACGGTGCATTTCATTTACCACAAGTGTGGCGTATAGGAAAAAAAACATTGAAAGCATTTATATATCCAAACAATTTATTTTCTGAGAGTATGCATGTAAACAAGCATATATACAGGCAAGTACGAATATCATCTACCAAAGTTTTATAGAATATTGTTGTTCTGCATCATTTTTTTTTCTCAATAAAATAATCCTCACTCAATCACTGGCAACGGCATCGCAATTTCGTTTTATGCTCCAAGTTTACGACAGCTAATATTGACACGTACGTGGCTTTCATTGACATTGGAGGCCCGTTTTACGTTGACATATAAGCGATCGATTGTGATGGCGTTGGACCGTGCGTGCAGATAAGAAAAGCGAGACAACGTTGTCAAGTCGATGATGTGACACAGTGAGCGGAAACCATTTGCTTTGCGGGCTTTCATTGGACTTCTTCAATCATTTAGATAAATTACATTCCTTGGAGGATGATATCGGCCACAAGACCAAGTTCTCGTATACGCGCCATTGTTAGTCGGGCTGGCTGTTTTCGCGCTTAATGTATTATACTTCAACGCTTTCTGCACACTACCCTTGCGACGCATCCTATATGCGGCCTGTCGCATAAAAGACGAAAATCGATTGTCCTCCGCATTTGTAGTGTATCCATCGCTCGCGTTCGCTAAATGCCATCCTGTAGAGAAAGTATAAGAACGGAAGACTCAGCTGAGGATTCTGCTCGAAGAAAATAAGTGTGTACGCAATGTAAGAATCATGTGGTTGTCTGCGTTACAAGGAAACCTGCGCACGTTACGTAGTCGTGTGCTTTCAGGTATTTTTACTCAGGCGCATGCAGTGCATCTGACGCAAACAGTGCAAATGGAAGAAATAATTTTTTTCACTATAGCATGGAATGTGAGTATATAGCTTGCGAAGGTTCTTGATTGTTTTGGCTTAGTATTACATGGACGAAGTGATTAAGTAACTTGCATAAGATAAAAAAAAAGTGAGCGTGGCGCAGCGTATATGTGTGTTTCTATTCTATTCCCCGTCAACTTCATCCTTCGGTCGGCGCAATACAGTCATTATGCGAAACTGGCAAATTACGAATATGAGCTTTCCAAATAATGCTTGGCTAGGTGCCAAAACCGAAACCTGCTTTGAATATAAATTTTGAAAAGTTAATACGTGCGCTCTACATGGATATTCGTCTTAAGTTTTTCGTGGCTTTGGACGGAAGCGACGAAATCGCCGATTTGAAGCTTACGTGCATATTTTGGCATTGCGGTTATGAAGGGTTTTGCAATTTCTACTACTTTCAAGGGCCGCCATGCTCTTACGGGCTCGAGTCAGTTGCAGCTACGGGGTTGACGCAATTTCTAAGTTTGTGTGATTTACGTCGCATCACGGTGGACTAATCGGCGCACGTGCTCTGGGAGCGAAGCAGAAGATGACGAAGAGAGCACGTGTCGGTTCATCACTCGTTTCTTGGCCGACCTCCCAGAGTGGGCATCATCATCATCATCACCATCATTCATGACTGGGTCAGCCTGTGAGCAGGCGGCCCATATTCTTACAAAAGATCCCAATTGCACGGAAATCGACCACCACGTCACCTGGTTTCTTGCCAACATGGGGCAACCACCCTGCTATCCCCGATGCCAGTGAGCTTGGCCATGCCCGCGCGCGAACAGTCCCACGACGACGGACCTATACTTTGGGAGAAGGCACCCGGCAGCTTGATTCCCTCCTCGTCTTTATTTAAATATGTATACACTATCAGTTGGTCCAAGCGTAGATTCCTGCACCCGCAACTCTCGAGGGCTCGACCTTACGAATGGTACCAGCTCTGCTAATTAGAATCAGTAAATAGCAGCTTTTTAACATTCCGGAAACATTATTTAAATAACGAGACCTTTCGCCACAATATCCTTATCATGAACTCGCCTATAAACAATTCCGTCTATTTTTCGTTCTCGTTGCTTGTCAAGAGAAATATTTTTAATATTCTTTTATAATGTCTATGCCAGCACATCTTTTTTTTTTTGCATGGGGGATATTCATGTGCAATATGTTATGTGTGGCTTTCATTTTTGTTCGTTACCACCATTTATGCTGTAATACGTGTCTCTAGGGTGGCCAGGACACCCTCAAGCTGATTGTGTCAGTTTTTTTTCTGGTCTCCCCAACATTTTGTTGCAAATAAATCAGTAAATGAAATGCTGCATAACGGGTACCCTTCGCCCTACGGCAAGTTTATTAACAGCATAAAGCCGCACTGCCAGCCATGTGGTGGGAGACTACGTTATCCGATATGCTCTAGGTCAGCCGATAGTTAGCCGGAGTTTGCTGCAGGATCAGTTCTCATAATCATTACTCAAGACACAAACAGTGAGCAAAAATTTGTGGGCAACAAGATCGTGAGTTTGGCTATAGTTGGTGAACATTCATGTTTAACGCAAAAGTTTTTTTTTTAAGCGCACGAAAAACGAAGACAGAAGAACTAAGAATTTCACATATTAATTTGAAACAATAAATTGAATATAAAGCGTGGCCCTGTCACATTCTTAGTGCTGTCTTCGATTTTCGTGCGCTTGAAAGATTTTAGCTTTAAACGTGAGTCTACGGGCGTTTCGAAGAAAATGGGAAAGTACTCAAACCACGAATGCACATAAAGTAGCAATCATAAACTGTCAAATTAACGGGGGACAAGAAAGTAGCGTGCGTATCAAGGCAGAATTTCACGCAGCGACATGAAAAGTCTGGATTCGATTTCATCTCTTTTTTTTTTATGTAGTGATCTCCTCGAAGCTAACGGAGCACTTCTGGCCGAGGCAGGTCAGGTGAGCATGTCGTTCTCTTTTATACTGCACCGTGGCGGCACTCGCAGCGCTGGCCAATACACAAAAGGCGGGACTCCGCCAGTGTAGAGTGATGAGATATTCCGATCCGGAGGTTGAAGCTCGGAGGGCACATCCAATTCCAGCGCCGGTGTCAGACAAACGGTCTCGGCTGCTGAGCGTAACACAGCGGAGTGGTGCTCGATTGCATCAGGAGGCTGGCGTTCGCGCTTCTCCCGGGCACGGCGGTTCTGGAACCAGATTTTCACCTGCGCAGTGAGTGATGAATAAGGATAGAGAGTATTGTCGGGTCTCGTGCACCAAAAGTACAATATGACTAGCACATTCATCCCTGCACCATATAGGACATGCCCTATAAATCGGATGTAGTGATTTAGCTCAGTTAGTAGAGCATCGGACGTGTTATTCGAAGGTTGCAGGTTCGGTCGCTGCATGCCAGTGGGCAAATTATCTTTTTGTTTTGTTTTGTTTTCTTCTCATTCACGTTGCCATTACAACTAATGACGGCTGCTGTATACTTTTAATTCTTTGGCATCACTGTTTGTTAGTTCTTATTTATATTGTGTGTAACAAAAAAATGAGCTCTTAAATGTGCACTTCTTTCCGCCGTTGCTTAAAACATAAGAAACACTACGTGAATGCCGTGTAGTGTGAGGAAATCAAGAACAACTCTGTTTGTCCCTCTTAAAATAGAAGAGGCCAATGGAACAGAGGGTTGGGGAAGCATCTTCTAGGCGTAGGCCTTCTCTGCCCTTTCGTCCAATTCCATTACATGGCCTTGTAGTAGATGGAATTTTGCGTGGCAAGAACATGGAATGGCGCCAGACGTGAAAACATGATCACCAGCAACAAAATCAACAAAGTGAGCAGCGGCGCAGGTTCGTGTGCTGCCTGGCGGTTAACGGGGGTGGCCGCTCCTCTTGCCCCCGCCCGTGCGCACGTATATATGTCTGCGACAATTTATTATACTGGTCGGCTGGGTTGACTCGTAATGAGGTCGGCTGAGCTGACTGCTCAGCCGACCTCATCACAATTCAGAGTAGCTGAAGCACTGTGTACTCAGTCATCTTCATTCATTTTCAACCGAACTCGGAACAATCAATGTTGTACTCAGTCGGGCTCACTGCTTCTGAAACTACACGATCGAGCTTTCTCAGATTACGAAATTCAACTAAGCTGGGTTCATTTGATTTCCTCTGGACAGCTCGCAATCTGTCAACGGCAATAGAGAAGAAATAATGCTGAAAAGGGACACGTCAAAGGCCAGATGCTGACGAACAATGACGTGACGTCTACGACAATGGGTAATACTGAACAAAAGTCTTGTTCCCACAGAAGGGAACACCGTAAACCAATCCAGGCCACCAGTATCGCCTCCCTTGTGCGCACACCGATATTCAGCGCACCGTCTCCTGTCCATGTTATGCACGATGTTTCGCGCTGTTGCGTCCACTTTTGTCACGGCTGACAAATCCACTGCGACGTCACAAAGGACCCCGGTCAGTGCGCTCCCGTTCCGGGCGTTGCAAGGGAGGGCGACAATAGAGCGCACGCCGGCTCCCGCATATATGTGTAACCGCACAAAAAAAAATGTTTCTTCGCTTTACAGCTTACTTGTTTACGTCTGACTCGGAATCTTGACTTGTGCACTCAAATAAAAAATAATAATTCGTCGTGAAGTGCAAGGAATGGAGGGAAGCAAGAAGACGGTAGGGATATTTTAATCACAGACGCGTAAAAATAAATGAATGACGCGAGGCTCCACAAATTGTTATGGAAAATGATGAAATAGAACAAAACGTAAGAACCCTTCAATCAACGGCGGAAAATCTGGCCAATTAGAAGACGCGCCACCTGTGTCCCGCCATGGTGCTCTACTACTGATGAAGGTCACGGGATCGTATTCCAGCATCAAATATCGCATGCTACAGGCACGTTTATGCTTAGATTTAGCTGCGCATACATGCATGCGTTGACTTTTTCGGACGCCACCTATGAAGAACATGTCCGTAGATGCACCATATTAACCCATTATTGCAAGAAACTCTATAGTTTATCACACCAAAGTAATGTTATGATGCAGTGATTCATACGCTTTATAGTAATTATTCTTAATTTTTTTGATAATTAATATTCTTGATCTTTAATTTAAAGAATTCAACCAGCTGCGCGCAGCGGACACTGACGAAACGGTGAAGATGTTGGCTTACACAGAAGTATTCGCTTTGCCAGATATTTGGGTTGGTTGAATGAAATGGGATTTGAATAAGTGGAGTTGAATAAAGAGGGGTTGAATGAAGTGGGTAAATGAGGTGGGAAGAGTGGCCGGGGTAAGAGTGGTGGTGACTGGTACCGTGAGTACTGACACCCATAGCTCAGCAAAAATATTGAAACTCATTCAGACTGACTCAAGAAATTTTTTGCTCAGAGAGGCTCGGACTTGGACTCACCGAAATTTTCCTCTACCGTACTCATTTAAACTCAGACTCGCTTAAACCTTTCCTCCAGCGGCCTGCCTCTGACTGAAACTCACCACCATATTGCTCCGCCGGACTTGCTGAGACACGCGGCTTGACCTGATCCTGTGGGAGTCGACTCATGAGTCCACTGCAGCGTAAAATTAGCTTTCCCAGTGATGGTATAAATCCTCTTTGACGCCAATATCAGCTTTACGGTGCGCCTTTTGATCATGCACCTTCGTATGCGAGTTATCAGTGATTGCAAGCCGGTAAAAACGTTTGTGTGAAATGCGACCCACACAATATTTTTTTATCAAGAACTTCCCGCTAAAAAGTTTACAGGGGACGTCATGGCACCTATACCCCCCTCTAACTTACGTCTCAGATGAATATATATTGGGGCGGCGCATGAAAGCTAGTGCGTTGAAGCATGTGAGGAATAAATTTGGCTGTAAACTTAACCCGATATAAGGCTTGATGGCTGAGAGAAGAGATGAGCACGTAAGAGTCACCTACCCGCTTCCGAGCTACGACGGCAGCAGGAAATGATAGGCTCGACTAAGAACAGCCTCACCGCTCATATCTATTTATCCTGAAGCCATTCAGGTTCTGTTTTTGCATCAAAATTTGATTAATATGTGGGGTTTAATGTCCCAAAGCCAACATATGATGATGAGAGGCGCCGTTGTGGAGGTCTCCGGAAATTTCGACCACCTGGAGTTGTTTATAGTGTAGCCAAATCTGAGCACATGGGCCTAGTGCACTTTCGCCTCCATCGAAAATGCAACCGCCGCAAGTGGGATTCGATCCCGTGACCTGCGGGTCAGCAGCCGAGTATCTTAGCCACTAGACCACGGCGGTGGAGCTTTGCATAAAGAGAATCAAAATGTCAGACTGGACACTTAATGCAATTTGTTTTTGTTTACGTCCATTACGAGCTAAGAACATTTAATGCAATTTGTTTTTGTTTATGTCCATTACAAGGTAAGAAAGATTATGCATTTGACTTGGGCCAATGAAAGCGGAATGCCGAATGACTTACTCGTCAAGCACTGCAAAATGAACCTATATGAGGCCACATTTATTACGCAAAAGGTTCCATTCACCCAAACCTCGACGTATCGCCATCGTGGCTACTGGTGGCGCTGGCTGACGCTTTCATGTTTATATGCACATATATACCTATTACATGCAGAGGACAGGAGGATAGCCGCCGCGACAGCTCAGTTGGTAGAGCATCGGACGCAATATTTGAAGGTCGCAGATTCTGTGCCGGCCCACGGCAAGTTACCTTTCCGTACACTTTTCTTTCTTCACATTTACATTACATTTACTATATAATAATAACATCCCCTGTAGTTTCCTTGGCAGTGTTGTCTGTTAGCTCTCAGTATTCTTGTGTCCAGTTTCTTTGCACTGCCATTGTTATTCAAATACGTCGTATACCAACAAGCCCGCCTTGAAACTTCAAAGTGGTCATGGCGCCCAATTTTCGCTCATAATATGCGCTATGAAGGTTCGTCCTTGGCTGTTCACGAAGAAGCTTTCTAAATTTCAACGCATTTAGTCAAGAACTTAATTTATAACGAGCATGTTTCCAAACACGCGAACGGCCCGACAGTCTGAACATTGGTACACTTACGGCCCATGACGTAACGAGCCATCTGTTTTCCAAGCATCTGTATTCCGGACCCACGATATTTATTCGTGATCAACTCCGCATGCAATGAAACCATTAGAACGTCCCTTTGTTGAGCAATGAAACTCAACGTTTTGCGTCGTCTGAAAGGACGATGACTCCACTGCATGAAGTATGTGACGTCACACACGAAAAATGGCGGTCACTGGTGGTGGGCGGAATTTATAGCGGTTAACTTCTAGGACTCATTTTGTACAGTCCATTTTTCGCACATGTACCGGCACAATAGACCCTATGATCCTATACTTCACTGAAAACCTCAATCTGGTGGGTGACCGTCACGTGGCCACTTTAATCGAGTTTATAACGCATTCTTTCTTTCTTTTTCTTTTACGGGATATTCATTCCACGCGCGTGTCGAAAAGGTGACGCAATAACGTGGACGTCTGCACTCACCCTTTGCTCTGTCAGCCCCAGTCGTGTGGCGACGCTGCTGACCTGCGCGCCGCTCAGGTACCGGGAGACCGCGAACTGCGCCTCCAGCGCCGACACCTGGGCGCCCGTGAACGGAATGCGGGGATTGCGGCCCACGTAGCGTCTCCGTGGAAGCTCGCGTCGTCTTGCCACTGTAAGCAACAACAAAAATAGCCTATCTGTTCACATTAATCAAACAAGCTTCCCGCAGAAACAATAAAATAAAATAGCGTATCTTTCACTGAAGGCGAATATGCTAAAGAGATGGCAAGATCTAATGGGCACCCGTGTATAGCCCTGGGCTTCGTTGTATTGCTTAGTTTTGCGAATGTTCTATTTTATTCTTCCTCTATTATCTCTTTGTATCTATATATTTTGCTGTGTTTATTTCTATATATTTTCCTCTCTTTACGTCTATCAGTTCTCTTCTTCTTTCGTCTCTTTTTCAATCTTCCGCTTGCTCTCTCATTCCTTCTATTTTTTCTATCTATCTATCTATCTATCTATCTATCTATCTATCTATCTATCTATCTATCTATCTATCTATCTATCTATCTATCTATCTATCTATCTATCTATCTATCTATCTATCTATCTATCTATCTATCTGTCTGTCTGTCTGTCTGTCTGTCTGTCTGTCTGTCTATCTATCTATCTATCTATCTATCTATCTATCTATCTATCTATCTATCTATCTATCTATCTATCTATCTATCTATCTATCTATCTATCTATCTATCTATCTATCTATCTGTCTGTCTGTCTGTCTGTCTGTCTGTCTGTCTGTCTGTCTGTCTGTCTGTCTGTCTGTCTGTCTGTCTGTCTGTCTGTCCAATTTTGTTTTTTTTTCTTTCTGCATTTTTTTTTCTTTTTTCAATCTTTCTGTGCTTATCTGCTCCTCCTTTCCTTCTCGCTCACCATCCCATTTTCACTTCCACTTTTCCAGCCCCTCGCTACACAATACTGTACAAGGCTTATGATATGCGCTGCTAGAATGCATGGAAAGCCGAGTGGTTAGAGCGCTCGCCTTCGGATTGAAGGCAGGTGGGTTCGAATCCCGAAAGACAAATTACGGCGAGCTTATGACCGGCTTTGTGGTTTAAAAAAATGACAATAAAAGTAACCATGCTAGAGTTTTTAGCGATCGTTTTAATGTTTAGTGATAGTCGCATCTTCTTATTCTTCATCCTCATGATGTCAAAAGTTTTTATGGCTTCATTAGCCCATTTTGAATTCCCAGGCCTTCAATTCTCTAAATGCACTGAAGACAAAAAAACACTTGCGACTTTGTCACACCTTCCGCGAGCCGCTAAAACACGCTAGCGCTGATGTTTTTTTTTTTTTCATCACCCTGTTCTCACAGAAGTCCTGAAACTGCTAAGGCTGTACATACACTGTATTTGGGGACAAAAAAAAAAAAACAACTTGAACGAGAGTAGGATTAGGCGTGTTGGTATAACACAATAAAGAGTGCTTAACAGTGCAAACAACAGGAGGGGATAGAAGAGACTTCTTTAAAAAAAAACTTTTTTATCCCATCCTGTCGTTCGTGCTGTTAAGCACCCTTTATCACGAAAGAAAAAATCATTTATTTCTTGGTGATGATACTATACGGGTGCATGTCTGTCTGACAATGTCCACAAGTGTGCTTTGGCAAGATGACTTGTGAGACCTACTTGTGTGACACTGATTTTTCAGCAGACTTTCAATGGGAAATGTGCCTTATTAATAATAGAGCTTAAGGTTTACGTCGCGCAACTAAATGCGTAGTGGGGCACCTGGCGACAATACCAACTTGTATTTATCGTAAACAATAAGAGACAACCCACTGTGTTCGCTGCCGCAGTTGTTAAAGCGGCTCTCGCATGTATACTGCGAGTGCTCATTCGGCCTGCTGCCCCGACAATAAAACCACATTTGCCCCACCCTTCTCAGAGATCGAAGCTGTTACAGGATGTAGGAACATCTCGATATAATTAGCCGCCGCGCGCTCGAGTACGCACGTTTTCTAGCCCTGATAAGCAATTCTTCATCAGATACTTTTTATTGGAAAAAAAAAAGATACAGGAAAAATGAAAGTCTTTTGTGGTGGTACTCCTTTTAAAGCGTCATGCAACATTTTTTTAGCATCGCCTGAAACACTTCCATTCGGTGGTCGAGGCTCCTGAGAGAACAAGAGCCTAACATTATCGCGCAGCACATGACCTGTAATTTACGATAAATTGCCAAATTTAGCTAGAAATCATTCACTCTTCTCTCGACAAATGAGGCCATAAACCAAAATGACCACGCCATAAACCCAAAGTCTTTGGCCATTGGCTGAGGAGCATCGTCGGCCCCACAGTTACCCCGGACTCCGCGGGATTGCGTGACATGTATGTCCGAGCACTGGCTCGCGATCTCACTGAAGTGAGCCACGCGTTTCAAGGAAAAAAAAAAAGAAAGTGCTCAAGGTCATGACACATGCCTGAAGTAACTAGTTTCTCCCGTGTTGTGCCTCCCTGCTTTCTGTACGCCGGGTGAGAGACCAGAGAATGCTTACACCATGCTACAAATCTCTGAGACTCCGCTCGTACTTGAAGTATTCCTAACCTTTTTGCGGCAGTCTATTAGAAGGGCAATAAATTCTTCACTCGACTGACTCGAACTCTTTCAGTGACTCTACTCACTCAGTCGTACTCATCTGAGTCAAGCTCACTCAATGAATCGCCTCAATCAGTTCGGCCAAGATTTGGCTACGCCTTGTTGTTCATTAATTTTAGCCGGCTACCTTTGCCGCGCAGACTGGGGCATTTATTCCAGTACTTTATGTGTTCGAAGGGGTTGCTGTCACAGGTGTGGTCACATGTGCCTCCATAAACGCGTTTTTCTTTCGAGTATTCGAGTTTCACGAACCTTGAAAAAGAGTAATTCACAAGAGTGGAAGCTTGGGCTAGTTGGCGTGCAGTCATCCTGGCAAGTTTTCTCAGCGTGCGAACATCGAAAGAAAGGACAGCGCTCTTTCTGTCTACTCTGTCGTTTTTTGCTATGTTCGCGTGCTGAGAAAATTTGCCAGTTTGAAAAATACCTTCATGAATCACTATGCGAGAACCACTGGCCTGCGTATTCTGTGTCTGCGCGAGCGGACCTTTTGCGAAGTTTAGTGTTGTTACGTTACCGGACTTCGCCGTACTTCTGTCATTTATGATTTATTTTAATGTACATTTCCTTCAAGAACTTGAGTTCAAATTCTCAAGAATGCTTTTGAGTGCTGTATTACGAGATTTTTTTTTTAGTGAACTTGGCTGTAGATTACGTACAAACGAGTTTTGCGTCAACGTATATATTTTTCTTTTAAATTAAAGCAGCTTCGCCCTGTGGTGCCAAACCCGAAGGAAGGGCGAAGCTGGGCAGCCTTCTTTCTGTCTCTTCGGTTTGCTCTTTCTTTCCTCCCCTCTTCCTTTATGTTTAACTTTCCAGGTTTTCCAGATTTTCTTTATTTAAATTTCTATTTTTCTTCCTATTCATTCCCTTTCTTTCTCTTTTTCAATTTCTTGCGTGCCTCCTCTTTTTTTTTTCAATTTTTATACGTGGCCTTATTTAAAGTGCTTCGCCCTTAAAATCACCGTCTTGGTGCTCAAAGAACAAGAACTTTTTGTAGTGAGGGCACGCTCAATACGCTACACATGGCTCTACTATATGTGTTTTGCCTGCGCTTAAATCATCTTCAAGGAAGTCGAATAGAGGAAGAAGATATATTTAGCGTAAGCTCGCGCTGCAGCTGGCTATGCTCGCGGTGTCGCCTGTGATACGCCATGCAACGATGACAGCATACGACAGCCTGCCCACCCCTCCCCACCCCCATAAAGTTGCCAACATTCCCCAATCGTTAAGGATCTAGCTGTGCCAAGTATGCAAAAATTTCTCTCACTTGGAATCTTGGGAGGTTTGTAGCGGCTGCACTGAAGCCACTCGAACTTCGCCACTTGATCCTGGTCCTTGTCGCAGGTCCTGGCGAACTCGAAGGCAGCAGGCCTCGCCAGGAGGTCCGCTCTGCCGGTGACCGGTGCTCGCGTAGCCGAATAGTGGGACGAGCCGGTATTTGAGCTCGGGTTAGAACTCGACCGAACGCAGGGCGAGAGCAATCCGTTGATGGAGAAGTCGGTCTTCTTCGCAGGCCTGAATGGCGGTTGTTCGACGCACGTCCTGCCAGTGTCGCTACCTTGGTCATAAGTCACACCGGGAGTTATCGACCTCGGCGATGCTTGTTGACCACAGTTCAAAGGTTTTTCGCACGTGGAGGCTACGAATGGTTTGTTCGAATCGGTCGACATTATAAATCGAAACTCTGAGATTAATGCGAAGCGACTGACTACACAGCTGTAACCAAGGACGTTCGTTGTTTCAGTTCCAAGGGTTCGGTAGCCCGATCCCCTTTGGCATCGGTGTGTCAGTTGCGGAACTTCATAGGAACCAGCTCTTTGTCACGGCCTGTTAATTGAAAGAGAGAAAAAAGAAAAGTGAGAACGCGAGCGTTGTGGCTAGTGAAATGCAATACTTGGATATCGGACGGTGAGAAGCCCCGTTTGAATTTTTTCATTAGTTTATATATTGCATGTTTATTGACTTCATACTACAGTCCGAGGACCAAACAAGCTTAGCGGATATTTGCTAATATTACGCAACTGACAGCCGAACATGATAAGGGCGCCTCTCAAGGGTGTAGCTAAAAGGGTTTCACATCCCAACCCCTGAAATTTTTCGGTTCTACTTGCGTACATTGCAGACACACATACAAACGCACATACATAAAGTAAGGTTGAACACTCCTCCCCCCTCTACTCCGAAAAAGGTATCTGGCTACGCCACCGGTGACTATTCACCCCGAGATCAGGCTGCGGGTGGCAGCACCCTATAGTGTGGATGGGCGGTGGGCGGCGCACATACAAAGGTATGCAGCGACGCTCTTTTTGTCGGTGTGAGCCGATTGTCGGCAAATAAACTGCTGTGACCACAGCCTACTCGTAATGTGTGTCGTCAACTGCCGAATAGATGCACGAAGCTCACTGAACGGCAACTTGTGAGAAAGACGCGAACTGCTACAGAAAGGAATGTACACGCTTGGCGACTGCATGTGTGTTTCGCACTATGCCACGTCTCTTGATCTTTTGCCTCGCCTACTACCTACACACTGCTGTAGTGCGGCTTAATTCATTCTTTGCTTCATGCATGGCAGTCTTGGATACTGAAAAAAACATAGAAAGAAAAAAACATTATTTTGGGCGTTGAGCTAAAACAACCGCGAATACGTATCCGCATTACTAATACGGAAGGGTTTCATACCGAGGCCACCAAGGCTCGAGTGACGTATTTCCGTCACGGATATGACGTTCACAAAATGGCTGCATATGTATATATCACATTATAGCTGGGGGTACTCTCTGTTTCCGTTGGCGCCGGGGCCGTGCTGTGGCGCTGTCTGTGAGCGATGAAGAGAAGTAATGCGGCGTGACACTTACCGGCGCCGATACAAAACGATTCGTCGACGACGCAGTGAAAGCGTTGTGTTCGAAATTGCTCGCCGTCGAGTGATCTCGGAGGTCATGGTGAAAGCACCCTGATAGTATAGCAACAAACACTGTCGGGCTAGCATCGAGGTGTCATCCTGGGATCCATGGTGTGAAAAAAATTTATTCGGGGGCATCAAGTTATGGTCACTCGATATGTTTTTTGCCTTTCGCTTCTTCATGTTCGCGTGTGGCGGCTTGTTGTCGGAGCAGTGCATGCAACTTGAACATGCACCGACAGTGTTTCTCCACCACCAATCGTTTCGCACTGACTGGCAAGCGGTGCAGAAAGGCAATGATGGGCGAATGTGGAGTCGTGGTGGAGCGAGACGAAGGCCAACGGGAACGCCTGCGCGTGTTCTCGGCTCAAGCTATGAACTTCTGCCTTCCGTGAAGCGCGCTGTGGTAATTGATGTATGTATGAGCGCATAGGTTACCGCAATACTCGGGGGCACAAGCCGTCTCTCTCTCTCCTTAATTTACGATGCTTCGAAGAAGTGCATACTACCAGTGTTCATTACGTGTTGTTTATATCTTTGCGCGCGATTCCCGATACGCTGTGTCCACGTGTATATGTTAAAACGTCTAATTACCACAACGATTAAATCATGATAAGTGTTACTCGTCGCGAAGAAAATTTGCCACCCAACGTGGGTGCATCTATGTCAAGTGGTGCTGTAGCTTCTAAAGACCTATAGACATTGTTCAAAATATCATGATAACAACACTATAAGCAATTTCTTCTGTAAGATCACTTCTTTATGCCGATTCCTATATGACGGTCGGGTCAGTCGTGTTTTATTTTTTTCCTCTCATTTTTTTTTCATTCGCCCATTTTTCTTGCTCGCAATTGTTATTTTATTTCTAGTTTATAAGCGAATTTGCAGTGAATTTTTTCTCAGATGTACATTCTTTGTAGGCTATGGTGTTAACATAATTTCGATGTTTTCAGTCACGCGATCCTTCCGTTCCGAGGTTGCCGGCATTTCTGCCGAGTCGAATGCTACATAAAGAACTTTGTTGCATTTAACGGAATTTCAAAACAACTAGTTGGTCATGACGGTGATGTGCCGTAGAGTAGCCCTTTATGAATCCAGATAGCTTGCTTTATAGCTTGCTTCGTATCCACTGTAGACAAAATTTTAAAAATGAAACACGCCCAGAGTAAAGATTGTGACGTTTTCGTTTTTAACAACACTTGACTGGTGATTCGAAGGTCGCAGAATTGAATCCTGGCCATGGCGTCTTCGTTTCACTGGAGGAGAAAGGACAGAATGCCTTGCACTTATATAGATTTAGGTGCAGCTTTAATAAGAACCCTCGTAGTCGGAATTTACGAAGTCCACTACTGCGTCTCCATATCGTGGTTTTGGACGGAAAAGTAGAGAAATTATTATTATTATTATTATTATTATTATTATTATTATTATTATTATTATTATTATTATTATTATTATTATTATTATTATTATTATTATTATTATTATTATTATTATTATTATTATTATTATTGTTATTAACAGTGCTTTTACCACTAGACAGTATTCCGTCGAAATCTTGACTAGACGGTAAACGAACGAGCAAACAGAACCATGCACCTTACCTTTCCAGGTCCAGTCCGTCTTGCTTTCGGTTCTGCCTTTCTTTCTCCGGGGCCTCCAAATGTCGGTTAATCCTGCTGACCGATGAATCACTCACACTCACGCACGTGCCTTTTTGAACACAGGACGCTCGCAGGTTCCGTTAAGCCTATAGCGAGGATCGACCAACGCTAATCCAGGGGACCACCGCTAATAGGCTCTGACCAAGGAGCACTAGCTTGCGCTTTTACGGCGAACCATCCAAATTCATTCTCGTGCTCTCAGTACATTTAGTTCTGCGGCGGCTCGCGAACAAGCCAAGCCGTAAGCCTGTACCTGAGCTCGGTAACGGTGAGCCGCCCCACGCCTGACCCCTTATCCTCTTAATTTAGTTCAAATTTCTATGCGCATTATTGCATGCCTAGCTTTTATTTTGAACACATGGCGTCTACCGCTGCGCATGGGCCTCCTTCAAAAGCATGCAGTCACTGCTCACTGGCCCTCCCAACCATAGGCGTGCGCAGGGCTTCCCATCTGGGGGATGGGTGTTGTCACAGCACCCCCCTTTCCTACTAAGTCAATTTATGCGGCAGACTTTGCGCCCCTCCTCACAGGTAACTAAGGAGAGATAGGCGCCCCCTTGCCCCCCCCCCCCCCCCGTGCGCACACATTTGTTCCCCACAACCGCGATTAACTTACCGTCGTCAAGATGTTTTACTCACTGCTCATCTACACTTAACTCCAATTCATGTCCTCAAAGCAAGCAATCAGCCTTCTTTCAAATTCAAATTTGTAGGAGAGAAAGAAAGGCGGATGGAGGCGGGGCCACTCCGCCTTTTTGTGACACTTATAAGCAGAGGTTATGCCCATTTGTTTCTCTCTTTCTCTTGTCTGTAAAAGAGTTTTTTTTTATTCACTATCTCACGCACACCATTTAAAACGCCATTTGCTCGTTGGGTGGTTTCTGAGTGGAGTGCCCCATAATCAAGATGTGTGGCTTGAATAGTGAAAACTTGATGGAACTGTTTCGTTCTGCAAGTACCACGCTGTAAATTTCAGTGTGGATAACAAACATGGCAAACTCACTGTCCCTTTGAAATGACCTCCTTTTTTTCCCGCTTCCCCCCCCCCCCCAATTCCCCGTTTAAATCCCCGCCGTTCCCTACCAACGGCGACTTTTCCGGTCTTTTTCAATATATGCCTTTTTTTTTTCATCTTTTTCGTCAGGGTCTCGATTTAAAGACTCCATTGGAGCCTAACGATGCGATGTATAATGTATAGCGACACCAGCAGCATGTTCGGCCAAGCGTGTACGCGAGTGCGGTCGAGAGCTAGCTCGTCGTCACTATGATTCAACGCTATGATTGTCGTTGCGGCGGCGGTCGGAGGAGTCGGTTTCAAGCATTTACATACACCACTCGGGGGCAGGCATGAACTACCGTCCGTGTGCATATATCGGCTGCCAGCTTCGAACAGCCTCTGCAAAATTCATTGTCCACGCGAAGGCCGGCTTTCTCACGGTGCGACGGCGAATGCATCCTTCCCCCAGAGGGAATGCCGTTTTGGCTTGCTCGTCTCATGCCGCCTAGATCTCGGATGCTTTCGCTGCAGTGGTTTCATATGCACGCATTTCTGCTGCAAAGTGCGGTGTCGTATAGCGCTTTAATTTCATTGCGCATTGATGTAATGCAATATGCGCGTGTGAACGCCTGCAAGAGCACGCATAATGTGTGAGCACGCTTATCATGACGAAAATACTGTAGGCCCATGTGCTCAGATTTGAGTGCACGTTAAAGATCCTCAGGTGGTCGAAATTTGCGGGGCCCTCCACTATACGGCGTCTCTCACAATCATATGATGGTTCCTGGGCTGACGTTCGGCAATGCGGTCTTGTGCATGAGATCAGAAGTTCAAGCAAGATTGGAATTTATAACGTGGAATAGGTAGGCTTGCTTTAGGAGCTCACGGGAATACACCAAATCAGGGAGTGCAACGGGATGGACATCATTTGAGGGTAGGGAAGCTAGCAGCAAGATAAAATTTGAGAAGCGATTGAGAGAAATGGGGGAAGAGCGTTGGGCTAGGAAGGTTTTCAGCTACTTGTACATGAAGAATGTCGATACAAAATGAAGGAAGCGAACCAGGAAGTTGACTGGTAAATACTATGAAAACAGCAGGTGGCCAAACCATAAAGAACTATCGGTTAAGAAGAAAGTGAAGGAAACGGAGACTGACATGTGGAGAATGGGCATGATTAAGAAGTCCGCACTAGAGATCTATCAAACTTTTAAGCAGGAAATTGCCAAGGAAAGGATCTATGATAATACTCGGGGTAGTTCTCTATTGTTTGAGGCCAGGACGGGAGTACTGCGAACCAAGACATATCGGGCCAAATACGGAGGGGTAGACACAGTATGCAGTGCGTGTGGAGAGGAAGAAGAAACTGCCGAACACTTGATAATGTTCTGTAAAGGGCTTCACCCTATAGTTCAGGATGATGGCGCAGAGTTTTTCAAAGCACTGGGGTTTAGGGACCGGGAGGGCAAAATAAACTTTAAGCGGGTAGACTTAACTAGAAAGAGATTATCTGATTCGTGGCTAAAGTCAAGGCACGAGTGAAAATTAAACTCTTCACTGCAAAGTACGAATCCTCAAACTCACTTTTTAAGGAAAAAAAATTAATATAGTTTTTGGTTCATTAGTTATTACGGCTTGGTGGCGCTAGCCACCGCCCGATCTAAAGGGTACAGCCATATCCATCCATCCATCCATCTATTCATGGTGGTTTTGGGACGTTATACCCCACTTATCAATCAACGCTTATCATGAACACGAGAGCGTGGAACTCCAGCGATATTTTGACCCTAACGGCTTCACTATAATAGCGCTTCTATTTTCCGACATGCTCATGTGATGGTACAAAGAGTAGAGATGTTAAGAAAATTCAAAAATAACTTTTCTAAAATAAGCAAAGAAGTGCAACACCAATGTCCGAGCAGTATACTGTCTTCGTGTGTCGTTTAACCTGGTAAAAACAGGAGTAGTCCATGTCGCGTCAGTACCGCCAGCGTGGTGCATGAAAGCAGTGACGTGATTGTGGGGTTTAACGTCCCAAAACCATAATTATGAGAGACGCCATATATTTGAGGGCTCCGGAAATGTCGACCACTTGGAGTTATTTAACGTGCACCTAAATCTGAGCACACGGGCCTACAGCATGTTCGCCTCCATCAAAAATGCAGTCGCCGTAACCGGGACTCGATCCCGCGACCGGTGGGTCAGATGCCGAGTACCTTAGCCACTATAGACCACTGCGGCGGGGCATGAAATCAGTGAAGAGCAGGTGCTAAGAGGAAAGATGACCCCACTATGACCAACGTTAAAAGAACAAAGTTTATTCTTGGCAAGTGGCTTGCGAATGAAATTTTCCTTTCTCTCCCTTCTTCACAAATCTCTATCACAAATTTTCTGGCACAAGTTATCTCAAAGTCTACCACAAATTTTCGGGGTCTACTTAGCGTTAATTTGCATGGCTGTCAATGGATTGATTTGCTAGATGGTGTTTACGCGTCCAAAACACCATGATTGTACAAGAGACATCGTAGTAGAAGGCTCCGGAAATTTCCACCAACAGGGGTTCCTTAACGTGCACCAAACGTGCACCACTAACGCGTCATGAAAAGCAGAAAGGAGCAATCAATGAGTTTTCACCCAAAACCAGTGCGGCAACAACAATTGCCCATCTTGGAGGCTTTGTATCTTTCAAGGGGCTTAGACAGGTGGCGACACTACTCTGGAACCACTGGCCGCATCAACGTTTTGACCGCATAGAACATCATCACAGAACACCTAACACTTTGTATTATTGTATGAAATTCTATGGCATAAAGGAGTCGCTTGCTGGATTCCGTGCCGACCGGTTGTGCGCCCGCGCGCTCCGCGCGCTTGCGATCTTCGGCGTCAGCGTAGCTCTGTCCGACTAGGCTCACCCACGTCACCTCCTGCCGCCGACGACCTTCGACGACAGTGTAGCCCTGACATACTGGACCTGCTCTATGCCATCTACCGACGCCGACAAGAGCTCTCGCAAGTGTGCCCCGTCCTCGGACTGCAGTGACCGTGCTTCCATCTTTCCTGTTTCTCCTATCCCCTCAGTTTGTTGTTGCTTCTTCTTCCTCTTTTCTACACCTTTACTCCTACCCACGGTGTAAGAAGTAGTGCTCCTACCCTTTTTATCCCTCCTCACCCCCATCCCTTGTGAGCTACTGTGGCGGTGTCGCTCACTGAAGCAGACAATAACGGGGCTCACTTTTTTCTTCCTTTCTCTCTCTTAAGAATCACTCACATTCTATGGCATAAAGGATTAGTTGGTCGGCATCGCGAAAAGAGCTACGTTTTCGGCGCCACACGATGCACTAGTCTATTCCATCATAGAGTTTCATACTCTATGGGTGCTCGAGAGCACGCGACCGGGAAATTAAAAGTTTGTTTCGCTCATTCTTTTTCATGGGTGCGGCATAGCCTTCAAGACTTGACACTTGGGAGGCAAGCCTAAAGGCTTGTTTAACCTAGGACACGATGTAGGATCTTACATTGTGACCTATAAAAAAAAAAACAAAGAAAGACGAGGCGGTGCGTTTATGAAGGCTTTATATTTTGTCCTGTTTGTTGACGTAACAAGTCTCGAAGGTCATAACTGCAGCCAGGACGCAGTGACGTGCTTGCTGCGCTCATTTGGTGGAGAGCACACCTGGCGAAGTAAAATGAGATATAGTGATAAAAGTTATAGTGACTATAATATACTAGTATGAGTGTTCTGCTGCCTCTACTTACGGTGTGACGTTTTGTCATTTGTTGCGCCGTAGTTTCGCACTAGGTCGCGGTGGCCGAATCAGTACCTATGCTTTACCACTTTCGAATCGACCCATAATTTTAGCAGGGGGGGGTCTCCTGACGATAAGCATCTGCTACTATGATAGTGGAACGTTTGTTATAACGTTTAAATGTCAAGATTTTATTTTTTTGTCGCCAACAGCGTCCTTTTACTCCATGTTCTCGGCTCATCAACCCAAGGTAAGCCCACCGAAGAGTGCGCGTTTGGCAAGTAGGGATAGCAGCGTTGTGACGATTGGTGCATTGGCGAAAATCCTTATTATTGTCGCCGCGTCTGTAGCTAGGCGACCTCCTATGCTTTCGCTGGGTGGCCTCGAATACGCCGAATGGAAAGGTTCAGCTCTTTCCGATGTTTGCGACGTGAGGCGAAAGTGACGGCTTGTTGCCCCCTGGGCCCCGTCTGCCAAGAAGCCATCGTTCGCTTTCAAGGAAGTTCCATCGTTCGAGAACGGGTTGTTTTGCGCCTTTGAGCAGATTGCAAAGAACCGCCCTGTTCGCTTTGGAAGCTTCACATGTTCAATTTCTGTTCACCCGAATCGATTCCAGTGCTAGACCTGAACCCGTCGTAGGTATTGCTAACGAAACTATTCTAGGAGCTGTCAAGATACGCATGCTAAATGACTAGCTCTGTAGAAATTCTACGGCGCATGCCTGTCTCGATCGTATTCGTCGCGAAACTTGCCTTGTAATATACTATTTGGGGCGCGGTGGCTCTAGCACGAAAGTTCGCTACTTGGAAAACCACTTTCCCACTTCTGACCATGCTGGTGATTAGTTCTTTCATGAAGGTCATGAAAACTTTTTTCGAAAAACGCGTAGTCAAACTAAGGCAAACAAACAGGCCCTTGCACATTATTTTGTGCGAGGTCATCGCAGAAATGAAAGTTCGGCCATTTTATGGCCGTTATTCTCTGTTATGGCTTGTTAAAACATGCGTGACCGTGGGTAAGGCAAATGAAGTTATTGAAGAGTCAGGACGGTTGATGTGTTCGGATTGCAGAGTCACCACTTTTGCTGCAGCATTTATATATTTAGTACCGGCTCTCTCTAAAGACGTTACAGTACAGGTACAATTCATAAAAACAATCTCACAAAACACGTTGCACACCTGTGTATTTCAATCACCAATAATATTTAGAGGTGTCTTGATTAAAAGTAACTGGAAAGGTTTTTAATCTGTGTGCTCACCTTTGAGAAATGAGTGGGCGGCGCAAAAATTGTTTTAAAGTTGCATACGTCATGAACAAACTTGAAAAATCTGCACTGATGCATATTTTCGACGTGGGAACTGCACGTCACATGACCCTTAAGAAATATGGGGATAGGAACATTTTTATTTTTACACCAAAAGCTGGGCACCAAGTGCCATTCTTGGTATATTGAGAGTGTCCTGACGAAGCAAAAATCAAGTATAGCATAAGTATTATGTCTAACAAAAGTTGTATTTGCATGTAGCACCTTTCACGATTACAGACATGCCGGCTATGAACCTCCGTATTAGAAACGCTGCGCGACTTTAACTTGACTTGTCACCCACTTCATTTCAGCAAAAACGCGTTTTGAACGTGCTGTCTTTAGGCTGTGCCAAGGCAGCACAAATGCACAGACGCGTTTCAAATACAGCGCATTTGAATGCAGCGTTGCGTTGCAGCTCTGCGTTGAAGGCGGATTCAAGTGAAGTCCAAGTCAAGCAGCGTTTCTGAATATGGGGGTTAGACTCACATGCTTAGTAGACTACTATCGCTAGCAATAACGCTGCAAGCACAGATTAGGTTGGTCCAATGTCAGAGCCGTACCCAGAAAATATTTCCTGGGGTGTTTTTGTGTAGAACAGCTAACTTTGGCATCTGGTGGTTAATGTGAAGGCGTTGAAATACTTAAGTATTGCCAAAAAGTTAAAGCACTTGATAATTTTGGTGGCCTCTAGTTATGGCCCTGCAATAATGTTCATGCATAGAGTCCTTTTTCGGAGATGGCCCAAGACCTGCGGTGGCTCTGTGGTAGAGCACTTGACTGCCATGCAGAATGCTTGAGTTTGAATTCGGCTAGAATGGTGACCTTCATTTGTGTTCATTGGGATTTTTGGCCCACCGAGAACACCTCTGACACTGGCAACAAGATGTGGGTTCTTTTATGCTATCATACTTAGGTTTTTAACGGTCACTTTCCACCGACCTGGTTTGATATGCACTGTGAATCACCTGTGCCACATATAACCGCGTACCATGGGTTGTGGTGTTTGCGTATCCACCACAATTCACTGAGGGAAAGCATTTCATGACATATGCGACAGACATGTCACATTATTCATGTCATGACTTTTCCACCGTTTTCGTAACGCTCATTTTCTCCTGTTCTAATTTTGTATGTATAGTTGAAACTCAATCTAACAAAGAAATGTCCATTTCCCACCAGGTGCCCATAGGGTGCAGTGTTGTCATCCACCTGAATTACTGATACTAACTTGGCTCCAAACTCGATTTAACAAAGCTTTTCCTAATCATTTCGGCTCTGGTGGTGTCAGTTGACACCATCACTTATTTCCCACATTACCTAGGAAATGAAACCAAAACTGCTAATTTGTGGACGAATACTTCTCTAATGATCGCTATATTGAATTGGCATCAAAATTGTGGCATACTTGCGGAGCTTGGGGCCCAACGAAAAAGAAGCTTGACCGAAGTCTTTGGTGAAGCCGAGGTGCGTCAGCTAAGGCGGATAAGTGCCATTTTCGTGACCACATAAAGAAGCTGTTTCAATGAGTATCACACTGACAAATAGAAGGTTGGTTCGCATTTTGTGTACTATAGTGAGTATTGAGAGTGAAGAAGCCATTTTCTCATTTCACAACCACTGATCCCTGATGACCTAATTTGATGCCATGTTCATTAATCCACATATACTTGCTCCACTGGCTCAGTTTTTCGTTTGTGGTGATCTGAGGCCCCAACTGTTAGAAAAACTAGCGGGGGGGGGGGGGGGATTTTCTGATGAAAACTTAAAATCTGGGGCATTATAACACCGTGCTCTATAAGAGCTCCTTTCACTTGGACGAATGTCAAACAAGGGTTTTAAATGGCTGATTAACATAGGAACTAGTGAAATCTTTTAGCAACGTAGTAAAATTGAGTAGGCTTCAAATATTTTATATTTTCGTAACAAAAACTCATTTTAGGCCGTAAGCATTTTATCTTCAAAACAGAAACTGAAGAAGGCATACATACAGTGTGGTACTCAACGTTTCTTCAGCATCATTTGTCAAGCTGCTGCTAACTATTTGACACATTCAAAAATGGTAACAGGCACATGCAGCACCGTACACTCGCAGCAAAATACGACACCAGCACAGCCAACATGCCATGCTGTCGTCTCACTGGCCTCGACGAGCACCTCCTTAGCCAGAGCGACAGTTCGGCACACAGCACGTCTTGCGTCATCGTTTGTCATGCTGCCCCTAATTGTCGCATTTGAAAATGCTAAAAGGCACAGACAGCACCATATACTTATAAGAAACACGATGCAAACGGAGCGCACACACCATGTCGTCGCCTCTCTGGCCTCGACCAGTGCCCCCGTAGCACCTGTAGCGCTTTGCCGTGGTCAGAATTGGCAGCATACAAAGCTCTCCCATAGAGTGGCAAAGAATTTTCGTGACTCGTCAAAAGTATTGACGGACTATGTCGTAGGTATTGTGACAGCCCACAAGACAGCAAACTTGTTGCTGCGGTTCTGAGCCATGGGACAACAGCCCTAGAAGAAACATTAAGCAAAACTGTGGAAAAGCATAAAGAGGCTGGCACAAACACTGTCAGCAGCCGCGGCGTTCGAAATCTTCTATCACACCACAGACACGTGCGCCGCCACTAGAGGAGTTTCCATCTGCGGATAGTTAGAAATACAGCAGGCTGATAGTTGACACAACAGGTAACAACAACACACTGTTGGTGTAGAAGGAGAGCTTGACAGTACAGTTTCTGTACCGTACAGTGGATGCAACATGTTACTGTATTATGCGTTCAGCTCAAGTAATCATAACATCACAAACAACACAGAAGGAAAGCTAGACAAGGAACTCTGTGTGCAACAAGTAACCATGCCATACAGTCAATGTGGCAGAAAACTATATCAGGCTAGGCAAGATGGCAGGATAATGTAGCCAAAACAAATGCTTGGGTGAGCTGGCACATAAGTAAAAATGATAAACTGTGCATCAAGAATACAACACAAGGAAGCAAGTGTAAAGATGTACTGCCAAGATTCAAGATGGAAAGCGGTACATTTTCCTTCCTTGTGTTGTGCCCTTGGCATGCTGTTTTATCATTTTAGGGAAGTATAGTAGACGCAGTAGGCAAGAGAATCACAGAGTTGGCACAGAGAGAAAGGGGGCCAATACATTTGCCTTACTTAAGTAACCATATCATACAGGTTAGTGTTGGAGAATTCATAGCTCATTGGTAAAGGCATGTTGCCACCACTTAAAATGACATCCCCTCTCCCGCATTTTTTGTTTTTATTTAAGCAGGCTATTTTTTTTCGCCATTCGAAGCATGGGCAGATATTCAGTATTGTGGTTCAGAAAAGAAAAATTGACTCTCTATCTGGGTCTTCCTTGTGACTGCTCTAAAATGGAAAAAAAAATTGGATGTTTGGATAACTTAATTTTTTTGTTTTCTCGAAACGGGGTTATCAGTTGGTTCTCATTGTACCAAAGCTTGTTACTTTAAACAAAATCAATATTTTCCTGTGAATATTTATCCACTTCTTGCTTAGACTGGTGCAATCAATTAGTATTATTGAAAATGATGAATATATACTTATGACTTCTAAGATTTCAACTGAAATGCACAATCTTTAGTGTTTAGGCTTTATTGTATTTTTATTCGTGGCAGTGCAAAATTCCTAGTTCATTGTCCAGCCAAGTACATAGCTGTAGGTCTGCCATGCCATTTCCTTTTTGTGTGGTGGGATTATTAATGAGTTAGGAGTATTAATGTGATAGTCATATTTTCGGTAATTTCAGTACCTATACTTAGTTTCAATTTTTTTTTTACTCTGCATACTTCAAGTTCTTTTTACACTGTTCTGCCTTAGGTAGACAAAAATAAATTAATTTTGAGTTAAAATCTAAAAATATTTTTAAGTAGATGGTGATATACCTCAAGGCATGCGAGTAAAAAAATGTTCATGCTTCATCTGGCCTGCAGTTGTTCTTACTTGTCGCAATGGCTGTTTGTTCTTTTTCACACGTGCCACTGACATTGATTGGGATGTATTTGTGCATCAAGCGGGAACCACGGGGAGTCCGTGTGAGTTGGACAGCGACTGTCGCCGGGTGAGCCATTATGCGTGTCACAACCACAGCTGTGTCTGCCAGGTGGGACACCAGGAAGAGCTAGTCAATGCCAGCCTCACCTGTGTCTTTGGTGAGTGGTTCAAGCCATATGCAATTTCACAAATAGTGTTTCTTTTGTTATTGCCCCAGCTAAAGCTTACTCGAAAACTCCTCGTAGTTATGGTGCACTTTAAAGGGGCAGTGTCATCAAATTTGTGGCTTGCGTGTTCTTTGTTGCAAACGTTTCTCATTGCTCCTGGAAGCTTGGTACATGCTTCGAGAGTCGAGTATTTTCTCGGCACTTATAGTTGTCTTATTTGTGTGAGCGACTCTTGGTTTCTGGGCATTGAGTTGGACATTTACATCACTTTTTAGGAAGCTTGTACACGTGGGCTCATAAAGCTCTGACGCAGGCAGTGCTTCATTGTCTGCTCTTGCACACACACGCGAATGATCATCAGGGCGCTGAAATTCTTTAATAGTGAATATTAACGTGTGGTATTTCGGTATAATTTTAGTAACCAAAATTATAGGCACGTTTCTTTGTTTTTGCTGAGTGATAAGTGTAAAAAAAAAGGCATGGTTGTTTCCTCCATCACAAAAATCGGTATAATATGAAAGTAAAACCAACCCTTACCAAAGCGGTGAATGTTTACTGTGCATTGATATAAGGTAGCTTGCCTAATATCTTTTGGTGTTTGACAGCTGTAGCAGCCTTTAATGGAAACTCGCTCTCATTGACGCTTGTTGGTACATCTCCATCCCAACTAGAAATGCCCACGCTTTATTATTAAACAGACATTTGTGGTAGGGGTCGCAGTTAATGGTGAGAGCATAATCACAAAACTGGGGCGAAGGTTGCCTGCTCGTGGCATGTTAAAGGGTTATGGAATGCCTCGGCCCTACCCGAGGGTAATGGAATGCATTTCCTGTTGCTTCTGTTGGCCGACTGCAATTTTTCTCCGGTCAGATCTAAGCGGAAAACTCAGTGTTACAAACAACCTGAGCAAGTATAGCTCTTTTTGGTATAGATTGATGCTGGTATAGGTTAATGTTGACAAAAATGCCTGTTTTCTTTTGAAAACGTGCTGAATGGTAATGATGCATAGCAACGATGTATTGAAGGAGTTAATCGTGGTGTTGACGATCTTGATACATAAACACCCCGCCGACCAAAACTACTGTTTGAGGACAGCTTTAGATATAAAAGGTGTGTTTGTACAGCTATCAGAGCATGTTACTGCAGTGCAGTGGATAGTGCACCCGACTGCCGTTGTTGCGTACCCAGTGGTCATGGGCACAACTCCTGTTGATAGAACTTTTTTCTTTGCCATCTGATCATGAACATTTCTCAGACGTCTGACGGAAATAAGTCTTTGAAGTGTGGGTGGACCCTCGCACAAAACACTTCGGTGTTAGAAATGTTTTGAAAGGCAACACTTACAGAACTACGCTGCTGCCGAGAATTTGCATCAGCAGAGAAGTAAAATAAACCAGGTTTCTGCAACAGTAATTCTGTGCTTCACAAATCATAATAATTGCCTAGTTGTTGTCGAATTCTAAAAGGCTTTCATTATCCAAGTTGTTCAACAAAAATCTAAAAATAATTGCAGAAAAAAATGGTAATTATATTATAATCTCTGGTAATCGGAACATGTGATAACTGTACAAGTTGTATGAGTTACCGTAACATTTTCTTGCCGTAGAACAAAGAGGAAAGAAAATAATTTTGGTTGCAGCATATTATGCTGTGCTAGATAGTATAAATAAATGACTGTGATCTCACTGTTTTTTTTTTCGTTGTTAATGCCGCACTATGAGTAAATGAGAAGTGTATTCTCGCATGGTGCAGTTGGCGTGCCAGTAGGGGAGCGTTGCTTGTCAGACGAGTCCTGCATAAACCGCAATCGAACTCAATGTGGAAGCCGGCATGTCTGCGTTTGCCGCCGTGGATTCTACGAACATGGTGGTGTCTGCAAAACGGGTATGTCTTCGGCACTTTTGTTCTCTGTACTCAGACGGCCGTAAAGGGTCACATTTTTCATAGTAGACTGGCATAAAGAAAAAAGAAGGCCAACACAGTTGAACGCAGATGTAACGTTGTTATCAAGTTCTCACTTCCTGACAGGTTATTGAAGTCTTTCAGCACTTTTAAAGGAAACAAAAGGTCATCATAGCAGAATTTGTGAACTTCTTTGACACTGATTCTAAGAATGTACTTCTGAAATCGGTGATGTCAGCCTGACATGTTGGCACTGACCTTACGCTATGAAATAGGATGGGAGAAGGTTAGACTTCATATTCTAAACTGGTGATGAAATTTTTTTTGTCAGATCAACAAAAAAAAAAAAGAATGTTGATGGGTCACCTCAGTCAATTCGAGTGAGGCGCATCACTTCTTATGTCCAGTAATGTCCCTGCAGGGGTGTTAGCATCAGTAGGTTATTGGTGAGTAGAGTCACCACAGACGTAAATGGGGGGGGGGGGGGGGGGTCGACTTTCTTCAATGTCTCACACTGCATGGCTTTTAGACCGATATTCTGAAACACTGCTTACATGGGGCTATTTTCTTGCTTTTCGTGAAGAGCCCTCAATGCATCATTATTTTAATGAGTTCCTTGAAAGGAGATCAATGCTTTCAATGCAACATTGAAGCTCAGTTGTTTTATTGATGCATTACAATAGGCTTTTACATGGAAGTAAGCAATAAAAGATTGAGTAAAACATTTAGAACAAGAGTTTCAAACTTGTCTCAGTGAGTAGGTCACAGTCAAGAAATTCAGTTCTGCAAGTGTTGGGACAGTGTACATTCTGGGACTGGAAGGGAGGTGTTTGAATATGAACGAATTGTCACCTAACGTTGCCACTTGTAAGGACGTCTTTCCCATATCTAACGCGTGGGTCACTTTCGAAGGGAATTCGACGACAGGTTTTGAAAAAAATACATCAATGCAATTCCACAGTGATCAAAATCTAGATGCCAATGAAGGCTCTTTCTCGGCATCCGAAATGAAAAGGCGAAAAGCTTGCACATCTCCTTGTAGAGGAGCATGTAAGCGCGGGTGTCTGTTAGTGGTTCAAGGGTCTTGCGGTTTGATTTTTTGTCTGCGGATACAAAAAAAAAAAAGCTTCACTGTAAAAAAATTTGGGCCAGTTTGCTGGTTCTCTAAGGCTGTAAGTATGCAAAATTAAAATATGTCTTTCTCCTCAAACAATATGGGAGTGGAACAGATCGCCATCTTCAGTGTTTGATGCAACTTTAATGTATTGTTGGTTTTATGAAAATATTCATCATGGTTTTTCTCTGCATGCTGGTAGCGTGTGTAATTCTTCTTGTCTTGCTCACTTTTTGTACGTTATCACTTATATATCACAGTACATCAGCTGCTTACTTTATGTCTGCTGTAATGCCTGTAAAAGTGATGAGAGTATTGAGCCAATAAATTAACAAATTGCCACGTTGGCCAGACAGTTGCACTGCGACAGTAGTGTATTTACTATGATGCTTTTTTATGAGAGTAACGATAAGAAACAACCTCTGAGTGACTTCCAGTGGTGATGCCAAAAACAAGTAAGATTGAATATTAGGCATTGCTTCCATTAGTCTTGTCAAGGTTTCTTCTGACTGTGTGTTGCAGGGCGCAAGCTCGGCGACCCGTGTCGGTCAGATGCCCAGTGTGAAGCCGGCAGCAATGCGTCGGCGTGCCGCGGTTCCTCTTGTCGCTGCAAGGACGGCTACTATCAGGAGTCCATAGGGGGCAACAGCACCTGTGTGCCAGGTATGCCCGGGTTTTTTCTTCTAGTGCATTTAAACATTAGGCGAGGTTACAGTGAAGATCGAATGTTAGCGTTGACTGCACCTAAACCTCGGTACAGTGAAAGTGTGCAATAAATGGGCAACTTGTTTCATTATCTCAAACCTTCATTAAAAGGACACAGAACCTTTTGTGCAGAGCATAGTCACCGAAGGAGTCATTTTCACATGAAAAAGACCGAAAGAATGTTCAAGTAATACAACAGTGCAATAAGACTGTAATGTTAATTTTGTGAAAACAATCCCTCTTTTTTTTTTCTTCGAGATTTGATGGTGCTCTTTACAGCACATGTGCGTTACGTGTATATCTGAAAGAAATGCAGGTCCAATGTCCTGTTGTGATACGGGTTAAATTAAGGTATCGTGCTTATTCTGCCACTGCTACCTGTCATCAAAACCACGGGGCTTGCCAAAGATAGTGTGACGTCCATACTATGGTCACCAAACTGAACCTATCTTCCGTCAATGAACATACAAAATCAAAAACCATTAAGCACCAAAAAAAACTAAGAGCTTGTCTAAAACCTGCATGAAAACGGGTAACAACCGGCATTATGGCGCTTCCAATTATGGTAGTTATGTTTTCTGTTTTGCAACGCTTTTAAGAATCAAGCAGGACCCATTATGGCATGGGAAAAATTGGTCGCCACTATGCATTGGGTTAAAAAATGCTTCCAAGCCTCTTACCTCTATGCCAAATGTCAAACCAACTAGCCGAACCATTCACCATTTTGATGCTAAAATAAGCAGTTCATTTGCTGGTGTGTGTGGCACATTATTGCAGAGCAGACCATAGCTTGCCATGGTAAAATTAATTTTTGACAGTGTCAGCAGCACGACGAATGAAGTTTGTAGAACAGAGCATGAGAGCATAAATTGCATCCAAGGCTGATGTTTCTCGATTGTTTGCAGGCAACCCTCCCTTGCTGCTGTGCTACACCAACTATGACTGCTTCATCCGGGACCGACATCTTGTTTGCGATGGCAGGTTTTGCCGTTGCAGGCAAGGCTACCACACGGAACTTACTGCCTGGGGCTGGCGATGCGCAGGTCAGTACTCTTTTATGGCAAAGCTGTTAGTCGTATGTCAATTGGAATTTGATTGTGAGAGCAATCATACGAATGTGTAGGCTTGTGCGAATGTGAATTTTTGGTTTGAAGTGAATTCCGGCAAATAATAATTTTGGTCAAATAATTGTGAATCAAATTCGAATAATATATATATCTTATATTTTAAAGAAATATGGGTGTGTTTGTCATGACCTAACTAACCTGCTCAATATTTTTTTTTTAGTTTGAAACAGGGCCCGTGCAAATGCCATTTTTTTGCATCAAAAGAAGCAGAAACAACTTTGAATAGCAGGAAGATATTACTTTTGGTAAAATGCAATTGATAGCTTGTAAAATATGTTACGTTTTCAAATTTACTCCATGTAAAGCTTATAAGTTTGTATAACGAGCTTTTAAACTGAAGATCTTGAAAAGTGTATCAATGTGAGGGGAATATCTTTAACTCTGAAGTGGGGCTTTGTGGCAGTGCAGATTTCTTCTGGATATGTTTTCATTGCTCAGCACCACTTCACTGCAGTGAAGCCACTTCTACAAGAACTTGCATGCGAATTATCATATGGCTGTGTAAAGGCTTTCATGACTTAGCGTCCCTCCACTGCAGTGAAACCATATTCACAGGGTGTAACATGCGGACTAGTATGCATCTATTCATTCGTCCCGAATAATTCGAAAGCTTCAATAATTTAAATTCAATTCAAAGCAAACTTGAAAACTGCTTTATTTGATTGAATATTCCAAACATTCGAATATTCACACAAGCCTACGAATGTGACAAGTGCATTTTGCCGTTGTCATATGAGTATAGTTAACGATCTTATGGCACGAAAAAAAACATGAGAGAAGGACAAGTGCCATAAGCTCGTTAAGAATGAACCAACTCGCTTAACAAGTCACTCTGCTGAGTATAGTTACTTAAACATACATGAGCCACAAAAAAAAAATCACAGGATATCCACAAAGTGAATAATAATAAGTAGGCGAAGCTGTGGGATTGTTTGGTGTGACCGTAAATTACCTGTGAAATACCACTCATGTACATAAATGAAGGGCAAAGTAGTGTAAAGTTATATTGTTTATTCACCATAAATAGTTTGTTGTGTTGAGTTGTGAATTTGATTTTGCCTTGGTTATTACTCCTTTGTGGTATCGGATTTAGCCTGAAGTTGGCAAAGTCAAGGTTTGGGCACGTTCCGCTGGTGGCTGTTGGTTTTTTCCGTCATAGGGAATGCATCGTAGAGCATATTGAGATTAAGCCAGCTGGTGTTCGTGATTATCGTCGTCAGCATCATCGCTATCGTCATGGCGTATAGTGGGTACCTTGAACGTGCTGTGCCGTTATGGCAGAAAGAGAATGTCTTGTCTGGAACGCGCTTGTTCTTCATTGTCATCATCATGACGTATAGTGGGTACCTCCTTGCATGCGTTCGGCCACAGCCAACAATACCAATGGGCAAGCCTTGACCTTAAGGCACTTCGCTCCTGAAACACTGGGCGTGCGCAGAAAATGCAGCACAGTCACAGGGAAAGCTGGAAGAGCGCTGTTTCTAGAAACCAGTGCAAGCTCTCTTGAGGCTACTACTACAAGTGCGCTTGCAAGGCACCCTCTTTTCCATTAATTGATTCAGGGGCTGGTGATATGGCTGAACCTTTTGTATTTAATGGGTGGAAAGCATTCAGTGACCCACTCGTTACGTAATTCATATTGTGTGGCGGCTGGTTTCACAATTGCACAACATATAGTTGAGGGTGGCAGAAAGTTGGGTGAGGTGATGCAAGGTCGCAGGGATAAAATGCAATTTTTTCACCCAGGACAGGGTGGGGTGGAGATCTCGCAGTGGTCATAGAATGATGGGGGGTGGTGGTGATAATGACAAATGGGGGCAATGTGTGTGCTACTTGTCTTGTTTTGCAGATTCCTCAGGCTTACAGCGACCTGTTCATGGTGGGGTGGTGTCCGTGTTCAGGATTTCACCAGCAGCCATCCTTATTGCCTGCATTATATTGGGATACATGTACGTACTACATACTTTATATTGACATGCAGACTTGTTTTTTTTTTTCTATTGTGAGGGGGTTTCAGCAGCTATAATTTCATGTCTTATCGCTCTCTTAATAAATATGTTGGAAGCATCTTGCGGGTTTTTATTGTTATCCTAAGATTGCATGCATGGTGTGAAATAGTTTTTTTATTCACTTACTATTACAATGTTAAAGTCATCATACTCTTGAGAAAAAGTACAGTTGCAGTCGAAAATCACATAAAAACAAGGCGAAAACTTGAATTGCACCTAAAAATGATGTCAAAGAGCTGAAAAATGGAACGAAAAAAGCAAGATTTACCGTATTGACACGATCGATCGTTGACCGATTTTGTCCTAATATGATATCCGAAGTTGGGGGGGCCAACTTAGAATCGACAGCTAGTTTCGGATGTAAAGGCTTTTTAAATATGATCTTCGCATATTCCCCCAAAGCTAGCTTTTCTGCACAGCTTTTAACTGCTGTGAAACCACCTTGGTTCATTGGAATTCGATTTTTTTTGTTTTCAAAGACATTGTAACTAATTTTACGCTCTTTTTCTCCCCCTGTTCAACTTTAGAAGCGTCAACCTACATTCGAGTCGACTTGCAATCGTGTAAATACGGTATTCTAGAAAGACTTCCTGCATTTTTCCAGCGCTCTGCAACACTTTTTGAGCATGGTCAGAAAATGCTGCCGATTACCAGTAGAGGCTCCTGAGAACACGCGAGTCAAATATTGCAGCACAGCACGCCGCCTGCGATTCACAATGAATTATCAAAGTCAGCAAGAAATTGCTTTCTTTTCTCTCAACAAATAAAGGAGGAGGCTTGAGAATCACTTGTAGAAGGCCTTCTATGAGCCATGGGCTCATTTGAACATGGCACGCTCGATCATTACAGGGATCGCTGCAGGAGGCCACGACTTGTCCAAGTGTTCACGTGCGATCACACTAGAAAAGTCTCGTATTCTAAGAAAAAAAAAGAAAAAGTGCACAAAGTCACCAGGCGCTCGTGATGTTATTTGCCCCTGCCATCCCTCTCTGCTTAGCTCCCAGCGATTTCGTCGGAACGAGAAAAGAGGGAATGCGATTGCAGCGTATGACGAATCTTTGTTACTCCGCTCGTGCTGGACAGATTCTTGAATTTTTTGCGGCGTTCAATTTGTGAGGCAATAAACTCTTTTAGCGATTCTATTCCCTGGTTACTTGAAAAAGTGTTTCAAGGTCCCTTAAATATTACACCTTTGTTTGTGGTGGCCACATTTACTGCTTTGCAATCTTGTGCATCGAATTCAGAATAGAGCAAGACCATCTATGGTGTTCAGAGTTTTGGTTGCAGCTATGCATTCGTTCGACAACAGTTTCACAAGTTGACCTCGTCATGGAACATCCACATAATTTTGTAGAACTGATAGCAGTGTAGCTGGTAACTTTGAGCAGCAGCAAAAATTATTATTTGGCTGCTTAAAACATGCAACCCTCTCAGCAGTGCTCTTTCCGAAAGAAACTTTCATTTGCTCTAAGTGAAATGGTTAGTTCGCAGAAACCTCATGACAGCCACTTTTTAGGCAAAACAGGCAATTTTTAGAATAATTTTGAATTGTATTTTTATAGTATATACATAACATTTTATAGAAAATGACGGGCATATAGGTCGTGGCCTATCTCACACAATATTAAAAAAAAAATTGAAACAAGGCTTGTGCAAATGCTTTTTTTTTCTTCAAAGTAGGTTGAAATAACTGTGTTTCTACGCCACAAATTTGTGTTACATGGTAATAACATGTTTAAAGCATAAAAGCTGGTATAACAAGCTTTTAAACTTAAAAAATGAATTGATCAGCGGGGGGGGGGGGGGGGTTAATATTTTTATTTAACCTGGAAGTGGGTCTTCGTGGCAATGTGCATTTTTTTTTTTTTTTGTATAAGTGGTCTCACGGTTTAGCACTCCTTCATTGCAGTGAAACCACCTTTACAGAGAGGTTACATGCAGATTACATGTAGATACATTTATGCAGTTTCGGTGACAACCTAAGAATAAATATAAACTCGACCCACGAGACCACATTGCCCTTATTTCCCATGCCTCCACGCCACAAAAGGAAGTAGTTCACTAATAATGGTAAGGATTTTCACACATACAACCATCATCTTGCAATACTTCATTGATATTGAAATAAAGAAACCAAAGCTCGGTAAAGAAACTTGAGAAGACATGCAGTTCAGCGTCAGCTTAGCAATATATGTGTTGTTTAAATCACAACCATCGTAGAGTCCACAAAGATGCAATGTACATCTCTCGAAGGCGAAGTTTCTGTGCGGTACCTTTGGTGTTACTAAAACAAGTAATCTCAGATTTAACGTAATATTTAAATTAAACGAGTTGTTCTTTTGTGCATCTTGCTAGGAAGCGCAGCCACTATAACAAAGAACACACAACACAAGCGCTTAACTTCAACTAAACGTTTATTACAAACGTCAGAGTATATAAAGGGGAAGAAAAGAAAAAGAGCAAAGTGAATAAAAAAGATAAAAATGGTAGACAACAAAAAACACACGTGCCAGTCCCGTACATCGCTATCCGTTATTGTCTATCACCTCATCCAAAAAACATAGTTCTTTCCGCGTGAGCGAGATAGAGGGTGCACTAACACAATCAAAATCATCGCGTGTCATTTCAGCCGCTTCTACTATCAAACGGGTTAACAAATCTCTGTCTCGATACAGCACGCACGTGTTATCAAAATAAGGCACACAACCGCACTCCTTACAGTGGATCGCCAAGTGACCAGTTTTTATCTTTTTTATTCACTTTGCTCTTTTTCTTTTCTTCCCCTTTATATACTCTGACGTTTGTAATAAACGTTTAGTTGAAGTTAAGCGCTTGTGTTGTGTGTTCTTTGTTATAGTGGCTGCGCTTCCTAGCAAGATGGATCCTTACCAACTGGCCCGATACAATTGTTTATTGAGTTCTTTTGTGGTTTCACAAAATGAAGCAGGGGCATTAATTACATTTTATATGGTAGTTTGCATTTTTGTTTGTTTAATTTACAAAACTTTTGCTGCCAGGTTTCTTCTTTGTCTTCTATAACTATTGCAATTATGGCTCAAAACGAAGAATGGAGAAGTGTTCTGAGATTGAAATTTCTATTCTTGTGCTGCCGTAAATACTGAACGTGCATCTCGTAGCCGAGCTTTTGATCGTGTTTGAGGTAAACGCAATATTTCTTTTGAAGTCTTGTTTCATATAAATAAAAGCGCGTAGCGCTCATTGTGTTTAACAGTGAGGGTCATTGCATACGTTTTCGTTAAGTTAATGCCAAGGTGATGTACGCAGCTCAAGTAGTGGTGACCAAAAGATGTAGGTGAATTTTTTTTTTTCGCTTCGACAACTTGCATTTCGTGATGTTGCCATGATCCAGTCAGCCCCTGATTATTAATCTTTTTCAAAGCGAGACTCAGTTTTGCTGGAACAGGGGTTCCTTCTATGATTGTCTGTTTGCGAACATCTGTCTCCGCAGGCAAGAAGGTTTTTTTTCTCTCCAGTGGATGCAGACTTTGCTTTCATTGGGAAGTGCAATGCATCCTTCGTGTTTTCTTTCACAGGACTCTAATATAAACAAGTTATCACTGCATAATACACACACAATACAGGTGAAATGAAAAAAAAAAGCAATGTTAGAAAAAAGTAAGACTTCCTCATAAGATATCATTAAGTATGATACAATGCCTTAAAAAACGAAATCTTTTTTTTTGCTCAATAATAGTTTTAGCGGCATTGCTTGAGTAACAATCACGATTGATGAAACTGATCGTGATCACTGCAGCGATATTACATAGTGCGTGTCATTTCATGGTTTGAAGAAACTCGCATGGTGTTTCTCCTGCAAAGCGCTTGTGCATTGAGTGCGAGACATGCTTATGCAATGGGCACTTCAATTCGGCACATAATTTTGAGCGGTCAAAATCAATCCGTTAACTTTTTCGTTACCATGCCTATTAAAATCGATCACTGGTGATCAATGCCTTGTATCGTCGATTTTATCATATTAAATTCGTTTCTCGTGCACCCAACACTTTCTAGTAGTTGGTCCAACCACTCAACTTTCAGAATCAATTTGAATTTGGCCGTTTAAGCAACTTGGCGTTCTTTGACAGTCCTTTGCGTGAACCATTGTGAGTGTATTGTTGGAAAAGTGCACTAGGCTGGTGAACTCGACAGAAGTGCGTGCCCCTCGTGATTATGCTGCTGTAACATTGAAGTTCTGTAATGAAAGAAACCTTTGTAAGCCAAATATTGAATTAAAGCATTAGCTTCGCACTTTGATAGTGTTCAGCAGTAATAATTGCCTGACATTAATTCCAGCTATTCAATAGACAGTAGTCGCTAGGAGTCAGGGAAAATTTATTCTACAAAAAATATTTCTGATTGTCCACTGCATGATTAAAGTGTCGAGATGGCCTTCTCAGACAGTTTTCAGCAGCATCGGTTTTGCTTGTATTATATCAGACACAGGGTCGCTTAGAGTGTCGCTCCTATGGTGTAGTCGTTCCTATGGCATAGTCGCTCCTATGGCGTAGTCGTCATGCGCATAGCTGCGCACCAATGCTGCAAAACACATGTGCTGCTCGAAACTCGCTTGCAACCCCACCTGAATTGAGTCAGAACAAACTTAGAGTTCGAAGATGACAGCACCTGAGCTTCAAGTTTTATGGAGACAATGTTTTGCATCAGCCTGAGTCATCTACAGCCTTTCATGGGTTTGTTTTCTTTACGATCTCAAGTTGTTTCCTTCGCCGCAAGTGCATAGCCGCTGACCTTTGTGCGCAATCTTATAGCTATTCTGGTTACGTGCGGGGTCCACACTTCGCTGGGGTGCGGCGTGCTGGCTCCGACTGCAGAGTTTCTCCTAACGACAAGAAGGTTCCCAAAGCAGATCTTGGTCCTGACATTTTCGCCTCCATTAAAAATGCAGCCACTGCAGCCGATATTCAATCCCGCGACCTGCACGTCAGCAGCTGTGTACTTTAGCCACTAGACCATTGCGGCGGGGCAAAACCCTCATGAAAACAAGTCCTCCTTCAATTGGCAGCTATTACAAGTTACTTTTGTGTGCAATTTTGCTATTCTTTTGTTGGTAAATTTTTAATGCCCTCAAGTAAAAGATGTGTGTGGCACCTCCTCTTCAGGAAGCGACGCCAGAAGCCAGACTCTGGGCAAGGGCTGCACGATCGCCCGTTTGGGAGTCGTACCCATCGGTACATCATCCCATTTCGCCGTGGAATCTCCCTTCGGGAAGTGGCTCAGCGTGAGTTTATGTTCAGCAAACTATGGGTGTTGATTATGTATTGAGATTAAGTAATGCCTTAAAGCTTTTTTTCAATTTTAATATTTAAATAAAATTTTCAGTAGACGTGCTTTTTAGCTTGCTAAAGGCAGCTATGCTACTCAATTTTTGTTTTTGAAACATTATATTACGAAAAATGAATTATCCCAACTTTTCTGCAATTTCATCATTGAATATCCTAGAAAAATTTATATGGGCATATTCTGGAATAATCGGAAATCACAGCTAGACTATAACTGTAGTTTTTTTTTCTGTTCGTGTAGAAGTGATTGCTATTCGTTGCATCGTCGTTGGAAACCCCAGAATTTTTGTCAGTTGTACTCCTGTCACAAGCGAGCACTTAATGAAGCACACGGTGCCACCTTCAAGCGACAACAGAAACTCCTGGCGCCAAATGTTGCGCCTATTTTTACTACGACTACAAAGGAAGGTCAAAAGTGATGGTTATAAATATTTTTATGTGAGGGTCTGACCGGTTTTCATGCCCTTGGTTACAATTCCAGAGGGCATGGTACTGTTTCATTCTGAACTAATGAAAAGGGGGGTTGGACATGTTAGGTGCACCCTGTGTGATGAGCTCAGGTGGTGTTGAGACTCCCCGTGTGCACTACCACACTACCGTAGGAGGCCAGAATGCGAGAACAGGAGACTCATTTGACCACCTCCTGCCACCCTCAGCGGCCTGCAGTCTGCCACCTGAACCACCACCATACCATCCAGCTGAAGAGGTAAATCTTTTCTTCTCACCTGGTTTACTCTGTGACACATGGCTAAATGTACATTTGTTAACCTTTTCATAAGTGATGATGTACGTGTTTGAGACAAATGGCTGATGCAACATGTTACTTTGTGATAAATGACATCACATGCATGCACAATCTGGCCAATAATTATGTGTGTAATGGTGGGTGGCTTGAGTCAGTGAATACAATTCATTTGTAAACAACATGCATATCTCTCAAGCCTGTAATTTTAATGAAGTCCAACAGAGAACGAAGCCGAGGCAGTTGCAGGGAATTTTTTTGAAGTCTTTTAGCTGTATTGTAGTGATTATGATATAAATGTGAATAAATTAAAGTGAATGGCAACTTGCTGCTGGCTAGCAGCATGTTGCCTTTTTATTTACTTTCCATTTGTCCATCAGTGCCCTTGTCTACGCTGTATTTTATCTAAATATATTAGACCGACATCGCTAAAACCACGCTGTGCCCAGAAAGGTAGTTTCCTTAGCCCGGAAGACCGCTCATGATGGTGCAAGATCCGCAATTAATGCTGTAGGCTCTCATTGTTTCCACTGCCAAGCATCACCATCTTGGCATTGTTCAAAAGCTCAGTTTCATTTCTCGATTCCACCATCCTCACATGCCAAGGCTGCAGTGGAAAGCAAGGGGGGGGGGGGGATGAGTTAATGATGATCGAGACAGTTCTGCGAAATTCGCTACATATGCAGACCTCATTTTATGGCTACCGACACTGCCGACAGTACACCTGCCTATAGGCTTGAAAATAAAAAATTGTTGATTATTGTTTTTTTTTTCAAAATAACTGCGGCATTGTCGACATTAAGCATCAGCAAATCAATGCTCATTTTGATCAGCTTCAACTGAGAATTGCATAGAAATTGTAAGCATGACCTTATCTGATCATATGTGGCTTCGGAGCTAAGGAATTACCTACATAACACTCACTTTGCTCAAACGAGCCACAGATTGCACGCGCATGACCAGGAAAACAAAAACAAAAACAGGTGGAATGTTTTGTGCAGTCCTGTACTACATTCATAATTTAGCGACCACAAAGATAAGCAGTGTGCTTGATCCATTCACAATGTGTAGCAACACAAAGGTTGCATGGGCATGGCTAAGAATGGTACAGTCAAACTCCGCTGCAACGAACGCCGCTTCAACGAAATTTTCGCAACATGGAAAAATTCACGATTCCCCATCAGCGACCCATAGCAGTCAATGCATAAATATTATCGCCACAACAAACACTTTTTCTTCGATTGTCCTGCTTCAACGAAATTTTATGATGCAATTCTAGGCTCAGATACTTATTGCTATGCAGTAAACTCAATCTCTAACATTTCTATGCATTTTCAGAGCCTGAAATTTTTTTTTGAATTTGAATTGAATTGAGTTTTATTGACATAAAAATAGTGTACAGTATACAACAGTGTAAAAAAATGCATCTGAATGCGTCAGTGAAGTCTAAAACACGCATTGGCACCACCAGAAATTGCCGCTGTTCAGCAAGCATGGGTGCTGCCATTGCTTGACAGCGATAGCAATGAGACTGCCCTGCTTTTGCTTTGCCACTGGCTTGCTTTTGAGCCCCAGACGATCTGAAGCTGAAGCTCAGTCGCTCAGTTCATGGTTTTCTTAACACAGCTGCTGGGTGCAACCGCGGCACGGTGCCTTTTCCGATTCCGATGCTTATCATTATGTTCGTGCTTGGCCAGTGTGGTAACTGATCAGAGCGGCTGTTCGTTCGCATTATTAACAAAATCAACTAGCTGCGAGTGATCTATGATCAGAATGGCATAGAATAATGGAAAAGTCGCCGCTCCACGATACCCTGCCTCCATCTTGACGTTGTCAAATACTCTGACGGCAGACAACTGCTGGTGTTAACGTGTTTATGCAACTGTTTGGTTCGTTCACGAAAGCGGCGTTAGGCGTTCTTTTAGCGTGCTTTTCACCATGGTCTCGCTATGCATGGCTAAGTGACGTCGTGACGCTGCTGGGAAAGAATAGGAAGCAGCGAACATTTTTTTTAACGTTCTTTTGTTTTGCTAGCTCAGATCAGCTTTTTTTTTTTTTTTCGATTTCACTACAAGGAAATTTTCGCTTCAACAAAATTTTTTCGTGCCTCCTCAGTTTCATTGTAGCGCGGTTTCACTGCAGTAGCTAAGCTTATATGATTAGTAAATTTTAGGTTCGAAGTAAATAGTTATTTGGTCAAATTATTTCTATTCAAACTTCAACAGTATAAATCACATACTATAAAGAAAAGTGGTCATATTTGTCATGACCCAACTGATGTGCATAATATTTTTGAAGTGCACAAAAAGCATGTGCAAATGTCGATCTTCTATATTCAAGAAGAAATAGGAGAAACTTTAAATAGCATTTGACTTTTGGTTGAATGCAAGCAATAACCTCTAAAATATGTTACATTTTAAATTCACTAGAAGCATATAAAATGGTATAACAAGCTTTTAAACTTAAGAAAAAAAATTATGAATTGGTGCGAGGGTAAGGTGTTCATTTAACCTCGAAGTGGGGCTTCGCTGCAGGATGGATTTTTATTTTTTTTTTGGACAGGTGTTCTCACGATTTAAAACCCCTGCACTGCAGCGAAACTACTTTTACAGGGCCCCGTTGCAGTGGTCTAGTGGCTAAAGTACGCTTCTGCTGACCCGCAGGTTGCGGGATCGAATCCCGGCTGCGGCAGCTGCATTTCCGATGGAGGCGGAAATGCTGCAGGCCCGTGTGCTCAGATTTGGGTGCACGTTAAAGAGGCCCATGTGGTCCAAATTTCCGGAGCCCTCCACTACGGCGTCTCTCATAATCATATGGTGGTTTTGGGACGTTAAACCCCACATATCAATCAATCAATCAACTACCTTTAGAGGGGCTACATTTAAATCATTATACACGTATTTTGAAATTTTCAGTAATTGACATTGGAATCGAAGCGGATTTGACTACTGTAGTATTCATTCGAATATTCAAAGTGCTTCAATAATCTCACACCTTTGTTCATGGCTTCCTGCTGTTATTGGGTGCGGCTCATCTAATGCAATTGTAAGAGTAGAGAAATTATGTGGGATCATGCTATGCGCTCCCATAGCACATTCATGGAACATTCTATGCTACAATTATGGCAAAACAGCACAAAGCAAAGAGCTGTCGCGCAGATCAAAACGATGAACGTGGAATGTCACAACAGCTTAGGGTAACCACCATTACTGCAATGCTTAGTTTGGGGTGCGTCCATTATGCAGGAAGACAAAGAGAGACTAATTTTGTTTGTAGAATACAGGGGTGTAATCTACTGCATGAGTGTAATGACGGTGTTAATATTGTCACGGGGTCGTGACGTGGCCGAAGACAGGAGACTTCGTGTTGGGATTTAACTGTTTATTTGGGCGAACCTGTGCCCGGTAAACGGAAAGTCCAATTACAGCAGCAGTCTCGCACAGATAGCAGTCTCGGACTGATAGCGGCGAACGGAGCGTCGGCCTTCGATCAACAACTGACAAGCGGCGAAGCGCGTCGGCATTTATACTCTTGCCGTCGAATGTTCTAGCGTTATCGCTGGCGGCGGCGTAGGTTCCAGAACAATCTGTACCGTTCGCACAGTGGGCGTGATCTTATCGAAATGATCTACTACAGTCCGGAACCTTCTCGAAAACTGCAGGCGCGGTTCGCGCTGAGAATGGTGTGGTGTTTTGGGACGATAACAAAAACTTGGAAAATGGAACGTGGCATTGCCCCCCTCTGAAAAAAAGGCATCGTCCCGATGCTTTAACTAAAGATGAAGGTACAATAATAATGCTAGAAAGTACAATGAATAAATTACGATACAACTATAATACAAAAAAACACTGTTTCAGTTTGTTAACGCGCATGAAACGGCTTGATGCGCGCGACATGTACGACTTCAGGTCGCGATCGGCGTCGTTGAGAGTTCGTGATGCCGTCGGGGACAACCTCGTAATCAAGTGGGCCGAGACGTCGAACCACCCTGTACGGTCCGAAGTACCGTCGCAGAAGCTTTTCACTTAGTCCACGTCGGCGTATCGGCGTCCACACCCAAACACGTTCACCGGGCTGGTATTCCACGAAGCGTCGTCGAAGGTTGTAACGGTGGCTGTCGGTCGTCTGTTGATTCTTGATACGGAGACGCGCAAGTTGTCGGGCTTCTTCGGCGCGTTGAAGGTACTCGCTCACATCGAGGTTTTCTTCGTCGGTGACGTTGGGTAACATGGCATCGAGCGTCGTTGCCGGGCTCCTTCCATAGACCAATTTGTATGGAGATATCTGCGTCGTCTCTTGCACCGCCGTGTTGTATGCGAAGGTCACATACGGAAGAATGGCGTCCCACGTCTTGTGTTCGACATCGACGTACATTGACAGCATGTCGGCGATTGTCTTGTTAAGCCGCTCGGTGAGGCCATTGGTCTGTGGGTGGTACGCTGTCGTCCGGCGGTGGTTTGTTTGGCTGTATGCCAAGATCGCTTGAGTTAAGTCGGCAGTGAATGCCGTTCCTCTGTCGGTGATAAGGACCTCCGGGGCGCCGTGACGTAGGACGATATTTTCGACGAAGAACTTAGCTACCTCGGATGCACTGCCTTTTGGCAGGGCTTTTGTCTCGGCGTAGCGGGTGAGGTAGTCGGTAGCTACCACGATCCACTTATTTCCGAAAGTCGACGTCGGGAACGGCCCCAGTAGGTCCATACCAATCTGCTGGAAAGGTCGGCAAGGTGGATCAATTGGCTGCAGAAGTCCCGCTGGCCTTGTCGGCGGTGTCTTGCGTCGCTGACAGTCTCGGCATGTCCTCACATAACGAGTGACGTCGGTGGTAAGACGTGGCCAGTAGTACCTTTCTTGTATCCTCGCGAGCGTGCGAGAAACACCGAGGTGCCCTGCCGTCGGATCGTCGTGCAGGGCCTGCGAACGGGAAGGACTTCGAGGTGTCCATTGAGTTCCTGTCAGGTAGTCGGCGATGTCACGTGGCCGTTCCCCTGGCTGCGGACGTGGTGCATCGACGGCGAAGCCACGCAGTCCCATCTGTCGGTACTGGCAACGGCGGTAAGTGTGCCCGGCCTCGCCGCAGGGGTAGCACAGTGGGCGGTGGTCAGAGGTGCGCCAAACGTCGGTTTTCCTCGGCGCACTGCGCTGGCCCGCTGGTGAATGGTAGGTCGTCGGTGGGGGTGGTGGCGGCGGTGGTGTCCGGCGACGGAAGTGCGACGGGGCGGCGTTTTGGCGTGGACGGGGAGGAGCGTTATGGCGCACTGCAGCGGCGTAGCTCATAGTTTCTGGCTCGGGCAGTGGTGTTTGGGGAATTCGAAGTGATTGCCGAACTTCTTCTCGCACAATGTCGGCGATCGAATCCACTTGAGGGTGCGCCGAAGGCAACAGTTTGCGCAGCTCTTCCCGCACGATCGCTCGGATCGTTTCACGCAGGTTGTCGGAGTCACTGGTTTGAGCAGCAGCGCATTCTGGAGTCAGGCGACGATTATACTGTCTGGTGCGCATGTCAAGGGTTTTTTCGATGGTGGTCGCCTCGGATACAAATTCTTGGACGGTGTTCGGTGGATTCCTCATTAGTCCCGCGAAGAGCTCCTGTTTGACCCCTCGCATGAGGAAGCGAACTTTCTTCTCCTCAGGCATGTCTGGGTCAGCGTGACGAAATAGTCGGGTCATCTCCTCTGTGAAAATTCCAACCTTCTCATTTGGTAGCTGAACCCGGGTCTCTAGTTGAGCAGCGGCCCTTTCTTTGCGAGCGACGCTCGCGAACGTTTGCAGAAATGCACCGCAGAAGACATCCCGCGTTCGGAGCGTGGACTCACGATTCTCTAGCCAGGTCCTTGCGGTGTCTTCCAGGTAGAAGTACACACGACGGAGCTTTTCTTCGTTGTCCCAGTGGTTGAGGGCGGCCACACGGTCGTATGTTTCTAGCCAGGACTCCGGGTCTTAGAACGATGACCCATGGAAAATTGGTGGTTCCCTGGGTTGATGCATGACCATCGTGGGCTGGGATGCGGCGGTTGTCATTGTCGCTGCAGTCGCGGTCATGGCCTTGGTCTTCCGCGCCTTGTCTTCTAGAATCCCGTACTCCGGTGGTAGCCCTTGCTGTCGGCGGCTTGTTCTCTGCTCCTGGTTGGCGTCGGTGTCTTCTCCGCGACGTGGGCTGGGTTCACGGCGTGACGGGGGCGTCCGGTACATTAACGAAGCAGCACCTCCACCAGATGTCACGGGGTCGTGACGTGGCCGAAGACAGGAGACTTCGTGTTGGGATTTAACTGTTTATTTGGGCGAACCTGTGCCCGGTAAACGGAAAGTCCAATTACAGCAGCAGTCTCGCACAGATAGCAGTCTCGGACTGATAGCGGCGAACGGAGCGTCGGCCTTCGATCAACAACTGACAAGCGGCGAAGCGCGTCGGCATTTGTACTCTTGCCGTCGAATGTTCTAGCGTTATCGCTGGCGGCGGCGTAGGTTCCAGAACAATCTGTACCGTTCGCACAGTGGGCGTGATCTTATCGAAATGATCTACTACAGTCCGGAACCTTCTCGAAAACTGCAGGCGCGGTTCGCGCTGAGAATGGTGTGGTGTTTTGGGACGATAACAAAAACTTGGAAAATGGAACGTGGCAATATATATGGTGCCATGCTTACGGCAAAACAAAAGGAACAGTCTAAGCAGTAGTGCCGTTCTTCTTCAGAAAAATGTACCGCAATTACTTGAATCTAACGCGCACCTTTTTTCCGGTCAAGCAAGTTCATAAATCGCATGTGCGTTAGAATTGAGTACGAAAAAAAAATGAATGCGGTCATTCTATTGCCATCGACAATTCCAAAATGACCGCCCCCTACGTGCGTCGGCATGGCGCGTCGGCCATTTCTGCCTATGTGTTTCCTTTGTGCAGCACTTCGTACGTGTGTTGAGGAGTTCGTCATCTTGTAGTGCATTAGCATCGACGACATGGAAGGGCCAACTCCAAAAACTCGAGTGCACCACGATGCCGCTTTTAAAAGAAATGTCATCGCATGTGCGGAAACGGACGGAAATCGGGCCGCATCGCCCGATTTCCCCAAGTAGGCGCCAAGTAGGCGCCAAGTACGCCAAGTAGGCGAAGCGTTGCACACAACTAGCTAGTAGACGATTGGCTCGCTTTGACGGTATCGTGTCTTAAAGAAGTCAGTTTTTGCTAAGTATTAGATCATGGTACACATTTATGGTGGAAACGTGCGAAACGTGCGTGCGGGACTGGCGTAAACAAAAGCAGAAGATTGTCGACAGCAGAGCTTCACGCAAAGGCTTCAGTGGACCACAGCAGGGTCGGTTTCCGCAAATTAAAGAGCTGCTCGGCGAGTATGTGCTTGAGCACCGAGCAGCACAGCGGCCAGTGACGACAGAACTGCTCCAAGTGCGGGCTATGCAATTAGCCTTAGAAAAAGGTCTAATGCGGAGCCAGTTTAAAGCGAGCAGGTGCTGGCTAACTAACTTTATGGAGAGGAAAGGCTTTTGCCTCCGAAGGGGAACGGGCATATGCGAAAAGTTTTGCGGAGGAGTACGATGAAAAGCTTCACAGTTTTCAGAGGTTCGTCCTAAACTTGCTTCACAATAACGGCTACCTGCTTGGGCAAATCGGGAATGCCGATCAGACGCCTCTTTACTTCGACATGCCTGGCACCACAACCGTCGAGAAGAAGGGGGCGAAGCAAGTTCGCGTGCTGACATCGGCCCACGGTAAAACTACAGTGACGGCAATGCTCTGTTACACGTCAGATGGGCACAAGCTTCGCCCATACCTCATATTTAAATGGAAGACGCTCCCGAAAAGAGTCGTTTTTTTCGAGTGGTGTGATCGTGCGGGCCAGCGAGAAAAATGGGTGGCGTTGCAATCGATGTCTTACGTTTTTTTTTTTTTCGTCATGGAAATCGGGTGCGCGTTACAATCGAGGGCGCGGTAGAATCGAGTAAATACGGTAATTAATATTTTCAAGGCCTTTGTTACCATCTGGTTCAAGTTCAGTGCAGATAGATTGAAGAAGCTGGTGCAGCAGCATAATAAAAAATGCCTAGCAGTCGGTGTGAATATGAATTCAGTGGTGGGAAACCTGTGCCAATTTCACCAACTGGAAATTATAGTGCCATTGCTGCGCCACTCAGTAGTTTTGGAACCGAAACTAATGTTGACAGCATGCATATTGAGCGGATATTACGGGATTTTCGCCATCTTTTACTTGCGCTGTTGCAAGAGCACGGAATCAGCCGATTACCTATTCCGACTGCTGCGCGATTGCGGCGGTGCCTTTTTTATTAACCGTTGAAAAAAAAACGAAAGTGATGTGGTGACTACCGAAAAGCGTGCCAGTATGACTTATCACCGACAGAAAGCCTACAGGTGTGGAGTAGCGCCGCTTTGAGCTTACTGCACGCTTTTAATAGCCGGCGACTACCTGAGAACACCGAGGCGCCGATCGCTGCCGCCTCAATCGTTGTGCGGGACCGTGTTTAGCGTACACAGCTTTGCAGAAACGAAAGCTGCTCGCTGTTGTGAATTGCGGGGACCTAGACAGCAAGTGTAGCACACGGTTTCATAAAGCGGCAACCCAAACACACCTCCGTCCGCTGCCACGTTCTTGCTGCATCTGTGCACAGTCTGAAGTGTAGTTGGCATAAGCGACTCGACACGGTGTGTACGCCAAGTAGGCGAAGCGTTGCACACAACTAGCTAGTAGACGATTGGCTCGCTTTGACGGTATCGTGTCTTAAAGAAGTCAGTTTTTGCTAAGTATTAGATCATGGTACACATTTATGGTGGACAGCCGATTATGTCCATTTCGTCGCTATGTCAGGCACTGCGTTGGCTGTGTATCCAGGACTCCGCACTAGTATCGAAATGCTCTTTGTTGATGTCACCACGTGCCATCGGATAGTCGTGCGAGAATGCCGATCTTTTCTAAACATTGGCAAAAAAAGTAGTGGCTTCATGGTGGATACTTCAGGCAATATTTGCTGTGACACTGCACTTCTCGAGTGGTGATGGGGCGTTGAAGAAATGCAAATAGGTACTTGGTTATAGGCGTGCACACGGGGGGCTTATTGCCAGCCCCATACATTGAGATGGTAGGGTGGGGGGCGGTGCTGAGAGAGGATTCTGTGCATGCTTAATGTACTTTGTGGTTAATGCATCATACGTTTAGTGTGTAGTTAGCTGCGTTCCCAGCAGATTCTCGGTATGTATGTAATAATGAGGTTTTGCTGCAGTGAGCTTTGAAAATGTCTGTGTTTGCATGTGTTTGTGTGTACACTGCTATGAATTTTATGCTGCAGCTAGCTTGTTGGTGCAAAATCCTTCACTATTTTATGTCACCGCTTCTGTACATAATCCTACTATTGTTTATTTTGTGGGCTTGCTGCTTCTGTGTAAATGATTATGTTAACTGAGGGAACATTAAACTAAATTGAGGCTAAACTTTCTTCCTCTGTGTGTATCACGAAAAGCTCGTGCCTGCCCCAATGGCTGCTCCAGAATGCTGGAAGGCATTCCTACCACTGTGAGTGAGAATGCAGCAGGTTCGTGTACAATTAAGAACTCCATGCAAAACAACCCCTACGTTAGGAAGCAGCTCCGTCCCCTGAAGAGCTGAATTACTCATTTGTAGAGGTAGATGAGTAAGGCAGTCGAGTGATTCAGCTCTTCCCACAAGTTTGCATTTAGATCTAGAATTCTTTGCAGTCGTTCTCGAGTGACATAAAAAAATGTATCTCCACTTGAATGTTGGCATACAAGTGATGATAAAAATTTTTTTTCAGGAGCCGCCACCGACCTATGAAGAAGCGGTACGAGGGCCTGTTGTGCCTGTGCCTCAGATGGTGCCCGGAGGAACTGCTGCTGCACAGCCAACGCGACGTGCCTGAGAGACTGCTGTGTAACAGTTATCATCATTGCACTCATCGTCACCCGCCACCTGGCTGCACGTCGTCAATAAACGCTGCATCAGAGGAAGCTATGTGGAGAGGCCTTCTTCTTCAACATGGCTGCAGCAGGAAGGTCATGTACAATATGTGGCAGTGTTGTTAAAATTATGTAAATTTTTGTTTCTTGTTTAAATCCCCCTCTCCAGAAATAGTTCACACACTTTTAAAGTTCTTCTTTGTTGTTTTCTTCCCAATATTAACTAGAGGGAACTCTGGCATTGCGATCGCCCAGCCACCATGGGAATGATAGTTAGTACACATATTTGCCTAATCTTTGTGCTTGCAAGCCTCGAACACACTTGCAGCTTTGTTTATTGCTTTGTCTTCATTCTTTTTTAAATAAAAATGGAACCGTTGTGAACTTCCCGAGCCGATTTGAATTGTTGAAACTAAAACGGTCCAGGTGGTGAAGCATAACTGCTTAACTTTTGCTGAACTTCGTCTTGCGGCAAAGTATATTCCGCCAAACAGAGCCAAAAATATAGAACATTAGACAACCCCGTGCACTACCCGTCATTCTTGTGCTGGCTGAAGTACCATGCGTTGCAGCTCACATAGACACTAGTGTCACAGAACCCTCTAATGTATTTATAAGAAACTATGCTTCTTTCTTCTCTGATTCATTTAAGCTGAGTATGCCAGCTATGTTTTCAGGGTTTGCTAATATAAAGTGTGGCCACCACTTTTTCACATCACGTGGTGATAAACCTTGCTTGTCTATGTAGCCCTGAAAAAGAATTGTGTGAAGAGACGGGCCTTTAGAAATATCTAGACCCGGTGCCATAGTGTTGACAAGTGTGCCTTTAGTTACCACATGCTTATGTTGCCGAATCTGAAGAGAGCCAGATTCTCAGAGGCCAATTTTTGAGCTGTGCAGACAAGTGCTGGTTTTGGTTTTCATGTTTCTCTGCATGTTTGTCAGTCAAGATGACTGTAGATGTCTAGTTACCTTGCTAATGCCATACAGTGTAGTATCACGTCTGATATTTGGCTACAAGTCACTTTCATGACGTGCGTACTCACTGTAGTTTGGTGTTTACTAGCTTAAATCTCAGTGTACACACATTTTAAGTACAACAGTTTAAGAAGGGGCACCAGACTTAACATTTTTACAAATTGTTAATGGATTTTATTGAAATTTGTGAGTATTTGCTTTTGGAAGAGAAAGCTGGCAAAAAAAAAAAAGACAGCGAGAAGAACAGCAAGACAGCACTGCCGCTTGTCCTGTCTGAAGTGTTCCTCGCTGCATTTTGTTTTTTCTCTGGTACGCCTCTTCAAATGGCATGAGCCAATTTACCCAGCAACCTACATTATTGATTTTACGCACATTTGTGAGTTGTTTTAAAATATGAAATTATCTTTCTCTTACAATGTGTTGTAAAAATTCTTGAAATATTGGGGAGGAAAATATTTCTTAGAAAGAGAGCTTCCAAGGGAATCAGCATTTCACAATAATCTGGAGTGAAAATTCTATGCGGTAAAATAAGAATAGATGATCTAAACCCATTTCAACAAAAGTTATAATATGTTGAACATTCGTTACCAAAATCCCAGCTTGACACCGATTTTCGTATTTTCAGCATACCATTGCGTTTACTCAAATGGGTTTTGAGCGTCCACTTTTGCTTTATTGCATCCAGTGCTCATTCCAGACTAGTATTCGGGTATTCCGATTTACTTTGTAACTCTCTATGTGCAAAAAAAGATTTTGCATTGAAAGGTACATGAAATGCTTGATATTTTAAAAACTACAAGTCGTACTGAAAATGAAATAATTGTACATTTACAATGAATATATAACTAAACCTGACAAGTTTCCTTAAAATCAATCAAAGATTTTGTAACAGTGTCTCCCTCAACCAAGCTGTGCAGTCATCGAGCAACAGCATAAAAATTATTATTAAGATTTAATATTCCATAAAAACAAATACATTCCATGAAAACAGCATAAAAACATATATTCATTATTCCAGTCACTGCCTAAATTAGTATGTATGACAAACAAAACATTAGAATATTGTGGAGCTCTACTGCACAAAATTTCATTGATACTGTTTCTTCTTCCCCTCACACACTTATTTTTGACCTGGCAAGCTATATAAAACAAACATTCTTTTTTCTATTGGTGCACTTCGCACTCTCGAGGCTTTCAACATCAGCTCCAATTTCTTTATTGTGTCAAAGCAATGGCAGTTCTGGTTTTATTTTCCGAGCTTTAGTTATGCACCTCGTTGTGGAAATGCTCGGCTAAATAGAAGATGGTTTGAGGTAACCGAAAGCCAAGAGGGCAGTACTGTGACGTATGAATGGGTACAAATTGGAAGGCGTGCAAGACACATCGGCTGGGCAGCACACAGACAAAAGCTGTGAAAGCAGTGAACAGAAGATGTTCAGCCAAAGACCAGAACATGCCACACCGTTCATGCCACGTCTCTGGTTGACAGTAAGGCTCTTTCGCATTGCTTGTTTACTGTACAATAAGTGCAGTGATAACGTACCCGGTGAAATGTGTGCATACACAAACTTCACTGTACAGAAACTCTTACCGCAACGCACACGAGATCTAGCCACATATGATGAGCTGCACATCATGCAAGAGGTGGTTTGTGCTTGGCTTGTAATATATTGTCCTTTAATTGTATTGTTTTCAGCATATTGTAGTAATTGTGACATAGATTCAAAGAAAGTAAAATGGACGAAAAGACTGTTTGACACTGGTAAGTTGTCTTTACGTCTACGTTACTTTAGTATTGACATCTGTCACAGTGGGTACTACAGTACACTCGAGAGTACAATTATGACCCCCTACACCTTTATTTGGTTTATTATCTGCTCGTTTTGATTAAGGTTGCATCAAACAAAAAGAAATGAGCATTCGAAAATTCCCTTCTAGCATTTCAGGCACTTTCAACTGTTTGTGCATGTATTTTGCATTTTTGTTGCTGTGTGGCATCAAATTGTTGAGTGGTTTTTAGATATGGTAAAGAACATGGTGGTTTTTATGTTATAAAAATAAATGCTGTTTCTATTGCTTCAGTTATCGTTTGTTCACGTACCAACAGATCAACAATGAAGGTTGTCCTGGCAAGACACAGTTCTTTCACTCCCGCAGCAACTGCGCCAAACTGGATTTTGCTGTGCCATCCTGATGATATAATCAGTGTACATTGCTCCACTGCACCAGTCTCAGGTTTGGTGGTGTCTGTCACTGGCACTCGCACCGCTGGCAAGTCAAAACATGTGCAGCTGGATCTTGGTGCCACCAAAGTCAGAGGCACGAAACGAGGGTCATTCTGCACATGAAACGGCTCTCGCGGGTGCATTCCAAATAAGCCAAGACGCAATGTAGTGTTGATACAGCTTTTGGTGGGCAAGTCAGCTCGACAGCCAATCGCACTGTCGCAGAGGCTCACTTCTAGGCCTAGCAGTGTGTGGAGATTCATTGGTTGACATTGTCTGCTGGTAGCTCGTTTGAAACCCTGCACGGCATGTAATTGAAGGAATATACAGTAACCAATCAAAATTGTCACTAAAATAGACTGGGAAGATGTAGGTTGGTTTTCACATTTGGGAAATTCATAAAAAAGAACCCGTGCCACTTTCTAGCATTGAAGCATGGTAATCTGCAAAGAAATCCCTTGCATCCCCTCCCCCTCCCCCCTTTTCTGTCAGAATCCTACTGGCACTGCCCGTGCAGTGAGGCACTCTTTTAATGCTGCAGTGTTTGTCTGTCATCCTTGCTTATTTGAAGTACTAGATTTTATTAACATCAGGTATATTGATTTGTGGCATGAGGTTTGCACTTTGATAACCATATAGTTTTGAACTTGAACTCCTTCATGGGAGACATGGGCCGGGCAGCAGTTCTTGTCCCTTATGTGAGGTGTCTGTTATAAACACGGTACTATGTTCTTATTTTTTTATTACTCCCTATTTCAAGGTAGGCGGACTGATGTCTCTTATAACCCAGTTTTCTATTACATCACTGCCTCTTATAAAGGAGCTCATCTGTATTGAGTGTTGTTTTGTAACACACAATTTTATTGATCCAGTATTCTGTTTATTTGCTTGTGTCGTAGGAAAAAAAAAGGTTAAGAGGTTATTTCGCATATACATCCAACTTTATGACAACCTTAGTCTTGCATAATCAAATGAATTTATATGTGCTCTTAGAGCATTTTCTCCATTATTTATGATGAATTGATAGATTTATCTAGCCTTTTGTAAGAGCTCATAAAATAATTATTCGGGCGTCTCAACGCGAGTGCAACTTGCTGCGCCAGAGTGCTCCGAAATGAAAATAATGCTGCTACAAAGTACCCTAAATGAAAAGGTTTTTCTAAATCGTAAATGTCTCCAAGTCCTCGGGAGCATCACTGAGCACCTCAGCTCAGTGACAAGAAGCCGCTCTCGGTCAAGTTGTCTCAAAAGCCACATTGTGTACACACATTATGCCTCCATGTCAGCTCACCGCTTACTGCATTTTCTCTTTCTTGCACGTTTTGAGATAAGGAGATACATTAGCTATGTGTATGACAGTGAAATTTGCCTGACAAGTGAGGGCTAGGAATAAAGTGGCCGCATAAATGTACTCTTGTCACAAACCTAGTCGAGTAGAGTTAATTTATTAACAAAATGAAGCCACACTATTTATGCTTTGAAATTCCTCTTTTACATCCCTCGAACACTCCATATGCTTCTTTGACACTGTCTCAATATATACATTTCAATGTCAAACTTCAGTTCCAGAGCTGGATTGGCCTTTTCAAGTTTTATATCTGTGATAATTTTTGTTTTCATTACATGCATGTACACGAGGAGATTTCCCCGATTTAGTCAGGCAACACTGGTCTGCCTTACCATCTGCCATTAGTCGGCGATGTATCTGATGCTCAGTCGTAAAATGCATGCCTGGGCTTCTCTTTCTTTGTTTGAGTGGACATTGCTGTGATTAAATAGTCTTATACCCTTGTCACACAGGTAGTCTAACTGTAGTGAAGTTTGACGGCAGTTAAGACTAACTGCAATTATAATACTCATATCATAAACCTAACCATAGTTATTCCACCAACCATGGTTTTCATAAAGAAAAGTAGACAATCTCAGTTAATTGTGTAGCGGGAGAAAAAGCTTACAGTATTTTAGGAAATTTAGAAGCATAGCTCCATGTAGTGCACTCCCATCGAAACATTTTAATACTGCTTGGGGTAATATTAAACAAAATTAACAGTGGCACTGAGCAGCAACAGGGCGTACTGTCTACGAGCAGCGTCTCTTTGTATGCCTCTAAGATGCACCGCCTGTGGTACATGTGAATGTGTTGAGACAGCTGCACTACGTGTCCATCTTTTCCGGTTTCATACTCTGGCACTTCTATTTATTTGTAGCGCTCATCCGGTATGTGAACCAGTGCCTGACTGCAAGGATTGTTTTCTTCGTTACCACATTTTTGATTTTGTGTGTGCTGGGACTCTACGCCTATATGTGTGCAAGCGCTGGGTTATGGGAGCCAGAAACAGTTTCTTCTATCATTGTTCACCACAATAACATCAAGAATTGCACATGTCATTGAGCAGTGACGCATAACAGTGCCAGCTACTTTTGCTGCTGCTTTATAGCTTGTAGTCTTGAGGCCATGCATACACTGTCTTACTCCCGAAAACACAATACGTAGAAAACTTCCTACTCTGCAGCCCTCAATCTGCACCTTAGTGTGACATCTCTGTTGGTGTCACTTAGTGATTAAATGTGCTGGCATCTACTATCAGGTCAGCAAAGTATTTTTGGGCAAAAACATTTGTGGTTTTGCGCCAAACACACCAAATGCTATTACGTTATTGCCCTTCCTTGTGCCTTGTTTCTATCTCTGTGCTTTTTCTATGTAATTAACCTAACTAAACTATCAGCACCCTGCTTCAAGTGAGCTCCGTGATAGCTGGTTCCACGTGTTGTCCTTGTGTGAAAGTTCTTTTTTTTTTTATAAGAAACTTGCGGTAATACATGTAAAAGTAATTTCTTCAACAGTTAAACCACTACGCTAAGAGTAATGTTGCGCACACGGGTTATATAGCTACCACTGTGTGTTGTGTGGTGCTGAGATTTCTTAGCAATAGTGGAGATTTGAATGTGCAATAGTTTATTTGATAATTCAAGAAAAATTGCATGTCTATCACTCTGTGTCATGTTTTTTTTTTTTTTTTTTTGATGTTCAATTGCAATGTTATACATGAATGCCCGTGTCTGGTACGAAAGGTGTTTGGCACCGCCAACTTTCGTGGTCATTGCAGCATTCATGGCGCATTTTGACTTTAAATTGTGGTGGCAAGCCGGTAGAAACAGTCATGCACCCTGGTGGGCCGTGAGCGACAAAAAATGTGTAACTGCTATTACGTCTCCATTATAAATTCAACTTAATAAGCAAATATAGTCATCAATTTGCCAAAAAAGGTCATGCGAGCAACTTTCAACCTGCAAGTCTTGATTCCCACTGGTGTTTCAGATACACCTGTGAGTGTTCTGAACATGCGCCCACATTTTGCGCGGTAATAAAGAGTCGAGTGCCACTGTCATAAAGATTCCTTTCCCCTCACAAGCTACCGAAGTGCAGATGCAGCTTGTGCGGCCTTCGTTAAATTCAAAGTGCAGTGCAAAATCTTTAGTCCAAGTTGATAACTCGTTTGTAGTTTCAGGTGAAATGAATTGCATGTGGTGGAGTTTGTAATCAGCAGTTGCATAACCTTAAAGCATCTATTGCAGAACCCATTTCAAGAACCCCTACTAGTGGTTAATCCAAAAGGTGGCGATCGTGAAGTAGGCACATTTGGCCATCAACAAAGCATAGATTTGATTATTGAGCGTGAATCATCTTGAGGCTCAAAAACACTGCCGTGAACTTCACGACTGGAAGTTGGTGCCTCATCTCATTTAGTGACTGTAATAGTTTTCTTCCAGTATGTATGAAACATACTTTTTTTTTTACTGAGTGGTTCTGTGTCAGAAGAACAAGTGCTGTAGAAAGTCCACATACCTTTAAACCATCCTTGTTGCAAACACTCGTCTGCTTGCAGCATAGCAGGTAGCAATAGGTTGCCATTACCAGTAACCCTGCAAAGTCTGTGCTCACAGGAAACTTCTAACTGTACCCAAGTGAAAAAGTTGAGTCTGCTGCTTGCATCTACTCTGGTGGCAGGACTCGTTCAACTAATAGTAGAGGAGAGAGACTTCTCATTGCTGTTGGTAGATCACACTGAATTAAGATCTCTCCCATTGTTTTTCTTTTCACTTCAGCTTGGACCCTTTGTCATACTGAAGTATAGCACTAAGCCAGATTAGTTCATATACATCTTGAATGTTTTTTAATAGCACTAACAAATCCAAACAAAGAAGATGGTACTAGAAGACAGCCTGCTGCAGACCCTCAAGTGGATGTTAATAGGTAAAAGACAGACAATGAACTTTATTCTTATCCTGAGGGCAACTAAGAAGGTCCCCTTATAGGGGAAGAGCCGTCATGGGCAGCTCCCACGTCTGAGCCACCGCATTGTGGTCACTCTGGACGGCCCGTAGCCGAGAGGTGAGGTCCGAGCTCTTGAGCACTTCCTCCCACTCCGCTTTCGTGGCAAGACGATCGTGCCCTAATGAGGGACATTGCCAGAGCATGCGATATATTTATAAATATGGATGAGACATGCCGATTGGGCATCCCAAGAAAAGTTGCACTGTTGTCACAAAGTAATAACTAACAACTGCAGCTCATTATCTGCTAGGGATGATAAAGGTTTGCATATGCACCCAAGTGTGCCTCAAGCAGCTCACAAGTGCTATAGTAGTCCCAGTGGCTGTATAGAATCTTAGTTTTGTTCAGAAGCATGTGTTCTTGCTTTCTTTTTTTATTCTCATTTAAGTGCAGCACCACATAAGATTAACCATCTGATCAGCTATTCTTAAAATACCGTTTTAACTGAATATATTGCGTCTTCCCATCTGTCCAATGTATATTTACCTTAAAGAAAAGGGACACGCCACTTTGCAGGTGTAGGGGGCAAAGACTTCGGCCAAGGCAAGCAAGAGGGCTACAATTGGGAGACTTGTCAATCACACCTTAGGAGACAGATTTGACGTGTGAGAGGCTGGAAACACAGAGTTGCTCCCATAAAACTGAATTATGTGACACAGTATGCTCGTTGAGGGGTGCAGGGTGTCATTTGTTTCGGATGGCCAATGAACACATTTCATACAGTTCTCTTTTCGTGTCACCTTTCACCCAGGAAACAGTTGTAGGTCTGCACACGTCTAGTCTTCTACACTCTTTTTTTGTTGTCTTAGTGCAGTTAAAGCACATTTAAAATGCATTCTGTTATAGTCTAGCCATGTCATTTGCTACTATGACATGTTTCTTTTCTTTCTTGTTACAACTTCCAGGAGCTTGTGGTGACATGGCATATATCTCGTGGGAGATTACCTCTTTCCTTTTTCTTTCCCTACTGCTATGATAGAACAAATGCCAGTCAGAGCAAATTTTACTCTTAAGAAAATGTTGCTAGAAGCACTGACAGATTACATGCAAACCTGAGTTCTTGTTTGTAAGAGTTGCTGGGTGATCACTATGCTTTGATTCAGGCTTAGTTTAACGATTGAACGGCACATATTGTTGAGAAATATGTGCCAAGTTGAATGCCTGGAAAGTAGTAGGCAGACCTGCTTCTGCATGTGGTGTAGGCCTTGTACTTATGCTATAATTATGGACTTGCTTTACCCATATGTTCTTATCATGCTGTTTTTTTCTGCTTGTGGGTAAGTTTTGCTGTACAGAGAAATATTGTCAAATGGAGCAATAACTCTGCCTCAATTCTAGGACACTGGCATAGTCAGGGAAAAAAGGGGGCAGGTGCAGGGTTCCACCCCTTCCCCTTTTTTTATTGTGTATGTATCCAGGCACACATGCAAATGCAAATTGTGGTTTACCCCCTCCTTTCCCTTGCAAAAGGAATTTGTTTATGCCACTGTACTAGAATCTTTTGTTCTGTGCACAGGGCCTGTAGATGTCAGTATTGGGAAAACCGTAGGACTTGTGTTAAAATGCAAACAATACTTTAAATTTTCAAAGGGCAAGTTGGTCAGTTCATGCCCGTAACGAGTTTCATAGTCTTTTTCACTGTTGTAATGCCTTTTGCCTGTGCTTTGTCTACGGAGTGAAACTTACATACGCGTTGTCTGCTATTGTTTGAAATATTGCAATATATGCGAGAGAGTGCTGTGTTTAGCTTCCTTTGTAGATGACACTGGTAAATGCTGGGGACTGTGTGACAAGTTCTGTACAACTCAAAGCACGCTGAGTGATCATTGCTGTTTGTCTTCATTTATTACCGAAATTACATTCCCAAAATGTATGTTGCTCTCTCTCCCAACTTTTTCTTGCATGTCCACGCACAGATTCTTTTTGTTGATTGATACAGGTTAATCAGGAAACTGGTTCGTGCTGGACTTTCATTAAAGCTTTATTATCAATCACTGATGATTGTCTGTCTTCAATAACATCTGCTAGTTATTATTAGTGGCAGTACTTTAGCTTGGCATTTGTTAATGAATCGTCACAGCCATGAAGTGTGAGTAAGCGTGACAGACAGGGATGTATAAGAAAAGTGACAAGGACACTGCATAGTGTATCGCGTACGTGTGGTCGGGCCTTTAAAAGCCGTATACCAGACGTACGCGTTGCACCGCATCAGCGCGGGGCCTTTCGACTTGGCGCCCGCTACTGTGGAGAGTTGCACGGCGTGTATCTTTTCGACGGGCTCCGTGCCCTCTACTATCGCGCCGGGTCTAGAAGCCATTTGCGCATTCGGATTGAGTTCTGAAACGGGGGGTGCGTAGCTCACACCACTACGAAAATAGGCAGAACACATGGAGCACAATTCTAGCGAGGAAGTCACTAGACATACAAAGGTTAAGGAAATAGGGAGTTTTCGATTAGCCTATGGTTGCTGTCACTGCACATGCGTCATAACGCTAACTGCCGTTAGTGTTCGCGGTCCGCCCGCAATTAAATACGAATTAGCGTGCGGCCCGCAAAGCTCCTTTGAGGTAAGCGATCATGTGCCAGTGTTTGCGATTAAAAAACTCGTATATTGCCCATGCGCAAGCGCTACGCTTGCTAACTTAGCGTACGCTATTCGAAAACTTCCTAATAGCGTTACTGTGCTACAGACGTTCATTGCGGACAGCGCCTTTTAGTTTAGCGGGGTAGCGTTTACGTGCCCCAGCTTAAAGGATGGATGGATGGATTGATTGATATGGCTGTAACCTTTAGATCGGGTGGCGGCTCACGCCATATAGCCGTAATACTTAGTGAACAAAAACTAGATTTATCCTTTTTTTTTTTCTTTAAATAGTGAAGTTAAAGACTGGCACTTCGCAGTGAAAAATTTAATTTTCACCCGTGCCCTGATTGCGACCACCAATAAGATAAAAGTATATTGCGCCCTCCCTGTCCCTACGCCAGTGCTTTGAAAAACTATGCGCCATCATCCTGAACTGTAGGGTGAAGCCCTTTGCAGAATGTGTCTGCATACCGTGTCTACCCCTTCGTATTTGGCCTGATAAGTCTTGGCTCGCAATACTCCCGTCCTTGCCTGATACAGTAGAGGACTACCCCGAGTATTATCACAGATCCTTTCCTTGGCAGTTTCCTGCTTAAAAGTTCGATAGATCTCTAGTGCGGACTTTTTAATCATGCCAATTCTCCACATCTCGGTCTCCGTTTCCTTCACCTTCTTCTTAAACCTTTTCAAAGGGACACTAAAGTCAACTATTGAGACGACGTTGATTGCGAAATGGCGGTCCAGAAACCTCGTAGTGTTACTTTTGTGCCAAGGAAGGGTCTATTTTGAAATAAAATCACGCTTTAGTGCTCCACTTCGGGTCAGCGCACTTCAAATTACCCGCCTCAAGAAGCGGACTGACCGGACCGACTCGCGTCACTAGGTCCGTTCGATTCGCCTGCACCACGTGAACCAGTTCACGGGGTGCTGCACTTTGCCATTCATTTCAGAGGTGCAGCATTGACGACCTCTTAACCCTGCCATTCGTTTCAAAAGGTGCAGAAGAGATGCAGCATTGGTTCATGATTTTCGTGCACCTCCTACGCTGATGGTGCCGGCTTGGTGCAGCCGCGCGTGAAGCTGAGCAGACGACACAGCACTTAGGCGTAGGCCCCGTACCCGCCTCTACTAACGCGGTGTGTTTTGCCAAGATGTTTGCGCCTCATGAACTGTCCACATGTGCGGTTCGCCATCGTTCAGTGTTCACTGAACGGTGTAAATTAAGCGAACAGAAATAAGGCCTGCACCTTGTTGGCACATCGTCATTCGTTTCGGGGGTCGCGCTGTGCCTGCACCGCTGAACTCGCGCTGCACAATTTCTGAACTTCGCGTGCACAGCCGTGAACCGATTCCGACTGGTGCAGGTGAATCGAACGGACCTACTGTTGCCGTATACAACGTTGCCCGGCTTGACTGCGCTAGTAGCAGCAGACCGACAGCAGTGGGAGCCACAGCAGCAACAACGGCCATTGATCAATTTCCCGCCATTGGCGTTCAGATCAAAAACGCTTTTGTTTCAACTGCGCCCCGCTAGATGGCATTACCTGTCCAGTGTTGCCCTGCGAAAATTGAATTTTTGAATCACTCGCGCCATTCCCCATAGCAGAGTCTTTTGCCCATAGTAACGTGCAGTGGTTCTTTTTTCCGTGAATCAAACAAAGGAACAAGCAGCATTTTATTGCGTCTCTTGATGCACGGAAGGTTCTTTATTCAGTGCAGTTAGATCGACTACTAGTGATTAATGTAGGCGGTCTATTTGATGTCATCGGGATCATTCTGAAAATTTTTACTGCGGCGCTTGTGTTCTTGTGCATTTACCTTAATTTCTCGGTAAGTAGGGCACTGTTGTTGATAATACTGTCGTTTTAGATGTTGTCATACATTGAGCTTTCACTCTGACGTAAATTGTTATTTGACTTTAGTGTCCCTTTAACCGATTTTTTTTTTTTTTTGTATGGTACCCTTACTCGTCAATTTTCTGGTTCGCTTCCTCCCTCATGTTTAAATAGCTGAAAATCCGTCCTAGCACATCGCTCCTCCCCCATTTCTCTCAATCGCTTTTCAAATTTTATCTTGCTACTAGCTTCCCTGCCCTCGAATGATGTCCATCCCATACAACTTTGTACTCCAGGATTTGGTGTATTCTAGTGAGCTAATAAGGCCCTGGGATGGTGGCGCCTCCTAGCGAAGGAAGAATAAGCTAAAAAAAATCTGTAAAAGAGAAAGAAGACGAGAAGGTTTGCCTTTATCACCACGCAAAGCAATGTTACATTTTTTTTTGTAATAATGAAGTTATATATGAACCACGCACCAAACGCGAAAAAGTTTTTTGCCGATTTGTTTACATCGATTTTATAGTTAGGCCTAGAGACGTTTGAAATGTAAAGCTAACACAAAATCTATACTAAGTTATATGTAATACTCGTTCATTGAAGCTAACTGAAGGCAAGCGAAGCTATTTTACTCTGTCGTTTGCTGCGAACGAAGTGAATCTCTCAACTACGCGAAAAGCGCATCAAAGCGGGCGTCCCAATCCGCCGCCATGTTTTGGTAAAACGTAAAGCACGAAAACAGGGTAAGGTTAAATCTGAAATATAACATGCGTACGGTGAGCGGTGCGGGTCACTTATGGTACAGCGCGTGCGCACTTAGCGCTATTTTACGCTCTTCCCGCGTGACTAAACTGTCTATTACCGTTATCTTTTGAGGACGAAGCACTTCAGTGTCGCACAATGACTGATGGTTGTCGTCGAGGCTCGCCGCCGTCTCTAATCGAAGCGCAGATGCGGAACATCTGTGCGCAATCGTGTACAGCCGGCCAAAGCTATCGTGATTTGATTGATATGTGGGGTTTACGTCCCAAAACCACCGTATATGATTATGAGAGACGCTGTAATGGAGAGCTCCGGTGATTTCGACCACTTGGGGTTCTTTAACGTGCTCCCAAATCTGAGCACACGGGCCTACAGAATTTTCGCCTCCATCGAAAATGCAGCCGCCGCAGCGAGGATTTGATCCCGCCACCTGCGGGTCAGCAGCCGAGTACCTTAGCCACTAGACCACCGCGGCGGGGTGCCAGAACTATAGATCGTGCCTATAGCGGCCATTTCTTTTAAATGCGGAGCATTTTTTAGCCGCACGATGTTACACGTCGGCGTTCTCCACACCCCCACGGCGCATGCTCGTGTATCGCGCCTCATGCTTGTTTCTCGTGCCAGCTGCTTGCACCCCTCCCCACCCCTCTCTCCCGCCTGGCAAGGGGGGGGGGGGAGGTGATTTTAAATGAAGAGAAAAGTGAGCCCCGTATAACTGTTTCTCAGGGGGAAGACACTTCAACAGTAGCTCATGAGGGGTAGTGGTAAAGGAGAAATTAAAAGGATATTATTTAAAGGTAAAGAGAGAGGAGAGGCGCAGAGACAGCGAACGATGGAAGTAAGGAGAAGATAGGAAAGATGGACACGGTCGCAGGATTCTGAGGACGGGGCACCACTCGGCGAGAGCTCATGTCGGCGTCAGGAGATGGCGTTGGGCGAGCCAGTCGGCCAGAGCTGCGCTGCCGTCGGAGATCGCGGGGGCACAACCGGTCGGCACGAAATCCAACGGCGAGTGTCGCAAGGCCGACGCAGGTAGAGTCTGCTAGTAAAAACTGACTGCTCGAGCTGCACAACCGTTCATTGGCCACTACGCGTATATGTAGGCACTGGATCGCACATCAGCGTCCCACCACTTGTTGAAGGCAACGCTCCTTCTTCTAAGGTTGCACGGCGGGCTTGTTGGTAATTCATTTTGTTCGAGGTATAGCGCATCCAGGACGGGACAGAGAAGAACCACCGTATTAGGTTTGTCGCGTGCATCACAGGAGTCATCTACCGGATCCCATTAACGTGTGATGCATGCTATATAGGCCAAACTGGTAGATGCATCAATGATAGGCTGAATGAACACAAGAACAAGGTGGCCAAGGCACAGCCTGAGGGTTTTCTTGCAATTCACTGCAAAGAATGCGGGTGCCAACCCCCTTTAATCGCACCAGCATAATCGGAAAAAGCACTAACCAAATGACGAGGCTCATCATAGAAGCAAAATTCATTGCTAAGTTTGGGGACGCGTGTATAAGCAAGCCATCGATATCATTGTCATTGAAAGAATTGCATTATTTGAATGTCGCATGAGTTGCAGTAGATCAGTTTTCTGGTTCTAACGCGTGGTTGTGGCGCGCCATGTTTGGGTATAAGTATTGCTGTTTCTCAGATTAAACCGCATTGTTGAAAGTTAGCGCCGTGTATGTGTTTTCTTCTCTGTCCCGTCCTGGATGCGCTATACCTCGAGCTCCTTCTTCATTCAATAAATAAAAATATTAAAGACGTAAGAACAATGAAGCATTCCCAAACCATACCCGGTTACGCGAAATTCACGCGATACCCCCACCACTCTGCGACGCATTTACACGAGTTTCCCCCGTGGGAAGATGCGGGCGGCATATTTTGTCTGTCGGCGCCATATGATGGAACGAAGTTGCAAGAAATTGTTGTGTGGGCATGTGCTTTGTGGATATACACTTGTTCCCACTCTTTTTAGAGCTTAATTCAGTCATATGTCGAAGATACTTAGAAAACACTGCCGTTCGCGCACGATAGTTTTGACCGACCGCACATGGTTTAAAAATAGACAGTCTATTTTTACTCTGTCCGTCCTGTACATGTGGGCGACTTCAACGTGGGCATTGCGGAACTTAAGACCTAGCGTCACCCTCTCGTCATCATTCACCTCGTGGAGATGATGTCGGAAACCACAGTGTCGGAAACCAAAGTGTTTGTTTACTACACGCATTTAAAATTAAACTACCTCATCACTTGCGAAGGCACAAAAATGCGCATTATTTTTTAAAATGTAAAAGCCGACAAGACGAAGAATAAAAACGCATACACACGCTTCATATAAGCAAATTGTTCAAGAGGAAAATAACTATAAGGTTAGAGAACAAACGTGTTTAAAGTTACAGTTTGCAGACTTGCAGCTATATCACCGTAATCAATAGATGCTGCGCCTTATCACCACCCACTTTGGCAATTACATCGCCACCTGCCTTGGCAAAATGAACGGAAAAAAAGCTAAGTTTTTCACGACTAGTGGCAAATGCTCTGGGCTCAAAGGATTTCGCTTGGAGGATTTCAAGCTGGACGGTTGTGCCCTCGCGATCTCCGACTTCAGCGTAGCTCCCGCCGACTGGTTCGCCCTCCGCGGTCTCCTGATGCCGTGCAGCTCTCGCATTGTGGCACACCGCCCTTGGACTGCTTCGACCGGATCCCCACTTTCCTATCTCCTTCTTTTTTCCTCTCGTTGGCTGGCGGCTTCTTCTCCGTCTATTTTCCTTCTATTCTTTTTATCCCTCCTTCCTTCTCCCTATATCTTTTATTCCCCATATCCCATTCCTCTGCTGACCTGTTGAGGTGTCCTCGTAAGGAGGGACAGTTACGGGTCGGCACCTTCCTTTTCTTTTCTTCTGATATAACCACTTATATTTCTAGGCGCCCCCCCCCCCCCTTCCTTTGCTCGCTCTCTCCTTTCTCTTTCCTCTCTTCGCTCAAGTCTATTATCCCCCATTCCCCTTCCCATGTGAACCACTGCTGAGGTGTCGCACTTAGCTGCAGACAGTTGCGGGGTTCACTTTTCTTTTCTTTTCCAATTTTAAGAACCACTTCCCCCCCCTGGGCTCAAAAGGCAGGAATCTTTCAAATTTCCAGGAACATAAATGTAAATTTTCGCAAATGGATTAGAAACTTGCGAGCACTAAGGAATTTCGCGGCCATTACTTTCGGTAGTTTAAGGTACCGGTGTTCGGTACGAGCGAGCTTTTAAAACACTCGTGCTTTTTTTTTTTCATTGGTTCAAAACCGCGAGAAAAAGCGTAACCGTTTTTGTCACGCCTTTTTTTTTTGTTGTTGTTGTTATCTTAGGCAGTATCGAGCCTTAGCTTTATCTAAACGATTTTGAATGGCAAACAAACGCAAAGAGGCGTTGTAGTGATCGAATTACCTCACAAAGCCTCCCCTGTGGGAATCGAAAGTTTTCACGACGAACAAAAAATATATAGCGGGTCACCATTAGAAATGCTGACAGTGCAGCAAGTTGGCATCATGGTGCAGCCCATGGCGTTCTTGCAAAAGTAAAAATCCTGCGCTCACGTGCAGCGCACTCGTACAGTGGGGTAATACGCACGCCAATGGCGTCGTTTTCCGGCGAGAGTGAAAGCACCGGATCACTCATCGGAGATTGCTGGTCACGTGGCGAGCCAGGTCCAATAGGAATTGTGCACTGAGCTGAAAAATTGAATTGCTGCACAAACTTGAAGAAAAAAAACAAGAGAGACAGGAAAGAGTGCAGCCTTTCCTGTCTCTCTTGTTTTTTTTCTTCAAGTTTGTGCAGCAATTCAATTTTTCAAGTATGAACCAACTAGTCTGCAAAAAAGTATTGCTTCAGCACTGAGCTGGTAGCGCCACAGTGCGGGAGTGAACGAAAGCGACCGACGTGCTCCGTGCAGCAGTCGCCGTATGAGAAGAGCCATGTGTCTGTTAACGGTGCTTCGATTGCAGTGTCGCGTATGGATAGCCGTGTTGTAAGCCGGCCGTGCCAACAAACTACAAATTACGCACCAGTTTCCGGCGTGACTTTGCTTCAAAAACAAGCGGGAACACTTTACCGGGTAGGGTACGCCGCGTTAACCAAATGATTCAGCGGGGGTGTGTGCGGTCGTTATACAGTTCGCTGTGAATTAGCGCTCCACGCAAGTTAACTGTTATTGTTACAGTGCTGGGACAGACTCCAGGCAGCCAGCAAAGTGAACTCGAGTCGGCAGTATACATATCCTAGACGAAAAGTCAACGTCAGATCTATCGGAGGAATCAACTTTGCTCATAAGAAGACGCTGGCCTTAGAGTGGCTCCAGGTGGCCAGCGACCCTTTCGGCCTTGGCAGCAATCGCTAGCTGCTTTTTCTTAATGGGTGTCTTAATTAGCTCTTCCCACGCTGACCGTGAGGGTCAACGATTCTCCCTCGTATGCTGCTGCTGTTTTTACGTCGTACTGCGGTTTACCTGGCGGCGCAGTTCGTTAACGGGTATCGTTAGCAATCCCCGCGCGCACGGCAAAATGCGTCCCGGACCGCAAGAATTTTAATGCTAATTCTTTGTACTGCTTCTATTTCTCTACGTGACAACTAACGTATTACGTGCAAAGCTCAGACGTGATGTGTTACATTGTTGGTAGTGGTGGGTGTATGGTCTACTAATGGTAATAATAATAGCTTTGTGGTCGCTGTGACAAGACGAATTTGTTCCTTTCGTCGAGCGTCACTTGTCTATAAAATCTCACGACGTTACGCTACCGGTCCCGTGACTAAAAGTCACGCAACACTTAGTTAGTTGAGCAAAAATTACATATTAAGTCATGCGGCACGTAATAGCTAATAACGTGGCATGTTCTTGCGATGAACCATGTTAGCCACGTGACTGAAAACGCCTCGTCACAAGAGTCGAATCTCGTAACAGTTATCGTGACATACATGTTTCCGACGTGCACCACGTACAATGAGTCACGTGTCATGTTCTCGTCAAAAACTACGTAACGAACAGCTATCACATCATAGGATATCATGTGATAACATCGCCTTTTGGCCGTAGATAAGGTAATAGTCCAGCAACGGGCGAGTTACTGGGGAAATGGGCCTCGCAACTGAGAACATTATTGAGTGTCTTGCGAGAGCACATGCTTTTTAAATTCATATTTTGCATATTATTTTTTAGACTGCGGTTCTTCTCCAATCCTACGTGGTACTACGATCACGAAAGCTCACAATGAGCGTCTGTTTTCACTCGCACGAACCACAGGCACTGAGTTTTTCAGGGCTGACTTTAGTTGTTCTGTCCTCGATCATAGTTCCTTTCAGTTGCCTGCAGATAATAAGATTGAATCTCACAACGAGAAGACTTTCGCACTTCAGCACATTTAATCCCCGTCGCTTACTGTCGGAGCAAGTTCTGGAGGCTTGCCAGTGGACGTGATAAACCCGCGCAATTTTCAGACACCTGCGAGGGAGGAGAAACAGAGTGGCATTTCCCTTTCCGCTCATGATAGCAGGAAAGCGTGACGTATTCCTGACACTTCAAGAGGAGCCGCTTGCGTCATTGTCAGGCCTACGGTGATTTACTTTTTTGCAGAGCTCTCGCCTTCCCCGATGTCTGAAGCACTTTCCTGAAAAAGAACAGTGGAACAGATGTTGATATAATTCAAGAGACACATACGGACACTTAAAAGGCAAAACACACCAGAAATCCGTTTGATTTGCCGCCAAGCAACCGGCAAACCACGCCGTGACATACCTTGCCGTGATCCTGACGTGGAAAAATAGGCCTGAGACCGAATTTCTCGCCGCGCGATAGCGGTACGCTTTTCCGCTTCACGGTAGACCCTACTATGGCCCTCTAGCCACCATAGCTGTACTTTCGCTGCGATAGTACAGTGTCTAGAAACATACTCACAGCATTATTTCTAGGCACTATAGCGATAGCTTGTAAACCACGTGACGTACACAACCTGCTGCAATTTCAACATGGCAGCCAAGGAGTCGGCGGTGGCGTAGCGGTGGTTCGCATCAGCGCAGTCGCAAAGTACGCTTGCATCATTGCAAGGCTCACGGCCTCTGCAAGGACGCGTTTATCGAGGGCCTGGTTTGGATTGAGATTGCTGACAAGACTGGACATTGAAGAGGCTGTCTCGAGCCAGCATGCCCCAACGTATGTCGCTTTTGCACAGCCGGCTGAATCAGCCGCTACCGGTGTGTCCGCTCGTGTTTCTGCTTGTGTATCTCCCGAAACAACGTTGGAAAAGGTAAAAACTGTTTTTTTTTTTGCCCGTTTGCATGCATAGCTTGACTCTGGTACTAAATTTAATGCTCAGGAAACGTACAAAATGAAATGAGCTCTCGAAGTGGTGAAGGCGGAGGAAACACGCTTGAGGGACAGTACAGATGTGAAGATGCTTGACGCGCGAACTAGGTTTTCCGGCCGCTCTGGCGTTTTCGCTTTTCACGTGTGAATATACTATTGGTAATATTGTTTTTCGAAAATGTTCAGCCAAAAACATGACTTCAGACTGTAATCCACAGCGTTGATTGTAAATGCTTCTTTTTTTTTTTGCTTTTCGTGTGTGTTAAATGGCACGTCTACAGCAATCAAAAGCACGCTTAAGCTTCGCCTTCGGGAATAGAAAGTGATGACGTAATCGCGCCCCGTACGTCGCCTCTTGAATTGCTAGACGCTTCAGATCTCGGTGGTTGCCTAAACCGCGTCGCAAGTGGTATAGAGCCTGAAATCTGTGGCACACCTCCATACTTCGGCCAAGAACTGGCTAGTTATAACAGAATACCTTAACTGCTTACGTCTTTTAAAATGAAAAACGAAAACAAAAAAGAAAGAGAGGGGGGCACAAACAAGTACAGTTTCAAAGTGCCCACTACGCCATAAAATTCCTTCTGCGAATATGCGAAGGGCCCACTACCCGAACTTAATAAATGGCTGCTCACTTGGTTTATGTTTTTGCTGCCACTGATGATGATAAAAAAAAAAAAAGTCGGGGCTCTTTGTAATGGATGGGCCGTTAAAACACCCACAGTTGCACAATTCGCATGTTCTGACGCCTGGCACGATTCCACGCTTCTGCAACGGAATATTACATGCGTTGAGGAGATCCTTCTCACTGCATGACATTCATATACTGTTTTCTTGAACCACTTTCGAGCAACGGCGTGCCTCTGTTGTGGAACACCTGCTTCCTTTGCAACAGATGTAAGTTTTAGTCGGCCTTGAACCAAAGATTTTTTGTTAGTTATCTTATTTTCACATTAATTTTTTTGGTCACGAACAACGCGTACTAAAACCACGATTATGAAGCACACTGGTCTGAAAAAATAACGCTTCATTTGAATTCAATGCGATTCTTAACACTAGCGGAAAGGAATTCTCCTCCATGCACTGAAACACGGTCATCGCCGTCAGAAGTTGAACCAGCGCTTTTGTGCTCAGCAGCTAAACGTGTACCTTGCTAAACCACCATAACGGACTTGAAAAAAAGTACACCGTAAATAATAATAATAATAATAATAATAATAATAATAATAATAATAATAATAATAATAATAATAATAATAATAATAATAATAATAATAATAATAATAATAATAATAATAATATAATAATAATAATAATAGTTAGTTAGTTAGTTAGTTGTGGTTAAGCGCATTCGCCTTCGGCCACGGCCTTCTTCAGACCAGAAAATGAAGAAAAACAGTGACACGAAATAGAATTAAACAAATAATGCTATATATGGTGTGCTCTTACCTCGGCTTCGATTGGCTTCAATTCTATGGACACAGCCGGCGCTGCCAAGGCCTCTTGCCCAGCTTGGATCTGAGGACTTTCTACGTAGTGCGGAACTATAAGGGAAAAAAAAAAAAAACAACCCATGGTGATAAGAGAAGAAACACTATGAACAATGTCCACTTCCATGGATGGATGGATGATGTGGCAGTACCCTTTAGATCGGGTGGCAACTAACGCCACCTAGCCGTAATACTTAGTGAACCACCAACTAGATTTATCTTTTTTTCCCCTTTAAATAGTGAAGTATAGGACAGGTACTTTGCAGTGAATGGTTTAATTTTCACTCGTGCCTTGACTTTAGCCACCAATCAGATAACCTCCTTGTATTTAATTCTACCTGCTTAAAGTTTATTTTGCCCTCCCTGTCCCTAAACCCCAGTGCTTTGAAAAACTCTGCGCCATCATCCTGAACTATAGGCCCTTTACAGAACATTATCAAGTGTTCGGCAGTTTCTTATTACTCTCTACACGCACTGCATACCGTGTCTACCCCTTCTTATTTCGCCCGATATGTCTTTGTTCGCAATACTCCTGTCTAGCCCGGCCGTGGCTGTGCATAGGGTGCCTTGATGTATGCACGCCTCATCGAGGCACCCTAGCCGTGCGACCTCTCCCTCCATAGGGCCACCCGCTGGCGCGTTCACTCCGAAAGAAGATCGAGTAAAAAGGGTGTCTTTTTGTCCCACAACAATAATCATCTGTCTTGCTTGCGCTTCCTTTCTTGAACGCTCAACGCTGGCCACTTTCCTATCAACAATGCTATGCATGAAAGTGACGGACGCGCAGCGGTAATGCAAAGAAAGGAACGCAAGATAGAGGAAGATTATTGTTGTGGGATAAAAACGCACCCTTTATCGATATATTCTTGTGAAGCGCACACGTGTTCGATGCCCAAACCTCATGGCTTAGTCAAAAGCTGACGCGTTAAAGAGCGCGTGGCTTTCTGACGTGGCGCCGTGCACCGTTTTTTATGTAGAGAGAGAGGAGGCTTGGAAAATGCCCTTTTAAAATCGAAGCTTATCAGATAAATTCGATTTGTCAAAAATTTTACCGGGGAGTGTTTATCGCATTTTTTTCGAATTTATTTGAAAACACGCGGAGCTCTAGGAATATAGCTAAGCAGATAGATGTCCATTCAAGAGAGGGAATAGAAGCCGAGGGAGAGGAGTAGTCTAGCTAAGAGGAGAACAAGGGCGATCAGGTGCACGGAAGAGCGCAAGTGTCAGGGCAGAGCCGGGCGAAGGAGTGCCGTGCCGATCAAAGGTGGCGACATCAGCTCTACTAAGTAAAATGCGATATGGTAGATGGTAATGCTTAAACCTTGCTAAACCCTCCTCTACTTTGCCTAGATTTGCGTTACTTCGCCCTCCATCGCCGAGGCCTCTCCTCAGCTCCATAGTCCCTTTGTCTCTTCAACGTCAAGTCAGATTCAGCTAAAGCTCCACGCAATTTTTAGGTCTCTTATTTGCAATGAATTCATACTGACTCGCCTTAAGGACACTAGTGCAAAACAGCGCGACGATAAGGGGCGTCATTTTGGTGCGAAGCACTCACAATATCTTCTCTGTCGGTAGATATTGCTCGCTCCAGTCGGCATGCCAGCGTCGTCCCGTGCAAACTCGGGCTGCGCTGCTGCAGCGGCGTTGAAGGGCACCTGTTGTTGTTTCCGCAGGGCAACTTGTCTGCAAAATAAATAGTAAGTGATCCCCAGAACACATTTATAACGACTATATATAGATGTTGCCCGCAATCGCATCAAATCACAACAGCCGCGACGTCCGCATCAAGAACGGGAATGCTGGCGCCATCTGGGACACAACTGTTGTTGTCGCAATGAGTGCAGACACTGGTGACCGGCTGTTTACGTGCGCCGCGGCCAATATAGGCAAGAGCAACTAGCTCAATATTCCGTACTACTGAAAATTTCTCGGATACAGCTTTTCGCAGGAGCGCCCTCGAACCGGTGAGCTGTAGGGTTCGATGGTATGTGTTGTTATCGTGCTTTGCACTGTGCATGTCGTACGTGTACGCTTGGATGTAGGGAAGTTTGCTGCGGAGACAAGATATTGCCTTCCGATAATGTGGTATTTCATTCAGCATATCAAAGTGAAACAAATCCCACATGACGTGATCGTTTTCCTATAGTGTGGCATATCGTCTACATACCAAAGATGAAACTTAAGCAAGCGACAGCTTCCTTGCTGTCTCTTCTTTCCAGCTGAGCTCGTTGAGCTTACGTTACCGTCCAGCCGTTATCACCTTTACAGCTCGCATATCTCATTGCACCAGTCGCGCCTTGCAAGTCACGCAGCCACACCAAAACGTTTTCTGCCCCCTTCTTTCCACGGACATCATCTAAATGGAATGCCCTTTGCCACAGCACTGCCGCCACCTGGTTGACTTTATTTTTTTCAAAGTATAACACATTACCTGTCACACAATCGGCATACCATTTGTATGATTTCTGAATGTCAACCTCTATACATAACGCCCCCTTGTGGGGTTTTTAAAGAAGTGAAGGTAAAAGAGAATCGAGAAAGGGGATCAAGGTGGTGGTGATGCCGGCATAAGCTCTATATGATTTACAAGAGTAGAAAGTTGGGCTAGTTGGTGCGTAGTCATCTTTGCAAGTTTTTTTTTAATTCAGCGCGCGAACATAGAAAAAAAAAAAACACAAGGTAGACAGAAATAGCGCTTCGGCGCTCTTTCTGTCTTCCCTGTTCTTTTTTTTCTATGTTCACGCGTTGAATTAAAAAAAAACTTGCAAAGATAATGTCTATTTATTGGGCTTGATTCGGGCTTTGCAACTGTACCGGCCTGCCATATACAAAACAATGTAGCCCGGCCTGGGCCCGCGGGATGAGAAGATGTAGGCCTACCTATGTCCGGCCAGCGGGCCGGGCTTTCGTGTTACCCGAAGAATGTGCGCACTTCTACCATTCAGCACATTACGCCACGCACCCCATGGCGGAATGGCGGTCGCCGGCGATGTGCGGAGTATACAGCCGGTGACCTCGAGGGCTTATTTCGGGCAGAAATAATCTCTTACAGATCATGCAGTTTACATAAATATTTAGGCGTAATAAACCTTACGCCTTTATTATCAATCAGAAATCGTCAGACCGTGTTATGGCCTCATTTAACACATGTGCCTTTCCATCCGCTGGTGGAAAGAGAGCTTGCTTCGGCCCTGGCAGCTCGGCATGCCAAAGCGAAATATCGTAACTTTGTAAACAAGCGTTTATTAGGCTCAATATTTACCTGGCTTTACTTTTTGTCATGTTCTTCTCACGCTATATGTAGCACTTCTTTCCGCATTTACTCAAAAGTTCTAGTATACATATTTTTTGAATTTTGGTTTTCTTACATTTGATGTATAACAGTCAGCATAAGTTTTTCGTACTTTACTCTGAAGTGTAATGTTGGGATATCCCGAAGAAGCAAATTTAAGTTGAGGGCGAACAAATGCAAGATGGAATAAAGCGCCTGCATTAATCAATGTAATACGTGGGTTCCGAAGTCAATATAGTACAACCACTGAGTGGAGTTGCAGCAGATTAAGTTATTTATATGAGTAGCCCAAGTAATGTTTCATTATATTCGGAATAACAAACGTTACTGTTGTATAGCATATATTATGGAAATTGCAGTGAGTGAAGGATATCACGTTTCTTAGGATTAGCTTACACAATCGCCAACAGAGGACGACTGAGGTGGCCACCCACCTCGTGGCATAAATACATCGGTCTATGAAATAAATTTTAATTTTTTCGTTAAAGACATACACTGACAAGTTGACCGTTCACACTTTGACGCCGCATTGCTATTTACTAAGCAGCTCAAGATCCGTGAGCGTTAAAAAGGCACTACGTACACACAACAGGCGAACAGGCAGAGGACCACCACTGTAACAGGGATCACCGCAAGGATTCCGAATCCAAAGGAAGATGTCCCTGCATAGCGAAAGAGAAAAAAAATGATAGCAATGCTCAGCTATGTCCTTGAAGATCAACTTTGGGCGGTCCGTGCAGGCCGGTGAAGCCGCCAGGACCTTACCAACTGCTGGCCGACACCTATAGGTGGAACCTGTTGCCAATCTACAAATTCGCAGGACCTTTCGTATATAGACAGTGCAGAAGCTTCGGCTGCATGCGCTAGGAACGAGACAACTGTGTAGAAGCAGGCAGGACGAATGCAGGCTAACAACTGATTTAAAGAAATCGCATGCACTGCCCTTCTGAAACAATGCGCGTGCACAATGACATTCATGACCACAAGGTGAACTACCCTCCCTCATAAATCAGTTGCTATCCACCTTTTCACTCAAGGTTCGCTGCAGGGCACCATCGTAGTCCTTTCTGGGCTGTTGTTAGTGTGCGTGAACCCCCCCCCCCCCCCAAAAAAAAAATGCACTGCCGAAGCTGTGACGTCGGTTTTTGTACTCTCGTGCAACAGGCCAGAAAAGAGGAAATCCTCCTCTCTGTAAAAAAAGGTATATGGTCTGCGTTCGTCCTGTCTTGAGCTTCCTCTACCCGGGGATATATGCTCAGACTTGTATAAGTTCTGTAATCAAAGGGCGCATCTCAATCATATACTGTGGGCTTGCCCCTCTGTGACAGGGCAAAATAAAAAAAGTCAGTAATGGAGGGCAGTGGGAGATCACATTGCTAAGCGCACACCCGAAAGTGCAACTCGAAGTCTTTCGGCAAGCCGAGGATGCCGCCAGAGCGCAAGGACTCATGGCGGCCTCCTATAGGGGAAGCAGATAATTCTTCCACGCCATGCCGGTTTTGTTTTCTTTAATAAAGTTATTTCCTCCTTGTGTTGCACTTGCGCACGAGTCCACAATGAGCCGTGAGAATGTTTCATAATGGTGCTGTAATAGTGGGGTTACACGCACTTTTACGATCGCCCTTTGCCCTCTCCTGCACTCTTCGAGGGCTCCGGGTAGCCTCTCGAGAAGGAAGAGTAGGGAGCGCGCGTGTACAGTGCTCGAATTCATTCTCACTGTGGACGCAGCTCCAACTTCCAGAGAAGCTCCGCTCCTTGACGAAGCCATCTTTGCAGGAGCAGATGCCGCGCCAGCAGTAACCGCGGTGGCATTGGTGATCAGTTTGGCACTCCCGCTCTGCTGACGATCCGTTGTCCCCCTCCTTGGTAGGCCTGTGCGTCACCGGTGCTGCGAGGTAGTAGGAAAGTATTTGTGACAGACTTAGCAACAGCGGAAACTGCTCAGGCACGCTTAACTTTGCTCGTCTCCTCCTTATTAAAGAAGGAAAAAAATCTTGCGTTCATCATGCGTTCAGACATAACAGTGAAGCGAGAAGCACTTTTTTATAGCACTTTTTACTGTGTGTGAATCCACCGAGGATGCCCACCTTCCTTGCAGAGGTACGGACTGTGATGGCCGTAGCGGCAAGCGCAGATACCATCTATGCAGTGCACCATTTCAGGGTTCTGGCACTCGAACGCCCCGGAGCATTCTGCACCTAGAGGCTCTGCACAAAACAAGTGAAGCAAACGTGTCAGCATTCTCTCGGGTATTGCTTTTATATGATGCAATGTGTGAACAGCCGCCAGGAACAGACCACGGATACAGGGTTCCCCAATTTTATTTATTTATTCACAACCATTCCTACAGTAATGCATTCAGGCAGGCTAGTTGGTGCATCGCTCTTAAACGTTTTTTAACTGCTTGAAATGACCAAGACACGAGTAAAAAACAAACAAAATACCAAGAGTGCAGACTGCCAAATGTTTATTTCCTGGTAAGCAACAGATACTTCTAACAGAAACCTGGACACGTGACCAACATGTAAATGTCACATGCGCCGACAAAAATACTAACATTGCTGAATAAGAGTGGAGCTACAAGATAGCGGACAAACGTACAACGCAAAACGTGGTACCAATCTGTTTTGTATTTTCTTACTCGTGTCTTGGTAACATCGCACAGTTCAAGAACGGTTAACAGATAATATTGCAACGCCGTGTTAGCATCATGCAGGGGAGATGGACATGTTTCTTATACATATAGTCAAACATATCTCTTAGATATATTTTAAATGGTGAATGCTACAAAAAGTACAATGTACAAGTGACAGATCGATGATAAGAGTTCGTACGTACTGTTCGAGGTATAGCGCATCCAGGACGGGACACAGAAAAAAACGCAGAACACATACACGGCGCTGACTTTCAACAATGCTGTTTAATCCGAGAAACAGCAATACTTATACCCAAACATGGCGCGCCACAACCACGTGCTAGAACCAGAAAACTGATCTACTGCAGCTCATGCGACATTCAAATTCATTGAAAGAATTACATTATTTGAATGTCGCATGAGTTGCAGTAGATCAGTTTTCTGGTTCTAGCACGTAATTGTGGCGCGCCATGTTTGGGTATAAGTATTGCTGTTTCTCGGATTAAACCGCATTGTTGAAAGTTAGCGCCATGTATGTGTTCTGTGTTCTCCTCTCTGTCCCGTCGATGCGCTATACCTCGAACAACATGAATAACCAACAAGCCCGCCGTGCAACCTTATTCGTACATACGTCGTGAGTATACATACTTTAACGCATTGCTGAAATACAATACATAACAGGATGCAGTTTACAACAATAATTACCGTTTACGAACGAAATGGCACGGTACGCGAGTGACAGAATTCAAGAATATGCCGACGAGCTTTGTGACGATGCTAGTTGCTGCTAAGGTTGAAAATAAGTTACTCGGTACTCGTGGCACTAAAAGAAACCCCGTATGCGTCCTATATTGTACTAGAAGTTACGTCTAAAGCCATATTTAGTTGTAAAGAGAACATAATTCGGCTTTTTTATGTTATTTAGCTAAATAGGTACTGAGCCAGGCGGATTTTCGGGATCACCATGAGTGCGAAAGCCGAAGCATTGCACCTATGTTCGTATACATGTTTCATGTTCGAAGGCACGTGACAATCACGGCTCGAGCGCACATCTTCGGTCGGGGTTCGGAAAGGAGAGATAAAATGCGGCCGCTGCAGCTGGGATCTTTGAACAATAAATCTGATTTTGAATAAGCGGAAAGGTAGAATTAAGTGCACAATATTTTCCCACTTCTTAGTCCTCAGGCCATAGACAAGCTCCGCGCACCTGCATGTGGTTTGTCCAGATCACAGTTCTCTACGGAGAAGTTTTGGGCCAGCAACTTTGTAGTAATATTAAGCGTTGAAGCAGCATTTGAAGTCGCAGACTGAGGTTGATTATCAGATGTATACCTAATAGCAACTTGATGTACCGAATTCTGGTTGAAGAATAACGTTCCAGCAGTTCGGTTCACTGAGGATATCTATCAACGTGATAGCGTTAACGAGCTCGTTTCGTAAAGATTCCGGCGTCGGCGTCGATGTCAGTGGTTGTGAGCGAGAAATCATCATCTTTCTGTGACAGAAAAATTGAGAAAGATGCTAATAAAATAAGTAATAAAAATGTGGGTCTGGGCGGGGACCGAACCCAGGTCGTCCGCTTAGTAAGCGGGGTTTCTACCACAATGCTGCGCCCCTGCTTGTGAATTAAATGAAAATAACTTCCTCTGCTTGGAGATGCAGTGAAAGTCACTAACTTCCATGCCTTACAAACACACGCGTCCTGTATACATGCGTCACAATACATGAAATATTGCAGTAATAATGCGTGGTGCAAGCTTACATTGCCAACGGGCGTCAGAACATGTGATTATAATAATTACTTAATAGTTTAAAGCTATTCATCCACTACGAAAGGCACACACGCTACTGCACCATCAAGGCCACGTATGGTATATACATGCACGCAACTGCCCCGCCGTGGTGGTCTAGTGGCTAAGGTACTCGGCTACTGACCCGCAGGTCGCGGGTTCGAATCCCGGCTGCGGCGGCTGCATTTCCGATGGAGGCGGAAATGTTGTAGGCCCATGTGCCCAGATTTGGGTGCACGTTAAAGAACCCCAGGTGGTCGAAATATCCGGAGCCCTCCACTGTGGCGTCTCTCATAATCATATGGTGGTTTTGGGACGTTAAACTCCACATATCAATCGTTACATGCACGCAACTGATTGATATGTGGAGTTTAACGTCCCAAAACGATATACCACATGATTATGAGAGACGCCGCGGTGGAGGGCTCCGGACATTTCGACCACCTGTGGTTCTTTAACGTGCACCCAAATTTGAGCACACGGGCGTACAACATTTCCGAGCACGCGCTCCAGCAAATTGAGCTCTTTTTGAGATAAGGCCACAGACAGCGTACTCACACACAGCTTCGCACATTTTGCGATAGCGTTCGCCTCAATACTTTCCCTCGCCAACTGGTTACGATTGCGGCCCAACACGGCTCACTGATCAAAGATACATTGACTCGCGCAATACTGTTTTTTTTTTTGCTTTTTTAAAATTCCAGATAGTCCATTTGGGCACTCATTTTTAACTTCGACCTTTTCGGTGTTCTGTGAGACGCATGAGGTCGCCGCTTCTGCAGTAAGCTTAGTGCGAAAATTGATTCATGTCTGACAACTACACACTAAATTATTCAGCAAGTGATTGGGACATAGCTAAGCGACAGCGCTGCGTTTGACAGGAAGAATGTCAAACTTCGACGATGTAGTGCTGTCGCTACTAGATTTCTCAACACTGGCAATTTCACTGTACATAATTAGGCAGAAAGGGTACTAAAACTGTGTAGTACAATGTAAGAAAAGAAAAGGGTTATTTCCTTCATATCGACACTCGGCGAATTGCCGTGCTTTACTTTCTGACGTCCCAAGTGACAGGAAGGAGCGTACGTACGTGCTTCCTCGGCGCCATGCAGCGGTAGCGTCGTTGCTGCCAGCGCGAGCAGCAGCAGCGGAGCGCCTGCCCTCCATAGCATCGGCGCCGCATTCCTCATTTAGCGCGAGCTCGCCGGCCTCATCGGGTGCGCGGCCTCGCTCGACCCGAAGCTCCCCTTTTCACGGCCAGCAGTTGGGCAGCGAGTACGCCGCGGCTGATGCGGCTCCTCCGTCCGCTCTCCGATGTCGCGTTGCCCGCCACCATAGCGAGCAACGCTTCGTTCCCCGCGCTGTGGATGCAGTTTCCCTGGTTTCCCGTTGGCTGATGCCTCGTCAGCGCCTGGGAGCGGCCTCGAAGGGGTGAAGTAGGGAACGTAGACGCCAACGTTGGGAAGCGCGAACATTTTTCGGGTTCTCAGTAAGTGTTACACGGATGCGGGCGCCATCTGTTGGTGAAAAAGGTCAACTTATTTGTGCTACTCGCGTTATGCATTTAAGCTGTTAGAACCCTCTCGATCTCAACAGATGTATTGAACCTGTGCATACGCACGTGCACAGGGGCGCTAAGTTGAACTTATACCGTCACTGCTTAAAGTGCACGGTGATAGCGGCCGAGTACCTCCGGTGTTACTTTCTAAGAACTTCCATTTTTATCCCCGGAAAGCCGAGTACCGAGAGCAGGCTGCCGTGACCAGCACGTCATCGAATCATATTCATTTTCGCATTCATTTCAAAGAAGCCTTTTTTTGAAGGGGGGGATTCTCCCGAAAGGAAGGGGGCTGAAGGCTGCGAAAAGACTTTGCACTTTTCACCCCCCCCCCCCCCCCACACACACAAATCTAAACCTTGCCAGTATATGCATTACTGGTTTTCTATCGCCTATTTTGCCTATGTGGAACATTGTCAGTTATAATCACACAGCATTATATGCCACATTTTCAACGTAAAGTGTTGTCCTTATTGGTTGTCCTTGCCTTGATTTTAGGCGACATTACTTTTTCCCGCCGTAGATTTTTCACCACTCGCTGGGGCGGTGCTTGGCGCAACGCAGCAAAGGCATGTATAGCATAACCACATGTAGCATAGCGTGCGCTGGCGCCAGAAATAGTTCTTCTTCCTCTTGTTCTTAGAACACCTCGATAATGAAATTAATATAATTGTTGACGTTTAATGTCCCAAAACGACCATATGATTATGAGAGAGGTCGTATTGGAGGGCTTCGGAGATTTTGACTTCCTGGTGCTCGTAAACGCGCGCCTAAATCTAAACACACGGGCCTCAAGCATTTTCGCTTCCATTTGATGATGAAATTACGGCAAGAAAAAGCCATACATAGCATAAACATTTGTAGCATACTGAGCGCGCGCTCGCGCCAGAAATAAAGTCGTATTCGGGCTTCTTCTTGTTCTTCGAGCACCTTGATGGTGATATCAAGTGACATCACCATCACTGAAATGATTCAAGTGATATCATCACTGATGATATCACTTGAAAAAAAAAATAAAACCACGTGTAGAAATTGCAAAAAAAGAGGAATCAAGCGATAAATAGTAAGGAAGGGGAAAATAGGAAGAAAAGTAGCAATAAACAAAAATGCATAAAAAACTGGAAAATAAAAAAGAATAGAAGGAAAAAGAGGGGAAAAGAAAGAGAAAATCGAAGAGAAACTAAGGAGGCTGCTGAGCTCCGCACTTCCTTCATGATTAAAACCTCAACTGTTCGTAGGGGAAAGGGGGAGGGATAGTCGTGACAAGTGAGTTCCTTCAGATGGCGGTGAGGCGCAGAGATTGGCGAACATTTGGCACGGTGTTTGCCAGCTGTAACTGTGGTGCCACATTTTGTGAAATCGACCAAAAGAACGCCATCTTTTTTTTCGTCCCAGAAAACAGTATCCATCACCTTCCGAACCGCGTAAGGATTATGCTTAACCTTTTTCGCTTCTGGTGAATAGGAATGATACCACTACATTGTTTGCTTTTTGTTTTTGTTTCTGCAGTGGCTTAGGGTCTGCCCGAGTCTGAACACCTATAACACTGTGCGAACGCAAATAATCTCCATCTTGTCGATGGCGGTCCAAAAACGCTTGTCTACTTGACAACGCCCGTTATACTTGTGGTACGGGCTGGGGTACTTTCATTTATATCTTTTTTTATTTTTGCCCCACAATAAATGTATGTATTCGTGTATACTTGACAATGTTTGTTGTTTATAAACAACAAACATTGTTCTTCATATCTTACATATTTCTTACATATCAACTATAGTTGATATGTAGGAATTTAACACAAGAGTGTTTCACGTCGGCAATCAGCAACACTTCATCGGCATATTTTGGTCGCGGATGTGTCGTTGTAAATTTGCACTATTGCATGACAAAAGAAGTAGAAGAAAACGTTTCGTCACCAGGAACTTATACTGTACTTATACTGTACTTATACTGCGTACTTATATAGACCAGCATACTAACGGTGAGTTATTGGCACAAATCATTTACCACTGGTGGTACGCAGAGCTTGGAAGTACTTCGACATGTTCTCGTCATCGTGACGGGGTGATTTGTACGTCGTTTGCTTTCACCGGAAAGTCTTACATTGTGCATGAAGGTCACTCCACTCGCTGCAGCGGCCGCTTTTGCGAAAGAAGCCTGTTGCTCTAACACAAAAAAGTAACAACTGTAAAAGTTACTTTGAGCTTGCCCTGTGTATGCCTATGTGTTCGTATATCTGTGCGTATGCCTGTGCGTTAATTTCTGGACTCGCTCGCTGGATTCCGTGCCGACCGGTTGTGCCCTCGCGGTCTCCGACGTCAACGTAGCTCTGGCCGACTGGGCTGGCCCTACGTCATCTCCTGACGCCGATCTCCGACGACAGCGTAGCTCTGACCTATACTGGACTTGCCCTACGCCATCTCCTGACGCCGACAAGAGCTCTCGCAAGTGGTGCCCCGTCTTCGGATTCCTGTGACCGTGTTTCCATCTTTCCTATCTCTCCTATCCCCTCGATATGTCCTCGCTCGCAGGCTTAGCGCATCTCTCTTTCTCTCTCTCTACACCTTTATTCCTATCCTTTTAATCCCTCCTCACACTCAACCTTTGTGAGCTACTGTTTATTCACAATACTGTAAGCCCTGTCGGGCTGTTACAGAGTGGGAACTACATCATACAATGACAATTCTAATTTACCAACAAAAGATTCAACTGTGTCTACATTCTCAAAGAAATCGGCGGCAAGACAGTTCCAGTCGACAATCGTTCTGACAAGAAAAGTGTTTTTAAATGTGTCAATTCTCGGTGTGTAGGGCATAATTACGTGTGGGTGATTGGTTCTTGATGAGACTCTTCCTGGGGGACGCAAATAGAGAGAAGGGTTTAAATTGAGCTTATTGTTGTAAAGCTGATATAAAAACTTTAGTCGAGTGATTTTTCGGCGAATGGCAAGTTGAGGAAGTTTAACCTCAGTGAGCAGGGTTGTTATTGACTGCCTCCTCTCATAAACGGAAAAAATAAATCGCGCTGCTAGCCTCTGAACACGCTCCAGTTTATCTATTTGATATTGGTCATGCGGGTCCCAGATCACACTAGCGTATTCTAAGGTAGGCCGAACAATAGTTTTGTACGCCTGAAGTTTAACCTCAGGAGGAGCACCTCTTAATTTACGTCTCAGTAGTCCAAGTTTCCGCTGCGCTGATCCGCAGATATTGTCAATATGTGCATTCCAATTTAGTGTATCTGTAATTGTCATACCAAGATATTTAATTTGGGTGGATCTTTTGATTTGGTTAGTATTCACTGTATAGTCAAACATTAAAGGCGTTTTCTTGTTTGAGACTGTCATGCAGGCAGACTTCTTAGGGTTGATTTCCATATCCCATTTTGCACACCAATTGTGAATAATGTTTAAGGCATCATTTAGACAAGTTTGGTCAGAGACAGTCTTGACGCGTGTAAACAAAATACAATCGTCGGCAAACAATCGCACTTCAATGTTGGGATGTACACCACTTGCAATGTCATTAATGTACAGCAGAAACAAAATTGGGCATAAAACCGACCCTTGCGGCACACCAGAAGGAATGGGCAAAAAAGATGAATGTTCGCCGGCTATTTCCATAAAATGTTGACGATTCGTCAGGTAGGCTTGAATCCACCTAATTATTTGTAAATTAACACCGTAACCATGTAATTTATTTAGAAGTTTCGCATGACATACCCTGTCGAAAGCCTTTGATAAATCTAATGAAATAACATCTATTTGTTCTTTCGAATTCATAGCTGCAGAAAAGTGATGAATGGTTTCAAATAACTGTGTCACAGTTGAAAGGCGTCGGCGAAAACCATGTTGTTTGTTGTAAAAGAGGTTGTTATTTTCAAAGTACGCAACAAGATGTTTATCAATTATATGCTCTAAAAGTTTACACACTGTACATGTAATGGAAATGGGGCGATAGTTTTCAACCATCAGCTTGTCTCCAACTTTGGGCACAGGCACAACCCTTGCTAGCAGCCAATCACTCGGTACAACACCAGTTTCCAATGAGGAGGCAAAAATTTTGACTAAAAATAATGCAACCCATTCGCAATAGCGCTTTAAAAACTCGTTCGGTATTTTATCAGGCCCTGAAGACTTCTTGACATCTAATTTTAAAAGCAATTCAATTATACCTTCCTTAGAGATAACAATGTCATCTTCACAATGGCTACCATGTTCTTGACTTATCGAGGCCATGTTCGTATATGTAATGTTAAATAAATTGTTAAAAGCTTCAGCAATTGAAACTGGATCACTGCAAATGTTTTCATTTAAAAGTACACTGGTTGTAACCGGCTTTGACCCAACCAAGCATCTCCAGAACTTCTGAGGTGAATTTTTCAAATAATCAGCCAACGTTGTTGAAACAAAATGCTTTTTAGCAGTTTTTAACTCCTTCCGCACGTCGGTACTAAGCGTAGCGATGGCAACGGGGTTTCTCGGTCTTTTTTGTCGTGCCCGGCGCAGTCGTCGTTTCAAATGAATTATATGTCGATTAACCCACGGGTTTGTTTTTTGTAAGCATTTCTTTCTTTTCGGCACAAAACGAGATAAGCATTCACTCACAGTAAGTGTAAAGTATTCCCAAAGTTCATGAACGTTATTTCCTCTGGGCATCTTATCAAGAGCAGTTTCTAGTAGATCAATAATGGATGTGTCATCAGCGCGTTTGAAATTGTAAACCTTCACGATCGGATTCTTTACTACGCCCTTATTCGCAATTTGAACCGTGGCCACGACAATCTTATGGTCAGAGATCCCTTCCTCAATTTCGACTGTGTAATGAAACGTTTCCTCTGACAAAAATATGAAGTCCAGCAAACTCTGGCACTGTCCTTGTATTCGCGTGGGGCTGTCAACTACCTGAATAAGACTGTGTGTTGCCATAGTTTCCAATATGCATTCCGCGTGAGGCTTCTCTAAGGGCCCAGGAATGCGCGCCTCCCAATCTATTCCAGCCAAGTTGAAATCCCCAACCATAATTATCCGGCTTTTGGTACTAGTTAGGGCTGTTAAGTGATCATCTATTTTTTGAATGAATTCGACCGGGCTTCCCGGGGGTCTATAAATAACGCCAATTATTACAGCTATTTTGTCAAGAAATATCTTGCACCAAACACTTTCGTGGTCATCTAAAAGGGGTAACTGCTCATACTTGTTGAGGTGTCGCACTCTGATGCAGACAGTTACGGGGCTCACTTGTCTCTTCTTTTCCTTCTTACAGACATAAACACCTCGCTGTGCGTTTCTTTAGAGCTGCAGGCATAAAAAAACAAAAAGGACGGCAACGTCAGTCTTTTCTTTGTCTGGCCATTCAAGCATAAGACTTACGGTAAGCCATGCACTGCGGAACTGAATGGTTTTCAGCGCCTCTTTCTTATTTAGTTTAAGAAACAGACAAGCACTATTCATTTCAAGCAAAAATTAAGTTGTCTACTCGTGTATTTCACCATATTTTCTCATTTTTCTGTCCTTATTCTGCTTCGGTGCGACTTGCTTGAAATTTCACCACTTACCCATTCTGTGTTGTTTCCAGTGTTTCATCGCGCTTTGTACGCGCTGTGTGCAAGATTATAAATATTTATAGCCACGTGTGACATTGGCGATTAAAAAAAAAAGGTGTGCCGTGAATTACAGGGCACTTCAACTTATTATTAGCAACTGCCCCGAAGTTAATAATAAAAAGTGAATTAACGAGTTATTAATTAATCTAGCCAACGCCATTTTACCTGCGGTAAAGTATTTCCGCCTCGACACACACACGCTATATATATTTATATATACAGACGGGTTGTTTTTAGGCGGGTTAGGTTTGCGGATATAAAGTGGCATCGTCAGAGAGGCCTTTGTCCAGCAGTAAACGTAGTAAGGCTGATGATGTTCATATATATATATATATATATATATATATATATATATATATATATGAGATCTAACAGACAGTAATGCCAAGGAAAGTACAGGGGTAGTTATTAGAACCAATGGAATGTAAATAAAAAAAAGAAAAGTGGATGAAAAGATAACCAACCGTGGGCAGGGTTGCCCACGGTTGGTTATCTTTTCATCCACTTCTTTCTTATTTACATTCCATTGGTTCTAATAACTTCCCCTGTACATTCCTTGGCATTACTCTGTCTGTTAGATCTCATTAATATTGTGTTAAAACACGGAAAAACGAGCCCTTAGGTATACACTTCTTTCCCTTATATATATATATATATATATATATATATATATATATATATATATATATATATATATATATATATATATATATATATGTATATGTATGTATGTATGTATGTATAGTCCAGTAGATCCTCCGTGAGTGGTCACAACGTGGTTTATTTCGACGTTTCGGCCTAGAGTCTGGCCTTCATCAGGATATATATATATATATATATATATATATATATATATATATATATATGCTTCTTTGCGAAAGAGCCAAGAAGCATCTCTGGCGACAGAGAAACCAGTCACTAATCATGTGCGGAGGCGCGGGAACACTTAACAGCAGGAACGAAACCGTCAGAAGCAAGTTAGTTAAAAACCCACGCGAGCTTGGCCTCCGATCGCAATTTGGTTGCATGTGACATTGCTTGATCGCAAGAAAACATTTCTTCGCACTTTTCCGGAGGTGTGCTATTGTTTAAACCAGACAGCCGTCAAAATATGGAGATTAAACTACAGCTCCGATAAAAAGCACGATTCAGCTCCAATTAAAGCGATGCAAACTAGTTGGGCCCTTCACAGCGTGATAAACGCACCAAAACTGGTGCCCCGCCGCGGTGGTCTAGTGGCTAAGGTACTCGGCTGCTGACCCGCAGGTCGCGGGTTCAAATCCCGGCTGCATTTCCGATGGAGGCGGAAATGTCGTTGGCTGTGTGCTCAGATTTGGGTGCACGTTAAGGAACCCCAGGTGGTCGAAATTTCCGGAGCCCTCCACTACGGCGTCTCTCATAATCATATGGTGGTTTTGGGACGTTAAACCCCACAAAACACAACAACGCACCAAAACTGGTTCGCTCCCGAAGTAAGTCGATAACGACTGGTTACCTTCAGGGCAAAAAGCGGCGCTTGACGCATGCCCACTCTTCTAATGTGACTCGCTTATCGCTGCATGGCAGATACGCTCACAACGTTTCGAATGCACGAACGTATATTGTGCCGAGGATGCTATACACCCTGATTTGACGATGGCGGTTACATGTTAACATGCCATTTTCCTATACGCCTTTCCATGCCGACTCTCGCGCACTTCGACAGCGCTTTTCCACGTACGCCGATAAGCTTCCAAATTTCCGGAACCGTCGATAACTTCTCAGAACGTAGCTGCGTGCTGAGCGCGACTGCCAGGGGCGCGCGAAAGACTGGCGTTGGAAGCATCGTCGCATCGTCGCCGAACAGCCTCGTTTCCGGGGTTCCGCCGCAGTCGCTAGCGAATGTAGGTGAGCAGGTCGAACTCTAGAACCCAGCCTCCGACGCGATCCTGTTGCCAACCGTACCGCAGACTGTCTGGCAACCATGGCGGTCACAAAGTGAGAAAGGGATGATAGAGCGAGCGCCGTTAGTGGAATCGCGAGCTTTCGGGGGAAAAAAGGTGTGCGCGACCACTGCAGCGGCGAGAGAGTTTGAGCCCCCGTTTCGTTAGGCCGGTGGAAAGGGACAAGAGTTGGCATGGTTGTGGCGGGTGCGTGCTATAGATTTCGAGTGCCGCTATTCAACCCATCTCTTTTCTCTCACTTACTCCCTAGCTTGTGTCATAGCAAGCTTCCCCACTTCGTCAATTTTTATAACTCTGCACTCGTCTTTCCTCCGGCGCCCGTGGGCAGCATTTTGCAACAAGCGGCGGGAGTTTTGAAGAGTAATAAGGGGAGGGGAAAGAAGATGACGCAAGCCCGTGGCAGCTGCCGCCATAGCAACGGCGGGAGCAGCAGTGGCCCCCTCTGGCGGGATATCTAGCGCCGTCCCTCCTTTCCCCTTTACGCTTCACAGTCCCCCTATTCTTCCTAGCGGAGCTTGGCTAGGACCACTTGTTTTATCCTTTATTATTATTGCTCCTTTAGTTTTTCAGGGTGCGGCGACTCCCTTCTGTTTCTGCGCACCCGTATGGTCGGCGTTGCCCGTATCCGCGTATCAGCGAGTGCTGCAAGTTTCCCCTTTTCGATCACCTCGCACGCGCGAACCAAGGAAGGAACAGGCTCGACAACAGCGACCAAACTGATTCAAAGCGCCGGTTGCGGAACAACGGGTTTCGACTTCGTGCGCCTCACCTGCTTGCAGTTTTTGCCCGCTCTGAAGTGTTTGTGTACTCGGGTGTGCGTGCTTCCTCTCGGACAACACTGCTCTGCGAGGAAGCCAACCAACCGCTGGGAAGTGAGCAACCGTCATTTTAGATATTTCTGTCTGCCTCGCCTAGAAACGAATGATGGCGTGGTAACCGCACCGATCCTCGGCAGCTATGTTTCAGTAGAGTGCTCTGCGCACGGTGTAGTAAGGAGACTACCAATGGCGATCGTTGCCCTGATTCCACAACGTGATGTCACTAGCTCACTGAAATAAAAGGCGTCGGCGAAAAAGAAATAACAAACACTGTTCTTGCTGTCAGAAAAAAGCCTGCGAAGCCTCTTGCCGCGCCGACGATCGAAAGGCGTGTGCTTCCTTTCTGTCTCGCATCTATCCTAAAATTTTGAACGCTCCACTTTCGCACTTGACTTTGTGGTCACCTGTGCTTCGTCCGCTGGTTCTTTTTTACGTCTTTATTTGGACACTTGCCCAATAGCTGGAACACAACTTGAAGAACTCGTTCGTCTGCGCCCTGAACAACGGCGGTGGACAGCACGCTACTGCGCGACCGAGATTCAGCCAGCCAGCTTATATCTTTCGCCGGGTGGCGGCGTTGAAGCAGCGGCGGCGACCGATCTCGCGTCTGCGCGGTCAACTGTGGCGTCTCGCAGCAGCGCTATGACCGCGGCCCAGAGTGGGAAACAACGGCTGTGCCTGGAATGCTGACTCCGTCGACGTGGCTGCTGCTCCTGTTCCTAGTGTCCTTGCTCGCGGAGTACGCCAGGGCAGCGTTCAGTGAGTAAACATGGCTTCTGCCGCCCTTTACCTCGGCTGATACGTGGCCGCCTTTGCTCATTTTATCAGCGCCGTGTTTGTGTTCGGGAAGCGTGTTTATTTCCCCTTGAACGCGGCGCACGCGCAGTATAACTGAAATATTGCAACGTCGTGGTTGTTGCGTGAGGCCACACTTTCCCGTGCCTCCTCATTTCCCCGCGGCGAACGCCTCATTCCACGTTCACGCCTTGTTCCTTGTGCCCGCATTTACGTCACAGCCTTCCGTCCTTTCGGCGCATGCCTATACGTGGACCACAGTGAACGCGAAAAGTGTCTGCAATAGGGAGCATACGCAAGTGGTTGTGGTGAAACTTTATTACCCCAAAATGGGTGCTGAAGGACACTCAGCCAGGCGCCAGGTGTAGAAGGCATCGTTGGGATAGAGAGCCCGAAACACTCCGCCGTCTCGCGGGCCTCCTGCAGACAGCCCGAAGTTGTTCTGCCAGTGAAGCGCTTCATGGCACTTTGACCCACCGTTTATTCTCCTTGACGCGTCGCTTTTTCGATCGTGTATACGGGCCGCTTTGCTCAGCTTTCATGACGTATACGTTTCGTCCGACCAATCCTCGGCGTTACTTCTATCAGGCTGCAGGCCGCACGCGGAAAACATTTCACGCGCCGTCTAGGAATGCACTAAAGGCCCATTCGCATCACCAACTAGCGCCGCTCTCGCTACCAAGAAGCGACTTAAAACGACCGACGTCTTCATCGGCTGTGGCCAATAACCTTCCCCACTCTAAAATGCTGCGCGAATGCATAAAATGCCGTTCACGTCAGCTTGCATCGCCATCACTTTGCAAAACATGCAAATTCCTGCGTGTCTGATTGTTTTACTAGCTTTTTAAATGAAAAAGCGTACATCAAGCGAGCGGGCTAAGGTTTTTCGTCCAGCCCCGCCGCGGTGGTCTAGTGGCGAAGGTACTCGGCTGCTGACCCGCAGGTCGCGGGTTCGATTCCCGGCTGCGGCGGCTGCGTTTCCGATGGAGGCGGAAATGTTGTAGGCCCGTGTACTCAGATTTGGGTGCACGTTAAAGAACCCCAGGTGGTCAAAATTTCCGGAGCCCTCCACTACGGCGTCTCTTATAATCAAATGGTGGTTTTGGGACGTTAAGCCCCACAAATCAATCAATCAAGGTTTTTCGTCCAAAGAAAATATACTCGCGTGCGATTTGGTCATCTGACTGGTCATCTGTCCTTGGTGTGAATGAACCAGTGGCAGGTCCAGAGGCAGGGGGGAAGGGGAGTGGTAGGGTCGATCCCCCCTCCTTTCGAAAGATACTTGCCATCCACCTCTATCACCGTTTAGGACAAATAAGTGCTACAAATTTACAGTATTCATGCTGTGACCGGGTTCTTGTGGTGGTAGTAACAACTAAAAACGAAGTTCAGAAGAATCCCCCTTGTCCTGGATAAACGTTCACCACCTTCTCTGGAATCCACAACACGGACGTACTGCAGCGACATGGGATTGCAGTGTGCGTGTCGCTGCAGCTGGGTTCTCCAAATTTAGAATTATGCAGGCGCTCTCTTGAGAAACAGAGAAAGGCGGGCTAGTCGGTGCATAACTTGAATAAAAACTGGATAAAGGAGGAGGACGGGCGCCGACTGCCAGCTGTCCTAAAACACTATCTTCAAAGTCATGCGCGCAAAATATTCGAGGCCTTTGCCATCCGCCAAAGGGGGCGATCGATGTGTGAGCGCTCCGTGGCTTGATCTGTTTGAAAAAAGAAAAATCAGCTATTTGACGTCACGCACGTGACTATAAATTATAATCCAATCGTTTTTCACTCTTTCGCGTATCTGCATATTCTTGGTATCTCCAATAATAATTTAGGCTGGTGGTCGGCGCCTGTCCTCGTGTTACCTTCAATCGTCGTCTCTTTGCGTTTTTTTTTTTTTCCCAAGCTTAAAGCTCTTTCTTCTTTTCGCGACACGCCCGCCGCTGTGTCGACGTTCCTCGATCGTGTTCCTAAAGCGTTCCTTTCGAACCACCGTTACCCGCCCCAGTGCGCTCCTGATGTTATCACTCCACGCATCAGGTACGCCTGATGCGCGAGCCATTCATCGATTAACCTGCATAAGGAATAAATGAAGTGTCTGAATAGTTCTTTCACGTATAGGCTAGCACGTGTGCAAGATTGATAAGTATGTCTCTTGCCTGGCCATGCGCACATAAGATTTGTGTCCACCTATATGTTGCCTCACTGCTAACCCGCAGGTCGCGGGATCGCATTCCGGCCGCGGCGGTTGCATTTTCGACGGAAGCAAAAATGTTCGGGACCCGTGTATATTTAGGTCCATGGATGGCACAAGAACCCCAGGTGATCTGAATTTCCGGAGCCTTCCACTACACGGCGTTTCTCATAATCGTATCGTGGGTTTGGGACGCTAAACCCCATAAATTATCCAACCACCGTTGTCATAGCTTCGCTTATATAGGTGACGCTCATTTCCCTTCCAGGCAGACGCAGTTCCGTGAAACATACCATTATCTGATTGCCGTGCGCGTGTGGGGCATTAGAGATTCCGTTTAGCTGCGGCCGCTTCTATATAGATCAGACGGGTCGCTGTGTTAACCAGAGATAGGGGAGCACAAAAGATCGCTAATGGGAGGCTCACCATCTAATATGTCATATGATTCATAGCATGCTTGATTGTGTATTCGTACATGCCAAAATTCGATGAATGAGCTATTTTGTACGAAACAGGAATGATGAAGCGCGTTTAATGGTTGAGGCCTCCATAATGTTAGTGCGTGTGTGAGCCATTCATCGATTAACCTGCATAAGGAATAAATAAAGTGTCTGAATAATTTGACGTATAGGCTACCATGTGTGCAAGATTGACAAGTTTGTCTTGCCTGGCCATGCGCACATAAAATTTTTGTCCACCTTTTTTTTTTTTTTTTTTTTACGGCCGCAAAGCGACCGGAAAAAGCTCGGATGGCAAGCCCAGATCAAGTGGTAGGTGTCAGCGACGTCCCCACAGTATTGGCGCTTGACTACGAAGAATCGAAATATTGCAAGATTGCCGGAATCAATAAAGTATGAGTGAAAAGTCTCAGCAAGATGTGTTTAATTAGTATATTTTCTCGGCTCTTGTTCAGTGCAGTAGGGGATATTGACGATGCCTAATCCTGTAATAGGCCGTGATGTATTTGAATGTGAGGAAAAATGCGCCATCGGGTTTCGGGTACTCATAATCTAAGCGAGACGCCTGATGAACCAGTGCTCGCGCAGTCGGGTTCACGGCTTCGTCCTCCATTAGGGCCTCAGGGCCTGGAGTCCAGACCAAGCAATAGGGGGTAGGGTCATTTCTCTGGTTGTTATACTTGTTTAATATTCTTTTTGCTATAGTGGTGTGACCCAACCAGCTTGACCATTTCGACATGTTCCACGCGAATGTATTATGGTACATTGAGATAGGGGATCAGAGGCAGCTAGGGCAACAGCTACGTCTTCCGCTTGTGCCAAGGGCTTTGAAAGTGAGTTCATATACTTCCTTTTCTTCGAATATTACCCCTGCTGACTCTCCGACGTCACGACCAACCACATCCACGTAGAATGCTCCATTTTTATTGCCTTAGGGACGTTGAAATGTGTCTGTCCCTGTCCGTATACTTGTGGGGAGGGGTCAAACTCAGATGGCGCGTCCTCAGAGTTTGGGCGTTCAAACCCGCTCCGGAGTGTGAAAACTGTGTTTCAAGAGGAGCAGGCCCAGGAAATGCCGCCCCGACTTCGTCTGTGTTAGACTTGCGTATTGATTCGTGAGGTGTGCTTCCTTGAGCGCCTAAAACGTGTTCACCTCTCCCAGTGCGACACGTCTCGCGTTAAAAGTTGTGACATGGAGGTCAAGCGCCCTCCGTATCACTTTCTGGATGATTAACTCGACTTTATCTGCACCATGCTTCCGCAGGTAGAGATAGAGGACCGAGTATAAAATTCGGCTGACGCCTTCGTGGTCAGCCTTCGTCCTTGCTTCGTTATCGGCCCTTCTTGTTGGAGACGTCTCGGACCATTCGGTTCACTCGGTCCCCAACTTTGCGGAGCTTTTGTATTGCTGTGCCAACTCTACTTTAATTTTGTATGGACATGGGCCGGGCATGTAGCGCGTAGACAGGATAACCGATGGTCATTAAGGGTAACTAACTGGATTCCCAGAGAAGGGAAGCGGGTTAGGGGGAGACAGAAGGTTAGGTGGGCAGATGAGATTAAGAAGTTTGTGGGTATAAATTGGCAGCCGCAAGCACAGGACCGGGTTAACTGGCGGAACATGGGAGAGGCCTTTGTCCTGCAGTGGACGTAGTCAGGCTGATGATGATGATGATGATGATGATGATGATGATGATGATGATGATGATGATGGATAGTCCGAGAATTCGTATCTCCTTAGCCTTGCGCATGAGGCCACTAGCCAAAGAGAGAGGCAGTTTTCTGGCGTCCGGCGAATGGTCTAAGATGCACAAATTGTGATTTGCTGATTTGTTTGGTGCACACTGGAGTCCGCAGCGCTCTGCGTAGCGATCCCCTACGAGAGCGGCTGATTGCAGACTTTTCCCCATATGCCTATTGTTTTTCTACGCGGCCGAGATGTTGATATTGTTGGCGTACAACATGTGCCAGCTGGGCCGGAAGGCGTACCATTGCAAGGTGAAAGAGGAGAGGAGAAAGCACAGCGCCGCGTGGTGTCACTTTGTAGCCGATTCGTAAGGTCCACATTAAATTTCTTGGATTCTGACGAGCGCGGCTCGATCCGTCAAGACATTCTTGATATAATTTAATGTATTTGTACCACAATGGAACTCGCTAACATGTGTTATTATATACTGTTGTGTTTTACGTGGTCGCAGGCTCCCTTTAGATCTACGGTTAGGGCACTCTTGTCGTTGTGAGGGTGCTTATAATATATCACAACTAAGTTGTAATTATATGTCTTGCGCCGACGTGCGGACACAAGCCGAACATAGTGTCTGCAAATGTGATACGATCTTCCAAATAATCGAAAAGCCTATATATTTCACCCCATCACCTCCATTAGTTTGTCCACACACGAGGTGAGCGAGATCGGTGTCAGACAGTCCGTATAAATTTTCTTCCCTGCTTTTCAAATGAAAGTGACAAACGATGTTTTCCAATCGAGTGGCTCAGGAGTCTCCCCTTTTCATATCGCATTATTGCAGCTTCATACTCGCGATCAGGGTGGTTGGCCAGCAGTTTCTCTGGGAGTCCCGACCGCGGGCAGTGCCTCTCCATTTTGGCCAAGACTGCCTTTATATCGTAGAGGTGGAATGGCTTATCCATCTCTACATTATCTCTGCCCGCATGGAGATATTTCCGGCCACGAAGGTCCCGTTTCGGGCAGAGATACTTGTTCTCTGCCAGCTGGGTTGTTGTGCCTTGGAAATTGTGTAAATCGCGTTATCATTGTTTCTGTACTGCTTCTCGCGATTTAGATGCGAGCCGCGGCTTCACGTGCCACTGCGGAGCGCCGTCTTTATTTTCTGCTGTTGAGATCATGCGTTGTCCGATTTTGTTCACTGCCAAGTGCTGCATGGTATTGAGACAACGCGAGCGCCAGTGTCCGAGAGTTGCTTGTGTTCTGCGCATGATCCGTGGTGGCTCGCTGATTCCTGAAATTCCCGAGCTCCTCGAGTGCCCCATTCTGAAACTCTTTCGACGGAGTTGGGATTGCTTGGTCCTTGCAGCGAATGTGACTTTTTCAGTGGATGTTGCCGCAGCAGTATTTCCAAGCGTTAATTTTTTTGTCGTTATCACGGATACTACTGCTGTACTAAATATTGCCTATGCATCCAGCTACTAAAGTCTGTTCGCATAAAACGTCATTTGAAGAAAATTATTCGATCCTTTTGTTTCTCGAGCGAGCGCTGAAACAGAATAAGCAGCCACGGCGGCACAACTCGCTACCATTCGTCATGTTGCCACAGCGGCTACATCAAAACAGGGGACCGAACACACACATTATGAAGTACGTTGACAATAACGCAGAAAGGCAGTGCATGAGATAGTAGTCGCCCGTATGCAAAACGTTTCAACCCACGTATACTATATATTGGCCACGGGGTCGGCGGGACCACGTGCCGGCAAGAGACCGCAAACAAACGCGGCCATATTGAATATTTGGGATGGCGTGCCTCCAGCTCCACTTGACTGCAGCTGTTACGATTGAGGTGTCGGGATATCCCACCACACTGTCAGGAAACGGGTGTCGCAGTATCCCACCACTTGCACAACTCCTAGGACTGGCATTGCGTGGCCGGTGCGAACGCGTGGGGCTCTCGTGCTCGGAGCAGTCATGAGGACGAGTTGAAGACGGGAAAATACTTTATACACCGTATTTGCATGTTGGCGATCTCAACTCTCAAATAACAGACAGGGAGCTCTTCGGTACGCCCGATTAAGTGGAAACGGTGGTGGTCCACCCCCACCTTCTCCTCTCCACGTGGTAGCAAAGGTCTACCAACTTGCTGGCACATGATGTTGGCCACGCCCGGACTTCCAAGGGACAATACCCGGTGTCGACGTAGGACCGCGTGGCGGGTCATTGGCTGCTTTGGAGCCGATGGCTCGCTGTCCGTTGCTGTCGCACCAGGACGGGGCAAGTGCGGTCTGATGAGGTCAGCATGATGTCGAAGAGGCAGCACCACACGTGCGCGGGGCTTCACTGTTCACACCACACAGAAATGTCACTTCGTAGTCGTCGCCTCCAGCTTGGGAATGTCGTTCTGCGTGGAACGACGACTGTCGTCGATGAAGCGGCACAGCAAGGTGCACTTTGATTCAAATTTCGTCACTTCTCTGTCTTAAGCAGTTCCGGTCTGACAAGTTGGCACGCTTCGTGCGGGTGGTACCCAATAGTTTCGATTTCACCCTTAAAATTTGATAAATATTTTGAAAAACGTGAAATTTTTGTAATTTATAAAAAAGGGGCATGTCATAAGTAATCATGCACTACAAATTTATAATGTAAATAACGTCGCCCAAGTCACAAAATAAAAGTTCATTAACGAGCTTTTGTTATTTAGTCAATGTAATTTTAGTTTTCAATGTCATTTCAGTTGCGGCAAAGTATTTACGCCTCGACATACAGTACGTGTACAAAACGGAAGCAGGTTGTCTATCATAAAACGTTTAATAAAAATCAATATTACCTAAAAAAATCCTGTATACACAGGGAAGCACCTGCGGTTCATATGCGCCAATGATACGTGTCTGGTGAAAATCGTTTCCTGAAGCGTGCTACAGATAACTCTCGTTATTCGTGCCAATAATACTGTTTGTCAATCGCGAATACAATGCGGAACATATGCAAAGACACCTTGAAGTCAATATCTTTGGTTGAAACGCGCACAGGAGACGAGGATGAAGACATATATAGGAGCACATGTAGCAGTACGTCTGGCCAATCCCTGGGTATGTGCCACGAGCAATAGGTGAACAAGTCTAATGCAACAGTATGTGCGGCCACCCGGGACTATCTTGATGAAACTAATAGGTTGGCTAATTAACCAGTTTCATTATTCTAGCATGTCCACATAATTATATACGTCGTTTATGTAAATATTTGTATGCATTACATTAAGCACCACACTTTCCTAGGCTATCGGTAATCTTTCTGTTATACCTCCATCATTCCAAATCTGAACAGTAAATCTTAAAACCACTCGATTCTTGGCCAATCCCCCACAGTGGGTATGCGCCACTAACAATAAGAGAACCACCACCACCACCACCACAACAACAACAACAACAACAACAACAACTAAATTTTATTATGAATAAACAAGCACACGCAAGTAGGTGTGCTTTCATTAATATTGTGTCTAACGAAAAAAAAAAAGCGGATCCTTAAACTTGCACTGCCTTCCTTAATTCAAAGTGAGGCTCTCCTTGTTGCACACTTGATGCATTCAGGTAGTATGCGATGGATTATTGGTCAGCGGCCAGCTCGTAATAAGATGACGTGCTGCGTGACACCAAACGGGCAAAAAAGAGTGTTCCACACTCGCCGTAATGGCAACAGGCGGCGCTCCCACGTTTAAAGTGGACGGGGAGGGGGGGGGGGGGGGATAGCCGCCGTGGTAGCTCAGTTGTTAGAACATCGGACGCGTTAATCGGAGGTCGCAGATTCGGTCTCTGCTGGTGGCAAGTTATCTTTTCGTTCCAATTTTCTTTCTTCGCATTTGCATAGCAACTCTAATAGCATCTACATTTTTCTTAGCAGCATTGTTGGCTCTCATTAATATTGTGGCTAACGAAGATAACGAACCCTGAAATTTTCAACTTCTCTGCTTCATTCATAGCAGTTCTTGCAGACTCCATGCTTTAAGGCCGTATGCGAGGGTTATTGGTGAGCTGCAGGAATGAGACTCCCGGATCTTCAGCATCTTGTGCTGATCGACGACGACCGAAAAGTGGTACCTTACCACTAAATACAATACCGCCTTACCCCCCACACTGCCCGAAAAAATTCTGAAAGTGTATGCTCTCCAAGTATGACAATTACCTTACGGTTGGCAAAGCTGAACAGTGGCAGGCTGAAATGTGGCAGGCTGACAGCAGTTGTCTATAACATATGCGCGTTCTGTTTGCGTTGGCTTCGAACACAATGCAGACACTCCGTATTCTATACGCGTTGACTTTGAACATAATGCGCGCAGAAATCGTTCGTGAGCGCCTTAATTGACCACTGTTATGATAGAGAGGGAGAGAGAATAAGGTTGAGTGAAGGGCAGGGAGGTTAACCAGAATATCCGGTTTGCTACCCTGCGCTGTGGAAAGAGAAATGGGCGTGAAAAGGTACGGAGGGAAAGGGATGGTTAAAAATAAGAAAATAACAAACACGCACACACTCAAGCACTGGAGTTTCACAGTCGTTTTGCGAGTCTGGTTGACCGCAGAAACTTCAGCAGCACCTTCGTCGCTTTCTGGCTGAAACTAGAGGTGTGCGAATATTCAAAATTTTTGAATAACAAATCGAATAGTACATATTCGAAAATATTCGATATACCGAATATATTTCGAATAGTTTTCGAATAATAAGCACTAACGGGATAAGCCCAAAACAACGAAACTTTGGAACAGCTAAATGTCATTCTTCTTCTTTTCATTCCTATATTAAAGCTTCATCGCATTGATCAGCTCCCGTCTTCATCTTGTAATAACTGAAGGTGCCGGGCACTACGACTGCTTGCAGCTGCATGCATGACCATACACCAGATGGGAGTGTTGCACTTGCACAATATTTTCTTGCAGATGTAGATTTAAACGCTTATTGTTACAAGCTTCATGCGCACCGGCCATGCTGTGATAACAAGTTGATCTGATTCATTACATCTTTCGTTGTATCCGCAGTGTTTGGTTGCAAATTGTTTAGTATTTGTGTCTCAATTTTATTTAAGATCAGGCGACAAAATCTCGCATTGATAACGTGAGTAAATGTTGTATTTGAACCCGCAGTTACAAAATGTTACGGGAGCTCTAATTCCTGCTGTACGCAAGCTTACCTCAACTTTCGTGATTGTGGCATTTTGAATCGATTAAAACTAACTGCAATGATCTTTGGTGAAAGTTTGTGAATATTTGTTCCATGGAAAATGTGTTGTTCTAAGACTGTCCTGAAAATGGTCTACTTCACCAGTTAACGTGGTTGCTTGGGCGAGTTGGTACGACATTATTCACACACAAAAAAAAACAGCGCCAATATTGAGGGGACAAGAAAAGGAGACAGACAGCGGCAAAGTCTGTCTCCTTCTATTCTTGTCCCTCGTTATTGGCGCTGTTTTATGTGACTACTTCACCAGTATTGTATTGCTATTCGTATTCGATTCGGTTATAAAACTCACTATTCGCACACCTTTAATAGAAACTAATAGGGTCTGTATCTTTTTTTCCCCCATGTGGCACCTCTTCGGCAGGCCACCAAACCTACAACAAAGAGCCAGGTGAGTCATTTAAATAAAAAGTAACTGAGAATCTGAAATGCTCACAGTTTAGCTCAGATAACATGTGGGTGACCTGCAATGAAACGGATATTAAAATCCGCGGCATTTCTAAGCACGTCTCAGCACTATCAGATGGTATGAGAATAAACGACGCGGGATCGTGCATTATAGCTGAAGAGGGTGTCTATCAGAACTGATCCGATGCAATTTAAAAAGTTTTGTGCTGCGTAACATTTTGCTCCAAAAGGTCGCCTTTAGCATTTGCCACTGGCCGCCTAATTCCCCACCTCTTTTTCTGTGGGTATATTAATGATTGCCTGACCCAATTCTTGGCACCATTTAGCGGTATTGCAGTTTTTCTTCTAGGTGATTTTAATTTTCCGTCAGTTCGATAGTCTAATCCATGTCCGTTTGCACAGCTTGCATCAGGTGAAACTGTGGTTGCTTCCTAACCACTTGCCTGGATTTCAGTCTATCACAAGTAGTCAGTCTTCTTACTAGTGTGACTTCCAGTATACATCATCCTTTCTCGATTTGATACAAACGATAATCCCCTGATATCACGTGAAGAATCTCGTGCACTTCCCGGACTCGGTGACCGTGACGTGCTTCCTTTTTCATTATCTGTATTGACTAAGAGTAGCAAGCGTTTTAAGCTGATTAAATGCTATAATAAATAGACTCTCAAGCTTCGCCTATAGAAATGCGATAGCGTAATAGGGCTTCGGGTGCATCGCCTTCTCAATTGCTAGCCTCACTTTGTTTCTCGCTGTGTCTCAATTGTGCCGTAAAGTATAATGAACGACCGTGCGCGTAACATTGGCTGTTTTAGACCATCCTAGAATGTCTATATACTGAAGCACAACTGCTAATAAGTGGCTGCTAAGTGGCCACTTATCAGCGTCACAATTATTCCTTTTGCGATGAGCTTACTACGCGTCCATAAGGCAACACATGAGCATATTTTTTTGAGGGCTTTGTAGCAGGTAGATCTTTAAATGCAAAATAGTGAGAATTTCCCGTAATCTATCAGCCTCCCGTACTTACTAAAAAATACTCCCCTTGCCTATGCATGTACCTTGTTATAAATACCTTGGTGTGCATGTTACTACTAATATTTCATAGAAGAAACACGTTCGCCTCTTGACGTCAAAAGCTAATCACATGATTGGTTATCTCTGACGAAACTTTTCTTTAGCCCAGTGAAACTAAAACAACTCTACATCACTTATGTTAGGTCTAACAAAATACCCAGATACGGGACCTTGGCCGTGCTACTCTGTAACATAACCGAAAATCGCTCGGCAGTTCACCGCAAAAGGCCCACGCGAAAGCCGGCGCTTTGGACGCTTTTTTAGGTCACTCTAACGAAGCTGGCTTGGAATTTGCATGATATAGTATCGTAATAGTCGGTGATTTTTTTTAATATTGTGAAGGTGTAATCCTTGCTAACTGATGTTGTACCGGTTCAAAACGACAATTTGACACTGCGGGCAGAATGGGCAGGAGGGGGACGAAGAGACTTCGATCTGTTTTAGGGGGTCGTCCCAGTTTGGTTATAAAGGCGCGAATAAGCTTCTTGACACTTTATACTCATTGGTTGTATACGGTTCGAGGTATAAGGGGACATCGCACGGTAAGGAATCCGTAACTCTTTCAGGCCAGACATGTCGTCGTCCAGTTAACATACTTTGTCCCGCACCTACTCTATTGGACCTATGGTATTCCTGCACATCTTAACGCTGTTGCGGCAGTATCATGTATACAGCTCAAGCACCATATAGTGGAACACGACCGTAAAACTCAGACGTTTGCAATGTAGGCATACGAAGCAAGCTGTGCATATCGCATGGTAAGGAATCAGTAGCTGTCTTCTTCAGGCCAAATATGTCATCGTCCAGTTAGTAATGCACTTTGTACGACACCCACTTCATTGAATATGTGGTATTACTGCACATTCGAACGCTGTTGCAACAATGTCATGTAGCTCTCGCACCATATAGTAGAATACGACGAACGCTCAGACGTTAACGACGTAAGCACACATAGCCAGCTGTGCATGTCAAAGTCTCGTCATATGACCATAAAGAGCCGTGACGGAGTCATGGTAAAAGAGCGAGTCTTTATCGTGATTCAATGTAACGAGACTCCGCGCGAACCTACCATATTAATGGACTGCGGGAACATTCAAAAACGTTGCCCTGCCTTCGAGCTCTTATCTATCTTCCGATGATAAGTTATGGTTTTACAATAGTACATTTATTTCGGCAATTACAAAATATATTCAATATACGAAGAAACTGTGAATGCGAGAATAAAGCAAAGAATAGTGTGATGTTACATATATACACGCCTAGTCTATCAAGCCCCACATGAAGAAGCAAAAAGAGCTCCATATTTATCCCTCAAATGTTTTCCAAATAGCTTGACCAACATCAAAGAAGCCATTCTTTCTAGACGCGATACGCGGAAAAGATGTGCACAACGTATACGGAACAGTCTTAATAGCCAAACTATATATAGGGCGACGCAATCCTTTAATTTTCAGCATTACCTCGTTATCCGTCTCAGTAACAGCCTACTAGATAACATTGCTTCGCTTATAGAGACCATGACAATTTTCGCCTTTGGTTGACCAAACATTCTTTTTTGCACACTGCGCCTAGTTTCCATTACATTTTTTTCTAGTGAAAATCTTGTGTATGGGCGGTATTTAATTTTTTTAAAGGCCCGTTTGCACTAGAGACACACGACACCAATTTTGTGCTGTGGGCTGCCTTTAGGAGTTTTTTCTCTTGTCGTCTGCCATTCCAAAGACACAAACAGTCCACTGGTGGTCTCTCGAAAACCCCGACCACGCCTCGTCGTGCTCACAGTCTTTTGTTGGCCAATTCTGTAGTCACATTGGAGGCACACGCAGCAGCACCGACTAAACTTGCACAGCTGCACCTCATTTTCAGCCATGCTCCCCACTCTGCCATTGTCCTTCTCCGGCTACGCGGTGCAGTCCCCGCCATAATTCATGGTAACGAGGGACGGAGGTGGTAGACACAATAGGGAAGCGAAGAAGATACTTCCGTTGAGTGCTCGAGCTGCCTATTCGGACGCAGCGGAAGCCTCGGAGAGGACAATGTTAACTCCCCTAAGATTGCCCGCTTCGTGGCCGTTTGATGCAAAGACATGGGGCAAATTTTCGCTCAGCCGCCGATCTCCCGAAGACACGCCGACAACAGGTCTGCGGATGCGTTTTGCTGGCGTTTTCGGTCTCTCATCGTGTTATACCCCTGTCACACGGGCACCCGTGAAGACCGTTTAACTCCCTCGTCTTTACGACAACGAAGATGCGGTCGGTGTCACACGGCCACCCTTACGCAAACGAAGGTGAACGGAGCATTTCGCAAAGGACGTTCAACGATTTCCCTTCGCAGCGAAACGAGGTACTCTCGTCATCAGCAGTCTAGAGGTCAGAGAAAAATTTCGAGCACTAAGTGGCCGCAGTGAAAGAATAATACATTTTAGCAATATTAAACGTTCTTTCGTTGTAGTACTCATTTACAACGCGTGTTTGTTTACCATATTTACACCCGCCAGAGTTCACTTACTCTCAACACCGATGCCCTACACACCGTGCCTCGCGAGTCGGGCCGGCCGGCGCCAGCCGATCAACGTCACTACCAGCGCAATATCGCACCACTTCCTCACGTCGTCCGCTGTGTCGCTCATGGCTGAAAAACTCAAAATGTGCGCTCACGAGGCAAGGAAGCATAAGAACTTTCGTACCGGGCATGTACACAGGCGAGAAAACAACTAAAAGCACAATGTTGCCAGCGTCACTGGCAGCATTGCTACATTTAGCAAATGCGTTTTTATTTGAAATTATTTTTAATGGTTTGATAGTCGCATACCTACTTAATAGTGCTTTTTGTAAAACCGCATAACGAGGATTCACAAAAAAGTCAATAGGGATCAAATTAGAATAATTTTCTGAAAATCAAACAGCGCCAGCTGAGCCCCCTCGCGGCAACTGTTACAACCTTGTCATTGCCGTGTGACACTGCCACAACTCCTTCTCCGTCGAACCACCTAGGGGAGATTTACGTTGATGGTGTTCAACGGAGTGTGGTGGTGGCCGTGTGACAGGGGTATTACACTACGATGAAATGCTGTCTTTTGAGGCGTCGTCGTCGTCGGCCTGGTGTGACCATGGGGTCCGGCGACTTCGTCGGCGGGTGACTCGTTGGCCGATGGTTTGCGTCTGCCTCGTGTTTTCGTCGGGGTCATGTCAGTGTCGTGTCGCTCTATAGTGTAAACACGCCTTTACAATCGCCTTTCATAGCACCGTCACAAGCTTGTGTCTTGCTTATGTGATGTATATTGATTCAATCGTAGACAAATGTGTATGTGTTAAATGTTTTCCTGCGCAATACATACTGTTACGCCACGCAACTTTTTTTTTAATTTGTGTTCAGCTATTTGTCTATTTCTTTTTATGTTTTCCTATGTTTCATACTGTTACGCCACGGAACTTTTTTTTTAATTTGTGTTCAGCTATTTGTCTAGTTTCTTTTTCACTCATTTTTTCTAACAACTAGTTAGTTCTTTAGTTCTAATTTTATGACTGTGTAAGTCATTGAATTCACGTATGCATACAACATAATATGCACAGAATTGTACTGCATTTCTCTCACATTACCTGTGATGTATAAATAAATAAATAAATAAATAAATAAATAAATAAATAAATAAATAAACTGGGAGAAGTATAAGTCCATTCCAAGCCGAGCCCACCACGTCCAACCCAGGTACGGGTTTAAGCCTGGAGCCTCAGGCCCGAGCCCGGCCGATGCGCTGAACCGGGCGAGGGTTTTCGTGTAGGTCTTGCCGTGCAGTGCTCTGGTGCACGACATTCAATTATTGTTTCTTCGTGACCTCAATGCCTGCAATCATCGCTCTCGTTGCCACTCGTGTACACTTATAAGCATGACGCGCGTTCTAATGTTTTTGTGCAGAGAGGCGGCTCGGGGAGACATGTATCACGAGGACAGCGTGCGAGCTCGGCGACGCCCATTCGGACTGCATCCACTGGCAGTGTCAGTGCAAGAAAGGTTTCCGCATAGAGTTTCTCCACGGTATACCTGTCTGCGTCACCGGTAAGAGCCCGTTCTTTGCTGCACTCGGGCATTTAAGCACAGACCCGAGCACAACCCAAACACTTTTTTGTTTACCGAGCTTTTTTTTATTTTGCTCACTTAACGCGACAGCATTAAATTTAAGAGACCATGTCGCAGAAATAGCGCTTGCTGCGTCAGAGGTTGTGAGCGATGAATCCCAACTGATCTAAGCAATACAAAGTTATGCTTCACACTATAGTGGTGCCGAGCTTGAAGGAAGAGCGGAGCTGGGTGACATTCCTTAATTGTTACCTAATTGCGAGAGCAATTGTATGGAGATCCTCGGCGGGGGTTTTGTCGTCGCCGTTATGTCTTGTATATGTACATTTTGATATATAAAAGCCACAACAAAAAATATGTCAAATAATATTTTCAAGCGTGTAACTGGTGATTCGAACCTGCGACCTCTCGCTCCGCAGCGCGCCGCGTCAAACAATTCGACCATGCAGCATACGTCCTCCGGTGCCCTAACTGCGAGCAATTTACATACACCACTTACCGCTGGCGGAACGCAGAGCGCGGAAACGCTTCAGCCTAATCACTATACCACCAGACCCGTAGAAGCGGCAGCAACTAAAAGGAACCTTGTATTCCATACCTGTACAGAAATTGACACTGTTTGTGTGTTTTCTGAAGAAAATGCCAGTCCGCATCTTATCTATTACTCGCTCATCGTTTCTTTGCACAGCGGCACGAATCTAGCGTATTAGCAGCCGTGAGAAGCGTTGATGTTGGATAGCATAAGGGATCGCTTTCTGGAGGCTGACCTATTTTTGCATTGTCGAGAATGTAACCGGGTGCCAAATTCGACGAATGCGCTGTTCTGTACCGGCATGAAAAAAAAAAAAACACTTCTAACGATTGCTCGAGCAGCAACTCAGAGCTTGGATTCTTGGGGCGTGGTCGCTGGCGCGTGCGCTATCTGGGCAACCATCAGCAGGCGGCTGCGCTGTGAGAAAGAGCAGCTTTTTATGGAGCGGCCGTACTCTCTTGCAGCTGCGTGTTTTAGAGTTATACGAGATCGGATCCAAAAGAGATAGAACTCACTTCGTGTAACATCACAAGTTGTTGATATGTCATTCATGGATGCACCCTTGCAGTGAAACACTGTTTTTTTTCTGTACCTCGCTGTCAGCGCACAGTCGGTATTGACTCACCCCCGCCTCCTACTTATCAGGCAAAAGGTGAACATAGGCCTGTGCGCTAACTTGTGCATTAGTATCTCTGTGTGAGAGGTAGGTTTTATTCTGCAGCACTGGTAATTGTATTACAAACAAATTCGTGCCCACGCTTTCATTCTCTTTTCTGAAAGATACCGAGCACGTAGTCGCTTCACGGAAACGTTCTTCGACAGGCTCCAGGAGCACGTATGCCTGTCTGCTGTGCGGCAGGCGATGCCACTGCATAACACATTATGTTCACTGGGTCACTTTTATCACTTCCTGTATTGGCTACCCCCTGTTTCGTGCGGGTATTAACTTAGTGCTATCAGACATGCACTTTTAGGGCCGGGGAACCTTACTCAGTGGAAACCTTGGAAATCGCGTGCAGGTTTCTTCCCGAGCCAGTGCTACTCGCACAACCAGTGCATCGAAATGGACGAGCATGCGCTGTGCGTGAGCAACGTGTGTGATTGCGAAAACGGCTACCAGAGGGAGCTCATCTACTGGAAGTACGTTTGCAGGCCAGGTAAGTGAATGTCCTCAGACAGCATTTTCGTTACAAAGGAAACAACGCAAATTGTATTTCAGGGCAGTATAAGCTAACTTAGCGATTAATTGTCACTCATATCATATTCACATAATTAAGTTTCACTAGTTAACTTACTACTGATAAGAGCTATTAACATTGAAATTCACCATAAAATTCATTTTCGCTGTTTTTCACTAATATGTTTTCACTTTGGCTGTGGTGGTGTTTTTCATGGTATACTTGCTAGATGTGGTCTTGGCCTGGCATATATGGTAAACCTTTCAAATTGAATCAGATCAAACTTCATATCGTCCACAAATCTGTGGGTTGTAGAATACGAGGGCTCGACAAAAAGTGGATGCGCCCAAGCATCCCTTTCCGGTATTATGCTTACTAAGTGTCGCGCAGTCTGGTATCTTTCAAACTTATGAGGACAACAGATACTGCCTTCCAAACGATGCATGCACCTGCAAGAAACGAAAGCCCCGCCGCGGTGGTGGCTAAGGTATACTCTGCTGCTGACCCGCGGGTCGTGGGATCGAATCCCGGCTGCGGTGGCTGCATGCATTTTCCATGGAGGCGAAAATGCTGTATGCCTGTGTGCTCAGATTTGGGTGCAGGCTAAAGAACCCGAGGTGGTCAAAATTTCTGTAGCCCTCCACTACGGCGTCTCTCATAATCATATGGTGGTTTTGGGACGTTAAACCCCACATATTATGCAAGAAACGAAATATTTTCTGTGCACTCGTGAGCATACGATCGATCTCTTTTGTCATTTTGTTCATGCGCTTCCCACTTTCAGTGAGAGAGAGAGAGAGAGAGAAATCTTTATCGAAAAGTATAGAATATAACCAGCATATGTAGACTGCTGACTAGCTACAGAGAATGGGGAAGGGGATTGGGTACTAAATGTAGAGAGAGAGAGAAATAAAACATATAGCTTATGCTTCCGCTTCGGTTAAGCAGCAGGTCCGTACTGCAAGAACTGTGGCTCGGAACTGTGGAACGTACTTCATTTGAGTGTCGAGCGTGTGCTGATGGGTGTGCGCTATATAAATATTGCCCGCATTTTATTACCTAAACAACTTTCTCACTTGACAGTGTATTGCATCCTTTAGCCTGCCTCACGCTACAGTAGCGTGAGATGAATCTTCTGTTCACGTATTTGGCTGGTATCGGTCAGCTCGACGAAGTATAACTGTAAATGTTAAAACGACGAGATGATTCTATCAGCGCACGTCCCCTCTTTTCAATACAAAGGCGCTTGTGGCACCATACATAGTGAGTCGTTGCTATGCATACATCCAATTAGCCACGTTTCTATAGAAGCGACTTCAGCCCGATCGTCAGGCTCGCTCACAGCATCTATCCACACCAAAAATAGCTCTTCGACACGCACTTATCTCTCCTGACTGTAACACCGCGTTCCGCACTTGTGCTCGCCCCGAGAAAATCGCGAACTCCATGACCACATGGGAGACCCGACGCGCATTGCGTTTTCCTTGCAATCAATAAAACATTTATTGCAGAAAATTTTGAAGTGAATTGGTGCTAAAGAGGATTTGGTGGGTTCCTATTTCAGGACTTTCTAACACTGTGCTGCAACTTGCGTCCTCTCCACGAGGCTCCACTGATCCTCGAGCGTTGGCCTGGACAAAGCCTCCTCCCACCCCTCCCTCGTCGGCTGCATAATTTGCGCGATGTTTCTATGGCAGAACCAAACCGTGCGAGTCAGGCCAGTGCTAGTCCCGCCGTGGTTTTAAACTATATTCCGCGAGATTTCGACCTTAGCCCAAGCTCAGCGTCCAATCAGCAATGCCGTTCGTCCGGGCACACCACTTTTTATGATTATAGGCTCTCACCATTTAGTACTTCAGCTACTACAAGGGTTTGTTTCATCATTGATCATGGACGTTAGTCGTCGGTATTATGTACCACCAAGCGTCAACGTGGGTGCATCCACGTTAAGCGGCGCTGTTGGCTTCGAAATCTTTTAAAGCGGCGCCCTCTTGCGTCTGACGTTTATTTGGAGATTCCATTTTCAACCGAGCTGCAGCCGCCGCAGCTCCTGTATACGCAGGTCGCCCTGCTCCAGACGGAACCTTCGTCGAACTAACAGTTTTGCGAGGGTCAACGAACGCCTTCAACAACTGTTTTCGAGTGCGATTATAATCTTGCTTTAGTCGCGGCCATTTTGTCTGGGTCAGGAAATACCTCAGATGGCCGACGAGTGCGGAAAAAGCCACCGACCGCTTTGCGGATAAAAAAGTGAAACTGTGTGTGTCAGTCCTATACATTGGCGTAATATGAAGCCCGCCCCCCCCTCCCCCCACGCACGCCTGTGCTGGTTCCGTATTTACTGAAGGCGTTGTTGAAGTGCACATATGAGGCCGCCACTCCTCCAGCTTACGCTGTGACCCTGCTGCGCGCTTCGCGTAGACCTGGCGATCTCCCCTTTCATGATCCTTTCCTTATCTCGCTAGTTGGGGAAGAACATGATTCTTCGTTTTCCCTTGATTTGTGCAGTGAGATAACTTGCGAATACGCATTTTCCTTTGGCGCAGACGGCCGGGGTTATATGCCGCACATGAATGCATTTCCTCTCATTTTTATTCCTCGTTTCCTCTTCTCCCCTGTTCATTATATCCACTCCGTGTGTGAAACAACCTCCTTCTCTCACATACGTCATACTTGATATATTGTATTCGTTTCTCTACCACTCTCTTTCCTACACTTCGCGCGGCTCGCTCGTTGATTTCGCCTTGACGTTCCCTGAAACCTTCACTATCGACCGATGAGCTCCCGGGAAAGCAGGCCTATCGATTTCCAGGGGCGAACGGCAGCTACAAGCGGCGGCTTCTCTGACCGCCGCTTCTGCTCGATGTAGCTGCGATGGGCTGGGCTCTTCTTTTATCTGTATCGTTCTGACACTCTTTGAAAGCGTTTTCTCGGATGTAGTTCTTCCCCCAAACGTGGCAGCCCCTTCTTCTCCAGCAGTTGTTTTTTTTTCTTCCTTTCAGCGATGGCGGGGTTTAGTTGTCAAAAGCACACTGGTTGATAAAAAGAAATGACTGGCGCTCCCATCGTAAAGTGTTAGATGTGAGCATAAAATGGCTACTGGAAATGCAGATTGGTTGAAAATGATATTAGCCAGATTCGTTTCGACCCGCTACCCCACCGCGCTGATCGCTGGCGGCATGGTCATGAAGCCCCCGAAACATTGGTCCCACAATGTGGCGCCATCTGTCGAAGAAAGTGGCGCGAAGTCCGCGTCGCGAAAGTCACGGACCACCCGAAAGAGCTCAGTTCACCATGTCTCATCGTCAAAAAGATACATGTAGGGTGCCTTGTAAGCTTGTACCCATAGGTGTGCGCACGGGGGAAGGGGGTCACTTAATAGGGGGGGGGGGGTACAACCCTAGTTACTTAATATGGGGGTGCAAAGCCAACCACATACATTGACATAATAGAGAGAGGAGCACTGCGACCAGCCCCCCCCCCCCCCCCCCCCCCCCCCCCCCCCCCCCCCCCCCCCCCCCCTAAATGAGAACCCTGCGAACGAATATGCTTGTACCTGCCTTTGCAATGTCGCTACTAGAAATGACAAATATAATCATACCTGCTCTCTTTCATTGTGTGTGTGTTTCGTTGCTTCCCGAGCGCCTTCTCGTGGCGTCGGTTGCTTTGGTGTTCAGAAAGGTTAATTTACAAATAAAAGAAAAATCTTCTCTTTAGTGACCTTCCCATCTGTTAGTGCAAAACATAATTGTTCTAAAATATTGCGAAACATGTCGTGATAAGATTTTGTTTATACTTGTGCAAGTTATTTTTTGGAGGGTCTCCGGCATCATGCAGAGTGTCATGGTAAATATTCGTAGTGTTGTGAAGGTGCTCCTTGATAGTGTTTGCTGTTGTTGGGTGTCAGCGCTATCACTTGGTAATTGACTAATTTTATTCGCTTCTTTTATTTTCCCCGTACAGAAAAGTCGGACAAGAGTCTTATCATTTTCATCCTGAGCTTCACTCTGCTCCTACTAATCATTGTATTGCTATATATCGGGTAAGCCTGCTTTTTTTTTAATGCAAGGGATAAGCGATACCACTAAAATCTGTGCCTTTATCTGCCTTTAGAAAAATGTGACCATCGTAGTTGAATAAGTGCGATACATTGCTCGCAGTCTACTGACACATTCTATTCTGGTGTACCGATACTATCTATCTATCTATCTATCTATCTATTCTATCTATCTATCTATCTATCTATCTATCTATCTATCTATCTATCTATCTATCTATCTATCTATCTATCTATCTATCTATCTATCTATCTATCTATCTATCTATCTATCTATCTATCTATCTATCTATCTATCTATCTATCTATCTATCTATCTATCTATCTATCTATCTATCTATCTATCTATCTATCTATCTATCTATCTATCTATCTATCTATCTATCTATCTATCTATCTATCTATCTATCTATCTATCTATCTATCTATCTATCTATCTATCTATCTATCTATCTATCTATCTATCTATCTATCTATCTATCTATCTATCTATCTATCTATCTATCTATCTATCTATCTATCTATCTATCTATCTATCTCTCTATCTCTCTATCTATCTCTCTATCTATCTATCTGTCTATATCTAGCTATCTGTCTATCTATCTGTCTATCTATCTATCTATCTATCTATCTATCTATCTATCTATCTATCTATCTATCTATCTATCTATCTATCTATCTAACTATCTATCTATCTAGCTGTCTGTCTATCTATCTATCTATCTATCTATCTATCTATCTATCTATCTATCTATCTATCTATCTATCTATCTATCTATCTATCATATCCAGCCGCCCTACGTCTGGGCGCTCTCGTGACGACTGCCTTTGCTTGGGTAAGCCAAAATTAGTATGGCAGGTTAAGATGGTTTGACGAACATGACTCGCTGGTCATGACACTAATTGTGTCACAATCCCATCGCGTGCGTCGCCAAACTCTTTTCGCGAGACGTGTGGCACGTACCCACTGACTGGTATGTGCCACAGGTAATTGACCGTTTTCGTCTACTCAGGAACGGCGAGAACGCAAAGGGGTAATTTTAACGCGTGAGCGTTAAGAAAAAAGCAGACATTGGCAGTGCTGGCCCGACAAATGCAAATAATAAATGCCGGTGTCCCAACAGGAATCGAACCCCAGCATTCTGCGCAGAAATCATGTACTCTCTACGCGAGGTCTCGGAACTACTTTTCAAATAGACCCTAATGAATCGCATTGGTGCGATACCGAATGAAAAAAAAAGCTATTTATCATTCATGTGTCTCAAAAATGCATTGGGCTCGTTCGTTACGAGGGCCCCTGAAGAAATTACGCCTATAAAAAGTATTAAAACATACGTGCTCACCATAGGCAATAAATATGAAGATTATTGGTAGTAATATGCCAGCAGCACGAAAAGAAAGTAGAAGAGATTCAGTCGAGAATACAGAGCCAGGAACTATCAAATGACTATCAACTGCTGGACTATGAACTGACTTTAGTTGATAGCCCAGCAAGGTCGGTTAATAGTCCAGTATTCTTCCTGTTCCTGTATCTGTTTTCATGTCTCTTTTTCTTCTGCTAGCTTTCTTCTTCTTTTTTTTTTTTTTGCTGCTGAAATTCCCTCACCAAGAACTATTTACATACACCTGCATGCGTTTGGGGTGTTTTGTCTTCCAGATCCAGACATTCCATGTTTTTGGGCAATATTAACCTTTCGAACCTTTTGAAGCTGAATAGGTATAGATCGGGGCCGATATTGTGACTGCGAGGTGTGTGACTGTGCGTGCATGCATCTTCCCCCCTCTCTGTTTCTCTCAATATCTTTAACACTCTCCGTCTTCTTCCTCGTTGTAGGATAGCATACCAGTTTTCTCTCTCCCTGCTGTGCCTTTCATCATTCCTTGACGCTGAATACAGATTTGTGCATGCGCGGAACGAATCGTAGTGAAATTGGTGACGTCGCCGTTTTGTGTGTGTCGTGTCCGCAGGAAACATTACGTGCAGTCAGAATGTGCTGGACCACCGAACCCACCTTGTCCAGCGTCGTCAACTATCACCGGCTTCACGGGTTCCATCCAGGACGCAGACAGTAAGTGTACAATGGCTGTTTATGCTATCGTATACCACTTTCTTCACGCGAATACCATATCCACGGGCCACCTTCTGTGATAACATGTTGAGATACTTAAAGAATGAAGTGGGGTACAGTCATTTGCATGCAGGATGTATTATTTTTTAAAAGCGAAGCATCTCTTGGTGTATACCAAAGGCATTTTGACCGTCCGTCAGTCCACCCATCCATCCGTCAGTGTGTCGAACATGGCGATATCTTGTGCAAATAATATGATATCGTAATTCTGTTCATGCACCTCAGATAGAACGGCACTCCTTAGCGTGCGTTGATGTAACGTTTTAACGGCACACTCCTGTCTTTGCTTGGCTGCAATCTCTGTCGCAGGTCCAGAGTGGGATTTGGTGGTGATACCCAGGGCCGTGAGACCACCGTCCCCCGTGTTACCCTCCAAAGAGGTGAGTCGTCGATACAGATGGGTGTTAAAAGGCTTCAGACCGTTAGCCCTCTCCCCTTTCCCCCACCGCGGCTTTCTCGCGTCATCGCGCTTGGCTAACATTGGTCACACAATGTGGCGCCATCTGTCGAAGAAAGTGGCGCGAAGTCCGCGTCGCCAAAGTCACGGACCACCCGAAAGAGCTCAGTTCGCCATGTCTCATCGTCAAAAAGATACATGTAGGGTGCCTTGTAAGCTTGTACCCATAGATGCACGCACGGCGGGGGGAGATGGCACTTAAGAGAGGGGGTACAACCCCCCCCCCCTCTTAAGACGGTAACTCACGCTTGGAACCATCCTACAGAAATTTAAATAGAGTGCAGACTGCCACACCCAAAAAAGTTATTTTTTTGCGTGAGCGCCGTGTACTCGGACTGATACACGTGGCACAGCGATAAAGAAAAAAAAATGTCCCCACCTTCCCGACGAGAATTGTGAGGAAATGCGAATGCAATGCGTCGAGTTCATAACGGCGTTTCGCACGTGAGAACCCAGCGTTAGAAAAATAATGTTTTCTTTTTTTTCTTACACCGTGCAGCCAATAGCACCATTCACCGCACGTGGCGTTTATCTGTCGCGAGAAACACGGTATGCGTTTCCAGCTCTAGTAGCTAGCGTGCACGGTTAAAAAAACTCCCAAGCATTTCCCCGAGGGTGAACATGGTTAAGTGCGAATACACGGGGTGATGCTATGAGGGGTATTTATTAATTCGCACTATTATATTTATTAATCACACTATGGTGCCTTTATGGTGTAATGGTTCCTGGGAATCGCAATTTGATCACACGGGGGAGTTTACGTTAACTCACTGGCGAATGCCAACAGATTTTAACTTTACTCTCCCTCACGACCCGCTCTCGACGGGAGACTGAGAGAGAAGGCGGGCGCGCGAGAGAGAGGGGTGCGCGCGCAGCTGCAGCGAGTGACGAGAGCGGAGGAGCGAGCGAAGGGGGAGGGGGTATAAGGCGCGTTACTGACACCGATATCAGCGTCGCGTCCGTGGCTTATTCGGTAGAGCGTCGCCCGGCGGCCCGCCAAGTCCTCTTTCTTTTAAAGATAGAGAGAAGACTGCGGACGCCGCCGACGGCGGTGGATGGTTTGGGGTCGCTTATAAAGTGTATTCACACTTAAAAATATATTATGAACAAACAGCGTTTTCGGTTTGGCGCTGGCATTTCACAGCGGCGTCTCGAGCACACATTTCCGGGTATTTATGAGAGGCGCCCAGCCAGCGAATGGTTGAGAGCACGGTGGTCGAGAGTGAGGCACGAGCGGACGGGAAAGTTGGGCGCAGGGAGGAGAGAGAGCGAACGGTGAGCGAAGGTGCGGCGAAGCATTGCACCTACCCTCTCCTACACTCTCTCGCACCACATGTAGGTGCGAGGATAAGCGCTTGCGCTCGCAGCTGTTTCTTTGGGAGAGGGAGTGAGAACGGAGAGATAACACCTGCCTGTGCGCGGACACCACCAGATGCCTGACAAAGCCCGACTAAGAAATGCATTCGCATTAAAAAAGGGGCAACGTGGCGGAACGGATAGCGTGTCCGGTACCTTTTGACGACGACCAAGTGGCCGTGGGTTTCACTACCCATCTTGGTTTTTGTAATTGTTTATTAGGCTTCACTACAGCTGACGGTATTTTTTATTCGATTCTTTTTGCAATCTGGTCGTGTGCATCTTTTCGTCATCATCTCCGTTACGGAAATACGCGAGTGAAATCTTCGTGGACCTCGGCATAAAATACTTGAGTGTTACAAATTTTGAGCCAAATACTTGAGCCATATACAGCTAATGCTGTAATGAAACAGATAAAACTGCCATGAAAGCAGGGCTTTGGCATCGAAATCATGTAATCATTAGTTTTGAAAGCTGTACTCTGCAAGAACAACGTACACCTGCATGATTATTGCGCCTGTTATTCATGCAGCTGAATGCAGCTACAGCGATACTTTAATTTACAAGGTGAAGACAGAAATTAATTAATGTGGTGCATCTGCAGAATAGTAAAAGCTAAGAGTGAAGTTTTCAGAAAAAAAAAAACGCCTTCATCCGGTAATCAATACGACGTCCGAAGTCTCGTAAAAGCTTGAGCTCAATGTGTATTGGTAATGTAGAGATTGAAAGAAAAAAAAAAACGTGTCCTGTGACAGTTGCAAGTTTCGTTGTGTTGGAATCCTTATAAAAATATGCGGTATTTCGAATACGTTCTGGTAAATTCTAGTAACAAATAAAAAAATGCTATTTGATTCGTTACACGAATTTTTTTATTATTCGCACATCCCTATTAAATATATATTTGATGTAAGCTCAGGTGCTATATTACTATTTTTGGAGCCCTTGACACCATGGAGTGCTTTTATGTGGAGTAACAATCCGACATTTAAAATTCGCGCCACTGCTTCTTTAAATCAGATGCCTTTCATGTCGCCGCGTTTCAGTTTGTGAATGAGCTGTGCCACAAACACAAGCTTTCAAGCATTTTCATACACAAGCATCACATTTTACTGCACCCATAATATTGGTTTCCCTTGATCGGACTGTCCTCTTTTCCAAGTGATCATGCGGATGTGTATGAGGCAGGGGCGGATCCATGGCCACTCTATTTAGAGGGAGGGGGTGGTTGCTTGAAATAAAATAGCAGAGAAGGAAGGAGGCGACTTGTTTTCAGTGGTTACTATCACCGCAAGAACCATCTCGTTCTTATGAGTTATGAAGGTGGACAACTGACAATTTTTGGAGGTGGGGGATAGCCCCCCCTTTGGATCCGCCACTGGTATTAAGTCAAAAACAATACTACTTCGCTGACCTTCCTGTCTGCTTTTCTGCTCCAAGGATACGTCTTATATATATATATATATATATATATATATATATATATATATATATATATATATATATATATATATATATATATATATACATATATATATATATATATATATATATTGTTGAGACGTTTATTGGCGGACACTTGTCGATGATGCTTGACAGCGACAGTCTTGTCTTGTCTTGTCTCCTAGGAGATCTCAATGTGGGTACTGACTCTCTGCACGAGCTGCTCTTCTTTTTCCTAAAAAGGGCGACCCACTAGAAGGCGCTGGAGAGGACAGCCCACTGTACGAAGGCTTCGCCAGAACTACCCCGGGTACGAAGAGGGAGCCGCCTGGCGACCTAACAGCTGGTTACTATGAGCGGGTCGTGGTAGGCTTTGAGGCGCTCCACGTTGACAATGTCGCGCCGTCGACGGCGCATGTCCGAAGATGGTTCGATGGGTTCGATCAAGTAATTTACATGGGAAGCGCGTTCGACGACACGGTAGGGGCCTTCGTATTTGGGCAATAGTTTTGAAGATAGGCCAGTTGAAGTGGTAGGGATCGAGAGCCGGACGAGCGCTCCAGGGAGGAACGTGGGCGCAGTAGTGCTGGTGTCAGCGCGAATGCCTTTTTGCCGCTCTTGATCATGCGCTGTAAAGGTCCTTGCAAGCTCTCGACACTCTTCAGCAAGCTTGGCTCTAGCAGAAATAGGCGCCCACTCGGACGGATCTGGCTTGTACGGAAGTATAGTGTCTATGGTGTGCGACGGGTGTCTTCCATATAATAAAAAGAAAGGTGAAAAGTCGGTAGTGCTCTGAGGGGCGGTGTCATATGCGTAGGTGACGAAGGGTAGAATGGCATCCTAATTTGTGTGATCGGCGGCGACGTACTTGGAGAGCATGTCGCCGAGCGTACGGTTGAAGCGTTCAGTGAGGCCATTCGTCTGCGGGTGGTAAGCAGCAGTTTTGCGGTGAACAACGTTGTACTCTTTGAGAATGGCTTCGACGACTTCAGACAGGAAGACGCGGCCTCGATCACTGAGCAGTTTCTGAGGTGGACCTTGTCGCAGCATGAATCGTTGGAGCAGGAAGGAGGCCACATCGCTTGCTGTAGCCGCGGGGAGAGCGGCAGTTTCGGCGTATCGCGTGAGGTGGTCCACAGCAACAATGGCCCAGTGGTTACCAGCCGACGTTAGTGGAAGTGGCCCATACAAATCGATGCCAACGCGCCCAAACGGCCTGGCAGGGCAAGGTAGAGGTTGCAGACCTACTGGCGACAGGTGCGTTGAAGTTTTGCGGCGCTGACATTTTATGCAGGAGCGAACGAATTTCTGCACGTAGCGGTACATGCCACGCCAAAAGTACCCTTGGCGAATGCAGTGGTAAGTCTTCGATACCCCGTAATGCGCACATTGTGTATCAGAATGAAAGAATTCGCATATGTCAGAGCGCAGACTGCGGGGTATGACTAGTAGCCACTGGCGGCCGTCACCGTTGTAATTGCGTCGGTGGAGGAGGTCGTCGCGAACGGCGAAATGGTGGGCTTGACGACGCAACGCGCGAGTGGATGGAGTGGATGCATCAGTAAGCAAGTCTATCAGTGAGGCCATCCATTGATCCTTGCGCTGTTCAGTAGCAACGGCATGAATGCTTATGGAAGAAACGGAAAGTTGGGACGCTGAGTCGTGGGCATTGTCTTCAGGCAAGAGAGAGCACGACAGGGCGTCGGCGTCAGCATGTTGCCTTCTGTTGCGGTACAGCACGCGGATGTCGTAGTCTTGCAGGCGAAGTGCCCACCGGGCGAGACGGCCTGAGGGATCTTTCAATGACGACAACCAGCATAGTGCGTGATGGTCGGTGACTACATAAAATGGGCGACCATACAAATAAGGTGGGAACTTGGTAAGGGCCCAAACGATTGCCAGACATTCTTTCTCAGTGACGGTGTAATTAGTCTCAGATTTTGTAAGCGTACGGCTTGCATACGCCACGACATATTCCGGGAACCCTGGTTTGCGCTGCGCAAGGACAGCGCCTAGACCGACACCACTGGCGTCCGTGTGTACCTCTGTGGGGGCCGTAGGTCGTAGTGGCGGAGTATGGGAGGCGACGTCAACGGCGATACTGATAGACGCGAAGTTTCGGATGAAGCGCCGAAAGTAGGAACACAGTCCTACGAAACTGCGCAGTTCCTTCACGGATGTCGGCTTGGGGAACTCGGTCACGGCCCGAAGCTTGGCTATATCGGGGAGAATTCCGTCCTTGGAGACGACGTAGCCGAGTATTGTCAACTGCCGAGCTGCAAATCGGCACTTATTTAGGTTCAGTTGCAGACTGGCGTCACTCAGACGCGTTAAAACATGCCGCAGGCGTTGAAGATGCGCGGAGAAGTCCGGAGCGAAAACGACGATGCCATCGAGGTAGCACAGGCACGTGTGCCATTTCAGGTCACGCAGAACGGTATCCATCATGCGCTCAAAGGTAGCGGGCGCATTGCACAGCCCAAACGGCATGACGTTGAATTCGTACAAGCCGTCGGGAGTGACAAAAGCGGTCTTCGGTCGAGCGTCCTCAGCCATAGGTACTTGCCAGTACCCTGAGCGCAAATCGAGAGATGAAAAGAATTCGGCTCCTTGCAGGCTGTCAATCGCGTCATCTACACGCGGTAGCGGGTACACGTCCTTACGAGTGATCTTGTTGAGGCGCCGGTAGTCCGCACAGAACCGCACAGAACCGTCCTTCTTCGCGACGAGAACGACAGGAGACGCCCAGGGTCGAATAACATCGCGGCGAAGCATGTCGTCCAGTTGCTCGTTCATTACACGGCGTTCTGTGGGAGATACGCGATATGGACGCTGCCGTAGTGGTGGTTGTGCACCTGTGTCGATGCGATGCGTAACAGCGGATGTGCGGCCAAGAGAAGGTTGAGTGACATCGAAAGAAGAGCGGAATTCTTCCAACAGGGCCAGAAGCTGGGAGCGCTGGACCAGTACGGGGTACGGGTCCAGCGAGAGGTACGGGGATCGATACCCCGCACCTCCACCAAATTGTTGAGGCGTTTATTGGCGGGCACTTGTCGATGATGCTTGACAGCGACAGTCAATGCGGGTACTGACTCTCTGCACGAGCTGCTCTTCTTTTTCCTAAAAAGGGCGACCCACTAGAAGGCACTGGAGAGGACGACCCACTGTACGAAGGCTTCGCCACAATATATATATATATATATATATATATATATATATATATATATATATATATATATATATATATATATATATATATATATATATAAGCGGGAAAGAAGTGTATTCTTAAGGGCTCATTTTCCGTGTTTTGACACAATATTAATGAGATCTAACAGACAATAATGCCAAGAAATATATAGGGGAAGTTATTAGAACCAATGTAATGTAAATAAGAAGAAAGAAAAGTGGGTGAAAAAATAACTCGCCGTGAGCAGGAATAGAACCTACGGCCTTCGAATAACGCGTTCGATGCTCTACCACTGAGCTATCATGGCGGCTATCCTCCCAGCCACTTTATTGGGTATATATGTGAATTTCAACGTGGGAGTGTCAGTCAGCGCCATCTGTAGCCATCGCGGCCAGTGTGGCACACTCTTTTATGAACCTGTGTGGCGTCACGTAGCACGTGAACTTATTACGAGCTGACCGCTGACCAATAGTCCCTCGTATACAACCTAAGGCACCAAGTCTGCCAGTACGAGACCCTCGTTAATGAATAAGGGAAAGAAGTGTATACTTAAGGGCTCGTTTTCCCGTGTTTTGACACAATAATAATAAAATATAACAGACAATAATGCCAAGGAAAGTATAGGGGAGGTTATTAGACCGAATTGTAAGGTAAATGTGAAAAAAGAAAAGTGAAAAGGTAACTTGCCATGGGCAGGAACCATCTATATATATATATACGAATCCAGCCATAAGGATGATTTGCTAGTAGCCACATCTCGTGCTCGATTGCTTCGATTTGCTTAATACCATAATGTGCACAATGCACGGACGGTAAAAACAAGGTGCTTAGTATGCAACAGATAGCAAGTATATAGCTCAAGTGTTGGCTCAAGTGTATTAAGTCTACAGCGCGTTAAGATGTTAAACTTGGATTTGGATTGGAATTTGAATTTGAGGGAATGCACTTTCTAGTTTCGTAATTAAACATCTGAGTGTTGAAACTTGATTCCCTGTTTTGTTTCGTAGGACCTGCCGCCCAGCTACGAGGAGGTGATGCGGTACCTGTCCCAGCAGTCATCGAAAAGATGACGTTCACATCACGAGGCATGGAGGCGTGCCTATCGCTGACAAACGGCTTGGGTCCTTGCCGCAAAACCGCAGCACTGCGCTCGCCGTATCCTGCATCCTCCGGTTGGGGCCGCTACGCCTAGTTTTCATCAGTTGGTTCGAATTCCTGAAGATGGCAGAACGATGGGCAAGGAACTGACGGACCCGTCTCCACCGCCACCACCCCCAACGCCAATGCCACCAGTCTCATCCACCGCCAGTCGCCGCCACCAGAGCCTGCAGAACTCATACCGGCATTTTCGCGCATCTATCGCTCTACAGCCAGTTTTTCCACAGCCTCCGCAGGGGAATGCTTCCATCGCGTGTTGGTCCACCGAGAACCGCCGGCATCTACTCCTGTGTTACCTAAACCAACAACGTCACCGGTGACAGCCACTACAATGGCGAGCTCTGTTTGCATCGCGCAACGGCTCATGCACGAAGAGACGGTAGAGGTCGAACCCACGACGTTCATCATCGCGGACACACGTGACGTCGTCAGGAACAACAACCATGGGTGCTTGAGATTCGATTTTAGGTTTTAAGTGTGCGGACGCCACTTCCGCAGCAAGAAAAATGAACCAGCTGAATTCATAGTTTCAAGGGTTTGGTGTTCAAACTTCGTATACGGTCTTTCGAGTGCGTGGCAACGTGATGTCAAGAGAAGCTGTTTCACTCGGTACACGATGTGCAGTGTCCCTAGCGAATGAGTCGGGGAATGAACATGAAGACTTAATGCACTTGTCATGAACGTGAACCATTGCGCGGCCATCAACGTCCCTCCGACAGATATTGCTGTTTTTTTTTCTTTTTTGAACGATTACGATCAAGACTGTGGTGAACTAAACTTGTGAGAATGATTTCTATAATTGCGCAGGTCATGCTTACAAGTGTGACAAAGTTGAAACAAACGACCTGCGCATTTGGTCGTGCCTGGCCCGCTCGCTTTCCCCCCGCTTCTTTAGCTGCTCCTTTTTCGTGCTATTGTGGAGCACTACCCCGATTTCTTTTGTCTTCCGCACGGGGATCATTGTAGTGTTCAGGATTTTGTATATGCCAAGTATCCACTGATGTACACAATTATCTCAGCATACCTATATATCTATATCACTTCTAAAAAACAACACTAATGACTCAGCGGTTGTATAGAACTTGCTGTCCTCGTTAGCAGGCGAAGTCAACATGACACTTCTCAAGTGTAGTGCGCAATTGTTTACAAGTGTTGATCCCAGTGGACCACTAGTTGGTCAACTGTCGCCTCGATGAGGCCAACATATAACTTCACTTAGAGTGCAATGTGTGAGATCACGCTGGGATTCCCGCTGGTGGTAAGCTTTCAAGAAATGTCGTTGAGCCTTCCATAGTGTCTTTCGTAGCACACTTGCACACGCATAGTCTCTTAAGAGAACGCTTACAGACGTTTGTTGAAGTCAATTTAAAATACAAGACGCATCAAAATACCACCTTGCGGTGCGCATCCGTTCTTCAACTGGGTGGTGTGCCCAAATATTTTGATGCCATTGGGTTGTCACGATGTGGTCAGGGCCACTAATCCTTCTGCAGCTGTTCGCATCACCTACCGTGCTTTCGATGTCTCCTTTAAGGCAAGTAGGGAAAGTTACGTGATGATGAACCGTATAAATCATTGCGGTGGGATAAATGACCATCTAAATAATCCAGGCCTAAATTTTGTCAAGGCGGATATGCCTCGTGCGGTTGTAGATGACGCGATGTGGTTTTCAATTGAGGAATCCCGTGTTGAACATGTGAGGGAAACGCAGATGTTGGATTCGCATAGTCCTGCTTTTTCGTTAGTTTTCCTCTTTTTTTTTTGTCCTGCTGCTTTACTGAGTAGTGCTCAGGAGTTATTTTCCAGTTTCTATTTGTTCGTTTGAACATGCACATAGCAAGAAGCACTCATGAGAACTTCAGCTGTTCGGGCATGGCAGTCGTCATTCATATGTAAAAGCTTTCTACCAGCACATGCATGAAATGCACTTAGTTCGGGTCTTTTGCCACGTCATGTAGATAATGTGTACAGGTGGATAAATAAGTAGTCACTAGCGGGGTCACACACTGGTGTAGAGAAACTGGCGAAATTGAAAGAATTGATGAAATGCTAGGGCATTTTTTCCAAATGCAGATAACATAGCACTGTCGCAAAATTAGAAAGAAAATATATAAACTATGTTTTACTACTGGTTAAAGCGTTGGTTTAGGTCAAAATTGTGCCATAGAGCCTGCAGTCTAGCATAATGCGCCAACATTTACTATATAGCATCTGTGCTGCGATGTTCAAGTGACTGTGGGTAGTACTGAAAATATCTAACAATAAGCCATACCATCTTGTTTTATTACTCTCAAAGTCACGAAGTCTAGGTCTTTCTCGCAGCGTTTAACGTCGCCTTGGCAACAGCGTTTTTCGCCAAATTTCGTCTTGTCCCGTTAACGCATATCAAAGATATGCTCTTAAATAGAGTTGTGCTCAAGTGTCAACAACAGTAACTGATGTGGGCCTCACATTCATGCGTCTCGAGTGCGGTGTATCTGTTGTTACTACGCCATACGAATATTTCCGTCTTCGCATACGAGAAGATCGGACACCTGGTGCCGTCAACGATGTGGTTACGGACGTTTGTAAGAGGAACGTGAGAATTTAATCTGAAAGAAAATAAATATGCGCATGTGCATGCGTGCCACTCTTCCGCGACATGAACATCAGCTTCTACCATGCAGACACGGCGAGTTCATCACGTAAGCAGCAAGTTACACTATCCTTTTTTTCCTTTACTAAAGCGTCTAAGTGCGCAGTCCAGTCTCTGAAGGGACCCCAGAGAGCCATAAGAACACTTGCTAGGATAAGTACACCCAGTTGAAAAAGCCCAGCAGGGTGTGTTTGGTGTGTTCTGGAGTGTCGTGGTGTTAACACTAGAGCACGCTGGTGTGGTCTGGTGGACACAGAAGACTGCTCTGATGTGTTCTAGTGGGAACTATCGAGAGTGGCAGAACAGGGATATGTTATAACCTAGAATAAGCGTTTAAACAATTGTATTCGCCACCGTCAGTGGTGTGTCGGAACTTCCAGCCTCGAACTGGTGTTTTGACAGCGGTACTTGTCTTCGCCAGTTCCTTCATAAGTGTTAACGGAATTGGGCCTAGTTGTGCTAACGTTAATTTGCTGCAAAAGGAGCGCTGAAAAACAGATAGAGAGGCAGACAGAATTTGAACTCTATTTAATGCACAGCTAGTCCGGATGGACTCCTCTCTCGCTTGCTTACGCCCACACGCCTGTAAACGGGGAATGCACGTATCTGGTATGCATGCAAGTTTAGCGTACTTCTTTGGAAAGTGATGGAAAAGATCCTTAGCCTGAGTGCTCTAACGGACGTGTCGACGAGGGGACTTCTGTTCTTCAAGGCTAGAACTAATTGTGCTCTAATCCGAACAAAGAAGGGGGAGAGGAAGCCACCGTGACGATTGGGTGAGAAAAAGGGAAGATGTATTCCGTGATTAAAAAGAAATGAAGGAAACGGGGAAGAGGCTATAGATGTTTCGCCGAATCACGGTTGACAAAAGTAGCAGCCCGTAACAATAGTAGATTTGAAATATGATTCGTACACAGCTAAAATATATTGTAGTTATGGCCTCCTCCTAAGAATTTCAAACGTTTACCCACCGTCTCTCCCCACTTCTTTCTTTCCTTTTATTGACAGTATACCTATTCCCTTCTAACTCCCAAAATTCGTCACGGTGGCCCCCCCCCCTTTTTTCGGACTGGAGGAGAAGGTGGAACGCTGGAGCTTATAAAATCAATTCTAGTTTTAAAGACAAGCCATCTTGTGGAAACATCGGCTCGAGCACACAGCCAAGATAGGTTGATTTCTTACTTTTCAATGGAGCACGAGTATGTTGGCACCTGTAAGGACAGGACCAATAAGAAATACATTGTGAATGTACATAAAATTTCAACTGAGCTGGCACTAAAGATGGAAATGCTACTCAGACAGCATTTGCTGCGCGAATAGGAAAGCGAACGCTCAGCCACTGTGTGCAACACCAAGCAAAACCACACTTGTGACTCGTACACGCTACACATCGATACAGATGATATCTGTCTGTTACTTAGAAACAAGGGATCATTTCGTGTAGATATGGTTTTGTGCTAATGCAACATGCACCTTTACTTTAGGGGTGAAGAATCCTGTGTAGGCGTGTCTGCATGTCATGTTGTCGTGGTAAATCAAGTCGGAAAAATATAGTGAAAAAGTGTATAATTGGTCTAACCCTGTTAATAATAACATAACATGATCTTAACTGGTTTAAACTAGAGGAATAATGAAGATTTAATTGTTATAAGAAACAGAAATTTGTTAAGCTCAGTCTCAAAACTAACCTTAAACGGCCAGTTTTTGCCTGTAATGCATGCTTCGGAGCATGTTGCGGTGCATAACACGAAGACAACTTGCGGGAAATCTGCGCCACCTTTTGTGCGTTCTGGCTTCTGCAAAACCGGTTCAACGCAAGAGAGGGCGCCACCACACGAGCAAGGGCGTGGTTACTCCCACTACCGGCGTTTCTCGTGCGCCCAATAAGAGCACGCCGTGTAGTGAGAGAGAGCGAACGACACGTGGTTGACTGCGAAAAACGCTCGCTCTGCGACGCGCACGACGCGCGTATGTTCGCAAAAAACGAGAACGCGCCCGCCCGCGGAAGACAACGCCTACGAAGCTAAAGCTGTAGCATATTACAAAAAGTGTAGATATCTGGGTAGGTTGGTGTGGATTCATAGTAGCAAGCAGCGCGAAAAAACAAGACAGACACACGGGAAGAAATGACGGGAACAAGCGCTGACTTTCAAGAAAGATTTTTTATTCAGAAGCGACACATGTATGCATACAGCTCCTGCCGTAGAGACCATGCGCAAAGAAATATGCGCACCATACTCACTCAACAACAAAGGCGCAATCTTAGCACATCGTTAATGTTATGACAAGATACGACATTTCTTTATCATGTAGCGTCATTGACGCCTGAACTGACACGTGCTTGCGACAGTTTGTAATTGCACGTGATGTCATTTCCGGCTAGCAAAGTGAGCGACCGCCATGTTTCTCAGGCTGCGCTTGCAGCTTACCACCGCGTCGGAGCTTGTCGGCGTCATTCGAGCAGTCGGTGAAAGGAAACGCATGCGCGCTTTGCGCGTCGTGCTTCGAAGAGCTTGTGGGGCCGACTTGTGTACGTTGCCGAGACAAAATTGAAATGTGCGATCGCATATCAACCCATACAAAAGGCGCATCTTTAAGGATGTTACACCGAACTTCGATCTGCTGCCTTTGGTGGCACACGGCGACACCGTGAACTACATGTTTGGTGCTTTCGACAATTCATGTCACGCTCCAACAAATGGAGGACGTACAAGTCACTGGACGGCCACAGCTATACTTCGCCAGCGGATGGGTGAAGAGCATAACAGCAAAGCAGCTCCCATCACAGCGTGTCGTCGTTCCAAGCAAGGTAAGTGAAACTCCGTGTTCCTCGAGATGCATGGGCTTCGACGTGATGTACTGCTGATGGTTCATCACGCTAGCTCTGGTTCTGTGGCTGGCAGTTCGAGGGATGTTTCCGACTCCGTGGACGTCGTGCCCGCTGCGACAGCATCCAGCGTGTTCATCTGTCTCTTTTTATAGAGTGGTGAAAACGCGCAGATGCTACGGAAGTATATAGTCCGGTCATAACAGCCGTGGCCCGCAGTAGGCTCGAAAGAAGACACGTTCACATATGTTGCGCCGTTAGACCTCGTATAGCAACACGAGAGGCGGTTATTCGAGGGGAAAAGGTCGTCTGTGCACCGCTGAGAATCTATAGGTAGCATTCTGGAGAAGCGACGCGATCACGCCAGTAAGCGAGGTAAACCGAAACACAACTAGAGAATACATTTACGTGTGATGAAATTATGGCTGCAGACACGGGTGTATTTCTCTTTCTTCAGGTTTTAGGTTTCCTCGGTTAATACGCGCCAGCAAGTGATACGGCGCTTTTCGGACAACATCCTTGTTCGCGCACACTGATTTGTAGTAATCGCGGGCAAACTAAAAATACTAACTCGTGGCGGTGCCTTGTCTTTACAAGCAGAAGTTCCACTTCTTGTTCTGCATCCAAAAATAGGCACAGTCATATCGAAGCATGCAGGCAGCGCGACTGGACCTAGGTCTCACCGCTGAAAGTTTCTGACTATACGCTTCCAGAAAACATGGCGGTTATCGCTTCTCTCATTCCCGGTTGTGGCGTGCGTGCAACTTACGTGGGCAAACTAAACATCTGTGTTAGCCTAGCTGTGCCGATTGCCTATAGAAGCAGAAGTTACACTTCTTGTTCTGCATCCAGAATGGCGCAAATAGTCGTGGTGAAGCCGGTAGCAGTAACCGAATACCAGATATCGCCGCTGCAAAGCTCCCGACTACGCTTCCAAAGAGGTGCATATGTTGACGAACATGGCGGTTCTCCGTCCTCTCGCTCCCGGATGTGACGTACGTGCACCCATGTAACAACAGCACTTCAACAACACCACATATGTCTGTGTGTCCGTTCCTTTTGGTTCTCCGTTCGGGTCTCGATGCCCACAGCATAATTATGCTCAACATCTTTTTGTGCGTTCTGGCTTCTGCAAATGGACGCGACGCTAAAGATGGGCGTGCACTCGCACTGGCGGCAGTTTATTGAAAAGAGTAAACTTGCCGGGCCTTTCAAGGCATTGTGGTGCTCCCTTAACCGCACATTAAGGCACTGCCCAGTTATATATTTTACCGTGATTGGACTGTATGTGCCAAGGTGGACCGCTGCATGAAAAGTATAATAGAGGCTTCAAGTTTGGATGCACGATGCACGGCGTGCAAACACTCAGTTATGCCTGGGTGTGCGTAGTGAACGTTAATCTTATGTTTTAGCTTAGACTCGCTTGCTGGATTCTGTGCCGACCGGTTGTGTGTGCGCTCGCGATCTCGGGCGTCAGCGTAGCTCTGGCCGACTGGGCTCGCCCTACGTCACCTCCTGACGCCGACGACCTTCGACGACAGGGTAGCTCTGACCGACTCGACTTGCGCTACGCCATCTACCGACGCCGACAAGAGCTCTCGCAAGTGTGCCCCGTCCTCGGACTCCAGTGACCGTGCTTCCATCTTTCCTATCTCTTCTATCCCCTCAGTTTGTTGTCGCTTGCTCTTGCTTACCACCTCACGTCTCTTCCTCTTTTCTACACCTTTACTCCTACCCTTTTATCCCTCCTCACCCTCATCCCTTGTGAGCTACTGTTGAGGTGTCGCTCACTGAAGCAGACAGTTACGGGGCTCACTTTTCTCTTCCTTTCTCTCTTAAGAATCACTTCTCTATGTTTTAGCTTGGTTCTCAGTACGCATATGGTTCTTAATGCGTGCGGCTCGTTCTTCCTCCGTCTCTTCGACTCGCTGCCTCCTCTTGGTTTTGTTCCGACGACGAAGCCTGACTTGATTCATTCCCCGACTCACTTACCCCATATCTGCCGATGAATTCCAAAGAGTCACCCAGTATACATATGTACACCACGCAACGCGGTTTCGCCGGCTACTCTGACATCGTGCCAGATGGCGTGGCGCTTCCAGCTATGGCGCCTTAGCTCGTGGTGTGGTTGTCCTGTCGGTTGTGTATCGGTTGTTCCATTCACATGTGCACCGCTGCTGTAAATAATATCTGGGGTTAATACACGCCAAAACCTCGGACGATATGAATACGAGGCCCGTCATTGTATTGCCTCGGGAAATTTAGATCAAGGGGTGCGCCTTGACATCGCAGAGTCTTCATCCATCGTTAAAACCCATGACCTTCGGGTGAGCAGCCGAGCACCGCAGCTCACGAATATGAAACAGTCAGAACGAATATAAAATTTATATTCCCGCCCACGTAATTTTAGTATTTATTTATTCTACTCAAAGGTATGAGATATTAAAAAAAGGACGTAATCCCAGAAGGGTCGTTTAGGACGATGTCAGATGAAAATGTATTTCAGTTGTTTTCTTCTTTTTAATACTGCGGGTTCTTCGCCGGTGATGCAGGAGTGGTTACATGAATACACGGAATTGTCTGCATTGTCGAAAATTCACGGTGAAGATGGGGAACTCTGAATGAGGTCGATGAAAGCGCCTGTCGTATTGCAGATAAATTGTTTCATGGAAGATATCGGACGGAAAAAGGGACGGAAATGTTTGTATAAGCGTTAACACGCCCTAATGGCTGGCGGGATGCTTTAGAATAGCACGCCAACGCGCTGTGTGCGCACAAGAACTGTATATACGGGAGGGTGACTCAGACTAACTAACTTTACTCAGTTAAGTAAGATCACCGATGAGCACGAGAGCTAATCATGCATACAGCCTCGATGTTCATTGCTGCAGGTTAACCGCCACGGTCTTGTTAAAGTCTTGCTCAATTATGAGTCACGTCTGTACAGAAATAGAAACTCGCACATTCCGCCCGTGTTTATTTTTCAGTTCTTACAATTGGAGCGTATATAGGTATAGCTGAGAATAGCGAGGCTCTCCCAATTTCTCTGTACAACGTGCACGCTAGACGTTTTTGCGCACATGGAATTGACGAATTTAGGTTTCACCTATACACAGCTAAAATAAGGTCGATGCGTATTGTAAAGACATAAGCTATTTAGATAAGCATTATTTGTAGGCGTATGACGTCAAGAACTCAATGGAATGATAACTTTTCGTTTATGCAGTTATTGAGAGCTAGTGAGAAAGGTTAAGGCACATTCACGGCAGGAGTTGAGTGAGGGAGGCATTTGCTGAGAGAAATAAGTAACTGCTTTGTTTCCACAAAATTGTTCAGAAAGCGCGAATGCTTATTGTACAGTTAATATAATAAGTCGCGCTCCCAAAGCGAAGAAGCATGCCTTACTAAATGAGCTCTCTCCTTTCATGCATCTAATAAGCCAACAGGGATAAAAGCTGATCGTACATTTTCGCCAATTTCATCCTCACTTCGGTGCAGTTGACATTTTGAAATATTTATAAAGTATCCGGCTTTGCAAAGGACGGCTATTCAATACGATGGTAGAGTCGTAGAATCCAATAATGCACTGTTCCATTTGAATACCGAAATTTTGAGTACTCGCACACACTACCCATAAATAGGTCGCTGCACATAGGGCACCTGCTGCATTCTGTTTCACGAAATCGAATGAAAAGAGAATACGTTTTTCCCACTGGATTTCTTGCTTCTGGTTCATTTGGTAGGCATTTCGTCAACTCGCGTATTGTGTTGAAGTGACATTGCAATATGATTGATAATTACGGAATCATAAGGTAATTTGCGCATATACTGGTGGAAAATAAAGGCCCGCTTTATAACGGGCAACGAAATGAATGTAAGCGCACATGTGTGTTTGCCTTGTCTTTCATTTATTTTTTTTTCACAGTGCTGTTTGTATATTTTTATAACGCTGAGACATAACGCGCATTTAATTTGAGCCAAGTCAAATTAGAGCAACTATCCCATATCGAGCTAATTATTGTAGTAATCACTTGTCGGCTCCTTGGAAGCCCTAGCCAGCAGCGTGCTGAAATGGGCCGACGGCCGATAGTTGGTAAACAAGTGGGTGGGGCTCAGCAACCGCTGTTGTCGGCCAACCAATAGTGCGAATTGAGGCCCTGATTGGCAACCAATATCGCTGGTTATAGTTAGCCGCAGACGTTGAGCGAACGGTCAGCAAGTGATAGCATTTCTTTTCTGTCTTTCCCCGCCGCGGTCGTCTAGTGGCTAAGGTACTCGGCTGCTGACCCACAGGTCGCGGGTTTGGATCCCGGCTGCGGCGGCTGCATTTCCGATGGAGGCGGAAATGCTGTAGACCCGTGTGCTCAGATTTGGGTGCACGTTAAAGATGCCGTAGTGGAGGGCTTCAGAAATTTCGACCCCAGGTGGTCGAAATTTCCGGAGCCCTCCATTACGACGTCTTTCATAATCATATGGTGGTTTTGGGACGTTAAACCTCACATATCTATCTATCTTCTTTTCTGTCCTTTTTTTAACCTCTCTCTCTCTCTCCCATTCACTTCATTTTTCCTTCTCCCTGTGCACTACTGCTGAGGTGTCCTCCCCTGGGAGAGACAGTTGCGGGGAGCACTTCTTTCTTCATACCCTAAACTTAAAACCCCTTCCCCCGAAATCGTCGGCACCCAATGTTCGGGCAACCAAACGTGGTCCGAATTGTTGGGCCATGCTTTCCGATATACTACGTTGGCCAGTTACTATGGGCTAATCATGAGCCGACATTATATGATATCTGTGGCATGCACCGTGCGGATTATTTCTCGGTCAGCGAGAATTTTTTGTATGGGAGCTCAGCGTCCGCTGTCACTAGAATGCACAACATTATTCTGTGCACCATTTGCCATCTACAAGGTTCGCCTACGGCCTTGGGCCTGTGTTTGCAGTCAACGGTCGGCCTTTGTGAGCGAGGTCATTAACCAAAATCGCCCTCGGCCCCCCTTGTTGAGCAAGCTTGGGCCATGAACGGCTAGGTCGGCCATGCATGTTGGACCAGCATAGAGCCGAGGCCGTTTTTTCAGTCGGGCTGCACACGATGTGCCGAAACCCATGACCGCGCTCTTTGCAAACTGAGTGTGTCTAGAATCTAGTATATAAGTGTTATGTGCTTGCCCACAAATCCCCCACGACACGCTTAAAGTGGGATATGTTGGTAGTGTGAAATCGCGCTATCATGTAGCTGCACTAGAATAGGGTAGTGTATCGTCTTCGCAGTAAACCATAGAGTTAATATACGTAATGTTAATCGATAAACCAAATGACAGTGGTGGTCCCACCGGCAATAACGCCACCCGAGAACGCTACAATGGATAAGCGTGCCTGGCGTGCAAATTTTAAATGTGCATGGCAAAACATTTTGTAGTTTTTTAGTAATATTCACATAACATAATGGAACCAAAACTATTTGCGAGATTTAAACAATCCAACACATTTGAATGCATTGCTGCAATAAATAAAGCTTCTTCGATTATCGACACGAATTCCTATCGCAGAACCCGGATCGTCCTTTACTACTTTAAATGCAGAAGGCATAACAATGCACTTTGATGTTCATTTTGTGCGTATGCACGCCTGTCTAGCTATCAAGTTACTCGACGAAACGCATAAATAGGTGCGGAAGCATACCGCTCATCACCTGCATCATGCAAGAGAGTAGTCGCGAAGTTTTCAGCAGAAAGAAATATAACAATGACGAATAATGCTTGAATTGTTTAGGCGTTTTATTCCTCAAAGGGACGCAAAGTGCAGAAATGCCGCCATGAATGATTCCTGATCGCGCGTACGTATCCTAGCTGTATGAATAAGCCCGGAATTCCAACCGTTCTACAAGAACTACAATGCATTAGGATAACGCAAACACTGAATCTGCCATGAACACGAAAAAAATTCGCGAGCGCGTTAAGAGAAACTGACGGCAGCAGTCGACGAGTTTCCTCTGTACGCACACGACCAGCGGGGCAACTACAACTACTAATCTCAGAGGCTTTTCATCTTCCCTTGCCATAAATTACTTCACGGTGCGGCGCAGCAGCACGGTGTGCTTTAGAACCAAGTCGTCATCGAAAAAAAAAAAAACCCCTTTTCGGCTGGTGCCAGGCTTGGCCAGGCTCCAGCCGACACGGACACACTCATAGGAATGCGCTGGATTCCCCTTCCCTGGAGAGGGGACGGGGTTCGACCATCAATGTGGCGCATCATGAAAGGAGTGATGTGCGATCTACCCTAAAAGTGTCGTTATCAGCTAGAATTGGGTTACGGAGGACACCCTAATGGGTTGGTGGCTACGCTAACCCTATTATGTTATGTACTTGTGCCGTGCAAGCCGCAACAGATTTGCAATCGTTGCTGCTTAATAACATCCGCAACGATAACAGAAACTCGATGACAGTCAGAAACCTGCGAGATAAACTTTATTGATTCCCGAATATGACGCACGGTGATTGCTTAAGGTCGAGTTATTGTTACTGCACTACTGACAAGTTCTCCTTGTTTACTGATAACTTTAGCAGACGACTTTCTGCTCGTCTCGAGTCTCAAAATCACTCAAGTTTAAAGCTTCTAAAGCTACAAGTCGGTTGCACAAACCTAATAATTACTTGAATCTAAAACTATGAGTAGTTTTTTTTTATTTTAGGCATTGTAATATTTTTATAAATCTTTTTGAGTTTACTACAATCTAACTTTAGAAGCGAACAACAAATGCGCAACCACCATGTGCGACTTTGGATGTGTCTTGGGATTTAGTTTTGGCCTCGTTTGACTTGTGAAGTCACGGTGACGATGACGAACGGGGAGAGGTGCGAGCAGCAGCTGCGTTTCGGCAACCACTAGACGCCAGCTGATCATGGAAGACGGACCGGTGGAGGGTCCGGATGGCGGACTTCAGAAGCGGCTCATCTACAACCGACTGCTGCCTTACAGCGACCAGATCGACGATGAAGCTTCCAGGCTTCTCGCCGAAATCAAGACCAACATAGCGCGCTCAGTGATGCTGCGCGAGGTGAAACCAGTCACAGCATCTTGGACCGGACACCTGAATAAGTGCGTAGATTTTGGGGTTTCATCACCTGATTTTTTTTTTCTTCCACCGTGTATACTGATTTCGTGTACAACGGTAGATCGTAGGAAATGCTTTGGGGGTGGGATGTCGAACGTCACGCTGTGTCGCTATATCGAGCGTCCTTCGCATTACGGTACAACATCTGTCTCTCCTTATAACAAGCGGATAGGGACATATTCCTTGGTCAATCCTGTTACCTCACATTTCTTGAAGACAGGCTGTTTTAAGTAATGAGGTATACGCCGCCAAATGCTAACCTGAACGCGCCCAGCTGTTTCTTCCTCTAGTCGCAATTTCCTGGATGAAGTGAGAGGTACTTTGCGTTTGTCACAGCAGTGCGCGGCTCGGCATGCTGTAGCAGCACTAGAGGTTACGCTTAGGACCTGCTTAAGAAACCTGCCAAATGGCGTCAAACACGACGTATATATATATGTGTATATATATTCTCGTGATGTGCCACGCCGCGCTTTTTTTAGCTGTTTGCTGACCTTAGGTGAGCGTACTTTCGAAACTTCAGGCTGGCGTTCGCGACCACGCGATGCCAGTTGCCGCTGGTTCTTCGCGCGCTTAACGAAACTGCGCTCGGCACCGAAGTGAGCTGGGCGCACACATACCCTGAGACTTCCGGTTTCAAAGCGCCAACCTTACGCCTCCGATTTCGTCCCCCGCAGCACGAACGGTTTCGCACGTTTAGTTTCTCAGCTAGACCATTCTTCGCTAGAGCATCTGGACTAGCATGTTGGCGTATCACAAAATTTTCTATCTGCTCCATCATTCGATCACTGTGGCGAGGCCCACCGTCTGTGATTTCAGTTGCGTGCACTGATCTTGCCTCATCCTTTTCAGCTTGGAAAAATTCACTCACCGGTGCATTCAGCCATTGCTCGAAATCAAGCAAGTGCAGTGCTGTGCATTAAGTACGCAAACACCATAAACTGGTAGTTTTGTGCGACTATAGGGAGACCTACCACCTCTTGTACGCATGTGGGTGTGCGTGGACAGAACAATGCTGCAAACTAGGTCATGTACCAGTCCACATGGTAGTTTGTGGCGCCAGATAATTCATAAATTACAAGTTATCTATAGTGAGCATCATGGCCAGGAATGGAATACATCATTTCAGGTGCAACTTTCATCAGTCATTTCGTTTGCTGCATTTTGTAGCACTTGTCAACCAAGCAGTAGTTTTTTTCATTGGCTGAGGTACTTCAAGTAAGCTTAACAAAATCAATCCTGGAAGGCACCAGGTCGAGAAAAGTTTAAGTGAGAAATAGTCTGGCTTAATAACTGTACTTAAGTGCTGAAAAAGAAGCTGATATAAAGTACCATAGGATATGAGCTCATACACTTTTCTTGGTAAAAATGCAGATTGAAAGGTGCAGCAGAGACACAAAGTACAATACAGGTGGCATATGGTCTGTCTTGTCTCCTTCGTATCTTGTGCTTCAGGTTTTTTTATGCTAATATCTCCAGGAAGCCATACTCTTCCGGATAGTGATTCATTGCTCTGAAGTGAATTCTTAAAAATTATCTTCAAATGAGTTTTACAACTACCTCATTCTATGGCCATAATTGTTAAATGCTGCAGGTGTTTATTGCAGCTATAGGCCCTTTCATTCTTATAAACCAAGAGAGCAGCAGTGCATATCTATTTGCATGGCTTGAAGCAGTAAAAACTTTGTGCTGATTTCACTTATATTGCTTTGAAATATTTGCAGAAATAATTCGCAAATGCATATAAGTATTATTGTTGTCACTTGCCTTCAGTAAATGTCACGAGATGACATAACTATAGTTTGCAAGTCTCTTGGAAACTGTTGCAAACAATTTCGTGCTGTTTCATCAGCAGTAATATATTGACAATCCTGAAATACTGTGGGTGAGATCATTGCAAGCTAGGGCAGTGTTTCCTACAGGAGTATGTCAAGTTGGTTTTCACTGGGAACAATTATTTATCAACAAACTGAGGATTTAAGCTCAATATCCCAAAAATTCAGCAGAAAACTATGAAAGTCTGAAATGTCATTGTGAATGTGCTTAGTATTAGTGAAAATATGAGGGAGCTTGAGCACAAGCATGATTGAGTACAGAACCTTCTGTTCTTCAGTGAACATTTCTGCACCGACCTAAATCACTGGTTACATGCCACTGTTCTATGATATTATGTCATGCATCTTTCTCAAGCATAGCAGCCCTATGCCTATGAAAGCTGTAAACCGAATGCCCATGTTCAGCAGAGTAGAAGTTCTCTGCATTTGCAAAACTACCACTTGCAAGTGCTGTCAAGTTTTCTTAGCTGCTTAAAGCGGAATTCTCGGGAAGTCTCATTTCTCTAAGAGGAGCTGTATGGCTAGCATCGCTTGTCAAATATCAATATTTATACAATTACTGTCAAAATATCTAGCCTTGGGTCTTGAACACTATGCAGGGAATTCTGCACACGTAGCTTGCTCAAGTGAAAATTCCGGATAAATATAACAGTGCTGTCAACTATGGTTGGCTCTCCATGTTAGAAAACTGGGTTTAAATGTCTAGTGCATCTTTTTGTGAACTCCATTTGAACAGGACATAAGCAAAAGCTCTCATTGACCTTATTGGATATTGAGGCTATTAATAATGAAGAAAATTTGATCAATCCAGTTGATTATTAGTGAATATTAATCCTTTCAGACACTATGTACACCCTTGTGTACACCACTCGTTTTCATTATTTGCATCAAGTAGAGGCTAAGGGGCTAAGGAAAAGCAAAATATATTATACATTAGATAATTGAACCTCCTGCATGATTAATTTGTCTTCATTTAACCTCATATTGTACCCTGCCGCGGTAGTATAGTGGTTGAGGTACTCAACTGTTGACCCGCGGGTTGCAGGATCGAATCCCAGCTGCAGTGGCTGCATTTCCGATGGAGGAGGAAATGTTGTAGGCCCGTGTGCTCAGATTTGGGTGCACGTTAAAGAACCCCAAGTGGTCGAAATTTCCGGAGCCCTCCACTACGGTGTCTCTCATAATCATATGGTGGTTTTGGGACGTTAAACCCCACATATCAATTAATAATCTCATTTTTCAGTGTACTGATACATATGATCACGCTTCTGAAGGCACTATCATGTTTGACAGTCGTGCGATGTGCGACTTCCTGCAAGCAATGTGAAAAGCAGGAATTTTTCTTGCTCGCAATTGTCATCACCAAAAATAAATTTGCACCGTATTTCTAGCCTGAGATTAGATTCTATTTATGCCAAAAGTAAGCATCAATGACTTTAGGATAAAGAGATAGTTAATCGCAACTTAATTAGAACAAGTTACTACGGCACACATCGTAAGCACCAATGACTTCAGTATAAAGAGATAATTAGTTGCAACTTAATTAGAACAAGTTACTACGGCACACATAGTAAGCATCAATGACTTTAGGATAAAGAGATATTTAATTGCAACTTAATTAGAACAAGTTACTGTGACACACATAAATGTAACAATTATCTCGTTATTTTTGTTGCAATAGAATATTGAGTACCTTGAAGTAATGTAGTGATTTGACACATTTACAGACATTTCTTAATAGTTGGCATCTGAAAGAGTTAAAGGCGATGTTATACAGTGTTTCCATTATTTTAACTTTACTTGTCCAGGAAAGCTGGACAATTCCTGACAAGCTAGAGAGAAATCAATTAAAAACCTGTAGATGCTGTATAGCTTTAAACCATGCAGCACCCTTACTTGTATTTTCATACTTCACATTTGTATGTGTTAAGCATCCTTAATGTAGAGGGCATATGAAGAATGGGAAGTGATGATCTCAGTGATTTGAAGCACAACACCAAATGTGAAGTTTTCAGAGAAACCAACTTTTCAAAAGAGTGAATAACATTTGCTACACTCTGTATTCATGCGTTTTAGCTCTATTTTTGCAGTCATGAGGTTCTTTTTTTTTTTTCAAGGCGCTCATGGTGCCTGGGAAAGTTGCAGCTGCATCGCTTTGCCTTTCTGTCGTTCAGACAATGGCTTTTGTTATTTTACCAACTGTGGAGACCTAGTATTTGCTGGCATATGAACTTACTCATAACATGGTGCCTTAATTATATTCTAAGCTTATTTCTGATCTAAGTTTGTCTCCAAGCTCCAAGTTCCAAGTGTGTGGCAATCTGTGCATTGGCCTACGGCATCTAGATGTTGTTCTTGTATTTGTTCAATTCATCTAATTTTTTTACTTCAGTGACAGTCAGAACTTGTAACAGCATACATTTACCAGTGTGTAAATCATACTGTAAGCCATCATTGGTATATTGTAACATTTTTAATAAACTGTTAGGACACTGTAGCTCTTTTCTTTATTAATTGTCGTGTACTTTGCACTACTTAATACTATCATAGAATGTCAAACTATGCAAACTTGATAGGGACAGGCAGGTGACATACAGAATAAAGAAAGATGTGCATGAATTTAAGTGAGGTTATCTACTAGCTGTAGTTTGCGAGCCTTTGCGACTATTCCTTTGGCTGTACTTGACATTAACTTGTGCAATGTAGTGCACATCTTGTTCTACACAGCAGGCCTACCTTTCCTTGTACATATTTGCTTTCCTCAGCTGTGAAGTGTTCAACAGTCTGTGTTGCTGCATTGGCAACGGTGGTGTATAGTCGAGAGATAACTTTACAAATACTTTGAGCGTTGAACAGTCAATTCTTCAATCAGTGCACTGCACATTTCTCATGTAGTCTCTACCAGAAGAGGCTCATGTACTTTTTGTGACACCTACAGATATAGGCCACGGACCTCAGGGTATGCCTTTTGAAAAGCACTGCCAACAACACTTTCATAGTATGTCATGCTGTTCTTTCTTTAGCAGCCATCTTTTTTGAGTCGCTATGCTGCTACGCTGACCATGATAGACCACAGCCTTGCACCCCGTTTCAACATTTCACTATCTGTTGCCTCAAGTTTTTTTGTGTAGTCCTTCTCAGAAAAAAGTGAGGCAACTGCACTGAGGTTGCCGTTATTCTTGGATGTACTTGCTAGGCATGTGTACATCTCACTTGAGCCACACAACGTGTTCACTGAAATAGACCACAAGCCTCAGAGTACAAGTACACCGTTTGGCAGAGGCACCCTCCCCTGACGCCATCATATTTTACAGCGCTTCTGTTAGCTCTTACCTGTCACTACGCCTATGCACTGACTGTGGTAGGCCTTGGGGCACACAACGTTGCAAACACCTCACTCACGTGCCTCACATTTGCTTTCCAACGAGCGAGCGCATTAACTGCTCTGAGGTTTCAGTTATTCTTAGTGCTTCCTGCCGAGGGTGCTTGTACGAGAGCTGCGCGTAGCACCCCACTAAAATAACCCACGAGCCTCACACTACGCTGCTCAAGAGAGGCCGTCAAGAACACCTTCCTGTTGATAGGCCTCCCTTTGCTTTCTTTAGCTGTTAGCCGTGGGCTTTTGAAAAAGATCGCATGAGGCAGACGCGGAACTGCGTGAGGCAATCGGACCTCCCTCAGATGCCGGGAGAGGCTGCATGTACACATTTTCGTCTTCTCGAGGCGGCAGTCTCTCTTGGGGGGTGGTTTCCCCTGGCTGCACGCCAAGTGCCTGCCTCTGCCACTGCTTTGCCAGCCTAGGTTGCCTCTCAACAGTCGGGCTTCTCCTGGAACAGTTGTTTCCGTGCCACTTGAGCTACACCGCATATATTAGTTGTAAAACGATGGTCTCCTTTTTGGTGTCCATTCCTTATTAAGATGCTTTTTTTATTCTTCTTACATTTAGAATGTTGCTTTATCATTGCCAAATTTGTCAGGCACTTCCCTTTTTTTTCTCTGCTTTTTTCGGAATATAGTTTATCCTGCAAAGTATGTAATGCACTTAAATGTTGCATCTGGCTGAAAGATCATCAATGTTTATTTTGTGCAGTAGCTTAGTCAAATCAGCCCAACATGAATTTGTGCTTGGCGATTCCCCTAATTTCCCACATTTAGTGTGGGACTGTACAAAACATTATTGGTATTTTTTGTCTGATTATTATTATTATTATTATTATTAACTTTTCTGCTGTAACGACAAAAATGCATTTAAGACAATTTGGACAATCGCTGTTTGTATTCATTCACTATTCTGGCTTTGTAAACAACTTCACAAGCTTTTGTGCAGGATTAGTACGAATTTTATTAACTACCATTTTCCTTTATAGCTTGGCTAAATCCCTTTCATCCACTGACTGATAGTCAGTGATGGTAATTATAGTGAGCATGTCACAGAAAAAAAGGCTTTTTTGTTTATTTCATATTCGTGTGATATAACAAGTTCCAGTGAAGCTGTCTGCTGCATTTATGGGACCACAAACTCGTTTGGCTATTTTTCTCAAAGAATGTGTGGAATGAAAAGCTGTGGCCTTACTTTTTAAACGCATGTAAAATGTGGAAATTCTATTCCTTTATATGACTACCAGCACACTGAATAAAATTTGTTCCATTTGCAAGCATTCAGTTTTGCCATTTGTTTCAACTAGGAATCTAATGTCAGGCTTCATACTTGAGAAAATTACTGAGAATTAGGGGATATATTTCTTTCAATTGGAGCATAAAATTAACAAACGCACACTCTGCACCAAAGATAAGTAATGAAGTTTTTAAAACTATCTGAATAGGGCATTAAAACACTTTTTTTAATTTTTAATTTGTGAGAAAGTGTTACATTTATGGTTAAAAAACAGTTTTCCCATGCACAAAGGTGTGCTGTGTAGGAGATTTGTGTATAATGCAACTATTTGTTTTTTTTTGTTTTTTTTTTCACTTTAGTTGACTTAATAATGTAAGTTTGTATAATTTAGCAATGTCGTTGTTTGTTGCCATATTACAGTGTTTTCAGCTGGCAGAATGTACCAGAAAAGCATTAAAAACATTTACGGGTACTGTTCATGTGCATTGATAGCATATAGAGTGTTTGTTTTATGCGAGAGAAAGGCAAATGAAGAACTTCAGAAGATACCCTTGTGCAGCGTTTGTTTTAGTTGTAATAACAATGATAATGTCACGAGACCCTTTCAGGAAACTACAACATTCAATTTTGTTTAATGAAAATTTTATTTCATCACATTTTCTTCATGATTTTTGAAAGCAGAACACTGCTGAAAGAATGAAGATCTTTTCATTTTGTGCATTTTGTGAAGTTGGGAAACTTGTGTGCACCGCCAGGTTTGTCATACATTATTGACCATTTGTGTATTGAACCATGTGTTATTGAGCATTAACCATTTCATATATAGCGCGCTTTAATATTCACAGGACTGAAAAGATTTGTCACACTGACAGTGAGAGCAAACATTTTGTTGACCACCTTCCCACTCATCCGACTGTAAAACAATTTGCAGTCATATTATCAGATTTTTACAATGTGCTGATTGAAAGTATCATATAAAAAGAACTCTGATGGACATTGACCGAATGAACCGCTTCATTTTGTTAACCCGTGCCCATCTGAGTGTTCTACGTGACAGTTTCACTTGTCTCTTGCTAAACGTCCACATAAACCAACCAAACTATAATTTTACTCACATCGCAAGTACTATTACTCAAACTTGCAGCACAGGTCTAGTTTTAAATGCTTTCAAATGTGCACAGTACAATTCAAATGTTCATCCCCTGTCTTTGTTTTTGTGCACTGTATTGGTGTTTAAGTGAAACAGTTACTTGCCATAATAAATAGTAAACTAAAGCTCCTTACACTTTTGGTGAATTCTTGTTTCAGTTGGCCATGTTTTAGCCTTGCCAGATTGATTTTAATCTAAATCTTAAACTGTTACACTGCCTTGATGTGTACAACCATGCACACAGTGCCTGAAGAGTTTGTCAGTAGGCTCTTGTTAAATGGAAATCTTTTAAATGGAACTGCTGGTTAAACGGAACCATTGCCTCTGCAATGTCCACAATGCTTGGTTTCAGGCTTGTATTCTGCACCTGTGTTGACCTCTCAGTAAACGTAAGTCCTGTTATATGAAACATATTTCCTGGTCCCTTCAGGTCTCGTTTACCGAGAGTCTACTGTATACTGCTGTTGTACCAACTCTGCCTTTTTATTCTCGGCACTGTTTTCCAGCTTCCTGAAACTGTACGGATACCAGTTTAGCAAGAAAGACCATGTGGAGCTCATTCAGCTGCTCTTGGCACTCATCGTCATCCCCGACCTGGAGCTGGGGATTGTCCAAAAGCTGGCCCATACTCTCGGTCTACTGCTCAAGTGAGTGTCCTCAATCCAGTCTGCCACTGTATCATAGATCTCAACACTTGCCACTGTTGCTCACCGGCCATGGCAGTACACTGCTTGGCAGGTCTTGGGTTCGTTTCCCTGACACATTCCTAGAGATGTAAAATGCATGCACTCTGACCTACGTCTGCTTTGGTCGTACAGTATCCAGTCATGGCGCTTGGCTGCTAAACCAATGTTTGTGGAATAAATCCCATTCATGGCAGTCAGATTTTGAGTCCTTCACTATGGTATGCCTCGTTCTGACATCTAAAACTCCAGACATTTTTATTTTTATTCAGGTGCATAAGATTCAAAGGGGTTCATACTAAAACGGTCACTGTAGAAGAAAAGAATCGTCCTCACTCTAGGGAATTGTTCTTTCATGGCGCTGCCAAGAGTATGATTCTTTTCATGAAAAGATGCTTAGTAGGCCAAAAAGATGCATGAAGGGAAAATACAGATGATGCTGTTGCTTTACTGTCCCGCACAGACTCGACATGGCGGAGACTTTTACTTGCCTTGAACTTAGTACCCATCTATAGTTTTGTTGCTTTCAACTTCACATAAGTAGAAAAGTGGGTGTTGACTACTGAGAAAATATAAAATTCATAACTGGCAAAAGGGGGGGGGGGGGGGGCTTGCTAAGCTCAAAAGTTTTTAGCAGATAGAGTTTATATAAAATTAAGGCTCATCCTAATGTGTCGTAATGTGCATTTATGTGGGATTTGTATTCTGCACAGCAGCTCTGTCTGTATTCTACATATGTTTTGTAAATTTTGTCGGTGATCACTGGGAATTAGTCTTTTTTTTTTTTTGTATTGATAAGGCCCTGCAATGCCAACCATTAGGCTACTCGCAAATGTAACAAGGTGTCGTGACCTTTCCTGTATTTATATGTATTTCTTTTTGTACTGGTAGCAAGATGGACTTTACCTTGTGTGTCTGCTTCTCTATTATTTTATGAACCGTTTTAGCCTGTTCTGAAGTTTCTTCCAAGTTCTTTGGCAGTTGGCAAGTTTGTTGGCAAAATGTTGTACTGACATTACAGTGACTGGTGCCATCTCTGTCTTTCTCTAGGAAACGTGAACTCCTTTCCCGGGAGGACCTATCTATCGAATGGAGGCCTCTGTATGAACTCTATGAGCGTTTGCTCTACTCACCTTATGAGCATCTGGGCATGCTACTTCTACCTGTGTAAGTCTCAGTAATTGTTCATTTACATCATTGAATGAATACAGTATCTGATCAAATCTGATTATTTACTGATGAAAACTTGACATTAATTAAATGTGCAACAATCAAACCATAGTTGCAGTGATATTCAGCATTACTTTGCACCAGAACTACGTCGTATTTAGTTTAAATGAATCATTGTCTGCTATATGCATCAATCTGTCTGTAGTGGTCAGGTACAACTGCTGCATTGCCCATGGAACAGTGGTCTACGGGTTCTGTAAAATCAGTTGTCTGACATCAGCTTTGTTCATATACGTGTACAGAATATTAGAATGTTACTGTGTCATAAGCCCTTTTGCCAGCCTTTTGCAAACATTGTTTGTCATCTAGCACTCACTTCTTTAACAGTGTACTCTTGATACTGTCAGTTCACAAATGGTAAGCTATATCACTTTGGTTGGTAACTGGGTGAGTTTGTATAGATTAATGGTGAATATAAGCAAGCACAAATACTTCTTTTTGGTCAAGCTGGTTCCTTGTAGAGCAAGGGAGTGACAGCGTGAACACACTCACCCATAAGAGAGACAACAGGCACCCACAGCACTGATGTGTCCATGTCGTGTCTCTTGTAGGTGTGTCCTCATGCTTTTACGGTCTTGCTCATAATATGAGTTAGCGGACCGAAAAACAGACTTAAATATATGTTAGTCCTTGTTTTATTGTGCTGTTTGTTTATATCCACCATTTATCGTCATCACATAGCATTCTTGATTAGAATTCAATTTGTGCAGAGAAAATGGCAGGGGAAGTCGATAACACTTTTTATTTGGCAAACTTCAAAGGGTGTTGGCAGTTTCAGGTTGAACAAGATGAGATAACGGCTTTCTTTTCATGCAGGAACCTCGAGACAAACATCAAGCAGCTGATACGATACTGTCGCACCTACTTCACGGTGGAGTCAACTCAGGAGATGCTTGACGAGTGGGAGCCTCTGATGTGTCCGTTTGATGTGACCATGCACAAGGCCATGGCATACTTCGAGTTATTCCTGCCCACCTTGCTGCCACCTGAGCAGCATGACCAGGGGTTCAAGTATGTGCCTCTTCGTTGTTTGATGCACTGGGCAAACAAGGGAATCCTCAACATGTAGGCGGCGTTCTAACGGGGTTGCAAAGACAAACATGTCTTTTTATTGTGGACACTGCTTCACTTCCTTCACATCATTTAGCTTTCTTTGTAGAGGCTGTCTGAAGTAAAAGTAATTAAATTCACATTTTTAAGTGACTGAACTGTTCCCACTGTCAGAATCGAGTTGCTAATCGTGGTTTTTCTTCTCCGAACTTTCTCATGTGTGCAGACTTTGGTTCGACAAATTTATCGGTCTCTGGGAAAACAGCCACAATTCTCCAGTGTGGGAAAATGTGAGCACATCATTTTTGAGTAGAATGACTATCCAATTTGAACTTCGCCTCATAGGTGTACAAATCCGTTTTTCGTTGCTTTTTTTTTTCTTCCTTTTAGAACCTCGTGTGGCTGTTTGCGAGGTTAGCTCAAAACAACATTGGCTACATCAACTGGGACCCTTACATTCCGACCGTGAGTTTACGTTTTATGTGCTCTTTCAGAATTACTGCTATAATTGTTAGCCTGCATGGGCCACAACTTGAGGGAGATAATTAAACTAAAATCCACTAAAGGATAAATTTGTATTGGGCAAATTTCATCTGTAGAATTAACACACTGCCTGAGAAAACCCAGTAACAAAGCAAATTTCAATCAGAATTTGTCTGCCTGACTAATGTTAGCTACCTAACAAACCAGCTCGTTTTAACAATGCTGCTTTAAAAAAATGAATCACTGGGAACTCAATTTTTCATACCCTATACATTAAATTAAAAAAACAAACAAAAGAAAGTTCATTTATTCATATTTTCTACAAGAAAGCGATGGTAATGGTTTAGAGAAAAGCTCGGATTTTTTTCAAAGCTGGCTTATACATAAAGAATGCTGCTTTGACAATAGTGTGCCATTAGTTGATCACTTTGCTGCAGTGAATCCTATGTTACTTGTTCTTATCTTGCAGACTTTTTGTGTCTTAGCAAAAGTTCATTGATAACAAGGAAGCTATGACCGGTGTTGTATCTATTTGCAGATGTTCACCCGCTTGCTGCGGAGCTTCAACCTCCCAGCTGCATCGGGCAAGGTTCAAGTGAACCGACACAGTAACTCCTATGACAGCACACCTGTTGTCAGCTGGATTGCAGCACTACTGGTGAGAAAGTCATTTGTTTTAGAGCATTATATATACAATATTTAGCACAACCACCACTCCGTTTGTCAAATTTTTTCATTCAATAATAGTCCATTTATTTATTGTGGATATAACAGACTCCAGAGCAACAGTTATCTCAGTGGTTTGTATAAACCTTAATACTGTCTGTCTGCATACACTGCAATTTCCTTAGTTTCATTGCAACATATTTAAGCTTGTACCTGTTGAGTGATTGCAAGGTTTATTTTGATGCAATCATAAATTTCATCAACCTATCAAAAGCGTTAAGGTCTTGCTTTTTCTTTTGTAACATGCAATAAATGTTTGGGCCTTTTGGCGTGCTGAACTGAGATTTTCAACTGCTGTAAATTACTGTTTGATTGGACAATTGATTAGTCATTTAGGTATAGTTGCTGCTGAGATTGTTGCACCGTAGCTATTGCTCAAGACTCGTTTCTAGAAATCATTGGAAGGTTTTCAGACAAGGCTGTGTTGCATTTTTGTTGTGCAATAACGTGACTTTGTCAATACCTGCGGAAACATCATCACAATGCTTGCTATGATATATGTGCTGAACGCAATTTTATGGACCTATTTCTTGATCTTCAGTGACCAAATTAATGGAGACAGAATGTCAAGATGCTGATGTCTCTCAAGACGTAGTAGTAAACAACGTTATTTGGAAAGCCATAGGTGCACACTGAATGACTCCAAATTGTTGAAATTAATTTGGCACCCAGAATGTCAATAACATTCTTATTGATATAAACTTGTCTTGATTGAAATGCTTTACATCAGAACTGAAACGAGAAGTGAAGTTTACAACAGAAGTAGGTCCAGTACAGGCAGTAATTGAGTGAATTATAACTGGAAGTTGTGATTAAATGGCATAATGGAAGTTAGATAAGACTTCAAAGTCACATGATAAGAGTGATACCTAGGGGGAAGGGAGGGAGGGGGTCGTGTAGTTTTAGCATTGCATTCAGTTCAGTGATTGAGCCGTCTTTGATGCTTGAGGGATTAAAAAGTTGACCGGTACTTGTGGTTGGATACAGGGTGGAGGCAGTACCTGCCAGACGTACGTCAGCCACCTGTTCAAGGCTGTTGAGTCCTTCTACCATCCGTCCAACAATGGCCGTTGGGTGGTAAGTGCCTCTTACCAGCTTATATGAAAACATGGGCTCAATGGCACTGTGGCAATGAGTACTGTGCACATTTGTTTGGCACTTGTAAGTCAACATTCTTGGATGCTGGAGCATTGAATGGAGGGAGGGGTAATTATTTCTTATATTGAGTAAACTTGCCAAGCTTAGGAGTATTCGTGCGCAGATTTCAAATATGTGGTCATATTTACAGTAGAGTATGTAGCTTTCAAAATATTGCACGTTTCATGTGCTTTTTGGAATCAAGGATTTCTCACTGATTTGCCACCAGGAAAATCAGCCTATCACAATGATCCCGAGTGAGAACTGTATGCAAGGAGACAAGAATGAATGTTCTAAAGCCGTTTGAACAAAAGTTATGATATTTTGAACACCTGCGAGTCATTCAATGTTAAGTTGGTTTCGAGTCACGAGTTTACAGGCCGTTCCCAGCTTCTATAGAGTTTGCCTACTGTGTGTATGCTTCTTACAGACGAAACTTCAGAGGGTGCTGTACAAGTTGCCTGCTGATGTGGTGCGAAGGCTTCACAAGTACGTTTTGTTACATTCTACGTGTGAGCTCTAATCATTCCATTTAACCCTTCAATGCCCAGCCTTCTCCTTCCTCCCCCCCCTCCCCCAAAAGAAGCAACACCAAAGTTCTCGTTCTTTAGTGGTCACTACGAAATTGTTTTATGTACCCAGTCTTGAACCCTTTCCAAAGCAACCAAGTCTGTAAACGCACAAAATTTTCTGAGCGATATTTCAAGGCACTCGGTATTATGTGGTAACAAAAATATAAAAACATGTTATTTTTGTAGTGATTAATTCTAATAAATGTAAACAATAATTCTGATGTAATTCATGCTTAATTTTTTGCATTAATAGAATTAAATTTTATGCTATAAACATTGTGCAAATTCATTTCAGCTATAAGTTTCATATTGAGGAAGGAAAAATTATAATTTTGAAATAGCTCTTAATATATGGCACGTCAAACACTGTAGTACCTTCAGCAAAATGATCATATATGACTGTACACTGCAAAATGATATTACATGACACATTTATTATACAGGAGGATTCAATTCATTTAAGCCTCAATCTATATTTCACTTTTCTACTCTCTTGTCGGCACCTCTAGCAAAAATAAGCAGTGTACAAATATGTGTATAGACATCCTAAAGAGTCAACAAACTTTCTACTTGTTTTGTAAGTAAAGCTGCTACAATGGCTAGTTGATTCAACTTCATGGCTTATTTGTGTACCTGGAACTAGACAGAAGGACAAAAAAACACACATAGGGTGATAGATGTTGATGTTCATTTAGTTTTTGGCAGCGCGAATAAGCCATTAGTACCTCCTGTATTGTAAAATATGCGTGAAGGGGAAGGTTGATCAGAGGTGAAAAAAATGACATCAAAATTTTACAAGCTATTGTTATTCATAGCTTTGTTTTAGTATTCTGTACTTGAGCACTGTATTTTGAGCATTTTTTCACTGTGTGACGTAAACATGCAGGGAGCGCTACAGGCCACCCTCGTGGGAGCCGATTCCTCCTGAGTCGCACCGCTTGACCGACGCAGACGTGACAGCATTTGTGGAGAGCGTTCAACCCGTGGTTCTGCTCTCCATGTTTAGCAAGGGAGGCAGCTCGGGCGCGGCCGTGGCTCTGCAAGATCTGGCCCTACTGCGGCCCGAACTGGTCATTCCACCCGTGATAGACAGGCGAGTGCTTTCCAGTGCGAAGCTGAATTCACACGATTGTAGCCGTTCCAATGATTCTGCTTCTACGGAAATGCGGTGCCACTGCAATACTCTCATTAAATGGAACATGAAGAGACTAGGCAAAAAATTAGAAGATGCCTGGAGTCTTCGATTCTCGTTGCATGCCTCTGCTGGGCTGCAACAAACGTCTGTACACTTAACATTGGCCATATCAAACTACATATCCTAAAATGCCTATTGTAAGCGCACTTGCCAAGAGGCCACTATGCCATAATTAATGCTTTTGCAAATCGGCGAAGGGCCCACTATGTGTCCTTGAGACAACACACAAAGCTATGCAGCTGCGCACTTTGTTGATGCTTTTGTTGGTGATGATTCAATATGTTTAAGTACTTTGTAATGATGTGTGCACACTCATTGCACAATTGACGCGTTTTCATGCCTGGTGCACTTCTATGCTTCTACCATGCATTATTACACGCGTTCAGGAGACACCTTTTACTACAAAATATTCATATACTTTTTTTTTTTTTTTCAGAGCAGTTTTAAGCAATGGCATGGCTTTGTAATGAAACATCTGCTTGCCACGCTGAAGGCGTAAGGCCTGATTCTCAAGCAAATCGAAGATTTCTATTATTGATTTTATTTCGCAGTTTTCTCGATCAACCACTCAAGGACAACGCTGATTTTTTGCGTGCAACCACTCACTCCAACACTGGAATTTCGGCGAAATTAGTTCTTAATCTTCCGCATTAAAATCTGTTCTGTTTTGCAGGATTTTCATGAATCATGAACTAGATATGAACAATGGTGCAAAATACAAGTATGACACCAATCATGTTTGGGGCAGTTGTTTCATTTAAGCAGCAATGCTGTTTAAGAAATTTCAATTTACTGAGAGTCTACTGTACTTGTACAAGTTTTCTAAGATTTTCTGTGCCACTATGTGAATGTGCAAACAATAAAAACTTTGGCTGATTGGAATTGGCAATATACTCAAACCTTCATATAACAAAGCTGAATTCTACAGGAAAATAACTTCATTATATCTAAAAATTCATTATAAAGGTATAATCCTAAAGCTACAGCTATTGCTAGCCTATTCATTTGCTTTGTTACAACCCATATTTCATTATATCTGAGTTCGATATATGGAGGTCTAAGTGTAATGCAAGCAACAAAACTGCAATAGAATAAATGTTTCTTTTCAGCACACATGTTGCAAGATTTAGCAACACACAATTTGAAATCTAAATTACAAGTAAAAATTCCATCTGAGGTCAAAACTACCATATTAGGATTCAGAGAGGGAGTGACACAGGGAGCGGCTGGGGTTCTGAAGTCTTCTCAGGAGCCGCATGATACTGACATGTGGGCTGCAGGTTGCCGAACTCAAACTTATGACAGTGGGCTCATACGAACAAAGCATTGTTTTATTTAAGCCAGGCTTTTTTTGGGGGGAAGGGGGGGGGGGAGGGCGGGGGGCTCTTTTAGTGTCTGGCTCAGTTGGCATAGCCAATTACAGAGACATTGTGCGTAATCAAAGGTAATGGTCATAAGTTATTGACCTGGTAGCAGTGCCTGATATTTCTGCTCAATTTAGTAGTGCAACATGGTCTGATTCTAAAGGCAATTTAATATTGCAACACCAGCAGACGTCATAGTATGTACTGCTTGAGTTAAAAAATAAACAAATGGCTTATCAAAGATAATCTTCTGGATATCTGTCACTTGAAACAGACGGTAATCTTCTGGTGATTCAGTCTTCTTTTTTGAGAAACTAGACTAGTGACAGTGCAGAGTTCCACTCGGCCACCCTCATACACATGGCATGGACGTGCCCACAGTACGCTGACGCTTCTCACACAGAAGATACATGGGGGTCCCTTCTGCATATCACTGACTCGGCACAGCAACGCTGGGTAATCTCGCGTGCATTGGAGGCTGCGGTGTCCCAAGGGATCCCCGCTGACCTCCTCTAAGCAGCGTTACCGACCTCTCGGCCGGTCCCCTCTTTTGGGAGTAATAAAGTTTTGGTCATCATGATCTACTATAGGCTTTCATTTAATGGAACCTGTAAAAACCAGAAAGTTGTGTTTTGTTTAACAGAAGTTTCATTTACTGAGAAATGAAGAGGGGTGGAGAATACCAGTACTAAACCAATTGCATCAGAGACTGTTGTTCCGTTTAATAGATTCCATTTACTGAGAGTTCACTGTATATTGAGTAGTCAGAACCACAGGGTGCAATCATACATGTTATCGTTGAGAGATTGAGAATTCATGATATAGGCTTTGTTCTTATGTCATTCATCTGTCAGTGCTATCGAGCTAAGGAGTGTTATTGTTTTTTTGGTGCTTAGGTTGTACTCTTCCCTGGAGACTCTGACGGAACCTCACCGCCTGACAGCAGCGATGCACTGCGTGTTGGCAGTAGCACGCAGCCTCGTACAGGGGGGTCGCTTCTTTCCCGAGGGCCCCTCCCATGTGGTACCCCTGCTCAACAGCTGCTTGCCCGGCATCGACCCCAACGACATTCGCAAGTGCATCGTAAGTGCCGTGCCTTCTTTGATCGAGTGTGAGGGTGTTGGTTCAATCCCCAGATACACAGACCACATTATCATGGGGACTCGAGGAAAAAGTTCAACCATTTAGTCTGGTGTTGTGAGACCATGGGAGGTCGTGGTATGACTAGGCAAAACATTAGGCATGACCACCATTTTTATTTATACTTTTTTGTTCTGGCATTGTCACATTGGGATTTGCAGACTCGAACCAATGGGCTATCATGAAAGTGTGGTGCTTGCTTAATTGTTGCAAGGGCTTTGTTTCCTCTTATATTGAGTACAGTGAAGTTTGTGCTTTCCTTTTAGAGGCACAGCATGCGCATTGTGACAAATTTCTGGCACAGCTTAGCGCTAGTCATGTGAGTGATATGACAGCAGGCAAGTATGTGGTGTGTCTTGATGACATTGCATGCATCATAGAGGAGCTTTTCATAATAAGAGAGAAGGGCTTTGATGGCGTCTTGCTGCTGCTGCAGTGAGTGAGCTGAAAGTGGGGTGAATGGCTGAAGTCGGCCAACTATTTTTTTGACGAGTGCTTAGAAAAACATAACTGCTTACATTTCAATGAATCACAGCTAGTGTAGTATGGCCATTGAAAGAAACTCGGAACTGTTTGCGGCGCCTATTTATTCCATGCATCATTCTAGACTTTCATGTTGTTGACTGCATCAGGCCACCTACCATATTCCAGAGCTTTTCTCTCGCCATGCGGTAAAAGTGAGAAAACATTTGCTTTAAGGAGGGACACTGCTCTTAATATTTTTTTATTCCTTAAGTGGTATTGATGAAAGTTGGGGAGTTTATGTATGAGTGAGTGAGACAACTTTATTGACGATCCGGCATAAAGGGGGAAGGGGTAGGGGGATTAAAGCGAGACACTAGCGTGCTTGGACGTCCTGGAGCAGCAACCTACTCGCGTCAAACCCGTGGGGGCGCCGCTTTTGGCCGCTGGCGTTCCAGGATGCTAAGCACGTGCTGGACCACGTCCCTTTGATTGCCTGGCTCTCGGCTGATGATTTTGCTGCTTATGGCAGTTGGCATTACTTCTTGGTTACCCGGCGGTGGTGCACAGTCCCACCGCCTCTCCGAGACCTACAACGCAGAGAAGCAGCCACACTACGGCAGCTGCAAGTACAAGCAATATGGACCCCCGTCTGGGCAAAGCACGTTTGCCCGGAGGTTTACACCACTGATGTATGCCAACACTGCAAGAAGGCGCGAGCCACCCAGAGACGCCTCCTTTGGGAGTTTATGTATAATTGTGCACTGATTTCAAATGTGCAAATATTTTTCTAGTGTAATGTGTAGTTTGTAAAATGCAAAATATTCCAGGAAACTTTTTTATGAGCAAGATTTTTTTCTAAAATGAAAGTTCAAAAGTGCAACAGCACAACACAATCATCTGGAATTAGAACTGTGTGCAGTGCAACGAATATCGATGTGCTAAACTTGTTTGAACAAAAGCTATGGTACGTTGAACAGTTGCAAGTGAGTCAGTTTCAAGCTGGAATTCAGTAATGAATGTTCAACATACCATAACTTTTGTTATAATAAGTGTGTAAGATCCATTTCTTCCACTTCACACAGTTCTGGTTTTAGAATATTGTGATGTGGTGGTTTACTTTGTGACTCTTCTCGGTTCAAAAAAAGTTTTGCTCCTAAAAGACACATAAAGTATTCTATATTTTAAGAACTACACGTGCTCGCAAAATATAATTGCGCATTTGAAATTAGCACCCAAATATACCGAATCTTGTCAAGTTTTATCAATATCTACCAAAAAATATAACATTTTATGTGCCATGTTCCCCCTAAACTGGCAAGGGATTCAGACTTTTGTATAAATTGTTTTGTGTTAGTAAATGAAATTGTGGACCTTTGCAGGTGACATTCCAGTTCATTTCAACATTTGCCACCCTCGTTCCGCTGGTGGACTGCTCCAAGGCTGTGAACATTCGCACGGACCTCACTGAAATTGAACAGGAAGTGTGCCTGGCCACTGCGGGCTTTGAAGACTTTGTGCTACAACTGATGGAGAGGTGCTTTTCACTGATTGAGAACAGCAGCCTGGAAAATCCAACGAGACTGGATCGGGACACGGACAAGATGAACACTGAGGAGAACATTCTGGAAGTGGGCCTCTCCTCCACCTTCAGCAGCATCCTCACACAGTGCTCCCCCGACATTTTCAGGGTGAGGCTTGATTACACCTCAGCTGCAACTAGTGAGGAGAATGTGGTTCTTCAAAATCTTTTTCAATTCGTCATCGAGTGAGATGAAAATTGCAGAGTTTACGTATATTTGCGCAAATATTTCGAATATGCAGTTATTTTTCCTGCTGAGCAAGCCCCCTCTTCCCTGTTAAAAAATAATTTGACAAGATTTGGAGGAGGGTTCTTGCTCACTTGTGAACTAAAATTCAAGATGGCGGTGGAGAAGCCTATAAAATTTCTAAGGAAATGCTTTATAAAATATGCATGTATTTACTGTTCTTACTGATTCGGGGAAAATCATTGCATAAAATTTAATGCGATATGACGAGGGGGAAAAGAAGTTCTTCAAGTGTTGAACAACCTGTGATAACTCAAAATGTAACCCCAAGCCACTACATTGTAAAGAAGGCTCAAGAAATTGGGCAGATAATATTGGGCATAACTAAAGACTCTCGGAACTAGGGTTCCTAAGAACCGCTGCGGCAAGATTCTGTAGTGAACAGGCTTGGGGGGGTGCTGGATACTTGGCACATATTTTTAGGTTCGTTCAATTTCGCCTGCACCACGTGAACTAGTTCACGAGGTGCTGCACTTTGCCATTCGTTTCAGTGGTGCAGCATTGATGACCTCGGAACCCTACCATAAGTTTCGAAAGGTGCGGAAGAGGTGCAGCACTGGTTCGCGATATTCCGGCACCTCCTAAGCTGATGGTGCCGGCTCAATGCAGCCGCGTGTGCAGTTGAGCAGACAACGCAGCACTTTGGCGTAGGTGCCGTACCAGTCTCCACTGACGCGACATGTTTTGCTAAGGTGTTAGCATATCATAAACTGCACACATGTGCGGTTTGCGTCAGTCAGTGTTAGCTGAACGGTGTAAACTAAGCGAATAGAATTAAGGCCTGCACTTTGTCAGCACATCTTCATTCGTTTTGGGTGTCGCACTGTGCTTGCACCACTGAACTCGCGCTGGACAATTTCTGAACTTCACGTGCACAGCTGTAAACCGGTTCCTATTGGTACAGGTGAATAGAACGGATCTATAATGAAAAGGGGAACGAGGCAGTTTCTCGGGATATTACAGTAGTAAGGGGATGTAGGTCTTTTTAATTTTTTGTAAGTCTTTGTTAATTGAGACAAAGCTTACAGCTTACTGAGCTTACGTATACTTGTGCAAGGATTTGAAATATTCAATTACCTTTCTAGTATTTTTGAAAATCAAATGTTTAAATTCATTCAAGCAAAAGTTACATGTTGGACATACTTGAGTGAGTCTTCATAGCGATGGGATATCAGTGATAAATGCTCAACATACCTTAACTGTTATGGTATGTTGAAAAAGCACTTCGGAGGAAAATGCAGACTTTGATCTATCAGTGTAGCTGATTATGGAAAACCTCAGCCTGGAGTTAGCATATTGGCCCATACATGGTGGCATGTGGCATTACGCATGTGGCGCGACAACGTCAAAGGGAACTTACTTGATGGTCAGTTGAGCTTTCGATCAAATAGAGCTTTCCTGATGCACCTAAGTAATTTCCTTTATTAAAGTGTCAGCCACTGATTCAGATTTTTTTTTTCATGTGTTGGCAGATGCCATTTACGCTGCTCTGATTGTAATGGGATCGGCACGGCGACTTGTGTTCTTTTACAGGCTGCCCTGGAGAAACTGCATTCCTTTGTCTCCAACCGAATCTTGGAGACCCGTGTGTCTGGCCGCTACGTTGCCAATTTGTGCCGTTGCATGGCTCGGGTGAGCTTTTCTTGCTGCAACTGCAGCTTTCGGTTATGTGAGCTCTCAATATATCTGTATGTCTATCCGCAAGTTGCCTGAACATTTCCACTTCACTCTTAACAGGTGTAGGACAGAAATTTGAAAAATTTTAGCTTATGAGAATATCTTTTGGAATAGTATTAGCATTAAAGTCAAGCCAGGTACCTGTCACCATCTTGCAAGCAGTTTAATCGTAAAAGTTCTAAACGTGCATTAGTTGGTGACATTACTCTCTGTTTGTTTTTAATTCTTAAAAAACTTCAGCACACAGGTGGGGAATGACAGGAAAGAGGTGGAAAGAAGGCTGTGTCAGCTTGCATCGTCACGTTTTTTCTTTTCATTGAACGTATTGCCTCACTTCTGGTGTAATCATGAGGGTACGAGTCTATCTGTAGTCTTCAATTCTAACTCTATAGAGTGCTGTGCTTGTAGGTGGGAGCTCTCCAAAGCGTCCACAGTAATTATGCAGTGCATGAATGATATAATGTAGCCGGCCCCATCTATCGTGGAATACCTTATACTTGGCTAACGTGGTTGCTTGGGCGAGTTGGTACGACATGATTCACATAAAAAACAGCTCCAATAACGAGAGACTAGAATACTTGGCTCACATATTCACAGCTGATCACCTGCATTTTTTTACCATGTTCAAAAGTGTTGCAGGAGGACCTTTTTAGAGGGCCAACACCCCATTTTCAGTGGTTATCAGTGTTATGTGGGCCAATCCTTCTGCATTCACAAACAATTTAATGAAATTTTAGCGCATTTAGCCAAGCTTTAAAATTATAGTTGAATATTTTGATAAAAACGAGAGCAGTCGGAGAGTTAGATAACAGTGATACACTTGGAAGTCTTGACATAACAGGCTGTTTGCTTTGCTAGCACCTACATTCCGGCAAACGAGTTTGTTTTATTTCGTAGTCAGCTGCTCATGTAGTCGAGCTATTTCAGCTTCCTTCATCCTGTCATCTAAACTGAACGATTCGCAGAGGCTGAAACTGTGGTAGAAGACGAACAGTGCCGCTTCACGAGCACATGTCGCACAAGCCGTGGCAAAATGGCCGTGACCAGTGGTAGGCAGGTTTTTCAGACGCTTACTTCCGGAGCTCGTCTTGCGCTGAAATATTCTTTTATAGTTCATTTGTCATATATGTATTGGCACAAAAGACACTCTGCTCCTATTTTTCACAGAAAACTTCAAATTGTTGGCTGACCGTGTCAGGGCATTTTAACATGAACTGTTTTCTCCTAATATGTTGCGCATTTTTATGTCTGGGCTTAATTCAGGTCAATCCCAACCTGGCACTGGCCACATTTGTGCCACACTTCACCAAGCTGGTCATGGCACTGACCAAATCTGATGAAGTGGCCACAGAGGAACTCCTTGACGACGAGCTTCTCTTTCACCTGCTATTGCTTTCTGAGGTAATGTTGTAGACCGTGTTAATGTTAACTGTTGTGCAAATTTTAGCTTCACATTCAGAAAAAAAAAAGTGTTTGAAATAAAAAAAAAATTCGTAGTGTGTGTTTTAACAACCCATGTCCGAGTGATCATCTTCGCAGTTACTCGCGCCCATCACATGGGTGCCTCTGAAAGTACCAGAATAAACAGCTAAGTGATTAAATAGAAAATTTCTGGGCAGTTCATTATAGTATTCCTCTGTCATTTACAGATATGAGTAGGCGTCTGCCTGATAAGCTACCTCTACTGTGTGAAAAAGTTCTGTGCAGTAATATCCTTAGCTGCAATAGTCACATGCATCCATAGGTAATCTTGAGCAGTCCTCTGCATTTATGTATATAACCTAGCCAAATGTACAGTGTAAGGTGAAAGTGCGACACTGGTTATGTAAGTCATAAAGCAAAACCACCATTACTGCCCGACATTTTTAATGCCTTTGTCAAGATTGTTGTATGTAATTAGTAGTTCTCATTGGCAGGTTAGCATACACTGTTAGCCAAAGAACACCTGCACCTAGTGCACCTCATGAACCAAAGCCAAAGAACACCTGCACCTCATGAACCTATATAGAAGCCTCATTCGCACCCGCTTAGATTATGGGGCTGTTGTTTATCAGTCTGCGACTCAAAGTGCTTTGAAGATGCTGGACCCCGTGCACCATTTGGGCATCCGCCTTTCTACGGGTGCTTTTCGCACCAGCCCCGTAGAAAGCCTTTATGTTGAGTCAAATGAGTGGTCGCTTCATCTGCAGAGAACTTACATGTCCTTTGTTTATTACCTTAAGGTGAAAGCAGACAAGAAGCACCCCTCATACTCTACTATTAATGATTTGTCGAGCTCAATTTTGTTTCAAAACAGGCCTTCGATGAGGCAGCCCTTTTCTATTCGCCTGAAGAGTCTAGCTGAGGAAACTGGAATCTCACTAGAACACAGTTTAATGGCTCCTGTAGCATATCCGCCACCGTGGCAATGGCAGACTATAGACTGCGATGTGTCTTTCCTAGAAGTTACAAAACATGCACCTGTTGCCCATATACGAACATACTTTTTGGAACTTCAACACAAATACACATGTCCTGAGTTCTTCACAGATGCCTCCAAGACTAACTCCTCTGTGTCCTACGCTGCTGTAGGCCCATCCTTTTCGGATGCTGGTCCACTACATCCACGCACAAGTATCTTCACAGCGGAAGCGTACGCGATACTTGTGGCAGCTAAACACATCAAACAATTACAAATACAAAAAGCAGTTATTTATACAGACTCCCTGAGTGTGGTAACGGCTCTGCACAGTCTTAAAAAACAAAAAAACCCAGTCCTTGCCTCACTTTACTCTATTTTATGCACACTTTACACACTCAAACAACATGTTGTAGTGTGCTGGGTGCCAGGGCACCGTGAGATTCAAGGCAACGTGAGGGCGGATCAGCTCGCTGCATTCGTGCACAAAAGCACTGCCCGTACACCCATATCAATCCCGGCCCTCGATCTTAAACCATCTCTCAAACGAAACCTCAGAGTATACTGGCAGAGCAAGTGGGATACACACACACAAAACAAACTACACGTTATTAAGCCACACCTTGGTCATTGGCCGCCCGCATCGAAATCGCGTTATACAGAGGTGATACTAACGAGACTCAGGATAGGACACACATACACGACACACACACACCTTTTGTCCGGTGGCGATCCACCATTGTGTGACAGATGTGGTGAAGCATTGACAGTCCTTCACATTTTAATTGAGTGCAAACAATTGGACACTGTAAGAAAACAACACTTTCCATTACCCTACCGACAACATATACCTTTACACCCTGCAATGTTTGTCGGTAGGGAACCGCTTTTTAGTTATAAATCATTGTTAGCGTTTTTAAAAGAAATTCATAGCTTTCATGTCATATACCCGGGCATACCGTAGCATGACCTCTCCAGAGAGGTTTTTGCTGTGGTGGCTACACAAGAAAGCACATGCCTCACGGCCCTTGGACGCAAGGGTATGAACGAGTGAGGCACTTGTGCTAATGCCATACATATGCACCATCGTCTTTTATTATCACCAACTTTTGTCATCTATTCACATCACACACACCTTTCACCGCATGGTCATGATTTTATTACTTGTATGTTTTTACCCGCCTTACTGCGAGGAATTTAAGGCCCTTATACAGCCGCTTATCACAATCATTGTCCATAATTTTAGTAAGATGAACTGGCGCTCTTTGGCCGTGAAATGGCCCTTGCGCCATAAAACATCAAACATCATCATCATCATCATAGTCTCAGTAGCGAGGGCACCACCGCCTCGCCAAGAGAGTGGCAAATGTCCTTCTACATTTCACCGGCGCTACATAACTACATCTGACAGGGTAAACAACCTGAGGTAACTAGCTACAGACGATGCATATCTCAACTGCTGTAAAAGCAGGAAGTCGAAAAAGCGATTCAAAAAGTAGTGCGCATGTCACGCACCAAGCTTTCAAATCTCACTAAGAAGATTCTACTCGTACCGGGAAGCCTCATATGCTGACCTCAAACATTAGCGACGCTTTGTGAATGGAACAGTGGGAACTCTACGAGTGGGAATCGCAGGATGCTCGTGCTATGCAGTTCCTAAGGTTTCCCAGCAGTGGAGCTGCCATATGTTTTAGGGGTGAAGTTACCTCAGGTCGAGGCTTGACCGTTTGCAGTGTTAACGTGCACCGTAGCCGTGGTGATGATGATGATGATGAAAATGATGCCGATGATGATCATGGACGACAGGCTTGTGCATTATATGACATCATGATATGCTCTAAGATGCGTTTGGCTGGAAACAACCAACTGCCAGGAGAACGGGCACAGACATAGTCTTTGCCAACTTCAGGCTAAGATGCCATACCACAAGGCAGCAATAATGAAGGCAAAATGAAACTCGCAACTCAACACAACATACTATTTATGATCAATAAACCTTGTATATAACTGTACGCCACATTGTCACTTATTTACATGGCCCCGCCGCAGTGGTCTAGTGGCTAAGGTACTCGGCTGCTGACCCGCAGGTCGCGGGGTCGAATCCCGGCTGTGGCGGCTGCATTTTCTATGGAGGTTAAAATGCTGTTGGCCCGTGTGCTCAGATTTGTGGGCACGTTAAAGAACCCCAGGTGGTCGAAATTTCTGGAGCCCTCCACTATGGCATCTTTCATAATCATATGTTGGTTTTGGGACGTTAAACCCTACAAATCAATGAATCAATCAATAAATCACTCACTTATTTACATGCATGAGTGCTCAGTGTCATGGGTGTTTATGGTGACACCAAATGATCCTACTGCTTTGCCCACCCATCGTCATTCACTTCTTGGATATGTCGTGATTTTTGTTCTGTGTGATGCAGATTGTGCGCTGTAATGGTAAAGAGTTGATTCCGCACTTGTCCTCGCTACGAGATGTGCTTCGTCGAACGCTGCACTTGTCATCACGGAGGGGCTACCTGCTGGCTAGCAGCCTGCTACGGAACATCCTGCGGGCTTGCAGTTTGCTCTTCCCCCTCGACTACCGCATGACCGCAGTGCCATGGGAGCAGTGTCTCAACTTTGCAGAGTACTTGCCTATCAGGGTGCGTGTTTTGTTTTTCTTTTTAGGGGTGGATGAAAAGCAAAGTTGAGGTTCCCAGCGAATTCAAAGTGAATGAGTGATTTGGTCAAATCAGTGCTAAATATACATACAGGTAAACATGCTTATAACGAACCTTCATGTAACATATTCCTCAATATAAAGAAGTTTTTCTACTCCCTGCCATTGCTCCATGGAAGCACGTGTATTTATATACCACATATTACAAAGAAAAATAATCATTTTTGGCATGACCGAACTAACACAATATTTTTAATATTCAGAAGTAGGCAGGTGCAAATTTCACTTTTTTGATTCAAAATAAAATTGAAGCAACATGAGATGGTCAAAATTTTTCAGCCATTTCCTGCAGCGTCCTTCAAATTTATGTTCTGGTTCTGGGACATAAAATCTCAGCAATCACCATTAAGGCTCGTGAGTGAACAGAAAGTTATACTGCTTGTATTGAGTTCACCTGTAACAATGTGATGCTGGAAAAACGTTGCGATGTGGTAGTTTTCGTGGATGGTTGCTTGCAGGAGTGGGGTCGAGCAGGAGACATCGACCATCTGGACATCAAGTGGCACGTCCCGTCCAGTGAGGAGTTGGCATGTGTGCAAGACCTGCTTGAAACCTTCCTGCAGCCAGAACTGCAGGCATTGCTCGGGTGGAGTCGGGGAGAGCGCACTCTGTCCAGGTGTGTCTCTCTCTCTTTCATCTATACAACAGGGTGGAAAGGAACTGATATTTTGTATTGGTGGTCACACAGGCTACTTTTACATGCGAGCATTATTGATCCAGATCACCTTTCTTGATCGCCATCAGCAATCGTCACAGCTACATGATCCAGACTGGATTGAGTTTGGCACCAACATTGCCCAACTCATAATCTGGGAGCCCAATCGCAATGCACAGATCAGGACTGTCTTGGCTTTAATCAGGCCTGCTCACAGTTAAAAGTGGACCTGTAGCACTAACTTATCTAGTGATCCTAATCTCGATCTTCCCTGAATGTGATACACAACTTGTTTTTCACTTTTTATTGTTACCTTTTCTGCTGGTTCTAGTATCATTCATCTTTTGTAGAATTTTGATCGTATTAATTGTATGTTCCACATTGTTCTGTTCTTGCATATAATATTTTACTTCTTCATGTGAATTTGGGTTTATACCTTTGGTGCATAAAATTTTTGTAAAGCCCCCTTACTCAATGCCCATGTGGCAATGTAAGGTATTTCAAATAAAACAAAAGTGCCTGTGGGAGACCAGTATTATAATTTTGATTCGTTTTCTAGTCTTTTGTTTATCTGACTGTTTTTTTAAAATTTGCAGCTTTTCTTGTGAGGTTGAAATGGCCTAAAGAAGGGATTGCTAGTACAGTTGTAAAAACATACAAAAAGGGCATTTATTGTTCCTTACATTCAAGCAAATTTCTCAACATAGAATCGCCAAATGATCAAGTTTCATCTTGCTGAACAGTGATGGTGAATGTTTGTCCATACTAAACATTGAGGCCTATCTATGCTGTTTGGTGGAATGGCGTTGCAAACCGATAAACTTAGGCAGAGCCACATTCTCAGCTGTGGTGACGATAAATTCACACTTAGTTGAATGCATTGGCTTTAATTTGTTTGATTTGCTTTAGTACATGTATTGACTAGTGATACCCTGCTTGTTTACCCGCTCCTTCATTGTGTGGAAGCATTTTCAAGTCCCCTGCAACTTACTTTTCATTTTTTTTAATCTCTCAATTTTTTTTTCCAGAGAAGAGGTTCAGCGCAGCCTCAACCTGGTCCTAGACTGCATTTTGGGAGCAGGGCTTGCGCTACCACTGTGGCCTGGGGAGCCTGTCAACTTGTGAGCTTTCAATTAATTTAATTTTATATCTTTGCCAAATATATGTGTGCCTATCTGCACGTATACGTGTGTTTAGAGGGGGGCAGCTATGCCAGTGCCTACTCCACTTACATTGGGTTGCACAATCTTCGGTGCATGACTTTGCTCAAGTTTGACCTACGCCTCAGCTGATGTCGGGCCTGCTTCAGCTGTAGGCCTCCTCGTGAGGCCTTGTAACCACAGTGCCACTGTTGCGGGAATGGTTCAGTTATTACTGCGGTGCATGGGTGAGATGGTAAGGACAATCAGAATTCGCCTTTTTTGCCGTTTTGGGGACTCGAACTAACAATCTTTGAATTCTGTTGGTGAATTTTTCATTTTTTTGAGTTAATTGCAGTGTACACCATGATTACTATGCTAGAGTTAAAGACAATGATGAACGTCCGCTATGATTTTATTGGCCTAATAGTCTGTTGAGTTCATTTGGCTGCATCTAACAAATGACTGAACCCTTCATAAAAAAAATTCATGTTGTTTGAATTAACCATAAGAGATCACAAGACAGAGCAAGCCATTACAATGGATACCACCAAAGCTAGCCAACACCGTCATAAAATGTAGCCTTGTCTACCGTGGCACCCATAGCAGCATCTTTTGCTTCTACAGCAAACTTTGACATAAGACCTGTAGGCATTAAATAATAATAATAAAAAAAAACTGCTAGAAGACACTAGTAGCTTATCTTGATTCTTATTATACTGTTCGACTAAATATGGAACATTTGCCTGTCCTCTTTCTTCCTGGCAGGTTTGGCTCAAAAGTTCCTGCTTACTTTGAGTACAAAGTCTTTCTAGGAGTACCATGTAAGTTGTTAACCATATTTCTCAAGTCCCCATCTTAGTTATTCATTGCCTATTGTAGAGTTTAGTGGCATAGACTGCTTTTAAGTGGGAATGTAGAAATGTTACATTCATGTACTAAACAAGCCTAATTATTATTTTTTATTAGATCACTGGCCTTTTTTGTCAGTAGAAATCTTACACAGCAATTATGTCATTTCTTTTTTATTATGAAGCTACAGTCGACGTCTGATTTCTCGAACGCCTGAAATTTCAAACATGCCTGATTTCTCGGACTCATCTGTGGCCCCGTCGAATTCCTTGTAGAGTCAATGTATTAAAAAGTCCAATATTCCGGACGTTTGTAGCTTTTGCCATCCGATTTTCCAGACTTTTTACCGCTAATCGCAGACTCGAAATCACTATCAACGCCGCCATTTTGTTTGTTTTCGTACCTTTGAACTCACCGCACCATGGCTGCGGTACCCTCAAAACTGCGAATGCCGCAATCCAGCGCACACCAATCTGTTGCTAGCCATAGCTTATTCAAACCTGTGGCCACAGCCATGCCACAGCCGCATGGTGCTGTGCAGCCTGTGCTCCTGTCCTCCGACAGTGGGAAAAGCTACGCTGTTGATCTATGAACTGCCGTCGGCAAGCTTGCGTCGTGGAAGGCGGTTACGCAACGGACCCTGCGAAACTGTTTTCGCCATGCGAGCTTCCTACTGGACGCCGAGACGACAGTCTCGCCCGGAGTGGGCAGCATGTGCGACGAACTTCCACCCGCAGACATTGCCTTGGACGATCTGCACGCTGCCAGTTTTTCGATTTCAGCCGGGATAACCTTTGAGGGCTTCGCTAACGCTGACAAATACCTCGAGCTGTGTGCAGAATTGACCGATGACGATATCATTCAGGTTACTTCCAACGCCTCTGACACTGAGATAGAATAGGCAGCACCTACACAGCCAATGAGCTTGGAGTTGACGCGAACACTGACGCTGTCATCGGGTTCACCATCGATGTACAGCGACAGCATGACGTTAGCTGAAATTATTGCAGACATCACCCCGGCCAGTGGAGTGCCGTGGTAACAAAAATAGGCTACTTTTGTGTCCCCCCTTCTGCTCCCCCCCTGCCTAAGTGTTTACAAATGCAGCATCAATTTTTTCCCCTTTTTTTCTTTCATATTTTTGTTTTCTAAAATATAAACAGATCTTTTCAGAGCCCGTAAACAATGCATTTGCTGAATTGCAATGAGAATCCTGTACTCCTGCCGTGATTCTCTCTGTCAGCAAAAAATACCTATTAAAAAAGTGTGTTTTCAATTGCATTCGTTTTTTCAGTCTGTTCGATTTTCTGGACGTTTTCGCGATCCCTTGAGGGTCCGGGAAATTGTACGTCGACTGTATTTCTTTGTTGAATGGAATGTGTTTTGAACAGCCTTGTGCATTTCTGTTTCTATAAATTGCTTACAAGAAAATTTTTGGACTTTTCATCTATTCATCTTTTCATCTGTCGCATGAACAGTTTTATTCGCACAATTTTAGAGGTAGTGCTGATTTAAGGAGAACAAAAAGCTCTGTATTAAGGTGCATGCATATTTTTATTTAAATTGAATACAGTACTGTATCACTGTATTATGATACAATTACAATTTGTTAAGTGTGTTTTATACTCTGTCATGAATTATTTTCTCACGTTAGGCCTCGTACACAACCAAGCTGTAGATTTACTGGTTTCAGTCTACAGTATTTACTAATTCATTGCATGTGCGAAAATAACAGCGATTCTCAGTTTTCAATATCTTTTCTCAAGGTGTACAGGTAGTATTCTTGGTACACTTGACACTATTTTGGAAAGCTTTTGCTCTATTAACTTTACTATATATGCATTGGCAGTTGTAGTAACGTACAAATTAAAGAGATGATAGTTGTAAAGTAATGATTAGAGTAACTTCTATCACCAGAAATATTTTAACAGCCAAAAATAATAAAAAAAATTTGAGGTGGTGTTTAAAGCAATAAACTCTCATTATAAACATGTTGCTTTCAGTCAATTATAAATGTAGTAAACACATTGATACTGTCGGCATTTGTGGGCATCTTAGAATACGTACTATAATGATACTGTGGGCATTTGACAATACATGTAATGAAGCTTTCTTTACAGTGCATGTGGCTTCATTTAAGGGGAGACGCGGGTCGAAAAGTCGCGTTTTTTTTCCAAATTTCACCTTTTCTGTTTTTTGTTGCTTTATCATCTTTATACATTATATTTTGACATCTGAAAATATCACAGCGAAATAAGCATCAGAAGTCAGTGAAAAACGCGTCTGAGTGAGCGGCAGTGACGCGCGGCATCACGAAATTTACACAAAACGGGCTGCTGTTCGCGTGCTCGCGGGGCCGCGAAGAGAGCTGTCCGCCATATTGCGGCCGCTGGCTCGTGTAGAGTTGTCCTTACTCTCCACGATCCCGGTTCTTGAAGTCTCGTACGTTCACGAAAAATCTAAAAAAAAAGCAACAAAAACAGTCTTTTCCCGCCGTTTCAAACCGCGCGCCACTAACGCAGGGCCGCCATTGGCTGACAGCACCCGTGTTTTCTTGCCGTAGTTCGCTTCACTGTTTTCCGGAGTTATTTTTCGCTGTTTTCGTGCGATGGCAAGCCCGAAAAAGGCCGTTGCCGACCATCGGAAATACAGAAGTAAGAACAAGTTCAGAGGGAAGCGGCGGAGGACGTACAAGAAAGCCACCGCCAACGAAAATGTCCGCGACGGGCCAGCGGCCGGTAGGCCTAACATCGACCACGGCAACGTCGACCATGGCAACTGCGACGACGAGATCAACGCTGCAGTGAATTTTGTGAGTGCATCGCAGAAAAAGATCGCGTTATTCGAAAACGACGTCAGGCCGAATGCCGATCGTGCCGAAAGCGTAGTGCTGTGCGAGTTGGGTGCATTGACGGCCGTCGTCGCAGGCGCGGCATGCCCCGTTTGTCACGAGAGTAAACTCGCAGTTCGGGCACCGAATAAAAAGCGGAAAGGCCTTTCGGCGTTTCTGGAGCTACACTGCGAGAATGCGGAGTGCTCGGAGAGCATCCTTTCGTCCGCGTACTCGTCGAAGCGGGTCGCGTCAGATGGCGGCCGCGGTGCAAGCAGAAGCTACGACAGCGGGAGTTCGCGTGACGCCTTTGCCGTGAACCTGAAAGTGGTGCTTGCAGCGCGTGCCGTCGGTATCGGGCATGAGCAACTTTCACGATTTTGTGCAGTAGTTGGATTGCCAAACCCTATGCACCATAAGACCTTCCATGCTATCGGCAAAAAGATTCACAGTGCGGCAGTGAAGGCTGTCTGTGAAAACATGCAAAGGGCACGCAGCGTCACCAAAGAGGTGGCTGGTAACAGTGACGTGCCAGTCATGTTTGACGGCACATGGCAAAAAAGAGGCCACAAAAGCCACAATGGTGTGGGAACTGTAGTGTCCTTGGACACTGGTTTGTGCCTGGACTATGAAGTGCTTTCCAACTTCTGCCTGGCGTGCAGTTTGCATAACGACATGGGAGGCGATGAAGAAACATGGCAGGCGTTTCATCATCCCGTTTGTGAGAAGAATTGCGACTGTTCTTCGCATGCCATGGAGGCCGAAGCTGCAGTGCGCATTTGGCAGAGGACTGTGGACTATGAGACACCCCTGCGGTTCACCATCTTCCTAAGCGATGGAGACAGCAAGGCCTACAACGGGGTCTGTGATGCCAACGTGTACCCTGACACTCCAATTGAAAAAGAGGAGTGCACCAACCACGTGGCGAAACGTCTGGGCACCGGCCCGCGGAAGCTGCCAACGCCACTTCCACGAGGGGAGAAGCTGAAGGAGACCACCATCCAGAAGCTTCAAACTTACTTTCAGGTGGCCATTGTGAACAATCGGGGAAATGTCCACAAGATGTACACTGCCATATGGGCCTCATGTTTGCACTCGTGCTCAACAGACGGTGCTGGAAGTCACAAGTTCTGTCCTGCAGGCCCAGACTCGTGGTGCAAGCACCGACGTGCTGAGGCGCAGGGCCAGCCTGCACCGTGCCACACCCCCCTCCTGACCAAGGCCCAGGGTTTGGCAGTCCTCCCAATCTACAAGCGTCTCACAGATGCGAAGCTGCTTGCCCGGTGCCTCCACGGCAAGACACAGAACGCGGCCGAGTCCCTGAACAGCAAAATATGGCTGCTGTGTCCAAAGACCCGGTTTGCTTCCCGGACTGCTGTGGAAACAGCCACAGCCATTGCAGTCCTGTGGTTCAACCGGGGCCACGCGAGCTTTGAAAAGGTGCTGGAAGAGCTTGGGGTGCTTCCTTCGGAGGCCCTGGTTACCCTCAGCGACCGCCGAGACAGCATGCGCATGCACAAGATGAATGTGCGTCAGACCGCTGAGGCGAGGGCACACCGTCGCAGTGCAGCCAAGAGGGCCCGGGTGGAAGAGTCCTGCCGCACCAGCCGGGAAGGGAAAACCTACGGTGCTGGAGAGTTTTAGACAACTGATATTCCCTCTGGACATGTGTGTATGTGTTCAGCACAAGTTTCGTGCTACTGCGTTTTTCATTTTTGTAAATACAGACTTTCAAACTTTCAAACGCGTTTTTCTCATTTCGCAATTTTGGCCAATTTGCATTTTTTGCGGGAAGTGTTTCGGGCACTTAGAATGGTCATACGACGACGAAATTTGGCACACACATTGAGGAGAGTGCGTAGGGTGCCGATATCTACTTGAATCAGCACAACCTATCAGCTGTAAATATCTATTAATAAATTTAATGGTGGTCGAGTGGAAAAAAAAGGGTAGTTTGCTACACAGATGTTTTTTTCATAGTTTCAAAGTTGGAGCACAATTTCTAGCTAGATATCGGCACTCTATGGCTAATAGGGAGCAAAAGGAGCCATTGAACAACTCTCTGCATGAACATTTAGTATGCGCGAAAGTTCCCGGAAAACTTATCAAGTTTCACCATTACTTGAAACACAACTCCCAAACTATTGCACTTATGTAAAAACTGATTACAGATTTGGAATCAGGAGGAAAAACTGCATCAGTGGTCCAATTTCTGAAGCTCTAAGTTGAATAACAAAAAAAAAGTGCTTTCGAGGAGCGTCTCCCCTTAAATGAGCTCTGACATGTACTGTAAAGAAAATGCTGTGCATGTAAATTTTTCAGGGCTTAGTTTTAATGATAATTGATTGCTGACCTGTGCATATCACTTGTTCTCGTTTTCAAAATGTTTAATTATTTCCACTTTGCAGCTGTGAACTTCAAGTCTGGAGAAAACGTGCGACAAGTCATAGCCTCTATCATGCGGAAAGTTTTAGGTACGTGGTGTTTGGTTTATTGCTAGCAATTCATGGACTGCTTGCTTTACAGACCATACCCTGGAAACTCACGAAGATGACATCAAATCCCTTTGCCTGATTATCAAGGTAAAGCATAGCCAAGCATTATGCACTGTGCATTTTAATTAAACTGTCTTTACTCTTATCACCTTAACTCTTATCGCAGATCTACCATGAGCTCATGTTCTTTTGGGGCATCCCCAAGGACGACTTTGATACTCGATGGAAGGGATTCAACATTGTGAAGAAAGGCTTGGAAAACAGGGTATGTTTGAAGTCTTTGGAAGATGCAGCTCATATTAATTTGCTGAACAAGCAGATTAATATCACACTGCACCAGAAGTGTAGGTGAGGGGGTACGGAGTGAGGCTAAACTAACTGTACATTCAGTGAGGTAGGAAAAACTTTCTCTATCACAGTTTTGTGATTGAAATTTGTCAGTTTGCTTATGCAAGGTTGATTCCTTCAAAAAGTATACTACTTATCTAAAAAAAATGCATCCCTTAATAATTAAGGCTGCTAAGGTATGTGGGCTATGTTGCGGTGGGGGGGGAAAACACTTCTCCCCCACCTAAAAAGATTTTTTCATAGAGGGCGAGAGTTCAGTCTTCCCCTACACCCTCCCCCCATTAGTGATGTACCAAAGTAATTGTACTGCTTATTCCAAACATTGTAAAGTGATACTCTGGCAGAAAATTAAGTGCCTCTTGTGATAGAGACTTGTCATATCTGTTGTTCCAGTGTAACATGTCTTCCAGGCAGCCTTCATTTATCTCCAAAAAAAGAATTGTCATGTCTGAACCCACGATGACTCTGGGAGTGTGAAGATTTCTATTTCTTTGTTTCGCTGGCTGTAGTGCAACCTTTAGTTGTCAGTCACTGTCTATATCATTGTTTTTGTTCTTTTGTCTATTCATTTTATGCCTGCCTGCCTGTTCAAAAGACGAATGAAATTTGCCAGTAGATTGTGATAGACCACAGAAAGAAGAGATGTAGTGTTAAGTCATGCTAATAAATACAAATTTATGAAGGGCAGCTATCTCTTTAACCTGTTACATAGGAAGTGCATACAAGTGATGGTCTTGCCATCTTTCTCATTCCAGCTAGCCAAACACAAGCAACACATTCGAGCTCTGCTTGTGGACAGGGCACAGTTGCAGCAAGAGGTGAGTTCACCAGTCATATTTACTTGCTCTCTTTCAACATCACAATACCACTGCTAAAGCCCGTATACATAAAATGACTTGATAAGGCCAACAGTTCCTTCATCTTAATGCAAGCAGTCATCACAATGGATCATGAGGATCGATTGTGACATGACACTGTCAATTCATGCATGAACTAGTACTTGAAAACAGTGATAACCTCTGCAATCATGCACTGCTTCTGGAAATACATATTTCACTGTTCTTGGTTTATCTTGTGGCTTTCATGAGGATGACAAAATAGTGTGTGCTGGATTTCCTGATGAATTGAAGGTAATCAGAGGCCCTACAAAATGTACACATGGTCTCGTGAATAAATCTGAGTACAGTTCAAGTTTAACACTAAATGTCTTTATAATTATTAAGGACTTCACGAAGGCACATCTATCTAAGCGTTTGTGAATAAGCTCACAGCCTCATATTCATCATTTGAGCCAGTGTTCCAGGTTGTGACTAATTTTGCCATGTGTAATAATAACTGATACAGTCGTTTCGGGAGAAGGCTACAATATGTTTGATGCAGATTTTTGGTAGTGTCATGCAACTGTTTGGTACTTTCTCGTGTTGGTGTATAAGTTATGGTGAATATTTGAATTTGCATGCTTCTTTATTTTTCTACCAAACACTGCAATTTGCATATCTCTGTCGATTATATTATTCCACTGTTGTATGGATCCTTAACTTGCATTGAAGAATCGAAGAAGATTAAGTCTGGTTGGAAGGGTTCTTCTCCAGCCTCACTTGCCTTCCCACTTTATGACATCTCACTGTTTTCATGCAGATGCGTATCCTGAGCCGCCACTTGAGCTATTTCACAGAATTTCACCGAGACCTGATGCTTGACCTGTCACGCCTCGCCACCAGCCACTACAGCGAGGTAAGCCGCTCGAACAAAACATTCAAGTGTGGTTTTCATACAATGTGCACTCTGCCTATCCACACCACCAGTGTCTAGCATCTGAATTCATTTTTAACAAATATTGTCACTGTTGCTCCCTTACTGGGTAATTAATGAAACAAATATGCTGCCTTATTTACTGGTCTCCTTTTCCTACATTATTAAGTCTTTAAACAAACTGCGTGCTCTTGCCTATTTCGGTCATGCTGTGTTTCCAATCACAAATTCTTAATGCCGTGCTATGCACGCGACAAGCGCATTTTTTTTTTTTTATTCTACTCCGCATGTGTATGAAGCAAGCAGTGTCTTTGCAATCATCTTCACACTTATGTTGCGCACGTGCTTCTTGATTGAACTGCATCGGTGATTGCATTTTTATTCCTGTAATGGCTCTTCTGGAATTAACAGTTTAAATAACCAAGCGAACAAACCATTTGGTGCAGGTGCGAATTCAAGCCCAGGAGGTGCTAGGCAACTGCGTGCACAATTACCCAGGCTCGCACACTCTCCTGCTGGGAGGACTGATGGAGCAGCTGACGCCCGAGCGACCTGAAGTGACGCATGAACAGTTCAAGGGTGCCTTGTACACCCTGCTCGGCAAGAAGCAGCGAACGATGCTCGTCCTGTGCGACTGGCCCTTCCTGGGTTCCCTGTGGCCCGCACTGGTTGGGGCACGGCACTCCGAGAAGCCGTCCATCATCTGGCTCCTGGAGCACATCCTCGAGACGCTGCAGAAGCACCTCGAGACCATACAGATTGCGATCAAGGTATGCCGAGGGCTGTTTGGAATCGAGTTTGATTTTTGTTTTACGCAAAGTTCATGCACTTTGCGTGAACCCATAGTCGTACGCTAGCTTCGATGCAAAAAGAAAAAAAAAAAGGAACATGTCTTTGATGGCACTTCAGAAAAGCAAAACTGAACTGTTATATGTAACGTTGAATATTGAATCACTGGTAAACAACACAGGAGCTTGTAGCAGCAGTGCCACAGAAGTGCCGATGTGAGGAGCAATCTAGTTGATAATAAAGCAATGAAGACCTCTCTTGGGCAGCGTGGGTGTCAGCCTTATGTGGGTGCAGCCTCATTTTTAGTAAGGCTGTGGGTATTCTAAATATTGAATGCATTGCAAATTTAAATAATAAAGTTTGAGTGTGTATCGAATTACTTTTTTGAGTAGTTGATGATTATTTAATACTTTTCAAACACTTTGAAGTAAAATCACAGAAAGAAGTTGCAGAGGGTATTTAAGCACATTCTTGTCAGATAGGAACATGGAAGTGTTTCTTTTGGTTGGTTGGATACTGAGGGGATGGTGGGTGTTCTTAGTTTGTTTTATCAATAGTGAGGCAATGCAGAGACCGAATTGTACTTATTTACATGGTTTGGTGCAACCAATATGGTGTCGACAATACTTGTGAGAGGAAAAAACACCATTTCCTGAACTTTCACTTCTGTGGAGTCCTAATGATTTGGCATACAAGGTTGCACTCCTTTCCATTTCGGAGTTCCTCATCTGCCTGTAGATGTCATGTATAAAACATCTAAAATTTTGGATGCTCTAAATCTTCGTCTGATTTGTTCAGGCTTTCTAGTCTGAAACAGCATTAATTAATAAAGCCCTCACCTCTGCCGCGTAGGTTCAGTGCTTGGATCAGTTTACGACCATAGCAGAGCCCCAAAGGCAGCTATGCTGCAGTACCATAGTTTGGCACAGTGGAGCATAATAAAAGTATGAAGGGGCCACTGTAACATCCCAGTATATCTCGGTGTTGGAACCAGCGTTTTCTTGAGTCGTCTACATTTGCCACTGTGTTTAGCACTGCAACAGAGTTTGAAAAGCAGCTTTGTCACAAAGCCAGAGTGTGATAGGGTGAGGCATATGAAAAAATTTGAAAGGGATATTGTCAATTAAACTTTTTATGATCACTGGTATGTGCAATTCCTTTGGATAATCACGTCATGTCGCAACAAATCTGGTCCCTAAAAATAATGTTGGCTTTAATCTACACATTCGAGTAGAAGTTGCACTGATATCACAGGAACTGAAGATGGTGAGAACGAAAGTAATTGAATTGCTTAGCCCTAAATTGAAACCTCCCGTTTCATTCAGTTCGTGAGGGCTGTACTTAAAACAGCTTACTGTAGTAGTCAAAACACTACACTTCTATGCATTTCTAGGGCTTAGGCAAAATATTAAAAAACAGATAAGCACAGAAAGAAAAAGGGGCAGTAAGAACACTGGTCTTCAACTGGACCTTACTGGTGCTACTTAATAAAGTAAATTAAGAAAGAACCGAACAGTGATGATGTGGAGGAGATACTGACACAGCACTTCAGTATGGTTTTCTCAGTGTTGACTTTGTTCATTGCATGTCGTTTCTTCTATCAGGTGCCAGCACCCTGTTTGGAACGTGCCCAGCTATTGGCACTTGCTGCATCTGCTGAAGAAATGGCTGCAGCAGTGGAAGCTGAGGAACAACGCAACAGTCGTGCAAAAACGTAAGTATTGCACTAGGTTTGGTGCATTCAACGCCAACCTCGGCAAAATTGCGTTCTTCCGATTGATGTCTGCATTTTTGTTTTCTGCATAGAGAAAGCTTACCAGACTGAAACGAGTCGTCTTTGTTGAATGTAATGAAAGCCTCTCGTTGTAGCTACTACACTTGAAGGACGTGAACCTGCAGGCATTTAGTAGGTTTTTGTGGATAAATGGGCTGTGCAACAATACACACATCATGCACAGTCATGAAGCCCTGCCGATTGGGGGTGGAGGCTCCCGAGAATGGATGAGCCAAACATTGCACAACACCGCACACAGCCGGAATTTGCATTTGACCCTCAAAGGGAGCTAAAAATGGCTTACTCTTCTGTTGACAAATCATGTCGTAAACCCAATTGAGAGTACTCAAGGTCACGGCACACTCTAACAAACAAGCGTATATTATTGGCCATACTTATTAAGACGTCGTCATCATCGTTTCTACGTGTAGCTTCCAGCATGCTTGCTGGAAAGGAGACTAAGTGCTAAGGACGCATGAGAAATTCCTGTAATGCAGTTCGTACCTGGTGGATTCTGAAAATTTTTTGCTTAGTGTACCGTACCTCGCAATTACATTTTTCTCCGTCAGCGAGGACTCTTACTGGTTGTTTTACTAAAATGGGTTTACTTATAGGGCGATTTCACTGTGGGTTTTGCACTTACTTTTGATCGGCTTCATTATTAAAACCAGTGACAAGCTAGCTTTAAAAAAATTTGTAATTTTCAGGCTAGTTATCTTGGAAAGCTCAGACATGCACTACTGGATTTGCTTGATTAATTCAAGTAGCTAGGAAGGCAAGCTGGTAACCTTCATCATAAACCTGCACACACACACGAAGCAATGCTCGTGGTTCGGTTCTTTCCTTCTTCTTTTGTTTTTGTGTGTGTATGTGCTGTTTTGTGGTGAACTAGCTTGTCTCATTTATGAATTTTGCTCACTTTTATTAAGCATCGAATTTTTCTGCCTTTTCCACAGGGAGTATGAAAACCTTGTCTGCAAGCTGGTTTCTCAGGTGGAGAGTGGCAGCCTGTGAGTATCCACTTGCTCTTTCCGTGTGATGAGTTCACTGTAGAGAGATACAGCATAGAGAAGATGAGCTAGCATATACTTCTAACCAAATGCTTAGCATGTGAAAGGCAGTGCTGGTATTAATTCCTGGTGACATTTGTCAAGACCATTTAATGTATAAATTCTTTTGGTAAGCTTGTGAAGTCTCAAATCAAGCAATGACTACATTGATTTTGTTTTTAGGCACTCTAAACAAGCATAACAAATAGTTTCCCATCAAAATTGTTTTTACAATACAGTGCGAACTTGTTCAGTGCTCTGAGCAGAAGAGCAGAGGACAAATGGGCTGTTCTAAGCTGTGATACAGTACTATTTTATGGTTATGTAAATAAACTGTGAGAACATATATTTTTGTTCATTTTTTTTTTCAGTGCAGTTAACTGACTATTTATCATTCCTCCTGAAATTACAACTGTTCGTGTATGTTAATTTTTTTTCTTTCAGCTGGTATGTCAGTAAGGAATTCTGGCCTATTGGCTCGTAATGGTGTTACCATAACTGTATATAAGTAATGGTTGTCTATTTTATATTCGTTTTTATGTTATTTTAACTTTTTTTTGCTCATTTCAAGTAATATATAAGTAAACGAGTAGGAGTGGCCATTGAAACATAAACATTATTTCCTTCAGCCTACCCCATGACTTCTCTGAAACAAAATTTGTCTGAAATTTTATTTTACAGCTTGAAAGGAACTAGAGGGAAAAAAAAATGAAGGAAAGGAAGACTAAGGACATGTCAGTCTTACCTTTTTTTATTTTTATTTTCAAGCACTGGAAGTTCACAAAATGTTGAAATGCTGTCTGCTATAGATAGAATTTTCAGAGTCTATCAGCAACAGAAGTTTTGCATTTTGCAGTACTTCAAGCAGCAGTGCTTGCATGTAGTATTCCCTGCTAGTACAAACTAAAATTCATTACAGTGGACCTGAAGGGATTGTGAAAATTAGTTCCGCGGTGCAGGCTCGGCATCCACATGAAAAACCAATGCAACTAGAAGGCATTTTTTCAATTTAAGCACCAATTCTATTTAATCAACTTTTATTTTTCAATACTACTATCCAAGTACTGGGACAGCTGCCAGTATTAATAATGATGCTAATGGTACCATTACCACTGTGATAATTGGAACTTGTACTGGAACGCCTATACTGTAGTATACTACCAATGGTTCTGGTAGAAGGGTTACTGGCAGTGCTTCTAGAGCAATGGTTCTAGCAATAGTGTTGCGCTGCTACTGATACTAGCAGCACTAATACCCTTGCCACAAGTCTCTTTAGCATTTCATTTGTTTTCCGTACAAATACAACTACTTGCATTGCTAGTACTGGCCCTGGCATGAAATCATAGCAGCATTAGACAGTTGCCATTAGCGCGATAGTGTGAGATAATGAAATATTGTTACCGTGCCGCAAACGTTTGTTGCGAAGAGTGAGTGAGTGAGTGAACAAACTTTATTTAACCAGCGGATTGAGGCGTGGGCCTAAGCCGCACCAGGGGGGGTTGTCGTTGCGAAGAGCGCCTTATAGTTTAGCAGGATAGCATTTACGTGGTTTACGTACCCCAGTTATAGCAGTGGCACCACCTATTGGAGGGAAGTTAAAGAACATTGAAAAGTAAAAAAATAAGAATGCTTGCCTGTGTCACTGCACGAAGCAATGTTACAAGGTTTTTTTTTTTTTAGTAATAATAAAGGTAAAATATGAACCACGTACCAAATGGGAAAATATTTGTTGCCAATCTATTTACATCAACCTTTAAATTAAACCTAGAGATGTTTGAGATAAGGAGCTATTTCAAAAACTATGCTAATTTATCGGTAATACTCTGTCATCGAAGCTAACTGAAGGCAAGTAAAGCCTTTTTAAACTGTGGTTTGCAGTGAACAAAGTTGATCTTTCGACAACTATGCCAAAATCGCTTTAAAGCGGGCGTCCGAAATTACTGCCATGTTTTACGTACACTGCGTAAACCAAGCTGACACTGTAACGTTAAATCTAAAAAATAGTGTGCACACGATGAGCGATATGGGTCACATACGTTACTGTGTATATGCACTTTGATCCCACTATGCAGTAAGCCCGCCATTCCGCTAGGCCTGGTAAACTACAACTGTCTATTGGTGTTAGTGGCTGGTCGTGTCTAACTTACACCATCATGACTGTGCAATAACGATGTTGTGCATAGCCACTGGCGCCACTACCACATGGCCCTGGTGATGGTGAAGCTACTCATCAGAAATGATGTGCCCCTGCCCACACCTGCTGTTAGCATGCTGGTCCATCACTTGGTGCACGACACGCTCAATGTGCGCAAGGTAGGTATTATACACTTCATACTGTACAGTCTTTGCACGCTAAGCGCAGATTTGGGTGCAAGTTAAAGAACCCCAGGTGGTCGAAATTTCCGGAGTCCTCCATTACGGCGTCGCTCATAATCATATGGTGGTTTTGGGACATTAAACCCCACGTATCAATCAGTCTTCGCATGCTGAATACCCGGTGGGGAAGTACCGTATTTACTCGATTCTACCGCGCCCTCAATTGTAACGCGCGTCCGATTTCCACCGCGAAAAAAAACAAAAAAAACGTAAGACATCGATTGCAACGCGCACCCATTTTTTTTTCGCTGGCCCGCACGATCACACCACTCGAAAAAACGATTCCTTTCGGGATTGTCTTCCATTTAAATATGAGGTACGGGCGAAGCTTGTGCCCATCTGACGTGTAACAGAGCATTGCCGTCACTGTAGTTTTACCGTGTCAGCACGCGAACTTGCTTCGCCCCCTTCTCGACGGTTGTGGTGCCAGGCATGTCGAAGTAAAGAGGCGTCTGTTCGGCATTCCCGACCTGCCCAAGCAGGTAGCCGTTGTTGCGCCGCAAGTTTAGGACGAACCTCTGAAAACTGTGAAGCTTTTCATCGTACTCCTCCGCAAAACTTTTCGCATATGCATGTTCCCCTTCGGAGGGAAAAGTCTTTCCTCTTCATAAAGCTAGTTAGCCAGCACCTGCTCGCTTTAAACTGGCTCCGCATTAGACCTTTTTCTAAGACTAATTGCATAGCCCGCACTTGGAGCAGTTCAGTCGTCACGGGGCGCTGTGCCGCTCGCTGCTCAAGCACATACTCGCCGAGCAGCTCTTTAATTTGCGGAAACCGACCCTGCTGTGGTTCACTGAAGCCTTTGCGTGAAGCTTTGCTGTCGACAGTCTTCTGCTTTTGTTTCCGCCGGTCCCGCACGCACGTTTCGGGAACGACCACGATGCGGCCCGATTTCCGTCCGTTTCTGCACACGCGATGACTTTTCTTTTAAAAGCGGCATCGTGGTGCACTCGAGATTTTGGAGTCGGCCCTTCCACGCCGTCGATGCTAATGCACTACTAGATGACGAACTCCTCAGCACACGTACGAAGTGCCGCACATGGGAAACACATAGACATAAATGGCCGACGCGCCATGCCGACGCACGTAGGGGGCGGCCATTTTGGATTTGCGATGGCAATAGATTGATATATGATTAGTCAATACAAGTAGGCCAATAGGTCTTATTGGGCAAGTTGGCTTAGCATTAGGCTTGTGCAAATATGAATTTTCAGATTCCAAGCAAATTCAAAGCGAATAGTGATTTGCTTCGAATAATTTCAAATCAAATTCGAATAGTGTATATCACACACTATAAAGAAAAATGAGCATATTTGTCACACATTCTATTTGTTTAAAGTGAGCATATTTGTCATGAGTAAACTAATTAGCACAATATATCTTTTTTTTTATTGAAACAAGGCTTGTACAATTGCCATTCTTTTTCGTTCAAAGGAAGTGAAAATTACTTTGAGTAGTAGCAGGATTAGACTTTCAATAAAACACGAGTGATAGCCTGTAAATTATGTTACGTTTTAATATTTACTGAGAGCATATAGCAAGAATATAAACTTGCGAAACGATGAATCGATGTGAGAGGGACATGATCATTTAACCTTGCGGTGGTAGTACTTTGCGACAATATCGATTTTTCCTGGATATGCGTTTTCATGGCTTAGTACCTCACCCATTCACTGCAGTGAAACGGCCTTTACAGAGAAGTTGCATACATTCTATAGTTGGATAATGATAATTCTTGGGGTTTAACGTCCCAAAACCATCGTACGATTATGAGAGACACCGTAGTGGAAGACTCGGAAAATATGGACCACCTGGGTTTCTTCAACGAGCATCTATATCTAAGCACACTGGCCTCAAGCATTTTTGCCTCCATCGAAAATGCAGCCACCGCAGCCGGGATTCGATCCCGCGACCTGCGAGTCAGCAGCCGAGTGCCTTAGCCACTAAACCACCATGGGGGGTAATTCTTAGCTGGGAGGGGCCCCGCTCAGATGACTGAAGCACGAAAGCTGATCACCTCCATGAGTAACGGAATAGGCCTGAGCTATGCACTCGGAAATGTTCTCTGAAGGCAGGGTCGTCGGCTGTCTGACTCATGACGTCAGTCTGGAGTGTGCGCCGCGCTCATTTGTGTAGGCTTGCATGCATTCGTCTTTGAAGAGGGAAACGCTGCTGACTTCTAAATGACGATAGTTATAGCACGAGAACAAAATGATGACACAGAGACATGAAGGACACGAAAGACACAAGCGCTAACTTCCAACTGAGTTTATTGCGCATGTCAAACCAAAAGTTAGAAGGCTCGCATGTCATCAAAGTACTCAGATACGTGGATGATTTCTTGGTTCTTCTAAATTGTAACCCTTCTATGTTCCACTCGATTGAGACTCAAACGATACGTGTGTTTGAAGATTGTTTAAAGCCTCTTGTGTTGACACAGGAAATGCCCGAGAATGAGAAAATTACGCTTTTTGGAATTAAGGCTGTTTTTTAGCTCACAGCAAGTTAGTTAAGGGGGGACATGGGTCTTTAAGCGAGCCATAGCACGAACCTGTCTTGAGAATGTTTTAAATAGGTCGTGTGCCCACAATATCACTGCGAGCTTCAAAGCTCAAGTTTCCCAGCTTAAGGCTTCGGGTTTCCCCGAGGCTTCCATCGCTTCCGTTGCTAAGACTATCCTGCAGACTAATAAAGCAGAGAGAGGCAGTGACAGAATTCGAGCAACACGGATACAGAGCATGAAAGGATAGTCGTGATTCCATACAAACACGAGATATCACACAGGCTCAAGAAAATCGGAAAACGAGTTGGACTTCGTGTCCTGTTCTCTGCACCGTTCAAATTAATTAGCCTCAATAAATCTACAAACTTCCTGAAAACGCAGTCATCAACGGAATGCAGAGTTCAGCATAGAAACAGGTATGTGGCATGCTCCCGGTAAGTTCTCTGTAGGACCCCCCTTTCATGCGGTGCTTGTTATGTCGGAACGACTGGAAGGTGTCGGAACGATCGACTGAGAGAACATGCTAACAATGTTAGAAACGGGAAAGATGGTTTTCTTGCTCAGCACTGCACTGAGTGCAACTGTGTGCCCCTTTTCAAAGACACAGCGACGCTGTACAAGCACAAAGATGAGCGCACCGAGTCATTGTCGAGGCCGCGCAGATGGCACGCGAACAGGTGTCTTGCATTAGCAAGCCCTCCGTGTCTCTGTCCGAGGAGGAACTAAGGTCCCTCAAAAGTTTTTATTACCTTTACTTTTCTGTTTCGTTTTCTTATAGACTTTTCTTTGCCTTTTTCTGTGCTTTTGTTTTTTGTTTTTTGTTTTTCCTTTACTCATGGTTTGCTCTTTGTGACATATGATTTTTGTCACATGGTCACAGTCTCCTCTATATATTTTCGCGCTCTGCGCAGTAAACTCAGTTGGAAGTTAGCGCTCGTGTCGTGTCCTTCTTGTCTCTGTGTCGTCGTTTTGTTCTCGCGCTATAACTATCGTCATGCCATACCAACTAGCCCAAGCTGCCACACTTCTAAGTGACTTCTAAAACTACATTTGGACTATAGTATACATTGTTTTCATGGCGTAGCACCCCTTCACTGCAGTGAAAGTACCCTTGCAGGGAGTTACATGCGGAATAATGTACATTTACACGTTCGTTTCAAATACTTAAAAATGTCCTATAATTTAAATTTGAAGTAAACCAAATTCAAATACTTCAGTATTCAAAGCATTTGAATTGTCGGAGAAGCCTTTTAGCATAACAGAAAAATAAATTAATATCTTGCATGCCTAGTGAGGGCAGTGACTACTTCAAGTGTCACGAGTGTTAGTGAAAATAAGGAACAACTGTATTTTTATTTAACTATCTGAAAACTGAGCCATGTGTATCCTGTATTTACTTTTCGTCTATGACTTTTAAAAGTGCACAGTGATCATACTGAAGTTCTTAAATCAGCATTGTTTATAAAAAGCTTTAAAATTATTCTTGTTTCAGTGTGTAATTTTTTAGCAAACAGGGGTTGTTCTGAAATTTAAGAAAAGGTATTGGGTGGTGATAGATTGGAGCATCAGTATGTACAGCATTGAAGTATGATAAGAGAATAGTGATGTTATTGAATTGGCATCCTTGAATTTTTGAATGGTGGGCAAGGCTTTAGCTGCATTCTGCTGAACAAGACAAATGAAAGCATAGAATAAAATCAAAACTTTTCATTTTATTGCAGATAAATTGGAATATATTTACACGCTTAAGTGTTTCTGGGTTAGAATTGAAGGGTCGTGTGATATTCTTTGTAGAAGAGATAGCAGCCATAGACGTATTCTCACAATGTCTTACCAAAAGCAATTGCCATGATGACCACCCCTGAATCGTACATTTTCTTTACTTAAATGATGGACAGGTGGCCATCCTGGGAGTGGGCACAGTGCTCAAGCAGCTCAAGAAGAAACATGTCAAGCAAGAACTTGCTGAGATCGACCAGCAGTCTATTGAGCTCAGTCCAACGTTGGCCACCCTGGTGGACCGGGTGGGCAAGCGGCCTGCCAATCTGTGGCTCCAGTACAACAGTGCCCTGCGCCCCGACACCAAGGAACGGTGGCAGAAACACCACTTCGTGCACAAAACTCACATCGGCTTCTATCGGCTACCCAAGCCCTTCCTCGTCTATGCGCCCGACGAACAGCAGCCCTCACTGGATCGCACAGCTGCGGAGATGTCGCCAGTGAGTACTGCTTTAAGGGGAAGCCACCTTTAATTATTCTTTTACTGCCAACAAGCATAGCCAATGCTGAAATTTTTTAGGACATGGCCATTGGTAACTCAATATTTTATCATCATGTTTATGCTAATTGTTTGTAATTATAGAGACTGTTAAGCTAGTTAGTGTATATATTAAATGTCGCAAGCAATCAGAGACAGTTGCTGATCTGTGTTTTACATTTATTGTGCTTTTTATAGTCTGAAGCAGCCATTTTTGAAGCCTTCACTTCTGAATCATTTGTGGAGCAACTGTCCAAGTACCTGTCACTAGAAGAACGCAAGGGCCATGACCGGTTTGATGCCAAAAGGTTCTACATGTTCAAGGCAAGTAATTTCTTCTGAAAATTTTTAAAGGCGCTGTCGTGGTCCCGGGGTGCTGTGGTAGCGTGGTGTAGCTTCGGGTTGAGGAAACGACCGCTTACAAGATGGGGATACGAAAAACAAACAAGGTTTATGGCACTATTTACAAATATTTACAGCATGAGGTTAAGAGTTCACAAACCACGAGCGTGGTGGTTAAACCTTTTCTTGGTTCAGACCCTTCACACACTACGAACGTGGTGGTTGAACCTTTAGTTGGTTCAGAGCCACGTCCTGCACTCTGCCGCGCCGTTATAAGCCCTGTCGGGCTCCTCCTTCTTCAGTGGAACACCAATCACACACACACACGCAACAGGTGAGGGGTACGAGCCTGCACGGCGCACGTGAACATCCAATTTCGAGTCAAGATCACTGCACTTAAAGGTGGCGCCAGAGGGGCTCTTGCTCGGCGTGTGTGTCACTGGTCGAGGGGTTCCAAGCTTCGGACAGCAGACATCAAACGGTCCGCCAATCTGTCCGCTCAATTAGCAGGGCACTTTGTGGCGGCGGTCGCCGTTTCTTCAAAGGAATACGCTCTTTGTTGTCTCCTCCGGAACGGCTTACAGCTTCGTGGCGACAGGACGTCTCATCCGCCGGCTAGCAGGGACAATAGCTGGCGAGCATAGACATTCGGCGAGTCGGCTACTTGTTTGGGGATTAAAAGAGCGCCGCTCCCCCGTCATCTCTGGACGCTGGTTCCGAGAAAACTGGAGTTCCAGGCGTGGGAACGCGGCCCGGCTACGCTTCTCAGCGACAGCATGGCGCCTGCTGACGCCGGTCATAACAGCTTCCCCCTCGCCAGATGAGTCACGGAGGGCAGCGGTCAACACTGCTGCTCGCAGGGACGACGAAAGGGTCCGTAGTCGAATCCCAAGAACTCGCCTTCGCTTGTGGCATGGTCTGAGTAAAGGCCGAATCTTCGACACCGTTTCTGCAACTGGACCACATGCACAAGCAAGCACTCGGCCCCCTTCGAACAAACCAAGCCAAAAGAGGGGATGACAAACCAATTTTAATTACTAGCTTTAACAAAAGCTCACTCTCAGAACTCTCAGGACTCACTTGAGCCGAAAACCAGACGTGCTACCTTACAAATTTACATTAGATGCACGAAAAAAACTAAAATATCAATTTTGATACAGAAAGAGCACCCCAGAATGGCTTAGAAAGAGCGGCTGAGCGCGTCAGCGTTTCCATTCAGTTTGCCCTTTTTTTACCTAATGTCAAAATGATATTTTTTTTTTCCTTTTAAGAATCAAGCTCTGCCTCACAAGGCGACTGTTCTTTTATGTCACGGTTTGCAGCCACGTAAGGGGAAAATGGTCTGTCCCTACTTTAAATTTAGCACCTCTGAGATAACCTGCAACTGATGAATGGCCTACACAAGGCAAGCGCATTCATTTCCTGAAGCGCAGTACGTTATCCCACGAGAGCCCAAATTCTGGTGCAAGCAAAGCGCAGCTTTGCTTGATACCATTGTCGTCCTGATATAAAACAGCAGGCTCTTTTTCATCGCTGACTACTTTCATCGGTTCTGTCCCGCTGAGAGCATCAGTCAGGAACTCGGATTCAGTGAGCGCTACTTTTGTCCGAACGTCCGTCTTTGTTTACGGCCGCCCATAATTGTCTACCACTGAGACATGAAGCTCACCAGCCTCCCGAAAGCTTAACCGAAACTGTGACCTAACGGTCTACCTCAATGGTTCGGGAAAGCCCGATGATCTGTTCATGGTCACTCGATCAATCATTCATTAAAGAAAACACCAACAAAACTGAGGAGATTACACTGCTTTCTAGAAGGTTCATTTGGTCAAAGTTACTGCTTATGCGAACACTTCTGAGTAAAAAAAAACCACTGGGCTCTCCTGAGCGTTTCAATTACTCTCATTTTTTTACAGCGTTGCAAATTACATGGAACTATTAACCAAACCATAATCCCTCACAGTTACGTTGTAACACTCTGTGTACAACACAAAAATAATCCTAGGTGCTATACTCCTAATAATGCACAGGTTTTATGCTAAAATCCGGCCCCAATGACCTTCAATTCGCAATGCGCGCAATGACAACTCCACTGTGTCACGCCAAACTTAATCATTTTACGAAATCACTTGGTCTAGGTTAACATCTTCCTTCAAACGCTCGTTCACTCCAAATCCACTTGACAGTGAAGGCATACGATATAACACTAAACCTTAAAAACACTCGAAAATAACACTTTTCTGTTTTTAACTTCTCGATATTTTCGTACTAGTGATTAAACTGATTCAATGCTGACGTCAGCCTTTGGCTCGGCGGTTTGCCTTCTGAAAATTTTACACAGCATCACGTAACCTACCAAATTTAAAGTGGCTCAAATTTGCATCTCCAAGGTAACACTGAGTACCAATATTAAACATGCCTGTGCAAAAGTTACTCATACTGAACGTGAACCCTCTTCTCATGGTGCTTTTAATCGCACACGATGGGGTCGCAGTCCCGGCTGTTTTCCAGCACGCCAGAGGCTACAAAACACACCAACGTTAGGCTGTGTCCTGCCGTCACGCCTCATTCTGCACTTCGGCTGGCTTTCTTCAGTAATGTGAAAGGGGTGCCAGAAGCAGGGGGGAAGCCTGTGCCATTTTTCTTTTGTGTTCTCCCCTACGCGGTATTTAGCCACTCTGCCCTTTCGACTCTGACCCTTCTGCAAAGGCCGCTTTTCCGAAGTTGTCGAACTGAACCGCACGCTGCGTTGGGGTGGCGTACCTCGTTTCCTCCCTCTACACCTGGCTCGCCGCTTGTGCTTCCCTGAACGCCACCATTGACGTTCCTTGAGACGGAATAATGGCCTACCCTCTCGTCTTTCTTGCGACTGAGTGGGGCCCGACCTAGGCCTGCGCAGTGACGAACGCCTCCGCTTCTTCCCTTTTCTGCGATGTTTGCAAACCAGCTCGGTTTTATCGCTGCACTGCTGAAGCGTGGCGCTCTTGCTCTCATCAGCCACTGCGCTAACCATGCCTAAATTTGACAATGTCGAAAGGTCCCCCTGAGGCACGAAGAAGGTTTTCAGCTCATTACTGGGCCCATTAGGGCTGCTGGCACCGTCCTCATGCACGCAAGGAGCGTCTTTCGACATCGTCCCTACCTCCAGACCAGCCACGGCCTCGTTCTCTGGTGCGATCTCTGTTTCTAGCGCTTCATGACGCGCCTCAACTTCCAGCGCTTTGTGACGCGCCTCCCTTTCAGACTCTGGTCTGATTCTTTCTTTCTTTTTGCTAACAGAAGTTCCAAATCTTCTGATTAGCTCTGCTTTAACAACTTCGTAGTTGTTCGCGTGCTGCTCACTGAGTCGCGCAACAACATCCGCTGCCTCGCAGGGCAGAACCGTGCGTAGCCTCTGAGACCAGGTGTCTCGCTCACACTTAAGTTGACTACACTTTCGTTCAAAGAGTCTAAGATACAGGCCCATATCCCATGATACCTCATATGGCTGCATGTACCTAGACATCTCGAACTCTGCCTCATTTTCGAGTACTCCTTGCTGGCGTCCCAACCTCATACTCAACTCATAGTCTCGTTTGAAAAACTTTAGCTTGAGGCTTTCTCTTTCGTCTTCACTCTTTCCTTCCATCTGAGCTGCTCTTAGTTTTCTTTCGATGATGAGGTCCCATTCTTCACTTAGTTCCTCATCATCAGCCCCCAAATCATTAATCGCTTGAATGATTATGGGTTTTCGTGCCAAACCCTTTGTATCGATCCCCAATTCCTCACACAACAGCAACAAGTCTGACATCTGCAGCTCCCGTAAGTCCATGATCGTACTGAGTGCTCGCTACTTCCAAAAATAACTTCCCGAAACGGCGAAACTGAGTCTTTCGGCAAAGTTAACTACCAGTTCTAAAATTTAATCCTCTTTTAGAACCTGGTTCACTCAAAGGAAAAGCCAAGCACTCACCCATACGTGATCCATGTCTCAAGCCAGCTGCTTCTCCTGGGCCGACTGTTGTTGTCACTTGTAGCTTCGAATCCGACCGCTGCTAACCAGTTGTCGTGGCTCGGGGTGCTGAGTCGTATCCCACCGCTGATCACCAGTTGTCGTGGTCCCGGGGTGCTGTGGTAGCGTGGTGTAGCTTCGGGTTGAGGAAACGACCGCTTACAAGATGGGGATACGAAAAACAAACAAGGTTTATGGCACTATTTACAAATATTTACAGCATGAGGTTAAGAGTTCACAAACCACGAGCGTGGTGGTTAAACCTTTTCTTGGTTCAGAGCCTTCACACACTACGAACGTGGTGGTTGAACCTTTAGTTGGTTCAGAGCCACGTCCTGCACTCTGCCGCGCCGTTATAAGCCCTGTCGGGCTCCTCCTTCTTCAGTGGAACACCAATCACACACACACGCAACAGGTGAGGGGTACGAGCCTGCACGGCGCACGTGAACATCCAATTTCGAGTCAAGATCACTGCACTTAAAGGTGGCGCCAGAGGGGCTCTTGCTCGGCGTGTGTGTCCCTGGTCGAGGGGTTCCAAGCTTCGGACAGCAGACATCAAACGGTCCGCCAATCTGTCCGCTCAATTAGCAGGGCACTTTGTGGCGGCGGTCGCCGTTTCTTCAAAGGAATACGCTCTTTGTTGTCTCCTCCGGAACGGCTTACAGCTTCGTGGCGACAGGACGTCTCATCCGCCGGCTAGCAGGGACAATAGCTGGCGAGCATAGACATTCGGCGAGTCGGCTACTTGTTTGGGGATTAAAAGAGCGCCGCTCCCCCGTCATCTCTGGACGCTGGTTCCGAGAAAACTGGAGTTCCAGGCGTGGGAACGCGGCCCGGCTACGCTTCTCAGCGACAGCATGGCGCCTGCTGACGCCGGTCATAACAGCGCCAACAACCGTTTTTTGCGGTGCCTATTTTTCTAAGCATGAAGGAAATCTAGTCCGTAAGTGGGTCTGATCCCGGAATGGTTAAGTGAAAAGCGCCGCGAAACATTTGTAATCGGAGTTTCTCAACCTGCAACGAATATGAAGTCGTATACAGACATGCCACAGACAGTGAGCATGTGGGCGGTTTGAGTTCGAGCGTGATGGTTTACTGTGCATGCGTGCCTCTGTGGGCTACAGTTTGACTTGGTCCGCTGGGGGCCACAACAGCAGTACCGTAGCGCAGAATTGAGCCAGGCTAGATACTAATATACTCCATACTCTAATTTTGAGGACTTGCGCAAACAACAGCATCAGACTATGTGACCCCATTCAGCAAAGTGATCGATTCCATATTCCATAATCCAGCTTCAAGGCACTTTAGCTAGACTGCGCAACAAAATGGTTTTTGATAATTTTATGCACAATTTAAAAATATAAATCCTAGTCGTAAGGCGAAAAAAATTCTCAAATATGTCACTATATTTTATGCTAATTTCATTTCACTACGATCTAATCGCACGTTCGTTCTGGCCACTCGTGCCTTTAACATGTGTTGCATCTAACACCATAGAAGAAAAATGCTGACCATGACATTATACTTCAAATAAATTGAAAAAGGGGTACAGGCGAAGCTCATGTGTGAGAAGTACCAGTTTGCCGATATTTCCAGCTCAGCGAAGTGAACAGGAAATGTCACTGCGGCCAATGTTTTAACAAGTTAAATAAAAGAAGAATTTTAGTTCCAAGGAGCTTATTTCTAGGCTCTCCTTGGCCTTGCTGTCTGTTCACTTCGTTTGGTTGTCCTTCCCCAATGTCAAAAATGATAAAAAAAAGTAAGGTTGTCTAAAAAAAAAAAAAAAAAGACAAGGGGCCGTCATTGAAAATTCAAAGGTTGGTGTTTAGGCTTGTGCATATAGTATTGCTTTTTTGGTTCTTAATGAAGTTGAAGTGAATAATACTTAGTGTTAAATCATACCTGAGCAAATTCTAATAGTAGCAGGATTTGAATAGCGGTAGAGTGCGTGCAAGTTATGAAGACTAAATCATGCAATGTTTTAAAATTTGCCACACCTGAATCATGTAAGCATCTCTAACACGGTTTGGAACTTAAAAATAATCAGAGTGCAGGGAATAGGCACACATAATCTCAATGTCCTCGCTTCAGTGCGTATTTCCCCTTTGTCGGCGATTTCACGGCATAGCGGCTCAAACGTTCAGTGAAATTACCTGTTTAAGTGGGCTGCATATGGTAAAAAAATATCTATTCATTTGTTTTTAGTTCATGAAAATTTTTAAACTTGGAAATGTATTCATGTAAAAACGAGTTGCAATACTTTAGTGTTCATTTGCTTATATGAAGGCTTGAATATTCATATAGGTCTTGCATGTAATTCACATAAACTTATCAGCCTCACAGAGGAAGAGTGTTGTACAATAAGGAACGGAAGGAGGGAAAAGGTGAATACTGGTTCTTGTCTTTTTGACAGGACAAGCCATCCTGTGAAAGAGGCAGTGATCAAACTAGTCATGAGTTTGTAGATGCTATCAACGGCATAGCAACAGTAGTCGTAAATAATTGTTTTCGTACTTCAGAGCAGCAACATTTTTCAGGACGTGTAGTCTAAAAGGTATTGGGCTCTTAATATCCCTGTGCTGAAAAATGCTTGCGAGTGTTGTTTCTCTTGTTGACTTCCCGGTGACTTGCTCGAATTACAGGGCCTGTTTCGCAACTACGGCTCGGCATTGCTGCCGCTCTTCGAGAAGGTTCTCCTCGCCAGGATTGGCAGCAACCAGGAGAGCAACCAGCGTTGTGCACTGGAGATTCTTGCAGGCCTCATGAGAGGCAGCAAGCACTGGGACTTCATCAAGGTACCACAACATTGCTTCAATCTTGGGAGCAGCTGGACCTCGTGCCAACCATAACTTAATGCTGGCTATCCCATTGGGCACGTCACCATGCGAATGACAGCAGTAACTGTTATGTTCAGTGTGTTTGATTGCAGTTTACTTGTCTTGTCAAATGAAAAATGTAGATGTGGCTCATGGTTCGAAGTGAGACAAAGTTTTGCTAGTTGGTGATACGTTATGAGAAAAAAAAAAAAAAAAAAACACGGATGATACGAAGATAGGTAACACAACACGAGCGCAGCAGCACTTGTGCGCTTGTGTTGTTTTACTTATCTTTATACCGTCCCTTTGCACACAGTTTTTTTTTTTCTCATCATGGTTTGAATATGCTAGTAGTATACAGACCCCAATGTGGACAGATAGCCCTTAATTTTAATGAGTAGTATAAGCATTAGGCAATCCAAAATTGCAATCAAATGCACTTGTGAGCAATGGGTTTAAGACAATCTATACATCAGTAGTGTTCCAACTACTTTCAATGGGGACAAAGGTGACCACGTTTTCATGCATACTTTTTTTTTTGCTTGAAAATCTTTAAAAACTGCTTCTTGCTAATTTTGGTAAAGTGTGCTGCTTTGCCTGTAGTTTCTCATCAAAGCCTTTGTTGCTTTAAAGTTTCATGCTATAGTTGTCATAAAGCTGTTGGCCCTATTTGTAATACCAAGCAAAAATAGTCTTGAAGGTGTTTCACATTGTCAATGAAATGACACAAAGTGATCTGCATAGAATTATGCTTGAAGCTTAATTGCACTGGCAAACTAGTGTTAACCCCCATCAATATTGCCAAGTTTTTTATCGGCATGCTAATCATTGACTTTATCACTGGAACTTTTTCTTGTCTCATAATTGTGGGATGTAAGTGCATGTGCTAGCTGTTTCTATCGTTAAGCCGCATTATAGTCGGCTCTTGCAGGCAGGAGAGCTGGCATCTTGATGCTGGCCTTTCAATTTTCTTATTGTTGCATATAATATTGTTTTATTTTTTATTCAAAACTCATTTGTTTTCTTTATGTTACTCTTTTATACTAGAATCTATTTACCATCTCGGTCATAATATTTTTTACATAGCTGTCCCCATGACAGTTCTTACTGTTCATATTCTGTAAATTGGGAAAAATCTACCACCTCTGTGTAGTAATGTTGTTCAATAAACTTGAAACTTCGAAGCAGTCTCTATCTGTCTATTTGAGTTGCGAAATAACTGCAGCTTTCACATGATTTAACTAATGCAGTATTAAGGGCCAACTGCATCGAAATTTAGCACTTCGCAAAGAGTCAATATATAGGTAGTCTAGTTAGAGGTACCTTAGAAAAAAAACTTGCAAAGGACGGTGTTTTTGAGACCGAAATTAGAAAAACGACGCCATTACGGCTAACCAGAAGTGACGTAAACCACAGAAAAATTGTCTGCTCCGCGCTCCTCTTGCATGCACATCGCGGACGTGCCCCTTAGTGTGTGTGTTTTTTCTATGTAAACTTGAGAAAGCTGTGTGAACATGCCTCTTCTCTTATCAAACGCTGGTCCGGGCTTTGCACTGGTGGGTTTGTAGTGTCTGACCCCGGTATGCAGAAACGCTGCTTGACTTGAGCTTGACCTATCATAGACTTCAATGCAGCACGAACGTGTATAGAATGTGCTGTCTTTAGGCAACGCCAAGGCAGTACAGTTGCAAAGAGCGATTCTGTGGCAGAGAAGATTGCTCACAAGGAGCGATGCGGCGACGTTCTGTAGTAATCGTCACATCCCTTTCTGTTCGATTTGCTAGGTCACACCAGTAGAGCTCTGCGTCGTCTGCTTGCTGGCAATTAGAGCACCAATTATAAATTAAATACGCAACTGCAAGATTTTTCACTGTCATTATCATAAGTTACCATATGTACCGTATACTACGTGTTTATGTCCGTTTGCGTGCAAGTGAAATTTCGTGGCAGTTGGCCTTTAATGATCAAAACTGGCAATCCTTTACATTAAATGTGCAGAAACTGCTATAACCTTTGATTTTCATGTTTAGTTTGGATTGGAAGTTCATTTGCAGTATTTGACTTCAGCACCTCCTCCCGCATATAGACATCATTTATTATTCTTTGTAATCATCACTCTAATATTGAGTTTTAATTGGCGCTCATTTCAGATGCAGCAGTTGCGTGCCATGTTGGAGCCTGTGTTGCAGTTGGGCATGACTGCAATAATGCCAGAAACTCTGCCCGACTGGGGAACATGCATGGCCACAATATCGGTGAGAACTTGGGTACATCGCTAGAAGCCTTGGTGAACCAACCATAATAAGCTACATAAATCATATCGATATATAGGGTTAGCATCGCATAAGAATGCAACTTTTTGCTACTGATACCACTATGTTTGCTTACAATCAAGTACACTCAAACCTAGTTATAAAGAAGTTAAAGAGGAACCACAATTATTTCGTTATATCCATTATTTCATTATATCAGTTGTAATAGTTTGTGGCAATGTATGCTCAGATGGGCGCACAACTATAAGCATGCAAAGAAGGAAACCGCCGCACGGCTCGATGCACCGCTACGCGACCACGCGTGCGACGGAAAATAAACACCATCAAGCCTCATTAATTCGAACACGCCTAATTTGAACTTCCGGTTTATTCGAACTCACAATGAAATCTCGTCAAAGCTATGTGTATTCCAATGGGCGAAAACGCCCTGTAATTCGAACGCGCAAGCGCTTGCGACGATTCATTCGAACAAGAGAGGGAAAAAAAAAGAAAAGCTGTTGCGGAGAGTTCTTCTTTCTCGGTGCAGAGGGTAGCAGCGGTCGTTGCCGTTGCGTGGAGAGGGAAATCGCATTGCACCGTGCGCTGCTTCTCAATCATGTGACTCGCTGAGTGCTTCTTCAATCCTCTCCGCTGGCTGTGTGAGGAGGACGCGGCTCTCTCGGCTGTAAGGTCGGCGCGGTAGTTTTGAAAGAGCCGCGCCGAACGAGCGACAAACTCCGCAGGAAACGATATACTTTACTTAACACACTACAGTCGTTTTTTTTATAGACTTTTTGATAGACTAATTTAGTTTGTTATATCCATTTACCGGTCAATCTTACTTCGTTATAACAAGGTTTAAAATGCACGTTTCTAAATAAAACTTTTTAAGGGGAATTTCGTTTACTTTGTAATATCCTTTATTTTGTTATATCCCGTCACGTTATAACGATGTTTGAGGGTATTTATCAATAGTTGACTCTCGTAAATTCAAACTCAAAGAGACCTCTGAATTTAGTTACAATTATCAAGAAGTTAGAGTTATCAGAAGTTCTCAGATAACTCTGGGGGAAGTGACACCTTACATTATGATTAGGCATTAATTTTATTTATGATTAGGCATTATGATTAGGCATTAATTTTATTAATTTATTTAAAATTTAGGTGTTTATAATCTTTAACTACACACAGTAAACAGAAAGCAGAGGTGTAAAGTCTACAATTTATTGGCCATTTAATGCTGAACAGACCTTTTAAAGAAATTGTGAATTGCCAACTGCTTTTTTGCTTTAGGTATGTGCCTTCCAGGGGCGGCGCCAGGATGTTTTTACTGGGGGGGCAACCACGAAAAGTGAGTTCCTCCGGGGGGGCAAGCTAGCTCTGCTCCTACTAGGTTTTCAATATATGCTTCCGGGCACTTGGGTGGGCATAGGGGGGGCAGGCGAGAATTTCGGGGGGGCTCCAGCCCACCCTTGCCCCCTCCTGGCGCCGCCCCTGGTGCCTTCAGCACAAAGCTCTTCATACCAGTTGAGAAGCATCACGGTTTACCATGCATGTGCTTCGTTTCAAACATTTGTTTACTTGCAAAGCCTTTTTCCTTGAAGGTCTCAGGTGCTTATTTTTCGTTTTTAGCCTGTTAGAATTATATAAGCACACAAATTTTTAAATAGTAAGGGGAAAGCAGCAGGTATTTTCTGGTGTAAGCCTGTAAAAAGTTGACCGAATGATGGAGTTTGAATTAAGGCTTTTAAATAGATTGAAAATATAGAGGGCCAACCAAAACATTTAATTTTGTTTGAATGAACCAAAAGTATAGATCATCTGAGTTTGAATTATCAAGAGTCTACTGTTTTGGATAAATCTTGTTTAACAAGATTCCACATTCCTGATCTGTCAAGTAGTGGTACCACTTTTGCACAGCTGTAAAATTGTGTCAAATGTGCGTGATCATGTGTGTGTGGTGCCATTGCAGTTGTTCTTTCATACATCTGAGATATCTGAATTTCCATGTATTGGCTCTTTAGCTACCTATAGTACCTCTATCTCGATTATAATAGTGAGTATTACCCTGTCCGATATTCCAGCGTGTCCAAAAATGTTCTTGAGTATGGATGACTGAATTCTCATAGTGGCACTTTGCAGTGCATCATCCAACCAGTGTTTTATAAACATTTATGACTTTGTTTTTGCAAGAAAAAAAAAGAAACATTGTTAAAGGCAATGCATTACCATTCCGTTAGGTGCTGTAAATTCACATAGGAATGCTGTGGTTGCCTAGTTGTTCTCTGTGCCACCACATAGCACCTCCAAACGTGCCGCTCCCATTCAAACATCTAGTAACCCAGCAATCTGTAGACACTGAAAAGTTCACAGACAGGCTAAAGTTCTCTATTAATGTTAAAATCAATGCTTCAAGAAAACCGCATTCTTGTATAAACTGATTACAAAATTTGGTTTTTCGGCTCAAAGGCGTACTCTCAACTTGATAATGCAGGAGAGCCGTGATCCAAACAAGTACCACTGGTTCTTCGAGCTCCTGTTGGCGGAACCTGCAAACAGCGAGGAGGGCTCCTTCCTGCAGTCGAGCCGCCTGTACGTTCAGCTGGGAGCCCTGGCACAACAGGAGTGGCGTGTCTGTGAGTTGCTGGAAGACCTGCTCGAGCGCCTCAAGCCACGTCTCACACACAGCTACCAGAACGTGCGAGACAAGATAGGCGGGTAAGTAGCACAGGCCTCATGTACAGCGCTACATGTGCCCATGTGCTAGATTGATAGGTTCGCATCATGCATGGGCACGTGCAGATAAGTTTTCGTGCCTTCCTTCTTTTCCCAGTTGTGCACACTTTCAGTGCTTGGTAGTTTTTTGGCGTCCTGACTTCCTTCTTGCATCTTTGTTTGCACGCCCTGTCTTTTTACAATGAATATTTTACGAGCTATCACTTGCATTCTATTCAAAGTCAAATACTGCTACTATTCAGAGTTGTTTCCACTTCATTTGAACAATAAAAGTGGCATTTGCATAGGCCTCATTTTATGAAAAAAAAATATTGTGCAAATTAGTTAAGTCATGACAAATATGCTTGTCTTTCTTTGTAATATGTGATACAGTAAAACGCCAATAATCCAGACTTCACGGGACCAGAGAGAATGTCCAAGTTAACCGAGGGTACGAATTATCACGGGTACGAACAAAACACTTGAAGAATGTGTCCTACACCATCAAACTTCAATTTCTTGAAAAAGCGTGATTGCAGTTTGCTTCACGGAGGCAGTGTGCGATGAAGTCACAGTTTTGCAAAGTTCCTGCAGGTGGCTTAGTTTGCGCACACTGTCCTGTAAAATGGCCAACGCATGTGCGGCCTCCATCATTGTGTGGCGTGGACACTCATCTGCATCACCTGGGTCTTCGTCAGCCGACTTCGGTAATGTTATCACTGCCGGTCACTGTGCCGGCCATGGCAACATCGCTATCGATTGCGAAGTAATCCCCCAGGGGCACATCAGCTGGCATGATGCTTACCTAGCGGCCGTCTTGCACTTCAGCGCTTTCCCTTCATCAACGGCACCTCTTTCACCACACACGTTACGGAACACCAGCCCGTATTGCTTCTTGAAGCGGTCCAACCACCCTTCCGACGCATTGAAAAAGTCAATGTTCACGGTCAGCGCAAACTTCTCTGCTTCTGCGCAGATAAGGGGGCCGCTCAAAGGCAAACGCGCCTTGCACAAAACGGCAATCCAGTGCAGCAGCGATTATTCTATCTTGGGGTGCTTATTCTAGCTTGGTGTTTGAAGTCTGTTCCTCTTATCTCTAGACATGTCGTCGTCATATGCTTTCATAATCTGGTCTTCATTCTTCACGTAACTGTTCAGCGTAATTTTCTTCCCGTTAAACTTTTCTGTGACTTATTTTTGAGATGCTCCCACTTGCAACACCAATATTTTCACCTTCGTAGCCAAATCCTTAACTTCGTACTTTGCCCTCTTTGCTGTGGGGGTTGGGGCGGCTGGGGCCACAAGAGACTCAAGAAGGCATCTCGTTGTCACTTTTGCAGTCGTGACGTGCGCACGCACGAAGTAGACAACGAACTTAGTAATAAAAAACAGGCAAAGCACGGTGACAAAAACGAATGTAAAAAATGCAAACTTTTCAAAACAAGCGGACATTGGGGCAGCAGATGCCACTGGTCACGCACAAAGATAAATAATTTAATAGTGACGGCACACGTGAACAATCCGACTCGGCTGTTAGACACAGGTATTTAATACGCAGGAAAAAAGGAGAGGCAATTTAATCGGTTCCCTGTTGCTCTGTTGCTGATGACAGTAGCAATGCACTGCCTTTCATTTTGGTTGTAAACCAGGGCCATGCATTTTTTGTGTGTGTAGGCCTCCGAGCTTCAAAGCTAATTTCTACCCATGAAGAAAGTTTCGAATCCCAGAGGCCACAATTCGATCTTGAAGTTGTTTAGGTGCGCCGTCGGTTTAGTCGGCAGCATCCACTGCTGCTTCCCTGTCCGACCGTGGTCAGGAGTTCGAATTAGCTGGAGCGCGGCCGAATCTGTCCGAATTAATGAAAGTTTTCAGTTGTAGAACAATGCACATTTTGGATGGGACCAGACCTTGCGGCCGAATTAACCGTGCTTCCGAATCAACGGGAGTTGAACTATGGCAGATTTTGCTGTATATACTATTCAAATTTGATTTGAAATTATTCAAGCTGAAGTCACTCTACACTGCGAACCTAAAATTCACAATTTGCATCAAGTTATATTTTTAAGTTCTAATGTAAAATTACCCGCTCATTAAACTAAAGGGGTCGCTAGAATCTTGCAAATATGGTATGTCTTCTGTGTAACTCTGCGGTAGAAGTGTCTGCCTGGTACCCCTTTATCATTTTAACTCTTTGTGCCACTCCATACTCTCTCTTTTCAGCCTGCTGTGCAACTTATTCCTCTTCGACGTGCAGCTGCCCATGTTCCAAGCTTCGCTAACCCTAGTCCCACGGAGGGCACGCTTTATGGACTACGTCATGTCTGTTCTAGAGCCTCTGATTGATGCAGCTAACGACGAGCCAACTCCCCTGTAACTCGTCGACAACAAACAACCACCGGAACAACGGAGCTCCTCATCGCGACGGTCAAGTGACTCCCGAGCGCAAGGCAGCTTCTCGGCTGCTGCAGACAGGTGGGTGCTATACCGTTTGTGCTATGTGGTTCGGCTTTGCATTGCATTAAGTTTTAATGCGCTGAAATGCATGTGGCTTTTGCGCTCTGTTACTCGTAGCCCAAGTAAAAGTTCTTGTAGCTGCTCTGGTAGCTGAACAGATAATGTTCTGCACTTCTAAGCCAGACAATGGGGGTTCGGTTTCGGTCTTCAGTGATCATGTTTCAACGGGGACAAGATGCGGGACCGCCCCCACACCACAGTTTATCTACTGACTCGTCAGACCGCATGCTTTGTTAGGTGTTCAAATGTAGCATAGTAAAATTTTAACGCAGTGGCTTTCAATGGCTTGTTTCGCAGAGATTCGGTGTCAGTGTCGTTGGTTGTGAGCTAAAGATGTGCGTTGTCCGTGAGAGAAAAATCAAGAATGCTGCAAATAAAATAATGAAAATCAGGCCCAGGTCGTCTGCGTGACAAGCAGATGGTATACCACAAAGCCATGCCTTTGCTTGAAACTGCTTCAGAAAAAATATAAATGCACATTGTGAATGTCATGTAGTCGGAGGGGGTCTGCATGTGATATTGTGTGGCAGAAGCGTAGAACATGCCAGACGTCAAAACGTGGGAGTTGTGCGATCAATGGGTGTTTTAAAAGCCAATTTATTACAAAGTGCTCAGACATATTTATTCATCAGCAGCAGCAAAAGCGTCAACAAAGTTAGCAGCTGTGCAGGTTTGCATGTTGCCTTACGGACCCGTAGTGGGCCATTAGCTGAATTGCTAAAGGAAAAATTATGGCGTAATGGGCACTGCATATCTGAGCTTGCAGTAAGCAGTCTAAAGTAGTGTTAAGTGTTACATGCACAGATGCCCTTTTTCATGTAGCATGGTTGAGGCACGCACCGAGAACCGAAGCAGACTAGTAGTTCAAAAAGCGGTGTGCACTGGGCCCGATTGTGCTATTGCGCTCTGCTCTTGAAGGCGAAGCTCAATTTTTCTCTGTTTTTTTTTTCCATTTGTCTTCCTTTTTTTTCTTCAGACAGGCTGATTAACTGACTATTTGTTTACATCTTTGTCTTTGCAAGAAAAATGACCTAGCAATTGTACCTCTTTCTATGAAATGTCTGACTTTATTCTTTTATATTGAGGTGTAAGTTTATTCACGTAAATATCTGTGATTTTTCATGCACATAATGTCTGCCTTAAATAATAGAATTGTGCTGGCACAAACTCATTTTCTATTTTGATGAGACCCAGTGGGAAACTATAGGTGCTTTTTTTCTCTACATATATACTGCATAATGTCTGCCTTAAATAATAGAATTGTGCTGGCACAAACTCATTTTCTATTTTGATGAGACCCAATGGGAAACTATAGGTGCTTTTTTTCTCTACATATATACTGCTTCTAAACTCTTGTTGGGGAGATAAGAATGACGAAAATATTGCAGTTCTTATAAATATCATGTAACGGTTGTTTGTAGCAAACACCTGCTGTACCCTTTGTGTTTTTGTTAGTTTGGTTTCAATGTAAGAATTTCAATATACATAAGGAATCTTATGTTTTGCTAAATCTTAGCTCAATATTAGAAATTTAAGAGACAGTAGACTCTCAGTAAACGGAATCTGAAGGGACCGGAAAAATATTTTCGATTTAACAGGAGTGCTGTTTACTGAGAGGAGAACATAGGTGCTGAATAGGTGCAGAACCAAGCATAGCAGAGGAAGTAGTTCTATTTAAGCAGTAGTTACATTTAACAGATTTCCGTTTACTGAGAGTCTACTGTATATTCTAATGTACTCATTTTAGTGCAGCATATTAAAAGCCTGGTATTTCTTACAGGCAAGCTACTTCAATATTGAGATTGAGTTGAGAGCCAGATCAGCTGGTGCAGTGTTGCATGTGGCAAGTGTCAGGACATTGGAGAACAAAACTCCTCACACTAGCACTAAGATTACCCGCGTGTGTTCCCCTCTGTCTCAGTCTGCAAGTGGATCTTTGGCCAGCGTGTCGCAGTCCCTGAGCGCAGCTCCTCCAGAAATCTTCAGGGTAGTGCCTGTGGTGAGTTTTCTGGCACTGTCAGTGTCCTCTTGCTCAAGTGGCATCAAGATTGCGGACCGAGGCATTTGCTAGAAGCTCGGGTTATGTCGTTCTCCAGATTCTCTTGGTATCCTAATATTCCTAATATAAATTTCATTAATAGATTCTCTTGATGGAGGTGAACTACGGAAATGGGGGCCTATGTATGTGACCGAAATTCACCGAAGAATGAAGGGACACTAAAGTGAAACAACGAATTGGTTTAGGTTCATAAAGTGCTCTCTGAGAACTCTAAATTCGTTAAGCTTACCATCACAAGTTGGTTATTGCAGGAAGAAATCCATGTCAGTGTACACTGAAACTTCAATATAATGAACATGGATGTAACAAAATATTGGTTATAATGAAGTAAATGAAAAATAGTCTGTCAATAGTGTTAAAACTGATTTTTATAACAAATTTTGAAATGTGACCAGCTTATTTTTTTTGTAAGATACAACTTTGCTATAATAAGGTTTGAATGTACCATTCTAAAATTTTGCTCTGAAATTTGTGCACGGGACATCACGAATTTCAAAGTGTGTGTCATGTTTTGGCGACATTGGCTGGACGAAATTTCCTGAAACTTGGTATGTTAAGTATCTGGCCCCATCAGCAGATGTGCTTCATTTTTACCTTTTACATGGGCCTTGGTAAACACTGCCGTTTGGTGCAAAAATTTTAAAGTGGTGTCATCGCCAAACATTTTTTTTGCGTGTTTTCTTACTTTCCAAGCGTCTTATCAGGGCGGGAGTAGTGATTTTGGTATTGTGAAAATGCAATTCGCTCATCTTGTACAGGAAACATCGTTTTCCTCTTCAGTGTTCCTTTAACGATGGGCTGGAGTGCATGCACCAGACATTCCCAAGTTATGACCGGCAGCTTAGTGCTGTCTTTGACGTGGAAAGTATGGGGCCATTGCATTCTGCCAGTGCTAAAAAACTGAGCTGGAACATGGGAGGTAACTGTGAAACTCGAGGAAAAGTTAGAAACGTTGCAGTGTGCTACCGATAAACAGGTGTAACCCTAAGACAGCAGAGTAGATCAGAGAACAAGCAGGGGTAGTTGATATCCTATTAGATAAAAAGAGCCAACAAAAGGTCATTTAGAATTATTGTGTGACGATTTATTGTGAACGCAGTGACGATTGCCAGTCAGGGTAGCGCCGGTCTGACAGGGACACAGATCTCAGGCTCACAACCACAGGAAATCTTCGTCAACTTCACAGCATCTACATCAGTATGGGAATCTCAGCAGAAAAAAGGAAGAGGTTTAGATGGGGGGGGTGAAATTTCGAAATTTTTGGACATGAAGTGAGACCAGCTTGTGAAGGACTGTATGAATTGGATATCGATGGGTGAGGCCATCATCCTGCAGTGGACACAAGATTAACTCATGATAATGATGACAGAAGCATGTGTGGGCTGGATGGTAAAGTTTTTGGTATTTCAAGATAAACTGATCACACATAATCCTGCAGATTCAAGGGAGTAGCTGAGTCACTGACACATTCTGGTTGCTTTTACCTTCGTTTTCAGCTGTGCCAGATGCAGAGTGATCAGACGGATGAAGAACTGCAGAAGGATTGTGCAGTTGCCCTAGCACTCCTTGGCAATGCCCTGCTGCCTCCCGAGAGTATCAGGGCGGCCCTGGCCACCATTCGTGAGGTAATATGAGCATTATGGGTTACTAATACGTGCACACAGCATGCTTAAAAGATATCAGTTGGAACACATAAAACAGATTAAATATTGCAAGTATCCACATCCTGTAAATGTTCACCCTTATTTTAGTTAATCATAAGATGGCAGTGAACATCTGTAAAAGCCAACATCTGTTCAATCTAACTTCATCAAAAATGTGGTCAAGTCTTCTTTTAAACTGAACAAAGTTCCTGCAAGCCGTAACTGAGGTGGGGGCATAGCCTAATTTTTTAAAATTTGTGGATGGACTTGGATGAAGTTTTTCAAGCTTATCTGTATCTGTGCACTGATTTAAAATATACAATCAACTATTCGATATGAGGTGTAGTTTTTAATATGCATAATGTTCATGCACCTTTTGGGGAGCAAGATTTTCCTAAACTGAAAGTGTCACAGCATAAGTCAGCATATCACTATAATCGTGAATAAAACCTTGTGCAGTACAACCAAAATGGGTGCTTTAAGCCCATTTGAACTATAGTTATGGTACGTTGAACATTTTCAAGTGTGTCAACTTCAAGGTGTAATTTTGCTTCACAGTGGTCAAAAGTGTGCTGTGCTAACTAGCATATGCAATGATGTTGCAGAAGATTTTATTATTTATTTTATTTATTTAATTAGTACCCACAGCGCCCATACAGGCATTATAGTGGGGGGGGGGGTACAGAAAAGAACATGAAAATTGCAGGTTCACATAAGTTCACATAATTGCATTCACATAAGTAAAAAAGAGAAAAGAAGTAGATTTCCAAAATACAAAAACATACACAGTTGCACCGAGCACAGATGCGTCAGAAAAGTCATATGTATTAGAGAAAAAACCACAAAAAAAAATTGATGAAAATCTCATGATAATTAAAACAAAGTGCAGCATTCGTCTAGCACAAGGGCAAATTAACACCAAAACAAAACAACATAGCTTACAACCAAGATACCGTACAGATCATGGCGACTGCCAGGCGCACACACGTAGTCTACAGGGCTTAGCGGTCCAAAGATTCAATCATTTTTATTGCAGAAAAGAACGCATCCGTTGAAGAAATTTCTACAATTGTGGGAGGAAGTCGATTCCACTGACTGATAGTTCTCGGAAAAAAAGAGTTGCTGAAGGACGATGTATTACATTTATATTCTCTTATCTTGTGTTCATGATCTTTGCGGGCTGAAATGTAGTGAGGCCGGCTTATGTATACGTCACAGGGAATTCGAGTATGAGAATAAAATATGCTGTGCAATAGCTTCAGTCGAAACGATGCCCTTCGGTGCTGCAGAGACTTCCATTTTAACTTCAGCTTAGCTTCCGTCACACTGAATTGTCTGTCGTACATAGGTGCATTAAACACATATCTCGCCGCCATAGACTGAACTTTTTCTAATCTTTCTTTATTTGATGATGTTGCAGGGTCCCACACACAACATGCGTACTCCAGTACTGATCTCACGTATGTTTTGTATAGTACCTCTCGGGTTTGCTGTGGAAAAGCACGTGTGTTTCTTTTTAAGAATCCTAAGCTCCGACAAGCTTTATTTACAGTGTAATCCACATGCCGATTCCATGATAGAGAGGGGCAAAAGAAAACACCTAGGTATTTGTATTCGCGCACCATTTTTACCGGAGAGCTGTTTATTGTGTATTCAAATTCACCTGGGTTTCTTTTTCTGGAAAACCTCATGCATACAGTTTTCTTAAGGTTCAGTTTCATTTCCCATCGCTGGCACCACGCGTATATTGCACATAGGTCGTTTTGGATTACGGAACAGTCAGTTTCAGAGGTAATCTGACGATATAAAATGCAGTCGTCTGCAAATAGCCTAATATGGGATTGTACGTTTTCGTTAATGTCATTTATATATAATAAGAAAAGTAATGGTCCCAGAACTGATCCCTGAGGTACCCCTGACGTAACACTAGTTATTTCAGACTGTTCGCCGTTTACAACTACATATTGTCGCCTCTCATGTAGATATTCAGCAATCCATGCAATAACTTGGTGATTAATATTAAAGCTGGTTAGTTTTTTCAGCAGTAAGAAGTGTGATACAGTGTCGAACGCTTTTTGAAAGTCGAGGAAAATACAGTCGACCGAAAATTTGTCGTCCAGTGCTGCTGCTAAAACATGGGTGAACTCTACCAGTTGTGTGACGCATGATAGCCCCTGCCTAAATCCATGCTGGTTAGAGTTGAATAGGGAATTACTATCTATGTGCTTTACAATCGCAGTATATAAAATATGTTCAAGAATTTTACTGCACACAGAAGTGAGTGAGATAGGGCGGTAATTATTCACAGCATTGCGCGGGCCAGATTTATGTATAGGAGCAACAGACGCCATTTTCCAATCAGTTGGGAGAGAACTCTGTTTTAACGATTTTTCAAAAATAACTTTCAAGTACATAGACACTGCATGGGAAGAAGACTTCAACATAAAATTAGGCAAGCAATCAGGACCCACTGCTTTCGCACAATCTAGATCTCTAAGTAGTAATTCAATGCCACGAGCGTCAAGTACTACATCAGGCATGGATGTGGATTCGTGTACCAACAATTTCAAGTCTTTTTGGGGGTCAGTAGCGGCTGAGAACACTGACGTAAAATATAAATTGAACAACTTAGCCTTTTCTGTCGTATCGCTCACGATAATATCACCGCTGGTCAAAGCGGGAATTGAAATGTTGTCTTTCTTGTTTCGTTGATATACCTCCAAAGTTCTTTCGGGTTTTGCGTTATTTTACGTTCAATTGTTTTAAAGTAGGCTACTTTCATTTCGACTGTAGCATTATTTACTTCACGCGTTGCCAGCTTCAGTTTGCAAGAGTTCTCTTCCGAGGGATTTCTTTTAAATGAACGGTAAGTTCTCTGCCTACGCTTGACCAAAACGTCGAGTTCTCTACAAAACCATGGTTTACTTTTATTACGCCTTCTAGTTAGCACCCATGTCGGAACAAATCGGTTTCTCAGCTCTAGAATCTTGTCTTTAAACAAATTCCACAGCTCTTCTACTGAATAATCATCGGCAAGTGTTTCGAAAACAATGAAATATGCCTCCAATGCAGTGTTGATTCCTTGGACATTAGCCTTCGCGTAATTGTACATGCACCGACTCCTTTCACTGTAAGCACTCGTATGTTTCATATTTATCTCACTTAGCACAACCTCGTAGTCACTTATCCCTGGTAATACTTCAGTGTTTTCTACCATTTCTGGCATATTTGTGAAAAATAGATCAAGGATATGACCTCCTCGAGTTGGTTTCAACACTGTCTGTGTTAAAGACAAGAGGTTCATGAAATCAGCCATTTCAGATTTAAAACTAAGAGAACTTCCAGAAGCTATTGGTTGCTCATTCCAGTCGAGATCAGGCAGGTTAAAATCCCCACCTACAACGACGTAATCAGAGGCGATTTTTGTAGCTGTAGCAGTGAATTCACTAAATTCCTTAGTTGAACCAGTTGGCGGTCGATAAAAAGAGCAGACTGATAGTGATTTGCCATTCGAGAGCTTAAGTTGACACCAAACAGCTTCACTCGTATCGTCTGTAGTGCTTATGCCTATAGACGGAATGCGCTGATCTACCAAGATAAATACACCACCTCCATGATAGTTCCTGTCTTTCCTGTAACAAGTAAAGTTATCTGGAAATACCTCGGTGTTTGCCACGTCTTCATTCAGCCATGATTCAGTACCGATAACTACACTTGGTTTGGTCATGCGCACTAAGTCATTGAATATGTCAACTTTATTTTTAATGCTCCTACAGTTTACTAACAAAAAAGAAAGTGAAGAGCATAAGAACTTAGTCGGTCACTTGCACTGCACAACCTTGCCTGAGGTATCATCGTAAGTGTACCTGATGCCGTCCATGTGAAGGGTATCGTGTTTTAGCTGTACTCGTGCGTCCCCGCTTCTATTTTCTCTAGCAAACTGCCACAAAATTCGCCTTTTCTTTCGCACTGGTTCAGAAAAGTCTTCCGACATACCGATACCTGTATCTTTCAAATTCTTGGCCTTTCCTAAAATCAGGTGCTTTTCTTTCAATGACCCGAACCTGGCGATCACGGGCCGCGTTTTTCCCTCTCGAAATTTCCCGAGCCGATGAGCTTTTTCTATCGTTTCGGGGTTAACTTGTAATTTTGTCGAGCATACTTCTTTCACAAGCGATTCAGATTGTGACCAAGATTCGCGGACACTTGTATCAGGTATGCCGTAGAATACCAAGTTATGCTGTCTACTACGATTTTCAAGATCATCAATCTTATTTTGAAGCAACTGTATGACCCCGTGCTGGGTATTACAGCGCGCAGTACACTCAGTGATAGCGGCTTCTAATTTTGACAGCACTGACATTTTTCCTTCCATTGACGACACTCGTTCACTCAAGTCATTTATAGCAGCCTTATGTTCCGCTTGGTTCGCTTCAATGGTATTAAGCTTTCGAACAATCGCGTTTTGCCCATCCAAAATTTTCTGTAGCGTCGCATCAACGACAGGGCCAGGATTCGTTTCGATATCCCCGCAGAGAATTAATAACAAAAAATAAAAGCAAAAATGACGCAGCAGCAAAATCCGACGCTTTGAGTGGTTTCCAGCATCGGAATGCACGCGCACACAGTTATACAACATATGGGGTGGAACCGGCTGGATAACAAGAGCAAATTGTCTACAAAGGGAACATTCACTAACCTGCACAAGAAGCAGAACATGCGTGAACGGCACTGCCATTGCACTGCCGGTTCCACGCCCCAAAGATGCACTGCAGTCGATCGTCTTTTGTAGGGCGGTGATAGCGGTGAACCAAGGTTCGTAGACTGTTGCTGGACACATGTCGGATTCAGCTGCAGTGGGCGTCAACGGTTCCCCATTGAGCGCTTCGCAGATTTTCTCGCTGTTGCCTGTGAATCCTTCGGCGACGTCGACGATAATGCCGTAGTTGACAGCGTGGTCCGTTGAAAGCACCCCGGAACTATATGCAACCTGCACAAGAAGCAGAACATGCGTTAACGGCACTGCCATTGCACTGCCGGTTCCATGTTATGTTTCAACAGTTATATGGCCCCACTGCTTTTACACAATCGCAATCTTCAAAATTAAATCTGCATTTCTAACTAAAGAAGCGTGTCCATGCCCTGTCACCTTGATTTCTTTTCATTGTATGGTCACAGGTGTGACCAAGTTGTGTCGAAAGACAGCAGCACAGAACTCTTGGTAACTTTGGTTCCTGGTAACTAACCCTGTTCATGATATATTTTCACTTCTGAATAGTATAATGTAGAGGCATACCGGTCACCATCAGCCCCCACCAATGCAATAACCACATCATTGTCATAAATGTGCACACTCTTGGTTGTTCTCTTACTTGGCACTCATGGATGTGGTCGTTGAAGGGACTTCTTTGAAAGTAGGCTTGTGCGAATATTCGAACGAATATTGCTGGATTCAAATTTAAATTCTTGGATATTTCAAAGTACAGTAAACTCCTTTTAAACGAAACCTGAAGGGGCCAGGAATATGCGTTTCCTTTAAGAGGAGTTTCGTTTACTGAGAGATAAACTGGGGTATAATAGTCAAGTAAGAAACCAAACATGTTAGGGGTAGCTGTTTGATTTAAGAAAGTTTCGTTTAATAGGAGTCTACTGTATTCGAAATTAACAAATATGTGTATATAAATGCATATAACCCCTCTAAAGTGATTTCGCTCCAGTAAAGGGGTGCTTTGCTGCAAAAATGTATATCCAGGGGAAATTCGCACTGTCGCGAAGCCCCATTACAACGTTAAATGAACATATTACCCTCGCATCGATTCATAATTTTTTTAAGGTTAAAAGGCTTATGTTCTCTAAATATAGTTGGTTTTAAATTATAACATATTTTACAGGATATCACTTGCATTCTACCAAAAGTCAAATCCTGCTACTATTTAAAGTTGTTGCCATTTTCTTTGAACCAAAAAGAATGGAATTCGCTCATGCCTTGTTTAAATTTTTTAAAAAGTACTGTGCAGGTTAGCTGGGACATGAAAAAAAAAAGTGCTTACTTTCTTTTATAATATGTGATATATACACTACTCGAATTTGGTTCGAAATTATTTGACCAAAGTCACTATTCACTTCGAATTTATTTCGAATCTAAAATTCACTATTCGGACAAGACTATTCGATATGCTTTTCTAAATGATGCATTTACACCTGATAGGTAAGCACCTTATAAATGGTTCGTGCGCAGGTGGTGAAGAGCCCCCACTGGCACTCTCGGGCAGCCAGCTGCAATCTGCTGCAGTTCTTGGTGTTCACCAACCTGTTCACCATGCAAAGCTGTGCCGAGTGGAGAGATGCCGTCATAGAGCACACACTGGCCCTGCTCAAAGATGAGCGCTTGGAGGTGCGTCTGTTCGTATAGAATAAAGTGCAGCGCACTGTCAATAATTTAAACATTTGGTTAATGCAGACAAATCCGAAGTTTTAAGTGCAAAGCACCTCAGGGAACTCAGCTTGTCGGAGTGTAATGTCATCATGGTGTGTCATGTAGTCACAGTGTACCGTAAAATGGGTATGAGCCACAAAAATTAGGTAAATTCGACTGCTTGCCACCGGTCCACTGAAAATGAAAAACAAGTCCAATGAATAGCCGAGGGGGGAGGAGTGAGGACATTAGTGAAGCTCGAACACTCTTCCCGGCACGCTTCACCCCCTCCTCGGTATTCTGGTTAAGGTGCTATGTTTCTGATGTATTTTAAAGAAGCCTAGTTCAAACTGCTCCACTGGTCAAAATCATTTAATTCATACTATCTACTTTTCAGTGTCATAATATATCTGCTGCCTTTGTTGGTTCAAGCTGGACATTTGAGTTTTTATACCTCTAACAGTCACAAGTTAAGCCAATTGCATGCTTGCAAGGTGGCTAGACGAGCCAAACAATGTGCACTAACATTTGCATGATACTGAATGGGAGGAAAAAACGACAGTCAGGCCGTAGCACATCACATGCCAAAGGTTTTTTGAAGTCGCCACTGCTGCACTACATTGGTCTAAAGCTGGAAAGATGCCCCACCGCGGTGGTCTAGTGGCTAAGGTACTCGGCTGCTGACCCGCAGGGTGCGGGTTCGAATCCCGGCTGCGGCGGCTGCATTTCCGATGGAGGCGGAAATGTTGTAGGCCCGTGTGCTCAGATTTTGGTGCACGTTAAAGAACCCCAGGTGGTCTAAATTTCCGGAGCCCTCCACTATGGCGTCTCTCATAATCATATAGTGGTTTTGGGACGTTAAACCCCACATATCAATCAATCAAGTTGTCTATGATGTTGCTACGGTCTTGACAAGCAATTGTGATGCTGGTTGATATGTGGCCCTGGGCCACATCGAGAACTTCTGATGATTCAAACAAAATCTGGGTGTCCTGTCAAGTTTAAATTATCGAAAGCCTATTGTAGTGTGTGAAGCACTGTATAGTAAAAGCTAAAGAACAGTGACAGTACTCCACAGCTTCAGAGATAGTACGTCGCAGCACTTTTTAGCATTGCAGCAACCCTCTCCTTTCTGCTATCTGGGGTACGTATCTGTGTGCTATATCTCAGCCAAGAAGTGTTAGCCAGTGCCACCTGTACGACTGTGGTGGTATATATTGTCAATTACAGCTGTCATATAAAGGAGCGGCTAACATCAAGTGGCCATCAAGTGCTATGTCATGCCAGTAGTTCTGTCAAGATACAGGTCCTCGCTAAGCATTGAGTGAGATATTGCCTTGCACGAGGCAATGAATAAAATCTACATAAACCATTTATGAAAGTTGAAAGCATAGCAATTAGCCTTTATTTATATCTCGAATGTTTTTAATGTAATCTCTGTAATAAGGTTAAAATGCAAGCTTATTTATTGACAGTATAACATGGTTATGTATTGAGGACTCTGGGACTTTGGGTAAGTTTTGGTTCCTTCAGTAAATCTTGTGCTCTTGTAGAACATCATTGCCTTTGCAGGATATAATTGTGGCACACCTAAAAAAAAAATGACAGGTAATGAGTCAGCACATGTTCATACTCATTTAAATGCCTGTTACTGTGGCACGTAGCATTTTGTTTATGCCTTATTAGTCAGCAAATTATACTTTTACATTCTGTGACTTTAATGTTATGCCACATGCTATACGGTACTTCACACTACCGAAGGATGGGTTTTAATTAAAATTATGACTGGGATGTCGGCAGTAACAATGGTAATGCACACAATTTAGTCACAAATGAAGCAATATTCTGTCAGCTTACAAGTGCTTCTGTGTATTATGTACATGCATGTGCATTGCAAAAACAGCAAGTAGCTCAAAGATGCAGCAAGATGTACCGTATCTACTCAAATCTAGACTGCCCCCGATTCTAAGCCGACCCCCAAAATTCTAAAGCCCGGAAAAAAAAAAAAAAACTTACCTCAAATTTAGGTAGAATGAAACAGCGAAGACAGGGTTTACAAAGAGAAAACATTTATTGAACATGAAGATGAAACAAAGCAGTTCGTTCATTATGCAACTAACTCGAGAAATATACAGATGCTAGTCCTGTTGTGCGTGTTTCTTTGTCATTTTTTTCATTTTGCTTCTAGTTACTTGCATCATAAAGATACCACGCTCATTCCGGGTCATCGTCGCAGCTTCCCTCGTTGCTGTATTCGAACAGTGCGCCATCCTCGGTGCCACCAAGCGCATTGGATATGCTGCTCTTCTTAAAAGAACGCACAATCAAAGTTCTCAGGTTGTCCCATGCTGCAGCCCCTCCAGCGACGCACATTTTTTTTTGTCCACTCCAAAGTCCTGCCTGGCTTGAACATTGGACGACAACCACGCGGCTAGGACAACTTCCTTTTAAGCGGCACTTTAATAAACCCGCCTGTTTGGTGCCATTGATCTATGCCACACACAGACCACTCGAAGCACGACTCGAAATGACAAACTGTTCACTTCAACACTCGCCACAAAGATCAAAATGGCCACCTCATATGTGTAATTAAGCCAGGTGTTGGCTTGGCTACTAACGGCTATAATTCCATCTATGGGGCACTATTTGTGCATCATTTTTCTCAGTTTCCTAAAATTAACTAAGGGGGACTTTGGCACTGCAATCATTCAGTGACCATGGAAATTTTGGGTAGTAGATAGATTTGCCTAGTCTTCGTGCTTGAGGGCCTCGAATCACACTTGTGGCTCCGTTCATTGCAGTGTGTCAGTTTTGTTTCGAATAAAAGATCAAATCGTTTTGAACTTCATGACCCGATTCAAATTGGTGAGCCTAAAAGATTAAGGTGGTGAAGCGTATCTGATAAACTATTGCGGATTGTTGTTTGGTCACAAAGCAGCTTCAAACCATGTGAAGCCAAATGGAACGTAAAGTACGAAGATTAGGCAAATCTATGTGCTACCTATAATTCCTATGCTCGCTGAAGCGCCATGCGTTGCAGCTCCCATAGGAACTAGCGCCAGAGTTCCCTCTAGTGTATAAATAGGCAACTCTACGGCTTCTTGCAATGAAAAATGGTACGTTTTTCAAAATCCTTTAATCTAAGCTGACCCGGGAGTTTGATGCAAAGAAATATGAAACATATATATATATATATATATATATATATATATATATATATATATATATATATATATATATATATATATATATACATACATATATATATATTGAAAAAGGGTTTATTGGCGACTGTTGCGGTGGTGGTCCTACGATGAAACACGATCGGGCAAGAGCAACAGTCAAGCAGATGCCGGCTGATGATCAGCACGAGCCGAGCGAGAGAAGCCCAGCACCTATTACCCAAGCGGTGGCGATGTTGCTTGCCAACGATGTGTTTTCTTCTTCACAATTTGCCCCCGCCGAAAAAGAGCTATCCTGGCGACCTAAGAGTCTGGAGACAGAGCGCTATGATATGGCTTAAGGCGAGGCGACGTGGACGATGTCACGTCCACGCCGGCGCATGTCGTCAGATGGGGAAAGTGGCTCAATGAGAAAATTCACCGGCGAGGTTTGCTCCAAAACGCGGTATGGGCCCTCGTACTTTGGAACGAGTTTTGAGGAAATGCCGGGGGTTTGGTAAGGAACAGCCAGCCATACAAGTGATCCCGGGGAATAGCTGGGGCTTTGTGAAGAGTCGGCGTTGTTTTCTTTCTGGCGCTGTTGTTCTTGTGACGTAAAGGTGCATGCTAGTTCACGGCACTCTTCCGCATTTCGGGCAGCTTCGGACACAGATGGGCATTCGGATGCGTCAGGACGGTATGGAAGGAGAGAGTCGATGGTGTGGGATGGTTCGCATCCATAAAGAAGAAAGGTGAAAATCCAGTGGTAGACTGTGCCGCAGTGTTATATGCGAACGTGATGAATGGAAGAATGCGATCCTAGTTTGTATGATCGGATGTCACATACATGGCGAGAATATCGCCAAGGGTGCGGTTAAATCTTTCCGTGAGCCCGTTAGTCTGCGGGTGGTATGCCGTGGTCTTGCGATGAACAACATTCCATTCAGAAAGCAGAGACGTGATGACTTCTGATAGGAAGGCTCGACCTCGGTCGCTTAGTAGTTCTCGAGGTGCATTATGTCGTAGTATGAAGCGATGAAGGATGAAGGATGCTACGTCCCGCGCAGTGGCACTTGGAAGGGCGGCGGTCTCAGCGTAGTGGGTTAAATGGTCCACAGCGACTATGATCCACCGATTTTCATCTGATGTCGGTAGAGGGCCATAGAGATCAATTCCGATCCGATCGAAAGCTTTGGCAGGGCACGGAAGCGGTTGAAGCGCACCGGACGAGTGGAAAGGCGGTGATTTGCGGCGTTGCCAGTCAGGGCAGCCCATAATGAATTTTCGAACGAAATTATGCATTCCGCGCCAGTAGAAGCGATGGCGAATGCGTTCGTAAGTTTTGAAAACTCCGGCATGACCACATTGGGGATCGTCGTGAAAGGAGGCGCAGATTTGTGATCGCAAGCTGCGCGGGACAACCAAGAGCCACTTACGACCTTCGGGGGCGTAGTTGCGTCGGTGTAGCAGCCGATCACGAATGGCGAAATGAGCAGCTTGACGTCGGAGAGATCGTGGTACCGCAGTGGTTGACGATCCAGAGAGACAGTTAAAGAGGGAAGCGATGCACGGGTCCTTGTGTTGTTCACTGGTAAAGGAGTCGAGGTCGAGAGATGCGACGGAGTTCGTACCAGCGGTTCCGCAGGCCGAGTCGGGAAATAAAGGCGAACGCGACAGGGCGTCGGCGTCAGAATGCTTGCGTCCGCTGCGATAGATGACACGAATGTCGTACTCCTGGATTTGCAGTGCCCACCGAGCTAGGCGGCCAGAAGGATCTTTCAATGTGGCGAGCCAACAAAGTGCATGGTGGTCCGTTACCAGGTCGAATGGGCGACCGTACAAATAAGGGCGGAACTTGCGAAGCGCCCACACTAGCGCCAAGCACTCTTTTTCAGTGACGCTGTAATTGGCCTCAGCTTTAGTAAGTGTGCGACTCGCATAAGCGACGACGTATTCGAAGTAGCCCGGCTTGCGTTGGGCAAGGACGGCGCCTAGACCAACCCCACTAGCGTCTGTGTGAACTTCCGTTGTAGCTGTTGGGTTGAAATGCCGAAGAATTGGAGGAGATGTTAGCAGACTACGGAGCGTGGCAAATGCGACGTCGCAGTCAGAAGACCAGGATGAAAGGTCTGCATCACCGCGTAGGAGGTTGGTCAGTGGTGACATGATCGATGCAAAATTTCCCACGAAGCGCCGAAAGTACGAGCATAGTCCAACAAAACTGCGTAATTCTTTCAGTGTAGTAGGTTTCGGGAACTCAGCGACTGTTCGCAGTTTTGCAGGGTCGGGTCGAACACCATGCTTGGACATGATGTGCCCTAAGATGGACAGCTCTCGCGCGGCGAAGCGGCACTTTTTAAGGTTCAGTTGGAGCCCAGCGTTGGTTAAACACGTCAGAACCAGTTGGAGCCGAAGCAGATGTGTAGGAAAATTGGGAGAGAAAACGACAATGTCGTCGAGGTAGCATAGACACACAGACCACTTCAGTCCATGCAGTGTGTTGTCCATGAGTCGTTCAAACGTGGCAGGAGCATTACAAAGCCCAAATGGCATTATGTTAAATTCGTACTGGCCATCTGGTGTAATGAACGCAGTTTTCTGGCGATCAGCTTCTGCCATAGGAACCTGCCAGTATCCAGATCGTAAGTCTAAGGAGGAGAAGAATTCGGCTCCTTGGAGGCTGTCAAGGGCGTCGTCGATGCGCGGTAATGGATAGAAGTCTTTCCGCGTCACCTTGTTTAATCGCCAGTAGTCGACGCAAAATCGAATCGATCCATCCTTCTTTCGAACTAGAACGACAGGATATGCTCAAGGACTGTGCGATGGTTGAATAACGCGACGGCGTAGCATCTCTTCGACCTGGTCGTTGATGACGTGACGTTCTGCAGCAGAGACACGGTACGGTTGCAAAGACCAATAATGTCTTCGATGTAACTGGTGAACAATTCAGATGGATATATATATATATATGTATATATATATATATATATATATATATATATATATATATATATATATATATATGTATGTATGTATGTATATGCCTAAATTCTATTCAATGTGGTAAGTGAAAGGATGAAAAACAGCAGGCAGATTGTTCACACTTCTGCCATTGTTTGGCAGGAGTGCCTGAACACTGAATTGAACAGTGTTCTTCACGCTCTGGATACTCCGTGAGAAATGACCTAGTATCTGTATCTGATACTGCATGGGTCTCTGCATAGCTTAATGTGCTCAGTACTCAGTATCACTTTACAAACATTTTACTAAAACAAACTTTTCTTAGTGGGTACAATCACAAGAGCTGCAAGAAATGACGTAACAATTCTATCCCAGGTGCGGGAGACAGCGAGTGAAACCCTTGGCGGCTTGCTTCACTGCGAATTCCTCAAGGTCACTGATGATCTCTTGGTGAGTTCAATCGGTCAGTCAGTCAAATTTTATTTGCGCTGCAGACAATACAGTGCATTGTCACTGTAAAGATAAGGGTGAGATGAAAAAAAAAAAAGCTGCATTTTCGCAACTTGACTAAGCTTTTGTCACCCACCCGTATGGCAGCGGTGACACGATGAAACATCAAAGCAAATCTAGACATAAAATACTCGATGCTATTACAACAATTACCTGTAGAATCAATCGAGATTTATTGAGTGATCCTGTTTGCATGCAATGAAAACATTAGCGGGATCAGCACTTTTTTTACTTGCCTGCTACGGTGGACCAGTGGCTATGTTGCATGGCTTCTGAACGGAAGGTTGCAAGTTCGATCACGGTTACGGTATTGTATTTCTGAGGGGGGAAAGTGGTAAAGACTTGTGTACCGTGTGGTGTCAGTTCACAATAAAGAACGCCAGATGGTTGAAATTTCCAAAGCTCTCCCCTTCAGCGTCCCTCATTATCACATGATTTTAAAACATAATACCACAAATATTACTATCAAGTTATTAATATTTGTTGAACAAGTGACGTCTCTAGGGGCTATGTTTCACACTTGTCTTTTCAAAAGTGTTTGCAACTAATTTCTTCAAGAGTATTCAAATAATTTTCCCCCCACCCAATGGAGGAGGAGAGTAATCATAAGTAACGAAGGAAATTTATCACCTTCAGTTTGTTTGACCCTCTGTCTGTTACTGGTATGTGGCTGCTCTTTTATCCAAAGGTTGCACGTTTTTCCATTTACAGATTATGACTTCAGAGTGAGCACTTGTGTTACTCGTGTCCCTCTAGTGTCCATGGTTTTTACATATTTAAATAATTTGGTCTTGGAATGGCCTACCAGGCCTTATCTCTTACATTCGAAACAGTGTCTTTATGGTCTCTAATTAAACCAGGGTCGCGACTGCGCTGTTTTTTTCTCATCCTGATCATTGTCTAGGGTTGTCCATTCATATATGAATCGGTCTAAACTAATTTCAGTGCAATACAAAGTGTAACTGGTTTGAGTTCTTTTGTACTTTAGATGGTTATCTTATGCCAAGAGAGAGAGATAAATAAAAGGAAGAGACAGGGAGGTCAAGCTAAAAGAACTGGTTTGCTACCATGTACAGGGATGGGGAAATAAGGGTCGGAAAGAGGATCTTATGCCAAGTTTTGTGCTAAAATGCCAAGCTGAAAATTCGTAAGGAAAATCACAGAGCAAAAAGAAAATTTCTCTAGAGCCACCATTTCAACAAAACTCTTTGCTGAAATTGACTCCAGCGAAATTTTTTGTTCAATGATTTCTTGTAATTACAAGACCTCCACATTCCCCTGAACTTTTGTTTTTGTTTCGCTTGTTTGAAGTGGAAAGTTGGCATACTGAGTGTTGTATGTGTGCAGATGCACACCACGATCTCCTGAACTTTTGTCTTTGAGTTGTTAGAAGCGGGAAATTAGCGCACTATGGGATGTATGTGTGCAGGTATACACGTTAACGTTTTTCACACGCACGCATAGGCTATGTTCAAGGCCCAGTGCATGCACAAGAAAAGGAAAAAGCGAGCTGGAGCCAGTGGAGCGTGGACACCTCTGGAGCCGTCTGACCTGATCGAGCGCCATGCAGGCATCCTGGGCCTGTGTGCCTGCGTCAATGCGTTCCCTTACGATGTGCCACCCTTTATGCCCGACGTCCTCGTCCTCCTGGGTGACCACCTCAATGAGCCACAACCCATCCCGGTAGGCACCCTTCTCATTTCGGCTGAGCTTAGAGAAGGGACATGGCACTCAATATTCCATCATAATCTGTGTTCTGTGGGTTAATTCTTCTGCATTCACAAACAAGCTGGCGAGTGTGGCAGCTTGGGCTAGTTGGTATGGCATGACGATAGTTATAGCGCGAGAACAAAACGACGACACAGAGACAAGAAGGACACGAAAGACACTGAGCGCTCTGTGTCGTCGTTTTGTTCTCGCGCTATAACTATCGTCAAGCTGGCGAAGTTTTAGCACGTTTGGTTCACCAGTTAAGTTATAATTGAATTTTTTTCATAAGCACACAAGTGGCCCAAGAGTCGGGCAACACTAGTGCCCTCGCGAACCGTGGCATAACAAGCAGCTACTTGTGCGAGCGTTCAACGGTATTGTTCCGTGGTAAGCTGCATGTGGAGTTGAGTTAACACGGGTATTTTGAGCTTGGCACCAAAATTGGATGATTTGCAGCATCTGAAGCTTCTGTAGAAGACTAGGTATTGCGTTCCTTGCTGTGCACGACAACACACACGCCATTCCCAAAATGATGGTTTCATAATCATATGGTGGTTTTGGGACATTAAATCCCACATATCAATCAATCAATCAAAATGATGGTGGCCATCAGTGGGCAGGGTTTCACAGCCAGTAACTTCTGGGGCTTGCAATGCTCTTTAAAATATTATTTTGCGACCAGGATTTCTAATTTCTATAAGCACAACAGACCCTCCACTTCTAGTTTTTATTAAAAAAAACTCAAATTTTAAGGTGGTCGTGTCAGGGCCCCGTTATTAACCCTTTCGTTAACATTGAGGGGTGCAGTCATAAGATTTTATTACAGAATGACCAGTGACAAATATCTACACGCATCATCAACAGAAATGTTTTTTTTCACGAAAAACAAATGATGACTATACTCATCATATTGGTGTTTTTTGATGCTAGATGGCCAAGCTCAACCACGTTGTGCTATTTGTGTGTTGGCTTTCAGTTTATTGCCATCTTTAGTTGTATTGCTATGCACAAACCCACTTCTGAGTTACACTTTTTTTTTACGTAGTTAGTTAAATTGAAGAATCTTAATCGATTGAATCAATAGTACCATTTTATTCAGAAAAAAAAAAAAGGACTACCTATCGAGCAGGAAAAAAAAAGTTATCCAATTTCGGCCCCCTTTTTTTTATGGTAGCGAAATGACTAATGGGGAACATAGCACTTAAAATTTGTTATTATTCTAGATCAATCTTGTATGAAAGTTTCTGAGGGTATGTATGATGAAATAGAACAGCATAAATGAAGTACATGTGACAAAAAAAAAAAAACTAGAGCATTAGCTCTATCTACGTTTTTCGTGCTGTTCTGTTTGATGACGCAGACATACCAAGTTGCCCAACTTTTTGTCCTTCTGAGTTTATGTATGTTTGGCTGCTCATTTCAAATATGGAGTTATTTTATTTTTCTAGTATAATGTGTCGTTAGAGTTCATATGCTTTCTTCTGGGAGCAAATGTTTTCCTAAACTGAAAGCGTCGCAGTAAATGAGCATATCATAGCCTGAAATCGGAACTGTGTAGAATTCTACAAAAATGGATGTTCTAAACTCATTTGAACAAAAATTGTGGTACAGGGGCCGAAACGACCTGTACAGGTCACAAAGGTTACCATGTAGATGCTCTGAATTCAAGACTTTGGCTTTGTGGGATTCATGCTTCCCCCTTCTCCCCTCCAAATTTGTGTTCAATAAGGTCTTGTGGCAAACCGTGTCTATGTTGCATGCACATGACTAGACACTACTGCATTATTTTTTTTTTCTGTGTCCAAAGGCCACCATTAAGAAGACACTGTCCAACTTTCGAAGAACTCACCATGACAACTGGCGCGACCACAAGGTCAAGTTCACCGACGACCAGTTAGCGGTCATCACCGACCTCCTGGTCTCGCCCAGTTACTACGCTTGAGATGCCACACATCCTCCGACACACAGGAATGGCCCCCTCGAAGGCCTCAGGCATCACAACATTGTATTCATTTTGTGTATATGACAATTGACTCTTTTTATTGTCAGGCACGGGATCAAGCACGGTGGGCGATTTAGTGATAAGCTCCGCCTCATGGCCTCTGCTGTGATGGAAGGGCGTGTTTTTATATTGTGCCTCATATTGAATTTTTTTCCTACGTATGAGTGAGTGCATATTAATTGCCTGTCAAGGACTGTGCAAAAAAATTAGAATGAATTGAGGCGAGCTGTGGCTTGTGTTTTTATTTGTGGGGAATTGTTTATTAGGGGTATTGTTGTTATACAAGCATAAATAAAGAAATTGTTTATAGAAACCATGTCAGTGCTTCAACTTGCTTTACAAGTTGTGTTTGTGAGTACCTGTGACACACTAGCCAAGTGACGTCCTGAAATGTGAAGGAACGTGTAAATTTTAAGGGCTCGTTTTTTTTTTTATTAAACACAATATTAACAAGAACTAACAGACAACACTGCCAAGAAAAGTATAGGGGATGTCATTTTGTAGTAAATGTAATTCAAATATGAAAAAAGAAAAGTGGACGAAAAGATAATTTTCCATGGGCACGGACGAAACCCACAATATTTCAATAACGCGTCCGATGCTCTACCAACTGAGCTACCATGGTGGCTATCCCCCCTTGTCCTCTTCGTCCCCGTGAATTTGCGTAACTACACCATATGGTTAAATTATCCCCCCTTACGCTTTACAGGGTATATATATAGTATATGTGCATTTAAAAGTGGGATTGTCGGTCGACGCTGCCGGTAGCCATTAACACTCGCCGCCATGGCTAGGGGTCAAGGAGGAGGAGGATTGAAAGAGGAAGGACAAGGAGGTTAGGCTAGAGGTTAATATTACTACTAAAGTATAGGGGAAGTTATTATTACTGATAATATCCTTGGTACTTGACAGTGTTGTCTGTTGGTTCTCATTAATATTACATAGAAAGGTTGATACTTTTGCTTTAAAAGGAACACTTAAAAAAGTCTCGGCTGGTTAAAATTTAGTTTTTAGGTAAGGCGAGCGAGGTCTCTCGTGAAACATTGATATAGGAGAGCAATAAAGGTGTGTTTTTATCTTTATGCCTCTGGGTATACTTTTTTCTCTCGTAAAAACGGTTTGCTCTTCGTATAGTAAACTTTTTTTGCAAGCTTATTGGGAAATAGGAGACTGCTTTATTGCGCAAAATAGGAGTGTTCTCCAGTGCTTTGACAGAATTTGTGATTTGTCACAATACATGCTGGTATTAGATATTTTGGACTCCTGTGTATGTGTAATTCTTGACCTGAAAAAAGTGGGCTCGAGGCGACAATGCAAGTGAAGGTGTGCAATGTAGATGATGATTGTTCTTGTGGGGCATGGAGGAAGAAAGTTGTGGGGCAAAAAAGACGCAATTTTTGTGGAGTGAACGTGAGTTCTACGTCTTGAAAATTGCGCGAGCTAGCCTTACTACCTTACTTTCAAGAGCTTAGGTTAGGGCAAGTGCTGGTGAGGTGAGAGTTGGGCAAGTGTGTTTTTTGCACTGCCCCCCCCCCCCTCCCCGGCCTAAGCCCACGTACATGGCCATATATTTGATGTTGATAGGTGTTCCTTGCATCAATTCAATTTTATTCACAAGAAAAAAATCAGGAGGGACACCTGGGCAAAAAGCTGTCGAAGTGGTGCCTTGGTGATAACGCAAGGAAATCCAGGCAAGATGGAATATTATTGTTGAGACAAATAATTAAACATGTGTCTTTGTTTTTGAAAGGGCCCTTCAACAATTTTTTAGCATAGAAAAAACTGCCGACTGCGGTATTCTAGGCTCCTGACAGTGCGAAGCATGGAATTTACAAAAAAAAAAATCAAATACAGCGGGAAATCATTCCTACACATCTGTATTATAAATGATTCGATAAACCTAAATGACTGCCTCATAAAGTTGTCCATGGCCGTTGACCGATTTGAGCATCGCGAGATCTATAGTTACTGCAGATGCCGCGGGATGTCGGTAGTTGCCTGCGTGCAAGGACAGTGGTCTGCGCCAATGGGATCCCATACGAAGGATCCTACTCATCGATCTTCTCGAACAGAACGTCAGATGAGCGTTTTATTCTCCCCCTTGCTAACTGTAAATAAGCTGTGCGTTCGAAAAAAGAAACAAAAAACGCTTAAGGTCGTGGTGCACACAGACAATGGGACGCAATAAGCTCTTCTCCCCACTGTCTATCCCATAGCGTTAACATAGAGTTAGTATATTAACTCTATGGCCTACTCCCCCCCTACTTAACTTTCAGCGCACACTCTAGAAACCACTGGAAGCGTGTATGCGACAAATCACCGTAATTCCACTCGTACTTGACAGATTCTTTTTTTTTTTTTTCAACAGTACATTTGCGATGTAGTAACTTAATAAGGAAAGAATGAAAAACTTTATTCTGGATGGTTTAGAACAGGGGTCATATGAACTCGATGGTGGGGCCCCAAGTTCAGGGATCTTTGAGCATCGTCATAAAATTCTATTGGTCGGTAGGCGAGGCTCCGAAGCACACGCGAACCAGATATAGCGCAGCAAGTGATCTGGAATTCACAAGTAATTATTAAAGTCAGCTACAGATCACCTTCTCTCGACAAATGACGCTACACTCAAAAATCACACCTTGGCAGGCAAAGTATCTGCCATCAGTTGATTTATTCATGACGCGCTCGGTTGTTACTGGGGCCGCCGCGAGAGGCCGCGATGTGTCCAAGCGTGCAGCGTGCTAGGGTTACAGCGGCTATGACAGCGGCTCCCCAACTAGAGTGTGCTAGAAAACTTTACCCCGACGTTACTAGAATACATCTTCTATATACGTTACTAGAATACATCTAGAATGTATCACCAACGTTTGTGGCTCCCTAGCCACTGCACTATACGGTGCCTCGATGTGCGCGCGCGGTGAGATCGCACTGATAATCCGCGCATTTGAAGGGAACTAAAAAAAAGTGCTCAAGGTCGCAAGACGCGCGTGACGTATTCACCCCCCCCCCCCCCCAATTATCCCTCCCTTCTCAGCTTCCAGCATAGAGTTTCTCACAATTTTTGCGCGCGCGTGTGTGTGAGAGAGAGAGAAACTCTGGGGCTTTCAGTACTTTAGTCGCGAAAGAGAATGCAATGGCAACATGCGACAAACAAATCTTTCTAACGGATTTACGCTCGGCCTTGCTCTGGGCGAATTCTATATTTTTGCGGAGGTGAATTCGCGAGGCCTTTAGTGAATCCATTTTATGGTAGTTGGAAAAGTGTTGCAGGGCCGTATTAATGTATGAGGGGCGTAGTTAAAAAAAAAATTCTGGGGGGGAGGGCGAGGGGAGGAAGGTTCAGCGTCTGTGTGTGTGCGTGTACATACGCGCTCACACACATGTTCAATTTCCTACGCCCGTGGTGGGTATCAGGACAGATAACGAACTGTACGTGTTGGCGTATTAGCGTACATACGTGACGGATCATAATTCAAAGGAAGGTACTGTAGCAGTTTATAGAAAAATTGCCGGCACAATAATATCAGTTAAGAAAATTGGGCAATAAAGTGAGGGTGTCCTCCATCACCGAGAGTCAGCAAAGTGAAATGGTCTCTCTGATTTTCCATTGCCATTGTTAAAAACTGTCGGCCGCAGGGTGTCGCGGCGATCAAATCAAAATGGCCACGTGCGACCGGTGAGTAGCTTTAGCTCTTTTCATCAGTAAAATCTTTGTTTTAATATCGATCGAGTTGCGTATAGCTGGCGTTGAGTGTCTTACAGATCGACTTTCGCGTTCCCCGTGCTTTTCCAGTTTCACTGGAATGCTCATATGTGAGCTTCTTAACCTAGAACCTGCGATTTTCTACCGGCAACAATATACACGTTATCATAAAGGCACCTACTGACATTAGCTCCCTCTACTCCAAGATGCTGCCCGGTGATTGATTGCATGTAGTAACACGCACACGCACCCTTGACACCGCAGACACCTTTAGTTAGGTCAAACAACCGGGACATCTTCAGTGCATTTGCGTGTTTTCTGAAGCGCTGTGTCATTGAGTAGCCTTTGCGAGGTCGTGTCTCGCACTGTCACCGGTGCTGTACCTTTTCACCAGGAGCAGAGCTATGCTAAGGCTCGTGGTGCTCTTTGTCGTTCTGGGCCACGTCTCGCTGGTCGACAGGTCCAACTTCAAATCGTGCAACGACAGCGGTTTCTGCAAGTAAGTGCGTCGCAACTTTTTCCGCGCTCTTCCACGCGAAACGCCTCCCCCCTCATGCTGGCTAGAGAGTAGTTGCTAGTCTCGGACACGCCTATCTACATGTTCAAGTCTAGGTCTGACAGTCGTTGTCAACGAATAAATTATTTAGCTACTGCCTGTGCGTATCGTCAATGTAACTACGTGTAACCTATGACTAGGGTTCTTTGACCTCCGAGTCTGACGGCTCGGGCTCTCTGCTGCCAACTTGATCTGCTGTTGTGGTATACTATGAAAACCGGCGAATATTTTCTTCTCCCTTCAATAACCAAAGCTCTTAGCAGATACGTAGACGTCGCTACAGGTGTTTTCCCGGCATAGAAGGCTTAAGTTAAAAGTTGAACCAATAAAATTGAAAAAAATTATATGAATGTGCCTGTTCAAAAAAAAAAAGAAAAAATTCCGAGTCACTTTGAAGATTCACAAGCGTGTATTTGTGGCATGCCCTTGATAAAAAAAAGGTATTATATTTTATGAATAGGCAGTGTTTACTAATGGCAAGAAAAGTTACCGCCACTTGCCTCATATTCCTGTTACACAGCCACCACCAAACTCTGTTACTGTCAACGTAAATCGCTCCTAGGGAGTTCGACGCAGTTATCTAAGTAGTAGTTCTGCAAACTGCTGCATTACTAATATGTGTGATTATAATGAAGCTGTAAACGCTGTTGCAGACGTAACCGTAATACCAAGCCCGGTGAGTCGCCATACAATGTCGAGTTGTCCACAGTCAAGTCAACATCGTCAAGTCGAGTGGAGGCTGACGTGATCAACTCAAAGAATGGGGTGGCGCTGCGATTGGAGCTGGTTGCGCTCGAAGAAGGTGTCCTTCGAATGAGACTCAACGAGAAAGAATCTGCTGTCGCACGTTTTGAGCCGAAGGAGGCACTCCTTGATACCATTAAGGAGTCTGAGTAATTATACATTTATGTTTGTTAGTTGAACATTCTTAGTGCATGATTAATTATTGGAGAGGGGGGTCATTGCAGCTCTTCCTCCCTCATTCCTCTCTTGCACCTGTCTATGATGCTTAGATATGTTGATAAACTGACTGCTAAAGACATGGTTGTAAAGAAATGAGACAACAAAGGGTATCCAACTGTCATTTTACTTGTAGACCTGTGCCTTTTTGCACTGCAGTTTATTAATGTCGAACCACTAAATCCAAACAACCATTTGAAGGGACACTCGGAAGAAAAACCATTTCTCTTGTTTTAGTAAATTACCCTTCCACAATACTAAAAGCATGACTCTTGCCGTGGAAATTTTTTTGGCAGGTGAGAAAATGCGCTAAACGATAATGCAGGTGGCAGCGAACTTTGTTTCTGCACTAATTCACCGTGACATCACAGGTTTTGATGACATTATCTTAGATATGACAGCCTTGTGTATTATGTATGACCAACAGAGATTTTTTTTCTATTTTCGCTATTTTCCTTACTTCATTTTTTTTTCTTTTGTAATTTTACAATCTACTGACAAGCTTTTCTCAGTCTTGGAACACTCAAATATGATCATTTTTGTTTCAATAAAGAGCTTAATGCTTAGAGAGCGCCATCGGGTGTCAACTTTTATTTTCAGAATGCCATAAATTGCTTAGACAGGGTGAAAAAAGAAATGTACATATTCTCAGATGTTCTCGTGAGGAGTGTGAAGCTTCATAACTTTGTTCTAGAAAAGTTGGAACCACAAAAATTACACTTGTTGCAGTAGTTTACATGTTTATAAGCTCAATAAAAATGTGGTCAGATAATGTTTTCACTAACTTTAAAATTAATGGCACACTATGCATAAAAACTGAGTTTCAATAATAAAATGTTTTGTTTAAATAAATCAGCATCCCTTTTAAACTGTGATCGCACATGTCCAACTGGCTAAAGGTAGAGTTACCATACATGCTACCTTTAGGTAGGAAAGTAGTACATTTGCTTTCCAAATGCTGCTAGCAACCAAGCATTGCAGAGAAGCTGATGTGCAGGCTGATTTTCCTGCCGCCACTGTAGCCAACCGATCTTAACAAGAGGGCGCCCTCAGTTCTGTCATTAACCCCCTTAATAGGCGTGAGCCCCCCACCCTGAAAATCCACTGTTGGGTCTGCGAAGCCTGCCTTTGTGCTCTCGTGGCACAATCCCGAAAGAAGGTGTTCCTTTCTTTATCGCCGATTTTTGACATGCCAGACACATTGATCGTTCATATCGCCTGCAAAAACAGAGTGCAGCTTCACTGCATAGCTGTGGTTTCTAGCTGGACTTATGCGCAACTATGCTCTCGTAGGGAGCCTATACAGTAACTCTAGCTCCAGGTATGGGGAAGCATTAGTGCCTTCCTTAGATGTGTAAGGGATGCGGCCTCGCCTCCTTGCTTGTCCCCCTATAAACATGAGTTTAGGGGAGGGTGCATGCACTTACGGCTACGTGCTATAAGAAAGAGCCTTTCAATGTGTTCTATTATGGCCGTGGGGGAAGGACATTTTTCTTTGACTTTTTTTTTTCATTGGTATCCATAAGTTAACGGATTATCTTTCACCTTGTTCTGCAGCCTCCATTTGGAGAACAAGGATGACAGCTCCTTTACGGTAACCTTTGGGAAGCACCGTGCCATAGTGCGCGCCAGTCCACTGGTGGTCGAGGTCTACTCCAACGGGCAGCTTGTTCTGGTGGCTAATGCCCGTGGGCTTCTGCGTTTCGAGCACTACCGGCCACGAGGAAGCTCGTAAGCCTGGCATGCTTGTTTGGTGTGGTTTCGTTGGTTTTGTATTACAGCAAAAATATGATTTAACAAAACTTCTTTTGTGAAGTCCCCGAGGTAAAGAAGAAATTTGCATACTCCGGCTGGTGCTCGTAGGGTTTAATGTTGTCACCAACCTGAATTAATGAAACTTGGCCCCAACCCTGCTTAAATCAAGTTTCTTCCAAAATAACAAATTTAGCAATGATTTCTCTCAAACTCGGGCATGGGCGGATTTTCCGCCTGCATGCACTTTAGCGTTATCGCAGTAAAATGTGCGGTTGCCTTGGTCATAACCATAGTTTAATTTTAATACACCACATGTGTGCAAAAGAATGGACTGAATGGTCTTTGGCCCTTTAGTTATCAGATGGCTCTCATGGCGGCATTGGTTTATTGTCCCTCTAAATGCTCCCAAGGAACAGTACGGTGGTTGCATTCATTGTTTCATGTTTAGGGCAACATATGTCTCTAGTCAATTTCTTGCTTGGCCCGTGATGGATCGTTTTCATGATTGTAGAGCTGGCTTTTCTGCTATGCAGGTTGTCCAACCAATGGTGGCTACTTATTTATTGGCAACAGTATGTTCTAAAGCAGTTTGCTTGCACTATGACATGAAAAATGAAGACTCTGTTGTCTTGGCGTAAATACGCAATACAGACAAGCACCCGCGTGCGCAACTGAGACCTCATTTCCACTTCAAGTATGACAGGTGCCACAGTTAGTTGCGCGAATATGAAGTACGAATCATGAAAAAGGCTTATTGCATACGGGCAGTCTGTGTAGCTTCACGTGATCGCCTATTTGGCCTGAATCTTCCGAACATGGCAAACTACATGTCCGGGACGCCCTGTTCAGAATGCCATGATCAGATGTGCAAGCGAGAGCCAACAGCAAATGCAATGCCGTGACAATATTGGTGTGTCGCTGCATTAGATTTTTAAATTTCGAAGGAGCAAAAAATGCCATTCCCGATTTTAGAATGTCTCGACATAATAAAATAATGTGAGTGTGGTCATCGCTTCATCAAATCGAGTTTCAACTGTAGCTTGAAAAGATGGAATCCTAGGCGAGTTGGTCTGATATCATATTTTTGAGCTCAATAAGACAGACGTATAAATGTCTGACTATAAATGTTGTAGTCTCATGACATTTATAGTAAACAGAACACTGACATTTATAGTAAACAGAACACAGGGAAAATTTATACACCTTGCACTTCCAATATAGTCACTAGAGCATCTGAAAAGGCCTCACTGAATTATAAATGCGAAGTGTACTCTGGAGAATTGCTACATGGCCTGACACCACAGAAACAAAGAAACTTGGTGCTGTCTACTAGAAAATGATATCTAGGGTATTAGTTAAAAATTTGTTTGTGTATATACATCTGTTTCTTTAAGCATGCTATTACTGCTCTAGCTTGGAAACGGATACAGTCGAACCCCGCTACAACGAACGCCGCTTCAACGAAATTTTCACTACAACAAAAAATTTACGGTTCCCCGTCAGCAGTCCATAGGAGTCAGTGCATATTGTCGCCACAATGGACACTTTTTCTTCTGCCGCCCCGCTTCAACGAAATTTTACGACACAATTACAGGTTCAGATATTTATCGCTATACAGCCAACCCAATCTTTAACATTTTGGTGCATTTTCAGAACCTGAAATTATGTTGATGAAGTCTAAAACACGTGTTGGCACCACCAGAAACCACCGCTGTTCAGCAAGCATGGGTGCCGCCATTGCTCGATAGCGATGGCAATGAGACTGCCCTGCTTTTGCCATTGGCTTGCTTCTAGCGGCAGACGATCCGAAGCTGAAGCTCAGTTCATGCTTTCCTTCACGGAGCTGCTGGGTGCAACCGCGGAACGATGCCTTTTTAGATCCCAAGGCTTATCATTTTATTCACACTTGGCCAGTGTGATACATAATCAGAGCGGCTGTTCCTGTTAGCCGCCAGTGATAAGATTGGCATAGAATAAGGCAAAAGTCACCGCTCCACGATACCCCACCTCCCTCTCAGTGTTATCGAATACACTTTGACAGCAGACAGCTGCTGGTGTGAACAAGTTTGGTACATTCACGAAAGCAGTTGTAGGCATTGTTTCAGCGTGCTTTTCATCATGGCCTCGCTATACAAGACTGAGAATCGCGCCGTGACGCTGCTGGGAAAGAATAGGAAGCAGCGGACACTCTTTGAATTTTGAGAATAAGCATTCCTTTGTTTTGCTAGCTCAGATCAGCTATATATTTTTTTCAATTTCACTACAACTAAATTTTCGCTTCAACGAAATATTTTCCGCACCACGGGAGTTTCGTTGTAGCGGGGTTCAACTTTATTCAGGTTCAAAAATGTGCGGCTGGTGAGTGCTCTGTTTGGTGCTCTAAAGTGAGGCTTTAGGTGCTCCAAAGCTGTTCCTAAGTGGCTTCTCTTAATCACATCATGGTGATGGCATTGAAAAAACGGCAGTTCAGAGCCGCCCTGGTTTTATTTTTATTTTTTTTCGTTCGAGTAGCTGTGAAGGGGCACACTGTTTTTAGTGTCACACAGCACTCTCAAAAAGTAACTTTTTAGACCATTGTGTTTACACCAGTCAGCACCCTTCAGAATGTCTTTTGCCTCACAAGAGAAGTTTGTGTTTGCGTTTCTTTGTTTGCATCTCCTCTCTTGTGTAATGTGCTGGCTACTTTCCTTTAGCAATGAAAATTCAGTGACTTTTATAACAGGGGGTGTACCATTCATGGCCCAAAAGTAGAATGTAGATGATCAAATAACAAATCCTTAGTGTCCTCTGTGTCCCTCTTCTGCTATTTCACGGTGTTGACCACAACAATGTTAATCTATTTCTGTTGGTTTTTTAATGTATTTACTTACATAATAGGCTCTAAATCTGGCTCCAAGTCTGGGGTGCGCCTATTACATGGATTAAAATTTTCACAAATTTGATTTCGACTACAGCATACTGCTGATAATGTATACGTCGCTGAAGTCGTGAATATCCGCTCTACAGCCGAGACAACCTACTTTATAGGTTACACTAGCACAAAACCTGTTGAGCATGCAGTTTTGCGTGTCCGAGAATTGAGGCAGACGATGCATTCAAAAGTCTAAAAGCTAACATCCGAAGGCCCGCGTTGCCAATAAAATGAAAGCGAAAAAACAAAAAAGAAACTAGAAGAAAGCGCCATTGCGGAAATTCGCCGATTACGCTTCAGGCCACATAGATTATTTGTGTGCGGAACGGTACCGATTGTTCAATTTCACTGGCTGGTGCCCCATACATTGCAATCAAATTGTGAACCACCATTTGAATGGTACAAGTGCCACCCAAGCCCCCTTTGCTTTAAGTAGAAACACCAAACAGTTACGTTGATTCCGCACAAAACCACAACTTCGATCGCCCGCGGCCGCCTACGAATAGCACGAACAGTGATTAGGTCTAGCCTATGGTTCGGCATGTTGTCGCTGGAACTTAGTTTGTACAAGACAGCATGAAGATTTAGCATCGAAAAGATCGCACTCAAGCACTGATCCAAGAGCAGCACACGTGATTCGATGTTTTGGTTCGCGGCCAGGAAATTAATGGCGACAAAATCTGTCGAGCTTGTGCAAGTCCACATAGTGGGAGCAAAAACGAAAGCTCGTGTTGAAAAGCCGAAAAGCTTTTAAATTTGCGGACGAGGTAGCAAACGCGATAACGATGTTGTTTTCATGATGATACGGGGCGCGAAAAAACGACACACAACAGAGAAGAAGTACACAGACGACGCGCGATGTTGTTTTTCCTGACAAGAAACTCGATGCGTGCTTTATGTGGACGCGATCGCGTGTGCCATACAGAGCATGCGTTGCCAGCTAGTGGCCGGAGTTACGCCTGCACATTGGTACAAAGGTTACTCCGACGCCGAAGCAACCATCCATCTTCCTCACTTGGCGAGCCCGCGAATCTTGCGCAGCACTGCCGTGGTCCTTTTTTTTTTCCTCGCATCAGTTGTGTAAGAAGGCGTCGAATCGCAACGACACTTACTGATCATGGCCGAGTTCAGGGTGCGCCGCGGAATTTTTTTTTTTTTTTTTTTTCGTGACTGGGCAATTTAGCAGGCCAAAGAAGCTGCTGAGAGACATGGCCTCTCAACCAGCTCCTAGGGGGAACCCAGCCCGGTAACCTGCAGGAAGTGAATAAAGTTGTTCACTCACTCACTCACTTTTCGCGACTAAGCTGTTGGTGCGCCTATAATGCGATTGTGCCTATTATGCGAGTAAATATGGTATTTGGAACTGCTGTTTGTTAAAAATAAAGCAAATTAAATGTGCTTCTAACAAGCATTGCTAGCAATCGTCGCACGTAGTGTAGGCAAAAACACAAGCACGTCTTAAGTTTTTTCTTCAAATGTCTATCTCCAATTATCTTGTATTGATGAGTTACTTCATTAACTTTCCTCTTTATCAGTTGCATAAAGTGACGCCTGAATGCATCTTCATCTGATGGTTAGGCTATCAATTCTATCTTGCGCCTCTTATGCACTCTTTTATTGTAATTTCAATAAGTTGCTGTGTCTTGACGGTTGAGCGAATGTGCTTGTAACATAAGAGTTAGAACATGCGCGTAAAGTACATACCAAAAGAGGGGGAAGTTATGACCTTTGTAGAATGTTTGCCTCTTGGTATTTTCGTACTTCTCTCATTCATCATACTAAAGGGCTTGCGGCCTTTCACTTTTTATGACCTGTAAACAAAAGAATACATTTACTAGGCTAACAAAGGAAAGGCTTTTGTTTTGACAGTTGTTGGCAACTGCAAATTTTCAGAGCAAGCAGATGCACTTGCAAGGTTCTGACGGAACAAATAATTCGAAACATTTTTCTTTTTTACTTCTTCAACCCTGAAACATTACTTATTGTTAGGTCTTCTTTGTTTGTAATGGTGACATATAGTAGCGATAAGCTTCAAAGCAGAACATGTGTTCATTTGCATGGTATT